TACATCATCTCAGGGCAACAGATCACCCTACAACAACTAGAAGGCTACCTAGAAGACGCCCTATCGCCCTAAACATAGATAAGACAAAGACACACCCCTATCGGCAATACAGACCACGGGAATGAAGATACTTGGCTCCTTTATAGGCCAGAGCCACGGAAGGCCGAATTCCTGGCTACAAGGATAGAAGAACTCCAGACGGTGCTAGATAGGCTAAAAGACCTACCAAAACAACACGCACTCCTCCTACTTAGGGCTAGCACCTCTACACTACTCCGACACCTTCCTAGGACCATAGGATCACAAGGACTCCTGGCAAGATTCCAAGACATTGACACAAGACTCCTAGAAACCATAAAACACCTTCAAGGCTCAGAGGATAGAAGACCACTAGACCAGGACCTAGTAGCCCTCCCTACTAGGCTAGGAGGCCTAGGAATACCTCTCTACGCGGAAGTGGCCGAGCTAGCCTTCCAAAACTCACAGGCTATAGCAGACATCACCCTACAGAGGATCCTACCGCCAAAACTCTTCTGGCGCCTACCCCGAGCACCCTCGCCAGCCCCTAGCAACACTAGTATGGAAGGCCACCCCCAGACTAGCTATAGGCCTACACAAGGCCAAGAAGGCAACCTACAAGAGGACGGCCTAGAAGGGGACATAGACAAGGCCACAGAAGAGGACACACAAGGTCTAGACGAACAAACCACTCTAGGAAGCCAGGAGCAAGAACAGGTACAAGAACAGGAACAGGATCACTCCCAGGACCGCGGTAGAAGGGAATAGAGCAAACCAACAACCACAACCAAGCCTATCCTACCTCCTAGCCCAGGACACCCAACAACAGCCTAGCTTTCCCTAGAACACCAACAACTAGACCCCACTAGTACTGGCCCTGCTAGAACCATCTACCGAGCTGCAATAGACAAGCTTCAACAGAGCTCGACTGGCTAGAGTACAGCAGAAGCTCTCTTTACAGCAAGAGAACGTACGGATCGAGAACTCAGCCTTCCTAGGCCGGAGATGGCTATCCGCAATGCCTACCTCACAGCCCCTTCTACTCTCGGACATGGACGTAGCCGCAGCACTTTCTATTCGGCTTCTTACATCCCCTGAAGAAGGCCAGGACATCTGTAGACACTGTGATAGGGCCTATACCTTCGCCCACGAAGACGCCTGCCGTGCTAGGACTAGACAGACAATTGTCAAACATAATAAGGTGTGCCAGGCGTTGACTACGGCCCTACAGACCGACCCACAAAACAAAGTCACCCTAGAGCCACAAGGAGACTACCGAGGAATCCGGACAGACATTAGAATCGACAACCCTAAGGGAACCACCTACCTAGATGTGTCCATCATTTCCCTAGGTAAGGAAACCGCTAGGAAGGACCTAATAGCACCCTATCGGCCGCGGAAAGGGCTAAGAAGCTCAAATACCAAACCCTAGGCCGAGCTTTTAAGCCGTTTATCCTTAGCCAAGGAGGCCTTCTAGAAAGGAGACCTCACAAACCTACAAAGAATTCCAAAAGTCCCTTGGTCCTAGCACCTCAGAGTGGCTAGATAAGTATATCTCTACCACTCTAGTAAGACTCCGGAGCTAGGAACTGGCTAGGATATGGTATAGACTAGATAGATTTCTTTTTCTTTTCCTTTTTCTTTTGTTTCCCTCTTCCTTTTTATCGTACCCTTTTTCTTTGTTTTTATATAGAAAAGTAGTTAGACGAGCAAGAATAGCTTATATAGAAGCGTATCGAAATGCTGCTAACCCTAACCCTAACCCTAACAATCCCCTACCCTACACCCCTCACCTTCGGGTTTTTCCACTTCCCTTTCCCTATGTTTCATATATATTACTTTTTTTCTTTTCCCTCCCTCCTCCTTCCTCCCTCCTTCCCTCCTCCCTCCTCCCTCCTCCTCCTCCTCCTCCCTCTTCCTATCCATCTATCCATCCATCCATTCATTCATTCACTTCTCTCTCTACCTTGCTATCCTCGTTGCTTCGCAATACCTACTGTTGCTTCGCAATAGTTACTACTCGCTACTCACTACTCACCATGGCAAAAGATAAACCAGGTACCTGCCGCATCTGCTTCCGCCACTACGCCTACCTATGGGACCACGTCAAGAAAAACCACCTACACCTCCATGTCCCCCTCTCTACCCTCGCCCATATGGGCTTCACCGCCTGCCCTACCTGCTACCAGCCCTGCCAAACCTCACATGGCATCAAATCCCACCAGTCCAAATCCGGCTGCTTAAAAAAGACCCTTCCTACTCGCTCTACCCGCCGGACGCCTACCACCTCTTCGACCCCTACCGCTATAAATACCTCTATAGCCCCATCTACCGCTACCGCCCTTATAAACACCAACAAACGCCGCCGCGCCTCCCGATCACCATCGCTAGCAAGAAACAGAGCAAGGCCAAGAGCGAGGAATACACATACCTACCATAACACACCACCTCGTCTAGATAGCCCACCCGCCAGGCTACTAGACCTTCTATCTGGCAGCCAGCCGAGTACCCCTCTTAGTAGCCTACAACGGGAAATCCTCGGCAACCAATCCGACAGCCGACCTACATACCAACCAGCCCCTTTACCTACCCTCCTACTAGACCGCTCTCCTACCCCTCGCCAAACGGCACCTCCTATGGCTCTCCTAACGAGTCCACCATCGGCCTCCTCGAGGACCTAGCCTCAAACCTACCTAGCGGCCATAGCTCACCGGCCCAAAGCGAGATCCACGTCCGAGACGGCCCCCGAAACACTAGTAGTGCCTACTCTCCTACACCCTCTCCTACACCCTCCTCTCCTACACCCTCCTCTCCTACACCCTCCTCTCCTACACCCTCCTCTCCTACACCCTCCTCTCCTACACCCTCCTCCCCTAGTACACCGGCACCTCCCTCTTACTCACTAGGGACCCAGGGGCCTACTAGCCCTATCTACGGAGACGAACATACACCACCGCCACCAGATGTTGCAGACATACCTATAGGCCTAGGCCAAGACCGGTATAACACCTACCAGCCCCGAAACAAGTATCTACAACAGCTATTTGGATACAACCACGTACAGGCAAAGGACCACACCTTCCGTGGCAGCCAAGCCGCTAGCTTTGTGGCCGCCGCGGCCAGGTGTGCCTCTAGATACACACGCCAACCTACCGAGAAACACCTGCTAGACTTCCTACTACTACCGAAGGCTGGCCTTACCTAGGCATCCAATCGGAGGAGTTTAGCACCCAATACGTCCTACAGCACTACCCGGACCTAATGCTACCCCCGCCAAGCCGCGTAGAAACCGATAGGGCCCAGGAATTTCTAGGCCAGCCAGACAACCGCCGGGATACCCCCGCTCTAGAGCCCAAAGACTGGTAGAAAAGGGCTATCTAGGCAGAGCTGCAAGGGCACTAGTAGACCCCTCAACCCTAGCTAGGAACTCGGCGGATATACTAGCCAAACTAAGAGAAAAACACCCGGAAGGGCAGCCCTACCCCTTTGCCTCCTCCGCGAGCCCTAGACCAGGCCCTAGGCCACTCCCGGAAGACATCTTACAAGCCCTGGCCTCATTTGCCCCGGATACAGCCCCTGGCCTATCCGGCTGGTCAGTCCCCTTACTAAGGGAAGCCTGTAAGCATAAACAGGTGGTAGACTTTCTTACCCACCTCTGCAAGCAGGTACAGAACGGCCTAGCACCAGGGAACCAGCTACTTACCGCATCGAGGCTTGTAGCCCTAGATAAGGAAGATAGCGGGGTCCGGCCAATTGCAGTAGGAGAGCTCATCTATAGGCTGGTAGCTAAGGTCCTCCTCCAAAACAGTTCTCTAAGGACCAACTAGCCCCCTTCCAGCTAGGGGTACAGAGCCCCGGCGGGGTAGAGCCAATCATACACCTACTAGGACACGCGGTAGATGGAAACCTTAGAGGATACACCCACGTCTGCTCTATGGACTTTAAAAACGCCTTCAACTCAGTCTCCCGAGCAGCGGTAGCCCACGGGATCCTAAGCTATGCCCCAGAGTTCTACAAGGCAGCTAGATGGGCCTACAACGAGCCAGCAGCCCTAGTGATGTATGACGGCACGGTAATTACCTCCTCGGAAGGGGTTAGACAAGGAGACCCCTCGGCCCCCTCTTCTTCTCCCTAGCCATTCGGACCACCCTCCAACAGCTACAACAACAGCTACAGAGGTCAACCGGCTATAACAGACCCCCTCCTATCGTCCTAGCATACCTAGACGACGTCTACATCATCTCAGGGCAACAGATCACCCTACAACAACTAGAAGGCTACCTAGAAGACGCCCTATCGCCCTAAACATAGATAAGACAAAGACACACCCCCTATCGGCAATACAGACCACGGGAATGAAGATACTTGGCTCCTTTATAGGGCCAGAGCCACGGAAGGCCGAATTCCTGGCTACAAGGATAGAAGAACTCCAGACGGTGCTAGATAGGCTAAAAGACCTACCAAAACAACACGCACTCCTCCTACTTAGGGCTAGCACCTCTACACTACTCCGACACCTTCCTAGGACCATAGGATCACAAGGACTCCTGGCAAGATTCCAAGACATTGACACAAGACTCCTAGAAACCATAAAACACCTTCAAGGCTCAGAGGATAGAAGACCACTAGACCAGGACCTAGTAGCCCTCCCTACTAGGCTAGGAGGCCTAGGAATACCTCTCTACGCGGAAGTGGCCGAGCTAGCCTTCCAAAACTCACAGGCTATAGCAGACATCACCCTACAGAGGATCCTACCGCCAAAACTCTTCTGGCGCCTACCCCGAGCACCCTCGCCAGCCCCTAGCAACACTAGTATGGAAGGCCACCCCCAGACTAGCTATAGGCCTACACAAGGCCAAGAAGGCAACCTACAAGAGGACGGCCTAGAAGGGGACATAGACAAGGCCACAGAAGAGGACACACAAGGTCTAGACGAACAAACCACTCTAGGAAGCCAGGAGCAAGAACAGGTACAAGAACAGGAACAGGATCACTCCCAGGACCGCGGTAGAAGCAGGAATAGAGCAAACCAACAACCACAACCAAGCCTATCCTACCTCCTAGCCCAGGACACCCAACAACAGCCTAGCTTTCCCTAGAACACCAACAACTAGACCCCACTAGTACTGGCCCTGCTAGAACCATCTACCGAGCTGCAATAGACAAGCTCAACAGAGCTCGACTGGCTAGAGTACAGCAGAAGCTCTCTTTACAGCAAGAGAACGTACGGATCGAGAACTCAGCCTTCCTAGGCCGGAGATGGCTATCCGCAATGCCTACCTCACAGCCCCTTCTACTCTCGGACATGGACGTAGCCGCAGCACTTTCTATTCGGCTTCTTACATCCCCTGAAGAAGGCCAGGACATCTGTAGACACTGTGATAGGGCCTATACCTTCGCCCACGAAGACGCCTGCCGTGCTAGGACTAGACAGACAATTGTCAAACATAATAAGGTGTGCCAGGCGTTGACTACGGCCCTACAGACCGACCCACAAAACAAAGTCACCCTAGAGCCACAAGGAGACTACCGAGGAATCCGGACAGACATTAGAATCGACAACCCTAAGGGAACCACCTACCTAGATGTGTCCATCATTTCCCTAGGTAAGGAAACCGCTAGGAAGGACCCTAATAGCACCCTATCGGCCGCGGAAAGGGCTAAGAAGCTCAAATACCAAACCCTAGGCCGAGCTTTTAAGCCGTTTATCCTTAGCCAAGGAGGCCTTCTAGGAAAGGAGACCTCACAAACCTACAAAGAATTCCAAAGTCCCTTGGTCCTAGCACCTCGGAGTGGCTAGATAAGTATATCTCTACCACTCTAGTAAGACTCCGGGCTAGGAACTGGCTAGGATATGGTATAGACTAGATAGATTTCTTTTCTTTTCCTTTTTCTTTTGTTTCCTCTTCCTTTTTATCGTACCCTTTTTCTTTGTTTTTATATAGAAAAGTAGTTAGACGAGCAAGAATAGCTTATATAGAAGCGTATCGAAATGCTGCTAACCCTAACCCTAACCCTAACAATCCCCTACCCTACACCCCTCACCTTCGGGTTTTTTCCACTTCCCTTTCCCTATGTTTCATATATATTACTTTTTTCTTTCCCTCCCTCCTCCCTCCTCCCTCCTCCCTCCTCCCTCCTCCCTCCTCCCTCCTCCTCCTCCTCCCTCTTCCTATCCATCTATCCATCCATCCATTCATTCATTCACTTCTCTCTCTACCTTGCTATCCTCGTTGCTTCGCAATACCTACTGTTGCTTCGCAATAGTTACTACTCGCTACTCACTACTCACCATGGCAAAAGATAAACCAGGTACCTGCCGCATCTGCTTCCGCCACTACGCCTACCTATGGGACCACGTCAAGAAAAACCACCTACACCTCCATGTCCCCCTCTCTACCCTCGCCCATATGGGCTTCACCGCCTGCCCTACCTGCTACCAGCCCTGCCAAACCTCACATGGCATCAAATCCCACCAGTCCAAATCCGGCTGCTTAAAAAGACCCTTCCTACTCGCTCTACCCGCCGGACGCCTACCACCTCTTCGACCCCTACCGCTATAAATACCTCTATAGCCCCATCTACCGCTACCGCCCTTATAAACACCAACAAACGCCGCCGCGCCTCCCGATCACCATCGCTAGCAAGAAACAGAGCAAGGCCAAGAGCGAGGAATACACATACCTACCATAACACACCACCTCGTCTAGATAGCCCACCCGCCAGGCTACTAGACCTTCTATCTGGCAGCCAGCCGAGTACCCCTCTTAGTAGCCTACAACGGGAAATCCTCGGCAACCAATCCGACAGCCGACCTACATACCAACCAGCCCCTTTACCTACCCTCCTACTAGACCGCTCTCCTACCCTCGCCAAACGGCACCTCCTATGGCTCTCCTAACGAGTCCACCATCGGCCTCCTCGAGGACCTAGCCTCAAACCTACCTAGCGGCCATAGCTCACCGGCCCAAAGCGAGATCCACGTCCGAGACGGCCCCGAAACACTAGTAGTGCCTACTCTCCTACACCCTCCTCTCCTACACCCTCCTCTCCTACACACCCTCCTCTCCTACACCCTCCCTCTCCTACACCCTCCTCCCCTAGTACACCGGCACCTCCCTCTTACTCACTAGGGACCCAGGGGCCTACTAGCCCTATCTACGGAGACGAACATACACCACCGCCACCAGATGTTGCAGACATACCTATAGGCCTAGGCCAAGACCGGTATAACACCTACCAGCCCCGAAACAAGTATCTACAACAGCTATTTGGATACAACCACGTACAGGCAAAGGACCACACCTTCCGTGGCAGCCAAGCCGCTAGCTTTGTGGCCGCCGCGGCCAGGTGTGCCTCTAGATACACACGCCAACCTACCGAGAAACACCTGCTAGACTTCCTACTACTACCGAAGGCTGGCCTTACCCTAGGCATCCAATCGGAGGAGTTTAGCACCCAATACGTCCTACAGCACTACCCGGACCTAATGCTACCCCCGCCAAGCCGCGTAGAAACCGATAGGGCCCAGGAATTTCTAGGCCAGCCAGACAACCGCCGGGATACCCCGCTCTAGAGCCCAAAGACTGGTAGAAAAGGGCTATCTAGGCAGAGCTGCAAGGGCACTAGTAGACCCCTCAACCCTAGCTAGGAACTCGGCGGATATACTAGCCAAACTAAGAGAAAAACACCCGGAAGGGCAGCCCTACCCCTTTGCCTCCTCCGCGAGCCCTAGACCAGGCCCTAGGCCACTCCCGGAAGACATCTTACAAGCCCTGGCCTCATTTGCCCCGGATACAGCCCCTGGCCTATCCGGCTGGTCAGTCCCCTTACTAAGGGAAGCCTGTAAGCATAAACAGGTGGTAGACTTTCTTACCCACCTCTGCAAGCAGGTACAGAACGGCCTAGCACCAGGGAACCAGCTACTTACCGCATCGAGGCTTGTAGCCCTAGATAAGGAAGATAGCGGGGTCCGGCCAATTGCAGTAGGAGAGCTCATCTATAGGCTGGTAGCTAAGGTCCTCCTCCAAAAACAGTTCTCTAAGGACCAACTAGCCCCCTTCCAGCTAGGGGTACAGAGCCCCGGCGGGGTAGAGCCAATCATACACCTACTAGGACACGCGGTAGATGGAAACCTTAGAGGATACACCCACGTCTGCTCTATGGACTTTAAAAACGCCTTCAACTCAGTCTCCCGAGCAGCGGTAGCCCACGGGATCCTAAGCTATGCCCCAGAGTTCTACAAGGCAGCTAGATGGGCCTACAACGAGCCAGCAGCCCTAGTGATGTATGACGGCACGGTAATTACCTCCTCGGAAGGGGTTAGACAAGGAGACCCCTCGGCCCCCTCTTCTTCTCCCTAGCCATTCGGACCACCCTCCAACAGCTACAACAACAGCTACAGAGGTCAACCGGCTATAACAGACCCCCTCCTATCGTCCTAGCATACCTAGACGACGTCTACATCATCTCAGGGCAACAGATCACCCTACAACAACTAGAAGGCTACCTAGAAGACGCCCCTATCGCCCTAAACATAGATAAGACAAAGACACACCCCCTATCGGCAATACAGACCACGGGAATGAAGATACTTGGCTCCTTTATAGGGCCAGAGCCACGGAAGGCCGAATTCCTGGCTACAAGGATAGAAGAACTCCAGACGGTGCTAGATAGGCTAAAAGACCTACCAAAACAACACGCACTCCTCCTACTTAGGGCTAGCACCTCTACACTACTCCGACACCTTCCTAGGACCATAGGATCACAAGGACTCCTGGCAAGATTCCAAGACATTGACACAAGACTCCTAGAAACCATAAAACACCTTCAAGGCTCAGAGGATAGAAGACCACTAGACCAGGACCTAGTAGCCCTCCCTACTAGGCTAGGAGGCCTAGGAATACCTCTCTACGCGGAAGTGGCCGAGCTAGCCTTCCAAAACTCACAGGCTATAGCAGACATCACCCTACAGAGGATCCTACCGCCAAAACTCTTCTGGCGCCTACCCCGAGCACCCTCGCCAGCCCCTAGCAACACTAGTATGGAAGGCCACCCCCAGACTAGCTATAGGCCTACACAAGGCCAAGAAGGCAACCTACAAGAGGACGGCCTAGAAGGGGACATAGACAAGGCCACAGAAGAGGACACACAAGGTCTAGACGAACAAACCACTCTAGGAAGCCAGGAGCAAGAACAGGTACAAGAACAGGAACAGGATCACTCCCAGGACCGCGGTAGAAGCAGGAATAGAGCAAACCAACAACCACAACCAAGCCTATCCTACCTCCTAGCCCAGGACACCCAACAACAGCCTAGCTTTCCCTAGAACACCAACAACTAGACCCCACTAGTACTGGCCCTGCTAGAACCATCTACCGAGCTGCAATAGACAAGCTCAACAGAGCTCGACTGGCTAGAGTACAGCAGAAGCTCTCTTTACAGCAAGAGAACGTACGGATCGAGAACTCAGCCTTCCTAGGCCGGAGATGGCTATCCGCAATGCCTACCTCACAGCCCCTTCTACTCTCGGACATGGACGTAGCCGCAGCACTTTCTATTCGGCTTCTTACATCCCCTGAAGAAGGCCAGGACATCTGTAGACACTGTGATAGGGCCTATACCTTCGCCCACGAAGACGCCTGCCGTGCTAGGACTAGACAGACAATTGTCAAACATAATAAGGTGTGCCAGGCGTTGACTACGGCCCTACAGACCGACCCACAAAACAAAGTCACCCTAGAGCCACAAGGAGACTACCGAGGAATCCGGACAGACATTAGAATCGACAACCCTAAGGGAACCACCTACCTAGATGTGTCCATCATTTCCCTAGGTAAGGAAACCGCTAGGAAGGACCCTAATAGCACCCTATCGGCCGCGGAAAGGGCTAAGAAGCTCAAATACCAAACCCTAGGCCGAGCTTTTAAGCCGTTTATCCTTAGCCAAGGAGGCCTTCTAGGAAAGGAGACCTCACAAACCTACAAAGAATTCCAAAAGTCCCTTGGTCCTAGCACCTCGGAGTGGCTAGATAAGTATATCTCTACCACTCTAGTAAGACTCCGGGCTAGGAACTGGCTAGGATATGGTATAGACTAGATAGATTTCTTTTTCTTTTCCTTTTTTCTTTTGTTTCCCTCTTCCTTTTTATCGTACCCTTTTTCTTTGTTTTTATATAGAAAAGTAGTTAGACGAGCAAGAATAGCTTATATAGAAGCGTATCGAAATGCTGCTAACCCTAACCCTAACCCTAACAATCCCCTACCCTACACCCCTCACCTTCGGGTTTTTTTCCACTTCCCTTTCCCTATGTTTCATATATATTACTTTTTTTCTTTTCCCTCCCTCCTCCCTCCTCCCTCCTCCCTCCTCCCTCCTCCCTCCCTCCTCCTCCTCCCTCTTCCTATCCATCTATCCATCCATCCATTCATTCATTCACTTCTCTCTCTACCTTGCTATCCTCGTTGCTTCGCAATACCTACTGTTGCTTCGCAATAGTTACTACTCGCTACTCACTACTCACCATGGCAAAAGATAAACCAGGTACCTGCCGCATCTGCTTCCGCCACTACGCCTACCTATGGGACCACGTCAAGAAAAACCACCTACACCTCCATGTCCCCCTCTCTACCCTCGCCCATATGGGCTTCACCGCCTGCCCTACCTGCTACCAGCCCTGCCAAACCTCACATGGCATCAAATCCCACCAGTCCAAATCCGGCTGCTTAAAAAGACCCTTCCTACTCGCTCTACCCGCCGGACGCCTACCACCTCTTCGACCCCTACCGCTATAAATACCTCTATAGCCCCATCTACCGCTACCGCCCTTATAAACACCAACAAACGCCGCCGCGCCTCCCGATCACCATCGCTAGCAAGAAACAGAGCAAGGCCAAGAGCGAGGAATACACATACCTACCATAACACACCACCTCGTCTAGATAGCCCACCCGCCAGGCTACTAGACCTTCTATCTGGCAGCCAGCCGAGTACCCCTCTTGGTAGCCTATAACGGGAAATCCTCGGCAACCAATCCGACAGCCGACCTACATACCAACCAGCCCCTTTACCTACCCTCCTACTAGACCGCTCTCCTACCCCCTCGCCAAACGGCACCTCCTATGGCTCTCCTAACGAGTCCACCATCGGCCTCCTCGAGGACCTAGCCTCAAACCTACCTAGCGGCCATAGCTCACCGGCCCAAAGCGAGATCCACGTCCGAGACGGCCCCCGAAACACTAGTAGTGCCTACTCTCCTACACCCTCCTCTCCTACACCCTCCTCTCCTACACCCTCCTCTCCTACACCCTCCTCTCCTACACCCTCCTCCCCTAGTACACCGGCACCTCCCTCTTACTCACTAGGGACCCAGGGGCCTACTAGCCCTATCTACGGAGACGAACATACACCACCGCCACCAGATGTTGCAGACATACCTATAGGCCTAGGCCAAGACCGGTATAACACCTACCAGCCCCGAAACAAGTATCTACAACAGCTATTTGGATACAACCACGTACAGGCAAAGGACCACACCTTCCGTGGCAGCCAAGCCGCTAGCTTTGTGGCCGCCGCGGCCAGGTGTGCCTCTAGATACACACGCCAACCTACCGAGAAACACCTGCTAGACTTCCTACTACTACCGAAGGCTGGCCTTACCCTAGGCATCCAATCGGAGGAGTTTAGCACCCAATACGTCCTACAGCACTACCCGGACCTAATGCTACCCCCGCCAAGCCGCGTAGAAACCGATAGGGCCCAGGAATTTCTAGGCCAGCCAGACAACCGCCGGGATACCCCCGCTCTAGAGCCCAAAGACTGGTAGAAAAGGGCTATCTAGGCAGAGCTGCAAGGGCACTAGTAGACCCCTCAACCCTAGCTAGGAACTCGGCGGATATACTAGCCAAACTAAGAGAAAAACACCCGGAAGGGCAGCCCTACCCTTTGCCTCCTCCGCGAGCCCTAGACCAGGCCCTAGGCCACTCCCGGAAGACATCTTACAAGCCCTGGCCTCATTTGCCCCGGATACAGCCCCTGGCCTATCCGGCTGGTCAGTCCCCTTACTAAGGGAAGCCTGTAAGCATAAACAGGTGGTAGACTTTCTTACCCACCTCTGCAAGCAGGTACAGAACGGCCTAGCACCAGGGAACCAGCTACTTACCGCATCGAGGCTTGTAGCCCTAGATAAGGAAGATAGCGGGGTCCGGCCAATTGCAGTAGGAGAGCTCATCTATAGGCTGGTAGCTAAGGTCCTCCTCCAAAACAGTTCTCTAAGGACCAACTAGCCCCCTTCCAGCTAGGGGTACAGAGCCCCGGCGGGGTAGAGCCAATCATACACCTACTAGGACACGCGGTAGATGGAAACCTTAGAGGATACACCCACGTCTGCTCTATGGACTTTAAAAACGCCTTCAACTCAGTCTCCCGAGCAGCGGTAGCCCACGGGATCCTAAGCTATGCCCCAGAGTTCTACAAGGCAGCTAGATGGGCCTACAACGAGCCAGCAGCCCTAGTGATGTATGACGGCACGGTAATTACCTCCTCGGAAGGGGTTAGACAAGGAGACCCCCTCGGCCCCTCTTCTTCTCCCTAGCCATTCGGACCACCCTCCAACAGCTACAACAACAGCTACAGAGGTCAACCGGCTATAACAGACCCCCTCCTATCGTCCTAGCATACCTAGACGACGTCTACATCATCTCAGGGCAACAGATCACCCTACAACAACTAGAAGGCTACCTAGAAGACGCCCCTATCGCCCTAAACATAGATAAGACAAAGACACACCCCCTATCGGCAATACAGACCACGGGAATGAAGATACTTGGCTCCTTTATAGGGCCAGAGCCACGGAAGGCCGAATTCCTGGCTACAAGGATAGAAGAACTCCAGACGGTGCTAGATAGGCTAAAAGACCTACCAAAACAACACGCACTCCTCCTACTTAGGGCTAGCACCTCTACACTACTCCGACACCTTCCTAGGACCATAGGATCACAAGGACTCCTGGCAAGATTCCAAGACATTGACACAAGACTCCTAGAAACCATAAAACACCTTCAAGGCTCAGAGGATAGAAGACCACTAGACCAGGACCTAGTAGCCCTCCCTACTAGGCTAGGAGGCCTAGGAATACCTCTCTACGCGGAAGTGGCCGAGCTAGCCTTCCAAAACTCACAGGCTATAGCAGACATCACCCTACAGAGGATCCTACCGCCAAAACTCTTCTGGCGCCTACCCCGAGCACCCTCGCCAGCCCCTAGCAACACTAGTATGGAAGGCCACCCCAGACTAGCTATAGGCCTACACAAGGCCAAGAAGGCAACCTACAAGAGGACGGCCTAGAAGGGGACATAGACAAGGCCACAGAAGAGGACACACAAGGTCTAGACGAACAAACCACTCTAGGAAGCCAGGAGCAAGAACAGGTACAAGAACAGGAACAGGATCACTCCCAGGACCGCGGTAGAAGCAGGAATAGAGCAAACCAACAACCACAACCAAGCCTATCCTACCTCCCAGCCCAGGACACCCAACAACAGCCTAGCTTTCCCCTAGAACACCAACAACTAGACCCCACTAGTACTGGCCCTGCTAGAACCATCTACCGAGCTGCAATAGACAAGCTCAACAGAGCTCGACTGGCTAGAGTACAGCAGAAGCTCTCTTTACAGCAAGAGAACGTACGGATCGAGAACTCAGCCTTCCTAGGCCGGAGATGGCTATCCGCAATGCCTACCTCACAGCCCCTTCTACTCTCGGACATGGACGTAGCCGCAGCACTTTCTATTCGGCTTCTTACATCCCCTGAAGAAGGCCAGGACATCTGTAGACACTGTGATAGGGCCTATACCTTCGCCCACGAAGACGCCTGCCGTGCTAGGACTAGACAGACAATTGTCAAACATAATAAGGTGTGCCAGGCGTTGACTACGGCCCTACAGACCGACCCACAAAACAAAGTCACCCTAGAGCCACAAGGAGACTACCGAGGAATCCGGACAGACATTAGAATCGACAACCCTAAGGGAACCACCTACCTAGATGTGTCCATCATTTCCCTAGGTAAGGAAACCGCTAGGAAGGACCCTAATAGCACCCTATCGGCCGCGGAAAGGGCTAAGAAGCTCAAATACCAAACCCTAGGCCGAGCTTTTAAGCCGTTTATCCTTAGCCAAGGAGGCCTTCTAGGAAAGGAGACCTCACAAACCTACAAAGAATTCCAAAGTCCCTTGGTCCTAGCACCTCGGAGTGGCTAGATAAGTATATCTCTACCACTCTAGTAAGACTCCGGGCTAGGAACTGGCTAGGATATGGTATAGACTAGATAGATTTCTTTTTCTTTTCCTTTTTCTTTTGTTTCCCTCTTCCTTTTTATCGTACCCTTTTTCTTTGTTTTTATATAGAAAAGTAGTTAGACGAGCAAGAATAGCTTATATAGAAGCGTATCGAAATGCTGCTAACCCTAACCCTAACCCTAACAATCCCCTACCCTACACCCCTCACCTTCGGGTTTTTTCCACTTCCCTTTCCCTATGTTTCATATATATTACTTTTTTTCTTTTCCCTCCCTCCCTCCTCCCTCCTCCCTCCTCCCTCCTCCCTCCTCCCTCCTCCTCCTCCCTCTTCCTATCCATCTATCCATCCATCCATTCATTCATTCACTTCTCTCTCTACCTTGCTATCCTCGTTGCTTCGCAATACCTACTGTTGCTTCGCAATAGTTACTACTCGCTACTCACTACTCACCATGGCAAAAGATAAACCAGGTACCTGCCGCATCTGCTTCCGCCACTACGCCTACCTATGGGACCACGTCAAGAAAAACCACCTACACCTCCATGTCCCCCTCTCTACCCTCGCCCATATGGGCTTCACCGCCTGCCCTACCTGCTACCAGCCCTGCCAAACCTCACATGGCATCAAATCCCACCAGTCCAAATCCGGCTGCTTAAAAAGACCCTTCCTACTCGCTCTACCCGCCGGACGCCTACCACCTCTTCGACCCCTACCGCTATAAATACCTCTATAGCCCCATCTACCGCTACCGCCCTTATAAACACCAACAAACGCCGCCGCGCCTCCCGATCACCATCGCTAGCAAGAAACAGAGCAAGGCCAAGAGCGAGGAATACACATACCTACCATAACACACCACCTCGTCTAGATAGCCCACCCGCCAGGCTACTAGACCTTCTATCTGGCAGCCAGCCGAGTACCCCTCTTGGTAGCCTATAACGGGAAATCCTCGGCAACCAATCCGACAGCCGACCTACATACCAACCAGCCCCTTTACCTACCCTCCTACTAGACCGCTCTCCTACCCCTCGCCAAACGGCACCTCCTATGGCTCTCCTAACGAGTCCACCATCGGCCTCCTCGAGGACCTAGCCTCAAACCTACCTAGCGGCCATAGCTCACCGGCCCAAAGCGAGATCCACGTCCGAGACGGCCCCCGAAACACTAGTAGTGCCTACTCTCCTACACCCTCCTCTCCTACACCCTCCTCTCCTACACCCTCCTCTCCTACACCCTCCTCTCCTACACCCTCCTCCCCTAGTACACCGGCACCTCCCTCTTACTCACTAGGGACCCAGGGGCCTACTAGCCCTATCTACGGAGACGAACATACACCACCGCCACCAGATGTTGCAGACATACCTATAGGCCTAGGCCAAGACCGGTATAACACCTACCAGCCCCGAAACAAGTATCTACAACAGCTATTTGGATACAACCACGTACAGGCAAAGGACCACACCTTCCGTGGCAGCCAAGCCGCTAGCTTTGTGGCCGCCGCGGCCAGGTGTGCCTCTAGATACACACGCCAACCTACCGAGAAACACCTGCTAGACTTCCTACTACTACCGAAGGCTGGCCTTACCCTAGGCATCCAATCGGAGGAGTTTAGCACCCAATACGTCCTATAGCACTACCCGGACCTAATGCTACCCCCGCCAAGCCGCGTAGAAACCGATAGGGCCCAGGAATTTCTAGGCCAGCCAGACAACCGCCGGGATACCCCCGCTCTAGAGCCCAAAGACTGGTAGAAAAGGGCTATCTAGGCAGAGCTGCAAGGGCACTAGTAGACCCCTCAACCCTAGCTAGGAACTCGGCGGATATACTAGCCAAACTAAGAGAAAAACACCCGGAAGGGCAGCCCTACCCCTTTGCCTCCTCCGCGAGCCCTAGACCAGGCCCTAGGCCACTCCCGGAAGACATCTTACAAGCCCTGGCCTCATTTGCCCCGGATACAGCCCCTGGCCTATCCGGCTGGTCAGTCCCCTTACTAAGGGAAGCCTGTAAGCATAAACAGGTGGTAGACTTTCTTACCCACCTCTGCAAGCAGGTACAGAACGGCCTAGCACCAGGGAACCAGCTACTTACCGCATCGAGGCTTGTAGCCCTAGATAAGGAAGATAGCGGGGTCCGGCCAATTGCAGTAGGAGAGCTCATCTATAGGCTGGTAGCTAAGGTCCTCCTCCAAAACAGTTCTCTAAGGACCAACTAGCCCCCTTCCAGCTAGGGGTACAGAGCCCCGGCGGGGTAGAGCCAATCATACACCTACTAGGACACGCGGTAGATGGAAACCTTAGAGGATACACCCACGTCTGCTCTATGGACTTTAAAAACGCCTTTAACTCAGTCTCCCGAGCAGCGGTAGCCCACGGGATCCTAAGCTATGCCCCAGAGTTCTACAAGGCAGCTAGATGGGCCTACAACGAGCCAGCAGCCCTAGTGATGTATGACGGCACGGTAATTACCTCCTCGGAAGGGGTTAGACAAGGAGACCCCTCGGCCCCCTCTTCTTCTCCCTAGCCATTCGGACCACCCTCCAACAGCTACAACAACAGCTACAGAGGTCAACCGGCTATAACAGACCCCCTCCTATCGTCCTAGCATACCTAGACGACGTCTACATCATCTCAGGGCAACAGATCACCCTACAACAACTAGAAGGCTACCTAGAAGACGCCCCTATCGCCCTAAACATAGATAAGACAAAGACACACCCCTATCGGCAATACAGACCACGGGAATGAAGATACTTGGCTCCTTTATAGGGCCAGAGCCACGGAAGGCCGAATTCCTAGCTACAAGGACAGAAGAACTCCAGACGGTGCTAGATAGGCTAAAAGACCTACCAAAACAACACGCACTCCTCCTACTTAGGGCTAGCACCTCTACACTACTCCGACACCTTCCTAGGACCATAGGATCACAAGGACTCCTGGCAAGATTCCAAGACATTGACACAAGACTCCTAGAAACCATAAAACACCTTCAAGGCTCAGAGGATAGAAGACCACTAGACCAGGACCTAGTAGCCCTCCCTACTAGGCTAGGAGGCCTAGGAATACCTCTCTACGCGGAAGTGGCCGAGCTAGCCTTCCAAAACTCACAGGCTATAGCAGACATCACCCTACAGAGGATCCTACCGCCAAAACTCTTCTGGCGCCTACCCCGAGCACCCTCGCCAGCCCCTAGCAACACTAGTATGGAAGGCCACCCCCAGACTAGCTATAGGCCTACACAAGGCCAAGAAGGCAACCTATAAGAGGACGGCCTAGAAGGGGACATAGACAAGGCCACAGAAGAGGACACACAAGGTCTAGACGAACAAACCACTCTAGGAAGCCAGGAGCAAGAACAGGTACAAGAACAGGAACAGGATCACTCCCAGGACCGCGGTAGAAGCAGGAATAGAGCAAACCAACAACCACAACCAAGCCTATCCTACCTCCTAGCCCAGGACACCCAACAACAGCCTAGCTTTCCCCTAGAACACCAACAACTAGACCCCACTAGTACTGGCCCTGCTAGAACCATCTACCGAGCTGCAATAGACAAGCTTAACAGAGCTCGGACTAGCTAGAGTACAGCAGAAGCTCTCTTTACAGCAAGAGAACGTACGGATCGAGAACTCAGCCTTCCTAGGCCGGAGATGGCTATCCGCAATGCCTACCTTACAGCCCCTTCTACTCTCGGACATGGACGTAGCCGCAGCACTTTCTATTCGGCTTCTTACATCCCCTGAAGAAGGCCAGGACATCTGTAGACACTGTGATAGGGCCTATACCTTCGCCCACGAAGACGCCTGCCGTGCTAGGACTAGACAGACAATTGTCAAACATAATAAGGTGTGCCAGGCGTTAACTACGGCCCTACAGACCGACCCACAAAACAAAGTCACCCTAGAGCCACAAGGAGACTACCGAGGAATCCGGACAGACATTAGAATCGACAACCCTAAGGGAACCACCTACCTAGATGTGTCCATCATTTCCCTAGGTAAGGAAACCGCTAGGAAGGACCCTAATAGCACCCTATCGGCCGCGGAAAGGGCTAAGAAGCTCAAATACCAAACCCTAGGCCGAGCTTTTAAGCCGTTTATCCTTAGCCAAGGAGGCCTTCTAGGAAAGGAGACCTCACAAACCTACAAAGAATTCCAAAAGTCCCTTAGTCCTAGCACCTCGGAGTGGCTAGATAAGTATATCTCTACCACTCTAGTAAGACTCCGGGCTAGGAACTGGCTAGGATATGGTATAGACTAGATAGATTTCTTTTTCTTTTCCTTTTTTCTTTTGTTTCCTCTTCCTTTTTATCGTACCCTTTTTCTTTGTTTTTATATAGAAAAGTAGTTAGACGAGCAAGAATAGCTTATATAGAAGCGTATCGAAATGCTGCTAACCCTACCCTAAACCGTATGTTTACGCCTACTGCACGGATGAGACACCTACACTAGCATTCTTAACTATAAACTATCACCCTACTAGAATTCATAGAGTCTCTAAGGATCTAGACTCTAGTTCATCTAGCTACCCCACTGTTCGGTTATGGCGGTGTTATCGTTGCCCGAGTTGAGCTTTTCTAGCTATTAGTTAAAGTTGTTAAGGTGCTTATTCTCTTCTTTAGCGGGGATGAACTGTAACAAGCTCTTTTCGACCGACAGTCCCAGCTTTTTAAAGAGCCCGGCCATTGGGAGGGTGACGTTTAGACTATGGAAGTCTATACCTTCATTGGAACCGATGCCAGTGTTTCTAGTCCATCTTCTGCGCATCTCGTTAGAGATGTAAGCGAACTCATCACCCGTGGGTCTAGTGACATGATGCTCGAGGGCAGCGAAGGGGAGAGTCTACCCGTGTATGTCAGCGAGGAGCTTGGCTCGCAACCAGTATGACATCTACAAGAGAGGTGCTTGTACGCGTAAAGAAAGAAGAAAAAAGGTTTTGGTTGTGCCTAACTTCCGCTTTTGCTTGCGCGCGCCCTCCTCTCATGTGAAAGTGACCCTCTGTCCTACTAACATTTATGATTATCAGAAGTTTCGACGATGCACAGTCGCTATAGAAATCGAGAGTGGTCTACGGAGATACCGAGACTGTAATCGGCAAAACGAATGAACTCTGGAATCTGGTCAAAGCCATTCCCGACAACTTAAATTTACAATCTTCATCATGAGCCCCCTGGCTTGACAACCCACTGGCTTGAGTACAATTATGCAGCAATTGACGACGTCCATCGTATTAGACAACGCAAATTTCAACTTCAGGTCTCTATGTATTTACGAGAGAACAAACGACACTTGCGATCAAGACAAGTATAATCGGGTCTGTAGAAATCACACAACGAAGTTTGCAGAAGGACGATCTGGAATGGGCTTTAGTTCCAATCTTCCTTTGATCCATCATTCTCTTGTCAACCTACGTTCGGTTGACCTTGATAAATTGTAAAGGTTAATCGATTAGCAGAAGATGCTTTGCAACAAAATCTTGTACCTGAGTGGAAGGCAGTCACTCGGTTTGAAGGAGAAAAAGCATGAGACAGGAGAGCGGTATTCGAAGAAAGGACGAAGACTGATAGATAGTGATCAAAACTTGAGGAGTAGAAGACCAATTCTGACAACGAGGCAGACTCCTGTCAGTCTTCCAGCTCTCCCTTTATCTCTATTCGATAGAGTCATTGCACTTCTCTTCCACCCATTTCGCAAATTTGATTGATGGCTCGTCGACCGCTCTCGTGAACAGATCAGCAAGCCAGACAGTAAAGAACAAGGTCGCTGCAAATCCGACACTAAAGCTAACCGCCTTGTTGAGAGCATCATCTCGTCCCAAGACACCATCCAGAATATTCATTAATGGATATCCAATCACATGGGTCACAGCGCCATGGACGATATATAGTGAGAATGAAATCTTACCGAGATACTGGGAAAGTTTGTTGTCAAACAGACGTTGCAGTGGCTTATAGCAGGAAGTGGACCAGACAAGTAATATCGCTCCCCAACCCGGCCAGTAACGTTTGCGGTTTCCGACATGATCGGGGATCATACTGGCAAGAGTGACCCAACCAGGAGTTTTGTCTGCTCTCTTCTGTGGCTGGCAGCCCAGGTACATCCCCAGAATGAAGATGCAAACGAATATTGCCGGGCTGAATCTTCTGATTCCGTGCTTTTTGGTCGAGTCATCAGTCGGCAAGATCGGCGTCGAAGTCGAAGAGCGGTGGAATCCGAGATCAGCACAGAGAAACCCGCCGTAGAAAAGTATCATCTCCCAACGACCCATCTGATGTACCCAGATAATGAGGAAGACTAGGACGACCATGCGAACCTTGCTCCTCAGGTGCGCCAGACCAGCTTGGCTGAGGTACAACACCAAGGAAGAACGAAANTCTACGAGGCGGATGTATCAGTCAAACTTTATCAACGTTGCTATCGGCACTATGGAGATTTAAGGATAGACTTACTCAACGGGAATGGTCCAGAGATGACCATCGATAGTGACCTCAGTGCTCTTCGCCGAGAACGACCAGGGATTGATCAGTCTTGTAGAGGTCTCCCTTGCCCAGAACGCCAACTGTGCAGCCAGTGAGTCGAATCTTGGGATATCAATATCATGCCTGGTATTGTAATGTCCTCTTGCTTTGGCGAAGTCGGCACCCCAATCATACAGCCCTGACCAGATCATCAAAGAGATGAGGAACGTCGACACGATGCAAGGCAAGAACAGACGAATGGCACGACGAAAGATCGATGAGGCCAGCGATTGTGACAGGCTCTGCCATTCCTTGCTCCTCATGAGCTTGACTGGTTTGTAGGATAACGCATAGCCCGATACCACAAAGAAGATGGATACCATGGTGGGCCCGGCGTAGATGATACGGATGAATGGAAGCTTGAAGAGCTCGCGATGTTCGCCGTGTTCGCCAGATGCATAGCCGTGCTTTGCGTCGTAACAGCAGACCACGAGATGGAACACGATGACCAAAAATGCTGCGACTCCTCTCATGCCGTCAAGGAAGCCTGTCGGATGTAGTGCTCTCTGCGGCTGTGTTGATGGTCGAAATTTGTTCTGGACAAAGGAAGGAAGCATGGCGAAAGAGATTTTCCTGCCGTATCTTGGATAGTTTGACACTTGCAGGATCTTTTGCGTGTGAGATGGAGGGTAGGCGAGGTAGACTTCTACCAAAGATGGATGATTTTCTGGTGTAGACATGCTGGTCTAGCTCTTTCTCGTAGGCCGAGAGAAGATGTGAGTTCTCTGGGTCTTCACCAGAGATCGCAGAGTGAGGGGAGTGCATGCTTGCTCGACTGGACAGGATAGAACAGAAGAGAATCAAGTCTATCAAGATCGCAAATGTTCATATAAGTGAAGATTAGAAAGGATCGGGATATGGACAGACTGTGTCGAACCACACACCATAATTGCAACACATGTATCATATTCTCGACAACTCAAACGCTTATAATGGGAGAGGAGATGCTCGGTGCACAGCATTCTCCTTTCCATCAACTCACCCTACTTGACGAAGATAGGGCTGACTTGTCGCTGTGGATTCGATGACAGATCATCCTTCGACCAACTGCATGATCATGTGGCGGCATTACATTATGAGACACGCTCACACGTCCATAAAAGTGATAATAAAGCCTTTTAACTGCACTGTCTCAGGAAAAGCAAAGAAATCAGGCTAGGAAGCCGCACCTTCTAATACACCACGAATCCTTCGAGTGCAGAACAAATCGATCCTTAAGCGTGTAGGCACGTATAACGGCGGAGGATGCTCCTCAAAAAACGGGCGCGGCTCAAAACGAGGACAGCGCCGTTGCACAATGCGATAACAATGAAACGGCGTACCCTAATCGATTGACCTCTTGCCCTGCGCCCGGTGTATCTTATATATATTGTATCTTGGCGAGCAGGGAACCTATACATGTCTACAAACGTCCCTATAAGGACTCTGATTGGTAGCAAGAAGTCATGAGACAAATGCTAATGCTCTTGATCTAGAGAACATCTGTTCACATATCAATACCAAGAGGTCGATGGCGTGCTTCATCGGAGCCAATATTAACTTATCCGAACTCACTCATGTAGTTAAACTGAATGAGATCTGTTTTGACTCAAACTGATGCGACGACACCATTTGAAAGGACAGTAAGCTGAAAACAGATCGAAACATCACAACAACGGAGGAGACTCCACAACTTGGGCTTGCATCCTGTGCAAGATCGGGCAACGGCGAGTTCATCTGTTAGACCTTAATGTACCTGTGCCAAGCAATCCCTCCGGACATCGGTTTCGAATAGTGAGACTGTCAAATACTTTATCCTGATCAGTCTGTTCGATGTAACTTGTTTTGAATGTGATTTTCACTAATGTCAGACTTGCGGACAGAAGTTGTTACTGGAATGTCCTCAACTCTAGCATGTTCCATTCCAGTTTTCCCTAAACAATCGTGAATTGACTCTGCACCAGTCAATAATCATTCACTTATTGAAACTATGTTGTTTGTCTGCGTTATGTTCGGTTTTACGTCGGCCGTAAGATAAATACTTCTCTGTCCAGCCTCTGGAATGATTGGTTTAGTCAAGAGTATCAAGACAATGCAGACGGGTGCTCTTTTTGGTCTTTTGTGCGTGAGAAACCGACAGACCTTCAGTACAGGGAACAATGGTCAAGACATGGTAAACGGTAGATCCTGAATACTCGATAGATACATTAGAACTATTGTGCTACAGAAGCGACAAAGAGAGCGTGTTACATGAAGATGAGTGAACACTAATCAAAAAACAAGCAAAACATTCAACGCTTGATCACAGATCAGAGCGCCTCAAACCAGATTCGGCATCTTAGAGCTCAATAACAACCTTGCGAGGAGCATGCTTGGCAGCAGGCTCAGCATTGGAGCGGCGAAGCACACCACCACGACGAACGACAGCACCAGCCTTGTTACGGTTTGCCTCACGAAGAGTCAAACCAACAGGCTTAGGTGCAGCGGCGCGAACAACTAGTTCCTCCTCAGCGGGAACGTCGGGGTCAGATGACGGGTCAGCGGTCTGGCTCGTGGTAGCAGTGCCAGAAGTTGATGTGCCAGAGGTTGAGGTTCCGGAGGTGGATGTGCCGGATGTTGACGTGCCTCCATTCTCAGTGGTCGAGGTACCAGAGGTAGAGGTGCCCGAAGTCGAAGTACCAGAGGTGGATGTAGCAGAAGTAGTAGTGATCATGGAAGATGAGGTTGCGGAAATGGAAGATGAGCTACTGATTGAGCTTGCAGATGAACTGCTTAAGCTGGAGGTCCCGGTTGGAGTAACGCGACTGATAACAGTGGCAAGNATGATAGTGACGTCGCGACGTCTGGTTGATGCAAAGATGGCACTGAAGTAGAGACAAGTCGAAGATTCAGTGTTGAGAGAAGTACCGGCACAAGCAACGTTGTCAGCACATGTTTCAAGGCAGACCTGAAGGTTGACGGATGTCTGCTGACGCTTATTTTTTCTGGCAGGTAGAGCGAGAGGGGTACCATCATAGTTAATCTGCTCTTCAACAAGGAAAGTCACACCGTCCACTGTAGTGCCAAACGTACCAGCAGCGGGAACTCCGGCGCCAGAAGTTGCAGTCGCGGTGGTAGTCTCAGTGAGAGTGACTCCAGAGATCACGGTTGCAGTGCTTGTGACAGTCGCTCCCGCAATCACTGTCGGGATCGGGACAAATTGAGTGATAGTGTTAGTAATGGTAGGTCCAGTCACGGTCACAACCGTAGCTTGAGTACAAGGACATTGGGAGATGTAAGTAGGCGAAGGGACGACGGTGATGGTGCCGCTGATCGTCAAAGTCTCGCCGCCGCCTCCGATGAAGCCGGTTGGGTAGACAATATAGGTGTTGATGACCGTAGTATCAGGACGTCCAACAGCTCCGCCTGCATTGCCGCCAGCGTTTCCACCAGCACTTCCGGCGGCGTTTCCGCCAGCATTGCCAGAGGATGCACCTGGAGCAAAGGCAGCAGGCAGAGTGATGACGGGCCCGGGTGCAACCACAGTAGTGCGAGTGATGCAAGGACAGTTGGTAAGAACCGTAGGACCAGCAATCACGGTTGGCACACCACTGATCGTGACGGTTTCGCCGCCATTGACAGTCATTGAAGATGGGTAGACAATCTCAGTAATTTTGGTGACAGCCGGAAGAGTGGTAACATAGCTCGCAGGATTGGTAGGAGCAGGTGAAGGTACCGTGTTGCCGGCAGTGTCAAGATAGACAGTCTTGGGGGCAGAACAGGTCTGGGTGACAATCTTGGTGATCGTGGTTGGAGGGCTCGTGTAACAAGTCTTAGTACGGGGAGCTGCAGCGACCACAGCGGTTAAGCTGAGGAGGCTTGTGAGATGGATCCAAGGATTCATGTTAAAGTGATGTAAACGAAGGTATGAGGCAGTGGGGACTATGGAACGATAGACTCAAAAGTGATGATGAGCTGATGTGTTGATGTTTGCGATGTTGAAGACCTAGATATATGGTCCGCAGCCCTGGAATCAGTAGATGACGCAGCTCCTTGAGTATATGGTAGGAGCGGGAATCTGTGAGCTTTTTTTGTTCATCGTAGCCTACAGATACATTCGGTGACGGTTCTTGGATGGAGAGTATGTGTCTCAGGATTGTGTGTTCAGACTCATTGAATGCTAAAGAGTATAAGCGTCTTGTTACAAGGAAATCAGCTCATCGCGGCACGCAGACCAGGATTATATCGAACGGGGATAGACAGAAGGATGGTATGTTTCTGGTTAATGGTCCAACGTCCGAGAGTTATCGCTCAAGCCAGGTAGAGGCAGTCGTCTCTAGGGAGGGTCATACAGATACTCCCGTGTTCGATAGCTCGTTCCAGCATCCAAGTGATGATACCAAGATGGCAATACTGGCAGCGCATCGGATGAGGTAAGCTGAGAGTGAGTCAATGTCAGTTAGTCCCAGCACAAAGTCATCGTCGAAATGATCTACAGACGGTCGTAAGCCTGATGGAGCAAGCGAATCGATCGAGTAATATTTGTCAAGGTAATGGATTCATGTGAAGTAGTCACGATTGGCATATGCTGCTTCACCGTTGCATAGTCCTCTGGGCACCTCAAGTTGTCCGCGGTAGACAACATTTTTACCATACATGTCGAGTGCTAAGCTCTAGTTGGACTCAAACAACTGGAAATAGTAGCTGAACTAGTGACGACCCTCAAAAAGCACGCGATTAATGCCCGGACTGAGAAACACTGCAGTCGCACCGGTCAGATCCAATAGCTGGTTCCTGAGCACGCGAGCTAGCATCACGGGATGACTTGCCAATCGCGATCTCAACCAGGGAATCTGCAAGATGAACCGAGCAAGTTGTATGACTTGCTTACGATCGGATCGCAATTTATCAGCAGAAGTATGGCAAAACCAAGATATGGACCGCTCTTGGAGGACGCCACGATAGATTTTGCTTCTGTCAATCGGTCAACGAACCGGACCTGAGCCCCAACCCCGGGGTAGCATACCACGTTAGGTTGAGCTACGTGGCTATTCTTTGGTAGGAGCTACTGTCCTACTCATCTGTCGTCTGAGGGGTCGTGAGCGGAAAGCACGAGGTGGTTCCAAGGGCAACTGCCAAGAAAAGTCACCACTACCGCCAACGGTCCCGTTATTCAGCTCTCTCCGCACACCTCTCTCCACACCTCCCTTCACATCATCGTTTGTAGATCGACGTTGGTCTCAGGCCTTTCATGACTCAGAACACCAAGGTGGTTTTGGTGTCGCATGTTAAACTTCCACATCTGGCCGACCGAAGAAAGCCGAACAGCCAAGTACTCTCGAGCCCCATCATCGAGTCGTCTCAATTCAACGACTGTAACGGTTTGCTGATGTGAAGGAAGAAGCGGGGAGGAAAGTTTTGGCAGAATGAGGGTCCTACGTAAACCATTACGAAGATAATTGCCTCACAGATCTGATCCTTTGAACCTCCACTTCGACAAGGATAGTGTCCTGTTCTACCTCGATAACATCATCATATCGTTCTTTTTCTACACATCAACTATCTCGGATAATCAAGTCAAGACTGTAACATGTCCTATCTACAGCAAAAAGATTCGACATGGCAGACGAGACGTCCGTCCTCGTCATTTACGCGGTACACCAGATCACGTCGACGACAGATCTTCGTTTTCTTTACACTCCTTTGCATGCTAGTCTACTGGACTGTCCGTCTCGGTCTTGATACGTCCAGAGATCTCTTTACTCCCTCCTCGCCAGCAACGCCAAACTTCTTTGCTGGGGATTAGAAGATCGACTAGTGACGATTCAACCAAACAAGGCATCGTCTGTCTCTGGCGAAAGGGATCATGATGAGGGTTCCACGTCCGTGGAGCCTGCTAAGGTGATTGAGGATGCCAAATCTCGAATAGAAGAACAAGATTCTGTTGCAGAGAAGCAGATTTTTAAGAACCCACCAGCTACCCCCCCAAGTCACCAAGGGTGACTCAATTCACGACATTGGAGATGTCGAAGAGCAACAATCACTTATAGAAGATATGTCAGCGATACAACCTGTTGTCGCCGATGGCGGCAGATTGACCGACATGTCCAAGTCTCAGGTTGTTGATCGACTCGAAAACTTGGAGAGCTCTGCCATCAATCCAGAGTCAACACTAGAGGACTTCTCGCCTCTGTTGATTGACACCGTTACAGAAGAGCTGGAAGTTGACTCTCAGTCATACAAGCCTGCAACACCTAGTTCAGAATACACCTTCCCAGATACATCCAACTTCGAGAGACTCAACAAAGTAGCGGATGAACTTCCTGATTTTGTGCATATTCCGCTACATATGGCTGTTGAGGACGAAATCTTAGAAGATTGGGAGGAAGATTGGTTTGCGCATGCTGCATATAATGCCACCAAGCACGGCAAAGTCAGTGAGCCAAAGATCGATTTTGTGTATACTTGTAAGTTTCTCTGTTCCGAAGCGATTGGTAGAACACAGGCTAACATTCGAANNGGGGTCAATGGTTCCGACACGAGATTCGCACACACGATGCGTCCGTATGAACTGAACTCCAGCTTGAATGATGATGCTGGGGAATGGATTGCTTCGCATGGTGTCAACCGTTATCGCGACTGGGACGAGCTGCGCTACTCTATCAGAAGTGTTGAGAAGCACGCCAGCTCGTTTGGTAACAATATTCAGATTCTCGTCAATGCCGTCGAGGGACCCGACGGTATAATGACCAAACAGCGTCCTACATGGTTGAAAGACGATTCGGCAATTGGAGACAGTTTACAGGTCTTGTCGCAGGAAGATTTCTTTGGTGAAGAAGAAGCAGAATGCCTACCGACATTCAATTCTTTGACCATTGAGAACCAAATCTACAACACACCGTCGGACACAGACCGAGTAAGTGATGAATTACGGAAACCCATGCAAAGTGTGAGAGCTGACGGCTATCCAGNNATCTTTGCGATGTCTGATGACATGTTCCTCGGCAAACCTCACGCAGCATCTGACATTTACTCCCCTCTCTTTGGTACCGTCATGGGATTCAAGCCCAACAGCTACAACACAATCGTTCCACCTTCCGAGAAGGACGCTCTGCGATTTGGTGAGAAGCCATACTTGATCTATACTTCCTGGATGTTGAATCGCCGTTTTGGTTCCCGCAAGAGAAAAGGCCAAGTTCATTTCGGCCATTCCCTTTCTCGGAGCGTATACAAGGAAGCCATGGAAGCCTTTCCTCGACCAGCTCTCAAGAGTGCTTGCCAGAAGTTCAGGGGTGAGACTGGCTTCCAGCTGTATTCTTGGTACAATGCATTCCACTACACCATTGAGCGACATCGTGAAGCTCTACTCTGGAGTTATATCATGATCAGGAGCGACCCCGACACAAACGGATATCTCGATTGGCAAGAACGACAAGCTATCATCAGTGATCTCGAGGAGGGCCTAGCCAACGAGGGTCGCAATTCTTTCCGGAAGAGGATGTATTACTACGTGGCCAAGTCGCTTGAGGATGCAGGCCTAGAGNCCCCCAAAGTCAATGTCGAGACCACTTGGACATCTTTGGACGGACCTGTCACCATCGCGAACATTGACTGTTTCGAGTTCAACGTCAATGAGTGTCTGGCACCTGGCTTCTCATCACCATCCTGGGATGACAGATCCGACAATCCTGTATTTTCAACTGCAGCCATCTTCGACAGAGTGGCTCGACAAGATCCCCAGTGTGGCGATTGTCTGATCAAACTATTGCTTAACCGTGTCGAGCAAGGTCTGTCACCTCTGTTGCCACACGCAGAGAAAGACGCCGAACATAGGGAAACAGTCCTCAAGGCTATGAAGCGATATTCTTACGTCGTAGTGGAGCCAGATGCACTGTTTACGATGGTGACTGACGCTGAACAAGTACAAGTGCGACTGATCGATCGCCTTGTCGACCCAGAAAAACAGGCTGGTCAACTCTGTCTTAACGACGACGTGACTAGCGACAATGAGACAGAACTCTTGGCGCTACGAGAGACAATCTCGAGACTGTTTAATGAGCATTGGGGAACGCCAAGTCGGTTTGAAGCCTAGTGGTAGCAAAGGTATATATCTTGACGCCGTCAACTCTAAGCAGTCTTTCTATCTTTCTCCAACATAGCAGATCAAGTGAACAGTAAGGGCAAGCTATGTCAAAGATGTCAACGACACAGTATGTATGTTTCGAGACAATTATGTTGAGCTTGCGGTCTGCGCTGAGACAGTCGATATCAATCGGTCGAACTCTGAGCTCTCTGCAAACCTGTAATATCGGACTCCTAAGTGCTTTGAGGTCTAAGTTGCGACTGTATCTTGTTCGCCAACTATGCCTTCAAGCTTGTCCATACCAGTCGTGATACTCTACTACGCCATCTTCCCCCAGTACAGCTCTCCATGCCCCTTCTAGTTCTTCGTTCATACGCCATGACCCTGGTACTCGCCAATACAGCCTTCTTCGGTGCCTTTGGTCGCTGTCATGTGTAAAGTGACACAAGCAGTCTGCATGTGTAACGCCTNNGACGAGAGGAAAAAACTCGAACCGTTGGTGCAGTGCACAGTAGGGCATGTCAGAACAAGTGGTAAAGACTCTTAGAGCGTGCATGTGTGCAGCCGTTCGTGCCATATTCAATAGTATGATTTCGAGTTTCTCTGACGGCCAAATCCTGAAGTCATCGGCCCAGTACGTGTCGTCGAGATCATCGCTATCATGAGCAAGTTCAGGGTCGAACTCTCGATCAAAGTCGGTAATCTTGGCTTCCTCCTCTTGGACTTTGTACAGGCGCGCCATTCTGATTCGTCGATGGACTAGATCCTCGTCTTCCTCAGAGTCCGAAGACTCGCCGGCCTCGCTACTAGGATTTGGGTCCCGGTCAAAGAGCCATCCGCCATCTGCAGAAGTTGGGTGAAGATTGATCTCTGAATGACTGAGGCTGGACCATGTAGCTAAACTCGATGGTTGCAAGAATTGTGCTGAAAGAACAATATCGCGGTGGTTGAAAGTTCTCAATTTGGTCATTAGCAACAATCGCTAGATAGCCTGGCTTAGATGGTCTACCGGATCGTGCGGAAGCAGGATGCTGGGTGCGACTGTATTCTCGTCACTCGGACTAGTGTTGAAAAAGTGCAAGTCAATCACCTGGAGCGATGGGCAACTATCTGCCAGTAATTGCAACTGCTTTGCAAAATCTGAATAGGAATTATATCAGTCAAGCTTGACGCGCTTTGTGGTTTAGGAGACTTACCGTAGCGGTTTTTTACGCCGAACTACCAAGTTTATACCCACGTCCCAGTCGTCCAGATCCCATCGNATTTCCTGCAAGCCGACCATCTGAGAAGCAAGTGAAGTCATCAAGGCCGCGGTCCGCACGGTCCTGCTGTCCATAACGAATTGCTTGACGAGCTCGGTCCTAGAAACAGTATCCAGTGAAGCTGTTGGCAAACTAATTTCTCGTGGGACATGTATCTCGAGAGTGATTGGTCTTTCCATAGAAAACCAAGTTCTTAAGGTGATGTACAGTTCTTCAAGACTTTGGAAAGCAGCATCAGGGTTCCGTCGTCTAACAGCCGCTCTTTCGGACGCAGAACTCGAGCGCAGCGCCTCATCAATCCCTGATACGGACTCCATGTAGTATTCAACTCGTTGCAGAGCGGACCTTCGGGGTGAGCGAGCCGCATCGGCGCCATATATAGCTGCAAACGCCTTCAACTCAGAGCTTTTGGTCTCGATCGAGCTAAAGATGCGTTGTTCGACAACGTATTGCCATTGTTTCGAGATCAATGCATACGGTACAAGACTTGATTTTGACTTTCGATAGCCACCGGTTGAACAGTGAGTGACTATCTCAGCGATGAGCTCCGACGGTAGCCTGTCCATTACAAGACGAGAGTTGCGACAAGAAATAACTGTCCTGTGTTTGCGAGTCGGGTGTTGACAGGTGTGTGCCTGTCAAGCCAGGAGACCGACGCTCGAGTATGCTTAGAATTTGATTTCGAGGATTTGCCGTGCCTGAGAATCTTTGATTCAATATCGCATTGACGAGTGATCATTCGCGAGATCCCTGACTATTTATGGCCTAAGAATCGTTGGTATCGAGTGTGGTTGTGTCGAGTTATGAAGGGTTGAGTGTCGAGAGGATGGAGGCGGTGAGACGACGAAGCTTGGCTTGTCCTGACACGTGCTTGTCCGTGCTGCGTGTTTCATCAAAGAGGATCGATGGGTTTCCTCCTATGCAGGACTCGTTGACCGATGTCCTTCTCGTCAAACACCATAGAGCAATATCAACCATAGAAATGCACCAAAGTTTTCAGACTCGGAGATATGGGCAAGGAGGGTCGACGGAGATGATGTTGTTCGATGACACTGCCATTTTTTAACACCATGATGTGTTGTTTCAGATGTCAGCAAGACACAATTCCGCACGCAGGGGCGATGCTAAATCATCAAGACACACGTCCGGCGCAAATGGATCGCGGTTCCTACATACAGTCATACCCAGGATCCGTCAACTCTGCATACTTGCACCAAACCGGATCCTCGTCCAACTTTTCAAAATACTGCTTCTCAAGTCCGACTGCAACCTCCATGCCCAAGTCTTGCTGCTCGCCTCTGGTAATCTGCGGATAGATCAGACTAAGCCCATTCAACAAGCCCCCAGTAGGGAACCTGACTCTCTCGATCTGTCCAATCGCAGGACCAAAATCAAGGTCCAGGATATCGAGTTTATACCATGTAGAAGTCATGCAATCGGTGCCAAGCAGAGATCCAAAAGACGTCCAAGCAAAGTGCCCATATCCAGGGATATTGTTGAGCAGAGTGACAACCGATTTCGTGTACTCGGGCGTGCGTTCATCGACTGCATTTCTGATTGCGCGAGCAAGCGGAGCAAGCGAGGTAGAATTGCATAGTTGGCGAAGATTCATACCGGGTCGGGCATAGTTCATCGGACATCCTGGATAGTGTTTGGACAATGGTGGGTCGGAGCGGAGGCGCAAGTCAACAACGACAATGTGGTGAGACATGACATCTTCGGGGATGGTATCGAGATCGGTTTGTGCACGGATGATGCATCGCCACATTAGTGCTGTTGCGGCATCGTTGGTGGAAATCCACGAGTCGCCAGACTCGGTGCAGTCGTTTTTGAGTTCAGCAAGGGCTTTGGGGGATAGACGGTAGACGCGCTGTCTGTGCGTATCTCTGAAAACAGCTTCAGGCCAAGATAGAGTAAAAGGAGCGACGACAAACTCGGGATGTTGTTCAGGGTTGCCAAGATCTGCTGTTGAAGCACGAGTGGTGATGTGAGCAGACCTCTCGAACTGTTCTGCAGGTAGAGAGCTGCATGCAGATACAGCCTTGTTCTGCACGTGCCGACAATTCTGCGACCATACTCTGAGGATCTCGTTAATGGCTTGAGCATCGTACAGTGTGTGATGGTTGTGCAGAGTAAGAATGAACCCTCCATCAACAATGTTCAGCTGCGGGACCCAAGCGGGCTGTATCTCACCAGGCACAGGGAACACATCACAGGCGCAAAGTACATCAGGATCCAGTCGTGATTGGGGAAACTTCTGCTTCCGCAATTCCTCGTATGAGAAGCCAGTCCCGCGAATATCCTTGACGATCAATGAACCAAATTTGCCATGTTTGAGAGCCGTTCTTCCAGTCGGCGTCTTTCCGTCTTCAACTGGCACGATCTCGCAAGCCAAAGATGGAATGGCTTTGAGTGTCGGCTCCAGGGCTTTGCGAAAGATCTCGGCCACTTCCATCTGATTCACACCTTTGACCGCGGGGAAAAAGAACATCGGGCGCGTGTAACCACGGGGATTGGCTTGCTCCAAGTATGACAGTTCCAGAGCGTGGGCGGGTGGGCTCTTGAGGTCTATGCTGTCGATGATATCGGTGACGGTAGTGCTTACCGATTTCAGGATTCCATCCGACGAAGGAATGACCGCATTGGCCGAAGGTACAATAGTGTCCATGATGAGCGATGTGAATGTATGCCGAGAGCTGAGAAGCCAGCCGAAAGACGGATGGGGAACTACTCTTACATATTCTCGAAATTTCAGAATGCTCAAACCTGACCTGGATTCCAGACCACGAAAGATCGTCGAAGGATCCTCAACAAGATAGCATTTCGCTACTCGTGTCGTGTAGCAATTATCTATAGTGCAAATTCATAAGGAGTGGATACTCTGGTGATCGAGCTTTGACCATCCCCAGGGTCGCGTTGCGGCGAAATAGGCAAGAATCCACAAATTCTTACCGACACAGCGGTCGCTCTGAATCAGGAGCCAACACCCGAGACGAGGGTTGGGAGATTGCTTGTCTGCTAATCTGTTGGTTAGAAAGAGCGAGTAGGGAGAATCTCAGTCGCTCGAGCTCAAGGAAGTTTTGCATGAAAAATGGCTGTAAGAAAAAGTTGTGAATAAGATCTGGGGTATATACAAGAAATGAACCACCTGATACTCAAGGAGTCGCGCTGTTTTCAGGCTTGATCTCTTCCAAAGTATGGGATGGAGCGCGAGATACATCCGTCTCGCTATTGCTGTGATCGTGATCAGTAGCCAAATCATCTTTGGGCTCACTCTCCATCGGCTCATCCTCTTTCTCTTCTTCTGTTGGTGTCGGCTCGTCTTTCTTGTTGGGTGTCGGCGCAAACTTCGACTTCTCTCGAATTGGACCTCCATACTTGTAGAAGATGAATGGAATCGGCGCAAGTAAGCAAGCGACTCCAGCAATGAGCGAGCCACCGCCACCAACACCTAGAGCGTCAAACATGTATTGTGTAAAGAGCGGTGCAGCAGCACCCGCAGCAGAACGAGCGACCGTGTTGGCTGCAAGAGCACTTGCTGCATACATGAGATATGTGTCGGTCAAGTAGTTGAGGTATGCGACGAAGATGAGCAAAATCGAGCTCGAGAGGAAGACACCAGCAATTGTAGGAACGATCCAGTGGATGCTGTTGAAGTTTGCGGTCCAGGCGAACCAGAACATGGTGATTGGGAACATGACACCACCGATCATGGCGACCGGAAGGCGATCTTCGGGTACACCCTTGTGACCAGCGGCCAGTCTCTTCCTGTCGCGCGCAGATACAGCGAAGATGATCATACCACCAATGAAAGCACCGATCGCAGTACCGATAAGTGGTAGCTCTCCGACTCCCGAGTTCCAGCCGCGCTTTTGTTGAAATACGATTGGGTAGATTGTGAACAGCATGTAGAGTAGCGCATACACGACTGCGAGATAAACGGCGACTGCGAACGAAATCGGATCGACGAGAATCTTCCAAGGGCGGGTCAAGGCAACAGCGAACATGCCGGCAAGAGTTCTGTCAGTGATCTCAACAGGGGCCTTGACATCTTCATAACCAGGAATCTTCAAAGCTCTGATCCTTCTCGCCTTGTTCAGGAGGACAATTGACGGCAATGTTTCTGGGATGGTGAACATCAAGAACCAGGTGAATCCGCCAAAGAAGAGCAGAACGTAGAAACTCCATCTCCAATTTTCCTTCAACTCCAAGAAACCAGAAATGACAGGTCCCAAAGCGGGACCAACAAAAGTCATCATGGAAAAGGTAGCCATGGCGTTGCCACGCTCGACGGGACCCCAGATGTCGGCAAGAACGCCAGGCGCATTGGACAGAGATGCACTTGCAAAAGTACCGGTCAAGAAGCGACCGACGAGAAGACCTGCAAAATTGGGTGTGAAGGCGCAAAGAAAGTTGAAAGCCAGGTAGAATGTAAAAGTAATGTAGAAGACCCATCTGCGACCGTAAAATTCAGACAGCGGGGCAAAGAGGAGCGGTCCGGCACAGTAGCCCAGCAAGAAAAGAGTGATGACAAGTCCAGCGGCTTCTGTTGAGACGTGCAGATCCGTCGCGATACCTTCAAGTGTACCTGATGGACTGGATGAGGCAAATGTGGCATTGACGACGAGAATGACAGATGCCACGGTAATATACCATCGGCGAGCCTTGGACCAGTTTTTGGGATTCTCCATGTCGTCGGGGNNGGAAAAGTCCAGTAGGCCATCTTCGTTGAGCCATGGTTCTTCCGAGGCTTCGATGTCTCGTGATCGGTATGGCTTTGCTGTCGGCCGTGAAAGCAAGCGTTCGATCCGCTCCATGTTGGCGTGGACGGATGTGAAGTGGTCGAGAGAATGCTGGGGAGAGAAGAGAAGGAGAGCAAGAGGCAATATCGGGTAGGGCACTCATGCAGCCACAAGGGAGCTGAATAATCTGCTTCAAACCCTCTGCCTCAGTCAAGTGCCGTCTGTTCCTCGAAGGGCGCGGCCGGCAGAAACATTTTCGATAGAACTGAGGGCGAAAGCGATGAAACCCCGCGAAAAGGGAGCAGATCGCATGCGGTAGCACGGAACTCGGCAAGTTGGCGCAAAACATGACGATTTGTTTCGCAGATAACGGCGTTAGGAACGATGCGAGCGGATTTCGCGCCGGTTGATCGGAGTGCTTTCGAAAGCCATGCGTGTTCTCATCCTCAACTGTCTATACCATAGTTTGTAAGCTGGTGAGAGCTGGCCAGCAGACTGCAGTTTGTATGTGTTGCCGGGGATCATACAAAGCGCTCCGAGAATAGCTGCGACCAGACCATTGACAGAGGCCTTGGCATTGTCAATTACAATACAGCGGTCGAAGGAGACGATGGACACTAGTCTGCAGTTCAATCGAGCGAGCATGGGGGCAAAGCGTGTCTAAAGTCTGTATGTCAGGCAACTTTCGAAACTTGCAGTGTGCCGAAGGCTTGTGATGTGTATCGGGATGGTCAAAACAAAGCCAGCTTGCAGGCAAAAATAATGAATTGTGCGATTGGTTATATTGACATCTCAAGCACGTGAATTCCAACATGGAATGTAGATAAATAGGGTTTATATAAGCCGTAGCTATGGTCTGATGCTATATCTAGCTGGATTTGCTTGGAGATGCCTGGTTTGATGACTCTGAGAAGATACAGATTGGTTGCGGTCGGCAAGACCCTGTCGCATGAGTCGACAAACAGCCTTGGCGGAGCGGAGTGAGACGAGCGGAGGGAACGGAGGCAGCGGAGCGGAAAAAACCAAGGTGGCGCGGGAGATCGGCCGGGAGCATTTTAGTGCGAGGGACGAGAGCGTGTTTGTCAAAATTGCGTGGAGCAGTCGAAATAATGCTCTCTCTGCTCGTCCAAGAACCTCAGACGACACCCATCACCCAGTCGACGAGAGCGTTGTGCGAGATGGGAAGACGAATGCAAGAAAAACCGGTCGTCGCATCGTCATGCAGGCGGGATTGAGTTCACTGCCACAATGACGTAGGCTCCTTCCTCAGCATCCGCTCACACAAGGGGAAGCTCCTTCATCCTCACACCAACACGTTCTCATTTCATGCTCCACGCAGCCAACACTCCTCCCAAATCCTATCGTCCCGAAGACCGACCCAGCACAATGGACAAGCTCAAGAAGATCTTCAAGCACGACAAGNCACGACTCGTCGTCTTCGTCATCGGCAGCGGCCACGACGCCCTCGCACACGACGGCCGAGAGAAACAACGCAGCCACGACGACATCGAGCGCGCCTCCACCTCAGACCAGCAGCACCACTCCTGTAGCTGCTGCCACCACCACCGCTGCTTCAAGATCCGGCCCCCTGCCGGCGTCCTGCTCGAGACCAACTACGGCAACATCACCATTGCCCTGTACAGCGACAAGACCCCCAGAGTGAGTCACCCCCACCTATCCTAAACGCTTGCGCATTCTCGTTCAGGAAGACTGACATTGATGCGACACAGANCATGTGAGAACTTTGCAGGCCTCGCCGACGCAGGCAGGTACAACGGCGTCATCTTCCACCGCATCATCCCCGGCTTCATGCTGCAGGGCGGCGACCCCACCGGCACCGGCCGTGGTGGAGAGTCCATCTGGGGCGGCAAGTTCGAGGACGAGTTCGACGGCTCGCTCAAGCACACTGGCGCCGGAGTCCTGTCCATGGCCAACAGCGGCCCTGGCACCAACGGCAGTCAGTTCTTCATCTGCCTTGCCCCGACTCCCCACCTGAACGGCAAGCACACCGTCTTTGGTCAGGTTGTCGACGGCATGGATGTCGTCCAGAAAATTGGAAGTGTCAGAACCGGCGCTGGCGACAGACCCATCGAGGATGTCGTTATCGTCAAGGCCCAGTCCTTCACTGCCTAATGATCCCACGCATACCGTAATTACCTAATGTCAAGCTTCTTTCTGTCTGACTACACAACCCCCACGCCGTGTTCAACATGGAATATCACACAAGCGGCGTCGGACTGCCAGCTGATCACTTCATGTCCAACAATGCCCAGACGTGCGTGATATTGCATGTCACCGGCGCCTGCCTCTTTGAGATTCATTCAAAAGCGATTGGCCTTAGACTTTCGTATCACTATACAATGTTTGTATCCGTTAGATGGTGCGGCTTGCATGGAGTCGATGGTGCAAGAGTACCTTGTAGACCCCCAAGCACGGCGGCCGGGCCCGCAATGATAAGCTTTGAATTACCCGGGCTCATCTCGGCTATCCCAGCTGCTCCTTTCCAATGATCAATACGAGCCTAGGGAAACTCTCCGCCGTGCCCTGCTGAGCTGCCATCTGTCGCGAGCATGGCTTTCTTGGAAATGTGCTTGAGAAGAGATCATCTCTGTCGCGCGCGTGAACGGTGGCAACCCGCATGTGTACGCCGTTTGGCCACCACACCCACAACCCCTGTTTGCCTCAGACAAAAAAGCAGTCAAGCTGTCACTCTGCCGCAAACAGGCGAGCAGTCAAGTGTCCTGAGACCGGCATGTTCACCGCCACTCAGGCCTCATGCATGGCCACATGTTTCATGATTCGAGAAGGTCTGAGCATGGCGCAACTTCCAATCTCTCTATCTTCGACCTCTCTTGCATATGGCGCCGTCTCGGTCATGCTCGCTCGTCTTGTCGCGTCTCCAATTGGCTGTCATCGACATTGCCCCAAACCTCGCTTGCTCGGCTCATGGCCTATCAGACTGGCAACATCCCCCAGATGCCATTCGCAACTTGTCCGACAAAGATACCGAGGCCGAAAACACATGGGGTGTTTACCAGCGTGCACGCGCTGAAACACTCTCAGCTTCCAGATCCGGCCTGGTTTGAATCGATAGATCTACGGCCGGTGGAAGATCCCCACACTTCGATAGAGGCCTGTTCTTATGGACCTGCGTGCCATGCTCACTAGTCCGCGCTTACTTGTCCTTAGCTGGACCAAGCATATAGCTTCGCGCGTCTTAGCCCACCGGCCACACGCGAAACAAGCGACTGCCTTTTAACGACCGACGTCCTGGACTGTCGATCTGTCTATCACACCCTACTTGCCCTGCTCTTGAATACTATACGTTGAAGCTAATATGTAGTTTAAGACGAGAAAGGCAGCTGCGGGTGAATCTCGCAGCTATCATCCGCATATTCTTTCGTCCGTAATTCGAGAACTCTACTCTGTACAACACCATTGGCCGTTCAAGGTATGCAGGTACTCCTTCACACGACCGGTTGAGTCTGGGGAGGCGACCACAGCTCGTTCTTAAGCCGAGCTCGTCAGTTCATTAACCCTTGAGTCAAGGTATATAACGAGCCTTCCCTCCCCGACACAATCTATCATCACCATCACTCACTCACTCATTCTCCTTTCAATCGCTTCCATCTTTCACCATGCAGCAGACTCTCGCTGCCCTTGCTGCCATTGCAGCCGTCGCTGTTGCTTCTCCCGTCGAGCCCAGAGCCAGCGTCGGCAACGTCAAGTTCTCGGTTCCTCAGGTCGCCACTGGTAACACTAAGGTCGCTGCCCCTGCCATTGCCCTCGCAAAGGCCATCTCCAAGACCGGTGGTACTNCCTCCTCTGTTGTCCAGAAGGCCGCCGCTGCTGCTTCGCAAAGTGGCACCGTCACTGCTAACTCGTACAACGGTGATTCTGAGTACCTTTGCCCTGTTTCCGTCGGTGGTACTACCTTGAACCTTGACTTCGACACCGGTTCAGCCGATCTCTGGGTCTTCTCCACTCTTCAAGCCTCATCGCAGAGAACTGGCCACGATGTCTACAACACTGCTGGCAAGACCAAGCTCAGCGGCCAGACTTGGGACATTAGCTACGGCGATGGTTCCGGTGCTTCCGGTGTAGTTTACGCCGATAAGGTCGTCGTTGGTGCCGTCACTGCCACTTCCCAGGCTGTTGAGGCTGCAACCTCCATCTCCGCTCAGTTCCAGCAGGACACCAACAACGATGGTCTTCTCGGACTTGCCTTTTCGTCCATCAACACCGTCAGCCCTAACCAGCAGACCACCTTCTTCGATACTGTCAAGAGCACTCTTGCCCGCAAGCTCTTCACCGTCGACCTGAAGAAGGGCGGCCCCGGATCCTACGACTTTGGCTACATCGACACTTCCAAGTACACCGGAGCCATCACCTACGTCCCCGTCAACACCAGAAACGGCTTCTGGCAGTTCACCACCACCGGCTACTCTGTTGGCAGCGGCTCCACCGTGTCCAGCTCCTACTCTGCCATTGCCGACACCGGCACCACCCTCATGCTCCTCCCCGACAACGTCGTCAACGCCTACTACGCCAAGATCCCCAGCGCTCAGTACTCCGACAGCCAGGGTGGTTACATTTTCTCTTGCTCTGCCACTCTGCCCAGCTTCACCGCCGTTATCGGTGGCAAGAACTTTGTCACTCCCGGCAGCTACATCAACTATGCCAGCGTTGGTGGCGGCCAGTGCTACGGTGGTATCCAGTCCAGTGCTGGTGCCGGTATCTCCATCTTCGGTGACATTTTCCTCAAGGCCCACTTTGTTGTTTTCTCTAGCGAGAGTTCGACCNCTCAGCTTGGTTTCGCTGCTCAGTAGATGCAGCAAAATTGCGATACACGACATAGTTTACGACATGATTTGACGGCTGGAAGCATTTCCGATCCAGCGATTGTTGCGGGTGGAAGAAGTTTTGCTTGTTCAACAAAGCATTTTGGTAGAATTGAGATGACCGGAGGTGAGAAGAGTGATGGAAAAAGCAGTTTTGCATATATGTCTAGCATCTTTATCAAAACCCGCAATTGCGCTTTTTGCATGATTTAGTTTTTTGTGTCCACTTCTGCATGTAGTTGTTCTGTGATTGAATGAGTGCTCTTTAAATTCCGTTTGCAGTGTTTTTTTTGCATACAAAAACACTCTTTCGCATTTTAAAACACAAATCAAACGTTACAACCATAGGTGGCAATAATGGCCCTTCTGACCCTTTGACCGGCGAGATCTCGGCTCTGCCGTCTCTGGACCGGAGATATACGATGCTGTTGTAGATCTGATTCAACGGTAACTTTATCTTACACATGTTCCCGGTCTTCGTGCATCGACTGCCGATCGCTCAGCTTGAAGGGTCGGTTGTCGATCAACAGGGTGATAACAAATGTTGCTCTGGGATCGACGTTTTGCTGCGCTTAAAGTAAATTCGAAGGTGCACGTCTTGAAATTGCCTGTCATCAGTCTACAGAAGTCCAATTCACTGAGAATACTTGGCCACGAACTCAGCGACCGCGCCATCCACTTCCTTGGGATGACTAAACGACAAGAAGTGCTGTCCATCTTGCACAACCTGAAGCCGCGCATCGCGACTACCCACAAACATCTTGATCTCCCTCTCCGCGTTGGCCACCGAATACACCACGTCCGCAGTACCATGCAGCCATAGCACGGCACACTTGACATCGGCCAATCTGCCGTGTAAGCCATCCCTATCGCGAAGATTGATGGTTGCCATCCGCGCTCGCTTCCTTCCTTGGTCGCCAATGTAGTTGTTTGCTATTTCGTTGCGCCAGAAGTCGCGGACAGCCGACGAGCAATCTTTGCCGAATCCGATGTCGATGAGGAAGTCGGAGAAGTCGTTGCCTGGGCGGAAGGTGTCGTCTGATTGCTTGCTCCAAGCATCGATGGTGGGTGTGAGGTCTCGGGGCGCATTCCAACAACCGAGGTCACGGGTCTCTGGGGATTCGGAATCGAGGCTTGTACCGAGAGGGATGATACCAGTGATCTTTTTAGTTTGTCATTGATTTTTCTCTTCTTCAGAACCTCCAGGCATAGAATTTCATTTCTTGTTTTTCTGAGGGAAGTCGAGGAATGGTCTTACCTTATCAGGAGCCAGTAGGGCCATACGAACAGTAATCCAACCACCCTGACTAGTGCCAAGCACAAANACACCTCTGCCCTGGTCAATCTGCCCCTTCTTCTCCAACTCCTGCAGCACTTGGATGTTCATGTAAGCCGTGTCCCAATAGGTCCAATTCTCAAGCTTGCAGCGTGTTTGTCCGTGGCCAAGCAGTTCGATGGCGAGTAAATTCATCTTGTCGGTGAGATCTTTGTTGGCATATTGTGTCTTGTAGAGCTCCGAAGATGTGGTAAAGGAGTTGACGAGTACCAGGGTAGGTTTTTCCAGGTCTAGACCGGGNGTTTGATAGGAGGCTTCGATGCCACCGAGATGCGGCACGGTGATGATTTTGGTGTTGGGCATTGTATAGGGGACTTGCTAGCGTCGTTATAGTATCAATCGCTTTATTTCGAGAATTCTAGCTAACTGAATCACGGAGCACTTGTGTTTGTGACAGGGAAGTGTTGTCGATATAAGCACCAAGAAGCGGGGCTAGAATTATGACGGGCGTTGACGTGTGGTCAGATGTAACCAAGTATCATATGCATTCCTTCATCTGTGCCGCACCCTCAGGAACCTGAAGAAGACTACCACTGATTATGCTATCCGTTTGAACAAAGCTCCTTCAAGGAGTCTGAATCTCGGATGAGAATATCGTGATCGAACTGACTTATCTGCAAACCCTGATTGACAAGGTACAATCACCAAATACGACTGTAGAGCACCCAACCAGCTAAGCCGTATACCTCCCTGCAGCTCCAGCCCCGCTGTTGGCCAATCTCCAACCCATCATGACAATCTCTCTACATGTATGGCCATCTCCTTTTCCTTGACATCCAAGATCATCTGGTTGGTAGCGAATTCTNNGCACACCAAACATGTCAGTACACGTATTCTAACCACTCCAGACATTCCGATTGACTTACGGTCAGCCTCAGTGGTTTTGAACTTTCTGGCCGGAACCTTGTGTTCGAACAACATGTCAATCTCGCCGAAACTGCGGTTTTTGGTCTCTGGCAAGCGGAACCAGCACCAGATGTTGCAGAGCAAATTTGTGCCGGCGTAGAAGAGACCGGCTTTGGCGCCCCAGTTCCATGCNTGTTTTGAGTCAAGTATGTCAGTTGTGTTGTTCAAGTGGAAGTCATCCCGTGTCGTGTAGAAAGACTTACCACTTGCGGAAATCATGCGTGGTGTCACGCTGTTAGAAAAGATACCAGTCAAGTTGTAGACAAATCTTCCAATGGTGATGGTCTTGTAGCGAAGACGACCGGAAGGTGTCTCAGCGACAATAGGGTAGCAAACTGGACCAATGGTAATCATGTTGGCCAGAGTAGACACAATGAGAAGAATACCAACGGCGAGTTCGGCATGCTTGCTGGCACTGAAGCCAAGACCGCCAATCGCCACAAGACAGAAGAACATAAATGTCAGTCCACTCATGTAGATTGTTGCGCGGCCAAGACGAGGGAACAGGAACCAACAGATGATTCCGCCGACAATGTAGCAAGCAGAAAGTCCAATGTTGAGGTTGAGTGCTGCGACGGGGTTAAATCCAGCGGCTTCGAGGAACACGACGCTGTAGCCGAGGATTGCGTTACCGCAGAGGATCTGAGCGGCCCAGACGACACAGTTCTACAAGAATCAGCAAGTACTCACTTGCCATAATAGAAGAACACTTACAATCTCGGTACGACGAAGGTTGGTGCCACGGAAGCAGTCAATGAGTCTAGCGCCCTCAGTCTCAAGTTGCTCTTGCTCGTTGGTGTAGATGATGTAAGCCAAAGAGCACTCGACTTCGTGGTCATGGTCAGATCCTTGATCAATCAGACGCTGCAAACTCTTTCTGGCAAGGTCGTTTTTTCCGCGTCGGACAGCGTTCCATGGCGATTCGGGTGCGAGGTATGCCAGGACAAAGAGAGGTACTGGCCACATCCATTGCAGAGCGAAGGGAAGACGCCAGGCGATGTCTCCATTGAGAGTGATGGCGGCACGAGCAACACCTGACGACAAGAGGATACCAGCTCCCCAGCACATGCAGACATAGGCGGTCACGTAAGGACGAAGGACGGTAGGGACAACCTCCGAAGCGTATGAGGTCGACAAAGTCTGTAGGCAAACCAGTTAGTGCCATTCACAACGAACGTGATGATGCAGACTGACCTGGAACACACCCCAGGGGATACCACAGAGAGCCTCTCCGACGGCGAGGACAGGCAAAGAGGGAGCGAAGAAGGGGATAAAGATAGCACCAACCAACCAAACCATGAAGAACATCATGGTCTTGCGAGAACCAAAGCGATCCTGGAACTCCGTGTTCAGGACAAGACCGATCAACTGGCCAACAACGGCTGAGTTGGACAATCCAGATTGCCAGGAAGCCGAGATAGCCCACTTATCAGGGCCTAATTGCTCACCGAACCTTCGCTGGAACTGTGGTTGACCATAGAACGAGTTGATCTATGCGTCGTTGTCAGCAAGCACAACAACAAAAGAGGAGGGACTGAGCGCTCTTACGATAACCAGGTCGTAACCCTCCATGATCAAACTGGTAGACAAAATCATGCCCCAAAAGACGGCTTTCTTGTGCTTCTTCAGCGCTTGCATGACGGTCAACTTGGAGTCTAAGTCGGCACTTGCTTGTGCCTGGGCGATGAGTGCCCGGAACTCCGAAGTGTCTCCCTGGCGGTGCCGTCGATGCTCGCCGCCTCGTGGACGACATTCTCGTGAGTAGCCATGCTTGAGATGTGCTTGGTGTTGTTTTCGTTGTTGTATCGGTATGAATGATGATCACTTCCCCAGATACTCCAGATCCTGTTGTCTTATAGAACGAAGATCGTATCACCCCCGGAGGATCTCATGTCGTGTGGAAGGGTATTGAAGTTAGAAGAGTTGCGTATTCTCTACGGATGAGGCTGCCCGAAGATTCAAATACTGGTACATCGTTTTGGAAATGGTTCATGCATGCGACTTCCCGCACGATGTGTTCAAAGTATAGTATACTCCCCAGTTCGTATTTGTCGACCCCCTCCGGGACCCTTGCTCCGGAGGACTTGTGTGGCTGTCTGGTACTGATCTCGTGAACGATGTGTCTGATCAAACCAGAACTATCATCCAACGTTACACACTCAACCCACCGGAGGCCCGGAACCTGAAAAGACGCCGCTGGAAGTTGTGCAACTGCCGAACTCCAGCGTTGACTTGTGGTTCAGGTGTTATTCGCCAGTTTCTCTCGTGCTCGAGACTGACGTGGCCTGACCATTCGACGCAGTCGCCTCTTTGGCTCGTTTCCTCTCGCGCTTACAGACAACAACCAGCCTGTCCAACACTTTTGCCCAAGACTCCCAGACACGCCAGCAGCCCAACGTTTTGAGTATCTTTGATCCCTCCCTCACCACACGCTCTGGTCCTTTCTCGCCATACAAGTCACCGACCCCCGTCATGTTAGCCCTCATTCGAGGACCATTCAGAACAAACTCTTGTACAATCTCGTCGTCTGCTGGACGATCGAGAAGGATGATGGTGTCTGACGAGCTCTCGCTGTCCGAAGTATTACAGTCTGTCTCGATAGTCGAATCTGCAGGTGCGGCATGAGGAAATTCATCGTCCAGCAGATCGGGCGGTGGTGCTGTCTTCCAAGAGAACGCACTAAAGGACCAGAGCACTAGGGCTGCATGGGCGACAGCCGTGGGCTCATAGAATGCGTTTGCCGAAAACCTTCGCACATGCCAGAAAACCACGCCTGCATGAATAGCCGCCAATCGTGCCTTATACTGATGCTGTATAGCCCATCGATGAACAGCTTGTCGATCTACCATCACCCCAGCCTCCGATTTTGCGCCTTTGTCGCCAGCAAGATAGCGTGCAAGGTTCACAATTTCTCGGATAGGCGTAAGCAAGACGACTCGAGCAAGATGCAGATGCAAGACGGTGGGATGTTCAAATCCGCTTGCTTCTCCGATTGTGGCGTTGGCTGTCCAATGTAAGACGTCCAAACTATCGCATGTGAGATTCTGCCACTGTCTAAACACAGGAAGTGAGGGAAGCCAGATAGGGGTGTCTGGTATGACTGCAGTCTCTGCTGAATTCTGTGCCTTCGAAACCCAATGCGACAGCTTCTGACTGTGATAGACTGCGACTTCTGACAGACGCCGATGGAGCCCGTAGATTAGCAGTATACGAGCAAACTCACCGGCATCCGCCATAACTTTCTTAGAGATGTACAGTTCGTCAACAGATGAAGCTAAATCCTTCAGATCCTCCCTGTTACGCATGAGTTGGTTCCATTGAGGTGCTGAAGTAGCATTCCATATTTTCTCGTCCGCCGGTAGTGCAAGCGTTGCATCACTAAGCGAGAGTATCGTTTGTGTTTGAAATTGGAACGACCACATACAGTCCATAAGCCATGTGCAGTGCCGCAGACGAAGTGACGATTCCCTCTCAACCCAACGATGCCAATCGTCCTGTGCTCCGGCTGTTGTCACTTGTGAGCTGTTCACACTGAAGAAGAATGTCGCAAGCCTCAGCCTGAGGGAAAAAGCATGATCTCTCAGATTTTCATCACCACAGTATGTGGCACCGACAGCATGCAGCAAAGTGATCTGGTATTGGGTCGCAAGATCCAGCCGAAAACCATCCGAAGACTCAGGAGCGAAGAACAGGATTCTCCGCATAAATTCATGCATCGAGAGTACAAATCGACTCACATTCTGATCCTTGAGATAATGACTGCCTATAGCGGCCATAGCCAGAATGAGAAGAGGATGGTGTCTTCGCAGCCTCAGTGTTGGAACATGGAGAAACGGAAGAATCGAGCTGCAGTTCTCGATATAAAGGCCACACAAATAGTCAAACAGGGTTTTATGAGGAAACTCGACGTTCTCAAATGGCGCGAAGGTTGTTACAGCTGAGGTGCAGAAGTTTGAGTAATGCGATTGGAGATCAGCATAGCCTTGATCGTCAAGCCAGTGGTCATCAGAGGGTGAGAATGTCAAACTTGCAGGTAGCAACATTGAGAATTTCTTCCTCGAATGCTCGTGGACTGCATAGCTTGACATAGCCCTTCGCTTCTTCATCCGCGGGAGTCGAGCTGTTCCTCCATCCGCGTAGAATTGTCCAGGCGTTGCGGGAGTTTCATCCGTACCCAAGGTACTTGTCGTGGCTGCATCCTGAGGCGTTGTCGCAATAGCGTCAGGGCGAGTAGAAGAGCCACCAGTTGCTGTTTCGAGATCCCTAGAGGCAGCGGGAGACACTTGAGTGATACTGTGAGTATCACTAGCAGGTATATAGAAGTTGAACATATGATCAGGGTACTGCCATTCATGATCCAGCGATCCAGTCATGCCAAGCCCATCTTCGAACCCAAGCCAGTTGATCGCAGTATAGTTGATCGGCAATGAAGGATAAAGTCCTGTCGCGCTGTGTGTCTCTTGGTATTGATCTGTGCTGTTCATTATGATATGTGCTGGGCCTTCGAATTGTGATGTCGAAAGGTCTATCTGCGACAGTATATGACCGGCATGCGATATTGGAACCATTCCATATGGTGAAATCTCCTGAGGAGCTTGTTGCGCGGTACAAGTGGCCTGGTCGGAAGGATGTCCAATTAATGCTTCAGATCTGGTTTCTGGATTGATTCTTGTTGTATCTGATGAAAAGTCAAATCTTCTAAAATCATGTAGTGGTCATATAACCAAACACNNTGACAGAAGCATACCTTGATCTATATGAGAACTGTTTCTCCGAGCTTCCATCAGATTGTCTTCATTCGACGAAACTTCAGGATAACTGCATTGTAACGATCGTTGTTGGCATCTTGTGCATGGTGCTACTCCTGAGCACCGAGTCTTTGATGATGCGCAAGCTATGCAAGCTCTACCACCACGTTGGAGGAGGGTTGGTCCCGGTATCTGGTGCGTATGTTCATGTCGAGAAAGAGCATCCCTTTGGACTATCAATGGGCCTGAATATCTATCAAGATGATGTCATGACCTACTTTCTGAAGAAAGCTTTCCTACACACTCGACATTGGTACTCTCGGGATCTGGTNNGTGTGTCAAGATGTGACGTTTCAGATGCTCAGAGCGTCCGAAGCTCCTGTTGCAGAATTGGCATGACAGCGACTTGTCTCTAGTCGCACTTTCAGCCATCGACCAGGGAGTCGATGTGAGTTCCGAAGGGTGATTGAAAGGACTTCGGCGTGTGAGGGGTATACAGTAGATGGAGTGCAGGTGACTTTACGAAGCAGAGCCGTGAAGGGTGAGAAAAGTACACGTGCGTGCAGCTCGATACGTGGATTTGGAAGCAGGAGCTGTCGGGCGTTGTTACCCCTCCGGAGGCTATGTAGACTTTGGAGCTTACCGAGGTAATACAACGCCGAAGTGGTGCAACTCCAGCAGTTTTGCGCAAGAAACGCACCAGGTCTAGATGACTCTTTCAGATCTCAAACAACGAGATAAAAGCGATTTGTTCTGGTATAAAAGAGCAGCGAAAGTCGTCGCCCGCGCGTCGTGGGGGTCCACTTCTCGTCTAAGGACAGAAATTTTATTCGTCTCAAAGGATGCACGATGGTGCGATGCTATCTTGCCAGCAGTCTTGAATCAGATAGCTCTTTTGAGGCCCACACGCATATGGCCCTTTCCACCTCGATTGGCGCGGAAATAATATGGAACAAATTCGAGGCTTGGCAGTGGTTCACCCTTGCTAAGACTGTTATCTCGTAGGAATGGACTCTCTTCGAATGCGTCGGTGTTCAAGACGAAAGCGCCTTGCGTGACTGTGAGAGCAACAAACGAGTCTCCTGAACCCTTATCTTGCACATGCTTCTCAGTGATGGTACAAGCAGGGTCGAGTAGGACGCTNCTGTGATTTGGTTAGTGGTGCTGTCGAAAACCCTTTTCCGAACAACGTACTGCAAAGTGGTCTTGAACCCAAGTATTGTCAAAGTCTTCAACACAGTATACCACAGGACCTCTGGCGATCGTGACAGTACTCTGGTTGGTAAGAGGATGCGAAGCCAATATGCGAGCCTTGAGAGGTATCGAGAGGATGAATTCTGGGTGTTGTTCCAGCCAGTCAGAAGGAATCGAGAGATATTTTTTCTTTAGCACTGCATTTGGACATTCTGGCATGATCTGTTCCGGTCAGCGTGTTCTTACGACNAGTCGCATCGACAATCCTTGACTTACCTTCCATGATTCGGCCCAGCCTGGAATTCTTAGTCGAAGGTCAACTCTGACCGTGCTGGAGTGCAGCTTGAGCTTCACATCTCCGGAAGATGGCCAGTTGGTCTCTTGCTCGAACGCTACCATGTTTTCGCCGCACTCGAAAGCAAGCTTCGCACCTATATAGAGATGTACATCGATTTGCGCCCTCTTCTCTGTGGCCATAGATTGGTAAGACCAGATATATCCGCCGATAGTTCCTAGCAGGCGCATCATGTTCGGCTGTTGAACCGACTATCGTCAGCTTCGCCGGCAAAGACTTGTTTCGCAACTCACTGGACAACATGCAACTGTAAACCAGTCGTCGCGTTGGGAAATATCCTTGTCACTTGACGCCAGCTGATTGACGTAGGTGAACTTCTTGCCGTCTGTTGACATCGCGGTCAGGACGGCGTTGTACAAACATAATTCCATGATATCGGTAAATCTTCCGTCCAGATCNAATCTATGGTCAAGGTTAAGAGCCGCCTGTTTCGCGCAAGTTTGACACAAACGCACCTGAAGCAATCTTTGAGCTAGCATCATGACACCAATCGCGGCGCAGGTTTCCGAGTAGCAACCACCTTCTGAGCTTCCTTGCGGTAGGAAGTAATCCAGACCAAAGCCCTCCCACTGCTTGATAGCACCGATACCACCAGTCGAGTACATCTTCTGATTGACCATGTTATTCCACAACTTGTACGTCGCAGCCTGCAGATCAGAATGACCTTGCTCAATGCGTACAAGATCCGCAACACTGGTCAGGAGGTACATGGCACGAACTGAGTGGCCCTCTATAGTCTGCTGCTCGGCGATGGGAACGTGTGCTTGATGATACCATAGTGAGCGAGGCTCAGGATAGAAAGCGGGTTTCATGTTTGGGTCCGCCCCACGCTTCTCAGCCTCCGCGTCGAAGTAATGTCTCCCATCACAACCAGTTGCATTGCCTCTTTCTGTGATAAAGTATCCTGCCAATGAGAGATAGCGTTGGACCCCTGTACGTTCATACAGACGGAGAAGAGCGAGCTCTATTTCGGGATGTCCAGGATAGCCATGGGTTTGTTCTGGGTCTGGTCCAAAAGTCTTGCAGAGAAGGTCCACATACGAACAGATGGGGCCTAGAAGCTGATCGTTGTCGTAGAGAGCGTGGTGTGCTAGGGCTGCCTCGATCAAGTGCCCGCAGTTGTAGAGTTCGTGCATGTCCTTGAGATTTGTGAAGCGATTGCCCGGGTCGACCACAGTGTAGTGTATGTTCAAGTAGCCATCCGGCTGCTGTGCGGATCTGATCATGCCCACCAGCTCGTCCACTGCATCGGCAATACTTGGCATACATTCTTGTTGTAGGAAGTAACAAGCGCCCTCTATCCACTTTGCGACATCAGAGTCCCAGAAGAGATGGTCTGGTATGGGCCACACTTCTGGCGCGCGGTCGTAGACTGGATGCCATTTCAACTTGAAAGCGTCGTAGCGTCCAGTCTTCTTGAGAACATCGAGCTGGTACTGCAGGGTATTGGCTGCGACGGCTCGTCGGCGCTGTCCAAGAAGAGTCTCGGGAGTGAGGGAGGTGTAGATGAATGAGGTCTGCGGATACGCCATACTGGAGAAGGGGTTCAAAATTCAAGAAGAAAGACACAAGGAAAAGAATGGAAAACAAAGATGCCAGGACGAGTATTTCAGGCACATGATGATATTTGTGTATGCTGCAAGCTTCCGGAGTCAACAATGCCGTAATGAGCTTGTCCCCGGTGGGTTGATCGGCAGATATCGAGATACTCATGGGTCATTCTTGCTTGAAACATCACTGCATAGGCATGGAGATGTGGTAACAGCTCCGGCAGACGGTTGCGAGAGCTTCCCCTCGAACTATTACCCCTCAAAATACTGCCCTCATGTTTTGGCGGGTGCCCCGGTGGGTGAATGCGTGTCATCAGGTCAAAGCCCAGAACCTCCGCTTTGCAGTCGGATGTCTGATTCCTGACGTTGGTGGATACTTGGAAAGATCTGATCAGAGATATACATGGCTCTCGTCTCATGTCGAGATGAAAGGAGACCGGCAAGAATGCAGCCGACAAGCAGATTCGAGATGGCACTCGCCAAGCCTTCGACCGAGATGGTCAAGGCGGCGATGTCACCTTCGGATCAAGCGCTATTGACAACTGTAAATAATCATTCACCAACAACATAGCGATCGAGTCCAGCTGCTTCTTCCATTGTCGCGCATTCTACACTACTCCTTTGTAATATGGTACTGTTACAACCAATCGTGCGGCGGTGACCTATGTCAGCTAGAAATGATGAACGGCCCAAGCTTCGGACGATGTTGTTAATCAAGGTCCAAATTGACAGAGTCGCGTCAGGCGTCCAGCGCGCAAAAACTCCTTTCACCAAGTCTTGATTCAAATTTCCCCAGGACTCCCTGCTATCGTCATGCTGGAATTGTCGCATCTTCCTACTGAACTCCTTCACCAAGTGATTGCCGGTTTGCCCAGAAACTGTCTTGCATCTTGTGCGCTCGTCTCCAAGCCATGGAACGCCATTTTCACGCCGCTTCTCTACAAAGACATCGAACTGATCTGGCAAAGACCAAGACTTTTGTGCATCCTCAATACTCGATCATGGGAAGAACACCCCATGCCATGCCCGTGTGAGTCGTACGGTGACTGCAGCAGAGACAGAGACGCTACTGGTATCGGATCATGCCTGTTGCCGACTGCCGAGACTGCCCTCAGTTTCTCATCGATGCACCAGCTTCTGAGAGCTGTTCTACACTCCCGCTACCTTGCGGGGTTCGTACAGACTCTTCGTCTCATTGGCTCTGTGCCTGTTTCAGTCTGGACCGATGCTCTCGACACGGCCCTCACACAAGACGATCTCACCCAAATACGCAAGTTGTCGTACGAAAGGATGCCGCAGGGCGAACGTATTTCCGAACACTGGCTCGAAAAACTTGATCAAGGCCAACCAGCCGCATTCGCAGCACTTCTTCTTCTCTGTTTGCCAAATCTCCGATCTGTAGAGATTGGACACGATTTTTACGATCTCTTACAATTCCTGTCACCGAGAGTTACTGCATCGTTTGTGAATCTGGCGACTATCTCTCTAGGAGCTTCTCGAGAGACGGTCTACATGGGCGGAGGAAGAGCACCGCATAACGACGGGGATATCGCTCTGCAGCTTCCATTCTTTTACCTGTCGAAGGTCGAGTCACTATCCCTCAATCTACCGAGATCAGGCGACACCTTCGTCTGGCCAAGCGGGATTCCACTTGCCCAGAAGCTCACGACCCTCGAGCTTCCGTTCACGTTCATGGGTCCAGAAGGTCTCAATCACCTGCTCATGGCTTGCCCAAGCATCCGTTGCCTCAAGTACGATCACTGGTCAACCGCTCCTCCTTGTCCCAGAACATCTGGCCATGCCAGGGACTATTCAAGTCCCCCATATGATGTTTCAGCTCAACCGCTGGTCGATGTTACAGCATTGTATCGAGCATTCAAGGTGACTCGAGACACCCTCGAAACACTTCATGTCCATATTCAACTGCCATTCACCGATTCAATGTGGGTCAATCAAAGCCTTCGACGCATATCATTCGAGGGCTTCTCGTGCCTCACTACGCTTCATGTACCTCTCCAGTTATTGTTAGGCGCGACTCGGGGGCGAGACNTCGGACCATCGCTACCGAAGTCACTTGTCAATCTCTGGCTCAACGACGACGGTCTGGCTCTATGGTTCAACCATGAGCGTTTCGTTTGCGGGTATACTGAGCGTGATGACTCTGTCTGGCCCCAAATATCTTCCAATNCGCCGATACGGACGGATGCTGAGATCGTAGAGCTCATGAACGAGTTCCTAACAGAGTGTCATATCCATGTCCCGAAACTCAAGCTAATACGTCTGATCTTCTACATTGGAGATCTCATGCATTGGAAGGGCCGACGCCCGGGACATAAGGGATTTGTTCCTAGCTACGTGAAGGAATCATTCGAGGAATCCGGAATCCAGTTCTTTACACACATTGTCCCCTGGAGGTCTCGAAATGTCTCAGGTCCGGACGAATGGTACGAACAAGTGCTGGCCCATGGTCAGATAGGCCCATACTTTGATGTCGAGCAGATCGAGAGGATGGAGACTGGATACGATACCATCTTTGGTCCTTAAAGATACTTCAATGAGCTCTAGTGCTTGGTAAACCTTTGCTGGCTTCAACGAGAATGACGACACAAACCACGCATGGAAAGCCTGAGTCGAAGATGCTACCAATTGTTCAAACTCTAGATGCTACGTACATAGCTAACAATTATTGAATCCTTGCCCCTCATCAATTCTTCCCAGGATTGTGATTGGGTCCATGATTCACATAGGACGTTGCTTCGCTATGCCCAACGTTCCATCTCTACAAACGACCATCGAAGCCAGATATCTCGACATTTCAACATTCAAGTGGCTGGGGGTCGAACAACGATGTGATTCAAGTGGTCTCCACTCATGTCTTCCTCTTAGCATAAACCGTCGAATCCATGTCCCAAGTCGAAGATGTGGGCGAAGAGACCAGATCAAGAGTGGCCAAAGCAGAAGAAGTGGAGATCTTAACTAGTAGAGAGAGAGTTTTGTGGCTCGTAGCTGCAGGTACAAGTCATCGTCATTTCGTCTTGGAATATACTCTTGTATCATAAACAGCTTGTGTACAATGCTGTGTCCCAGTGATTGGACTGGATGGTCTGCTCGATGGTCTTACTGCTTTGCATAAACCTCATGACAGGCTTGTTCAGCAATACCACACTTGCAGAGTGTGAACACACAACTGGATTCGAGGAATGTAACAGCCCGACTGACTATGAACTCCCAAGCTCCATGGCAGGTAAATGTGGATAATCACCAGAATTGTACTCATCTACGTTGAAGTTATAGTAATCGGCGGGTTGGTTCATTATAGCCCGCTCGTGATCCTTTTGCTCTTTNGCCATCTTGTCTCCAAGCTTTGTTGCCTCTCTTAGACCCATGGGCCAGTCATCGATAAACGAGTCTATGTGATCGACAAGCTCACGCGGTACGGCGATATCTATTGGCAGGGCCGCGGATAGAGCTTCCTCTGCCCACCAGTCATGATTTTGAGGAGGCACGTTTCTAGTCGAGCAGATGCGATAGTAGGGATCTACAAGAGACATGGTAAGAAAGCTCCGATGACCCGATTTGGTCTTGTCAACTAGCTCAAATGGCGTGATGCGATGGTGAAGTATATTCGGCCAAGCTATCAGTCGATTCACTAAAAGGTTAACAGATCCTAGTCTTTGCAACGAAGGAGGCGGGCTAAGAGATCCTCCAAGAATTTGTTCTTTGTAAGGGACAGCAAAGACTTGCAGGAAAGCTTTAAGGTCATATTTGTGGTCATATTTATCGGGGTCCATGCTTGTTTCTTGGCGGAACTCGATGCGTGGGTCTGTTGTGTTGTCTTCCTCGATGATGTATATAGAGTTGGCGACGATATGCTCATTATGCAAGCCTTCGACGTGCTAGTCGCTGCCTAGAAAATTCGGTTCGTTAGGGTTTAGTTCGATCTTGTCTATTTTAACTATAGCCTACAGTCCCTTCTGCCGGAAAGAATCTTAGAGAGCGACTTTATATGTCTAATGGGGGATCTGCGCTGTTTTGTCCTCTAAATCCGGTTCATGGCCGTTAGACGCTTTTCTTTCGATGGCTTCCTATGCTTGGCTAGATATCCACTGCTAATAGGTGTACGCCGTACCCGGCTTAGGGTGCACAAAGTAAGTCAGCCGAAAATGCTTGTTTCGCATCGGCCTAGCCAAATCTTTGCCAGATCTACACTACGCATCCTAATCCTCGGGCACTTTGCAATTAAGCTAAGGAAAAACCTCTTCGTCATCCGAAGAATCATATGGAAAGTCGTCTGGTTAGGCACAGTATGCCTTAGCCTCTTTAATTGCAGCATAGTAAATTTTACTCCTAGGGTGCTTTCCTGCTTTAGTAAAGCGGGCATAGTCGGGTGGTGGAGGCTCATAAGAGACGCTATACGTCTTAATGCGAGTTGGAAAGCGCCTACGACCTTGTTTAATTAAGACTTTATTCTAAGGTTCGATTAGAGCTAAGATGATTTTCTCGATAGCATAATCTAGATCATAATACCGAGGATGCAGGCCATTGATGTATGATGTGATGCAAACATCTTTGCCGAGGCCTTCTAANAACTCGATTTCGTAGACTAATCGCTAAAAATTCGTCGACCATAACGGTCCTCTTAAATCAAATTAAAGGTGCAACTCACACCTAGAAGGGTCTACGTAAGTCGTACGGTAAAGGTGGCAATAGCGTGGAATGTTTAGAGCAATATTACGCTTACTTATGTGCTAGAACATGTTATTAAGGGGTACTATTTCNCCTTTAGCTAAGACTCTTAACTTGCCGTATATAAGGGGATATAGGAGAGGATTAACAAGTCTGTGTATTTAGCAAGGAGTAGGATCGCGTAGGTGTTTGTTAGCAGACGTTCCAGAAAAAGAAAGTAATGTCAAAGTCGAGAACTTGTCTTAGATAGCGGTCCACATTTCTCCATCCAAAATAAGGTCTTATTTGCAAACAACAACTTCTATATTATAGACTAAGATGCGACCGGGACTTTTAAAATCCCTCGCCTTGTCTTGAAATTCTAAGAGACACTAGTCTTATGTTTTCGGACTAATGAGATGGCTACACAGTGCTTCTTGGCGCAACTGGGAGGTAATCGTGTCGTCGAAGACGTCTGTCGACTAGGTAGGTTTATCGGTAATGTTGTCCATCAAAAANAGCATGGCAAGTTCTCGGGCTGTAATGTTTGGCTCNCTAAAACATTCGCGCACGCCATGAGTGAATCGATCCTCTAGATGTGATTCTTGCTCTAGAGGAAATCCAAAACCAGGCATAGCGAGTGGGCCGTGGCCGCTATTGTCAAAGATAGGTGCGTCAGCGAACGGCGGAGCCATGATTAGGTTGACTGGCCTGTCTTTTTGTTTCTTTGTTAAAGAAGGTGGAAAGAGTTGGTGGAAGTGATGGAGATATGGGTTACAAGAATTAAATTGGGGTGGATATAGCGGAGATCATTGATTGAAATGAGTCACGACACGATAACCAATCTACTAGCCTTGCTCAAAAAGAGATAAGTGTAATTCTTTAGTTCTGTTCTATTGAAGTGTTTCAATGAATCGCTCTCGTCCTAGATAATTAGAAGCGATGTCTTTGCCCCTTACAAAGAGAGGGAATTACCGATGCAGGCGAAGCTAATGGCATTAACAAGAAAGTCGACTGAAACCATGTTTGGACGGCTCTGTTCGGAATTGCTACCGAGCTTTTGAGACTTAAGACTGCAACATACATAGCCGGTAATTGTTGCTTGCAGCTCACTTTCTTACACATCATGTAATCACCGAAAAATGACTGGCAAATAGTGTGTATTACCGCCCAACACGACAACAAGAAACCCCACGTGGGATAAGGCGACTACTAGCTCAAAGAGGTGCATCAATACCCTGCACAACAACACCAGTAGTCTCATCCACCCAAGTACCAGGGCAAGACAGAGCCGTACAATCATCGGCAGTGATATCCTGTCTCTTAACCGCACTTCCAGACTTCCTCGCCCCACGCTTGAACATTCTGTGCGGCGTAGCGGGATTCATGCAGGTAGAGCTGGCAGGCATACAGTTGCCCTTGCCTGCACTATTCGAACCGTTGTTGTTGCAGCAAGTGTTGAACACACAGACTTCACCGCTGTTGTTTCCGGTATTGCAATCGGCAGTCTTGTCGCAAAGCTTGGTGCAATTGTCAACAACATAGCAGACATTGACGCCTTCCTTGTCCGTGCCGCAGGCGCATACGTTCTGGTTACCTGAGCTGCTGCAGTCATATGTCGGCATCGGTCCGGCTGTGTTACAGGTGGCGGGTGCGGTGCAGCCATAGAGATTGGTTGTGGTGGTTGCTCTGGTTGTGCTGGTCACAGTAATGGTGGTTGTGGATGCGGCGGCGGTGGTCAGGCTGGTAAACAAGGCGATCGATGCAGTAGAGGTGGTCGTCGTGATGACGATATTGGTAGCCTTTGAGGCCTGAAGACTGCAGGCTGAGGCAACGACTGGAGCAGAGAAGGTAGAAAGAGCTGCTGGTGTTTGCAGCTGGTCTGCACGCTTCGCAGGCACACGTGTCGAAGTGGAGACGAAGGTGGTGACGATCGAAGTTCTGACGACAGAGCTTGCGGCAGGAACGATGGTGGATAGGACGGTGCTTGTTGGGCTGACAACCACGGTGGCCGTCGAGGTAGGTGCATTGTAACCTAGCAGCGTGGAACAGAATGGTTGAAGGGAAGATGAGTCAATGATCCTTGAGGCCGAGGCAACCGCACAAGGAATAGCAGGACCACCCGCCGAGGTAGTGTTAGTGAAGGTGTAAGAATAGCCATAAGTGTATGTGACCCCGTCAATGACGACACTCGAGCTGGTCGAAGTCGAAGAAGGGAAGCTCTGTTGGTACAGAGCACAGTACTGTCCAGCATCTTTTCCATTGCCTTTGAGTACGTAAGTGTTGAAGAACTGGTAAGTCTGGGCCACACCACTTGCAGGTGGGTTGCCGTTGTAAGCAGAGCATGCAGCCGCACAGCGCTTGGCATCGAAAGGCCCGGTCGACCAGAGTATGCCAGCGAGCGAGTTGTTGTAGCCCGCGCAATCAGTGGTTGGTGCATTGATGACTGAGTTACCGAGGTATGTAGGAGCAGTATAGCCGTCGGGTGTGTCGATCGATTGATTGACATAACCATTGCTACCAGCTATGACCACATGGAAATTGTTGCGGTACTGTCCAAAGTTCAAGGCGTTGCTTTGTGCGACGGGACCGCCCCAGTACACACACTTGATCTGCGTGTATGAGGGTGGATTTGAGCATTCAGAATAGTTTGGATCGACTNNGGGAGCATTAGCATGTCTCTGCGGCGTGCCCGGAGTGTTCTTACCGGAAGGATCCCTTTCGAAGTAAATGTTTATGGCTTGACACCCATTGACATTGTCGCAGCGGCCAGCACAAATCGAGGGATCATAAGAGCTCATCAAGCTATATCCAAGGTAGCCAAGCGCATTGTTGGATGCCTGCAGGTTCTCGAAAGCTTGGGTATATCCTGTGGGACGCGGGGCTGCCGAAGCGGCACTCGGATAGTATGGGTCTGCAAGAAAGCCGGTGTCACTGTCTGGAGTCGACGTGTGAGCGATACCGGTGGGTTGAGCAGCACAGAGACTGGGAGCGAGAGTGGAACTCGGCACCACCACCAAAGCTCCTCCGTCAACACCGGCGTTGGTCTTTGCAACAGCGCCTCGTCTCTTGAGGTAGCAGGTACCTGCATTGGAACCTGTATTCAGTCAGTTTGCTTCCGTCCTCTTGCATCAAGCGGGAAGATCTATTCACCTCCGACGAAAGAGAAGCTGACACATCCCGGGTAGCCATCGCACTTGTCAAAACAGTTGGCAAATGACGAGCCCGAGACTGCTGCAAGGTCGTAACCACTGTAATCAACACCACAATTGACATTATACGAATTCTTGGACGTAGAATAGATTGACACCTGGAGGCCCGCGCAAGAGGTTGTGACGTCGCGTCTGGAGATCACATCAGTGGACTGGGCTTCCTTTGCATCGGCTGCGACCTCTGCAGATGCTGATGCTGCAGCGGCGGAGGCGTCATAGGCGACGGTCTCGGCAATGAAAGTTGCGGTAGGAAGGGCATAGTCGAAACTGGTGGAATAGACAACGGGAATCTCAGGTGTAGGAATGGGGTCGGCTTGGGCGATAGCATCGGCATCGAGGTTTTGAGCACAAGTGTAAGCTGCGAAAGCCGCGACCAAGATGGCAGAATGCATCTTGTTCGGGATGGAATGTGATCTTGAGCTGAGATGTGACAGACTGATGACAGACATGTCTTTGAAGCTTGAATAGAAGGCTTCTTATACTTGTGCCACAGGTCCGAGAGACTGCTCGTCCTCGTCCACGAATGTGAACGGGGCCATGTCAACCCTTTGCACCGACCGTCGCTTGAGGTTCTCAGCTCCACAACTTTTGGACCTGGATCCTACCCAGGTATGCGGACTTTGCGAATTCAGTGGAGTGCCGAGCGTGCTCCATGGTTCATAGTCCACCAGGCCGCTTGATTGCGCTTAGGACGCAATGGTGCTCAACGGGACTGCATCTCAGCCCAGGATATGGCGATCGCCAAGTCCCATAGTGAGGCCTCATATCAAAGCCTCGAAATGGCTTTTTTCCAATTCAGGTGTTGCAAAGCATGCTGAACAGGAATTATGACGGTATGATTTGCTGCATGTGCGGCTCCAAGATTTGGGTTGAGGCGGCGTCTGGACTGCCAGTGACATGCTCTCCCGCTTCTGGCAGACTAGATGACTAAATAAGCTCGCGAAGTCCGTCGGGAGGGCCAGATCCGTGTTGCACGATTTTTCCTAACCAATTCTGTACGTTGCAAAGACATCTTCAAGTACACGGATTGGAAGGGATATTCAGGAACCAAGAGCTGGAGAAAGACAGAACGGCCCGTGCGGCAGCCAAGATGCACGAAGCTGACGCCGAAGTTAAGCCATGACTGATGTATTTTCCTTGCCAGATCAACATCCTATTGCAAATATTTCCATTCGGGAAGCACTATGGAGCAATGGAGCCCTAGAACCGACTGCTGTAGACTGATTGTACTATCTTGACAGCGCTTGGAGGTGATGCTCGAGAACCGTGATTGTGATATTAATCAGGGTCATGACCAATGAACAGTACATCCTTAGTCCGATTAGATTCTTCCTCACATTCTTTAGATATCTGGCTTTAGCAGCTCGATTATGAACAAGAATACTCATCATAGCCAGGGTCGCAGCTGCCGCTTCCAATGCTAAGGTTTTGGTATATAGCCGTTCTCGGCTAAACCTGCATTCTCGAACCACAATCATTGCTAAAATGGTTTCTCTTTCCGTCGCTTGTCATGTACCACGTTCTCTCTTGATTCCGTTGCTATCAGACTTGCATGTTCCGGATGACTTACCTTACCGCACATGCTGCCCATTCTTTCGTCCCCTCCATACCCCGAATAACCTCTTCTATTTCCTCAAATCCCACCTTCCTCAACATGATTCGGCTTAAACTTCTACCGCAGCTCGTGCGAGCGAGCCAGACGGGCGAGCCTATCAACATACTGCGGCTCAGTTATGCCCTCTCGCTTGACTATGTGAACTGCTTCATCTTTGGCGTCCAAGCGGGGACTGATTTCCTTTCGGATGCTCGTAAAACAGAGGAATCTCTGGAACGATACGAAGACTTCTATCCAGAATCATCCTTCTGGGTGCAAGAATTGCCAGGCTTAACACGTGCATCGGCTTACCTTGGTATAGTACCACTCGGCCTGAGATATCGAAATGCCAGGTCTTGGCTTCAGAATTGGACTCTAGAGATGTGCAGCAAAGCCGACGCGATCTCGGAGCATCGAGCATATGGAATTGGAACTGCAATATCTGATCAGCCAACGGTGTACGAGCAAGTCAAACTCGCCGCTAAGAAGAATTGTCCAGAGCTGGATGCACGCGCGAAACGACTTTTGGTGGCGAGCGAGTTGTGGAATCAGCGATGCAAGTCATCAGTTCCGACTCCACTCAACATGCAAAAGATTGTTGCTCATACAGAGATTTGGAGCACGTTAATTTCTTGTTAAGTGTTTAGGGTCACGCAAGGATATTGCGTAGCTGACCATATAGGTAGGCTTAGTTGTGGGTTACTCATAACATCCGCCCTGTAGTCCTATGCTGCGCCAGCACATCGAGCCTTCGGACTCCTGCTGTGCCTTCGCCTCTCGTGCACATCATGAGTTCACGCTGCTTCTAGCCACCTATTCTCCTGCGACTTTCTTAGTGCCCACATCCAAGTCAGCATGACCTTGATGATCTTGCAAGCGCTCTTTCCAGCATTTCCACCTTTCAGGGCTTGTGCCTCCAGGCCCTTTCCAAAGATCACGCTTGTTCTTAAGATGCGGATGCATCTCTTTCTTTGCAATCTTCTCCCCAAAGTCAAAATTGGAATGCAAAAGATAGTGCATGCGTGGAGGTTGTGACATGGTGTAGAGTAAATCGTGCGCGTCTAGCAGCCATTCTCTCACAGCATAAGGTTCAATCTCGAGCACAGCCTTGCTATCTTCCAGGGTATGGGAAAGGCGGGAAGGGCCTTCGTATTGAACTTCTGCTCCCAGCATGTCGGTTTGTGCAAGCAGCGCTTCGGTACGAGCTAAATTGGCGATCAGATCAAAAAGTTTNTCTAACGACTCAAAGAGGTTTGGACTGTCTCACCACTGATTTTGATAGTACCACCAATTGGTATCGTACCACTGATTTGCGAAAGAAGGGAGGTTATGCCAGAGAGAGCTAGAGGGACTTTTGTGTGGACCGCTACGCTTTTTGCCAAGCGAATCAGGATCAAAATTCGGCAGCTCTCGCATACTCTTAAGTAGATGAACAATTTTTGATTGGGAGTCTGGTAATTCGATCGAGGCATCCTGCAAAAGACCCCACAGATTCGGAAGGTCAGCTCCTGGATCTTGAGATGACTCGGTCGGCTTCGCAATCAGGCGCGCGGCTTTCCTCACCTCGATATCGTTGTGGAGGTAGTTTCTCAAGGCTTGAGTTTCCCCAGGGCGGCATCCATCTTCAAATTCTCCATCCGGTGCAATGGCGTTGTCGTACCAAGCTAGCGACATGACTCCCAGCTTCGCGAAAGATCGGAACAGGATGGATTGGGTCAGATAACCGGCGGATCAGGATCGTAACTTTGGTTTTATTGCAAGGTAGTTAAAGTGCATTCGAGATGACCATTCTCACTTGTTTTAGCGGAGGCACAGAGCAGTCTTGCCTCAGTGTACCCAGACCGTAGTTTGCTCACGTGACCTTCGGGAGTTTTAAGCAGTGGGATCAAAAGAGCTGCGTCAACAAAGACCTGCATGTCCTAGATAACTCACCTCCCCACCCAAATTTTCCACTCCTTCGTCCCCTCCATACCCCAAATAACCTCCTTCTCCTTCTCTATCTCTTCAAATCCCATCTTGCTCAATACCCTCCCACTCCCCAAATTCTCAATCTCAATCTCTGCAATAAATCTCTCTGCCCCGATATACTTCCCACACCATCCCATTATCGCTTTCGCAGCTTCAGTGCCAAATCCTTTACCCCAGACCTCGGGGTGGAATCCATATCGCAACTCAATCATCTGCTGCCATGGACGCGTGGTAGGTTGAGACGTATCTCCCACAGCCATGGATGTTGTAGTGGCGTCTCTGACTCCCACATAGCCTATCCACTTTACATCCTCCAACTTTTGTATCTCATCTTCCCGCAATACTTTCCACTTCTCTAACATTCCTGTAGCAGAGCCGCATTCTCGCGCTCCAACGGCAAAATCACCCATCCCTCGGACACGCCAAGAGTTTTGGACTTCGCGAGCAATGATGGGGGCAATACTGCTTTCATCCCAATCTTTGACTCCCCAGGCAGAGCCAAACGCCATACTGGTAAATTCTGACATGCGGTGGAGGGAAGAGTATAGTTGTCTGTAAGCGAGATGATTGATGGCGAGATATGATGGGAGAAGGATGAGACGCGGGGTGCATATTGCGAAAGACGTGGTGTTTGAGTTGCGATCTGCCATATTGTTGGCTCAGGTGAATTGTTTTGTTTTGGTGCGGGTATACAATCTGAGATTGGTACGTCAAGAAGATAACAGAGATGGTGGAAAAGGGAGGATCAGGTACATTGTAGTTACAACATGACGGCTAAATTGCGGCGGGCGAGATTGCCTAGTTCGGTCACCGCATGCTTCTTGCGAACGACACAACATTAGCTTACGTCTGGGTCAAGAGTCAGAGTCGGGTTCCAAGCGACCTCAGAAAGCTGTGCATAAAGTCATAGGCCGCTACACCCAGAACTCCCTCTTCCTTGACGAACAAGGACGATGTTGAGGTACTTATGTCTTGCAAGATCCTGGAGAGATTGCAAAGTCATCGAGTGCAGAGATCATCGGTAGTCGTGTTGACCGTCCGCAGCGAATGCAATCATCAACGAGACGTCTCTCACGATGATTGAGAACGACACAGCAGCAGAGGTATATTCAATGATTTTTTAGATTTTGGTGTTTCTACATCAATATGCAAAAATGCCAAGATAATTGTAAGAAAAACAGCCCTTTTGGCTTGATCGAATAAGGATAGACAAAGAAGTGGTGTATAAATCGCTCGCAAAAAGATACGAAAAAACAGATATGCAAAATCACTCATCTCAAATCGGGAGTCTGTTGATTTAGAGAAGAGCGACGGCGGCGGCACCGAGGGCAAGAGCAATGGAACCACCAACCTTGACACCGGCACCCTGGTAGGCAGAGGGGCTGGCAGTAGCAGAGGCGCCAGGGGTCTGGTTAGCAGCCCAAGACGAAGCAAGAGTGGTGCCGGAAGCCTGGCCAACGACAGCACCAGATCCTGAGGCAGCGGCAGCACCGGAAGGAGCAGCAGCACCAGAGGGAGCAACAGCGCCGGAGGGGACAATTGCGCCAGCGATGGAAGAGGTAGGGGCCCAAGTAACCTGGGTGCTCTGCTTGGTGACGGGAACGACCTTGCCGGCGGAGGTGATGGAGCGGGTGACGGCGTTGACAATGGTGGTAGGAACGACAGTCTGGCTGGTGGAAACAGTGCTGGAAACGGCGTGGGTGGTGACGAAAACACTGGGGGTGGTCAGGACGGTCTCCTTGCCGGAGGCGGTGATGGTCTGGCCGGCAGGGCATGTGGTGGTGTAGGAAGTGGTGACCTCAGTAACGTAGACGACGGGCTCGACAGATGCGGTGCCGTTGGAGGCGACGTTAATGTTTTGGCCAGCAAAGCCAGTGGAGGAGGCGGATCCAGAGGCAGTCTTGGAGCCAGCGGCGGAAGAGGAAGCAGCAGAAGACGAGGAAGAGCCAGAGACGGTAGCGCCGCAAGTAGAGGCCTTGGAGCACTTGAGGTCGTAAAGAGCCTTGGTGTTGGCACCGTCAATACCGCTGGCAACTGAGAACGAGGGCGAAGCGCCATCGTCGTTCAGAATGTACCACCAGAAGTTGATGCAGCGGGCCTCGAGCTCGCAAGCAACGTCCTGCCAGAACTTGGCGGCGTTCTCAACGCTGGGAACGGCCTCGTCCTCGGCCTCGCCCTTGACGGGCCAGCCGGTCTCGGTGATCCAGAGGGGCTTGCCGTCAGCGACAGCCTCAACCTTGTTGTAAGCCTTCCAGAAGAGGTCCGAGGCGTTGTCGATCGAGTTGCCCTCACCATCCTGGTAGAAAGGGTACTCGTCAAGACCGAGGAAGTCAACAGCGCCGAGGATGGCAGAGTTGGAGGTGTTGGTGTATGCGTTCCAGGTGTCGACGTGGCCGACGGGGACGTTGGCGAGGGCGGTGCCCTTGAGAGCCTCACGGACTTGACCAATGTAGTCGACGAGGACGTCGGCGGTCTGGCCGTATCCACTCTTTTGCTTGATACCAGTCTCGGAGATGCGGTAGAGGTCCTCGGAACCGACAGAGATACCGACGGTCAGGTCGGCGAGACCCTGGGAGCCGAACTGGCTGATGGCGTTCTTGAGAGCGGTAAGCTCGTTGTCGAAGGCCTCCTGGTTCTCCGAAGCCCACAGACCGAGGAGAAGAGTGGTATTGGTCTTGATGGCGGCGGGGATGGCCGAGATGACAGTGTTGGCAGTGCCGTCCTGGATCATGGTGTAGAGACGGGCCGAGGCGTAGTCGGTGATGGCCTGGGCCGACTCGAACTGGTTGGTGAAGGTCTCAAGGGTGTTGCCCTGAGAGGCGTAGTTGAAACCACGGGTGGCAGCCATGGCCGAGGCAGCGCTGCCGGCAAGAGCGTAGAAAGAGGCACGCATTTTGAGATCTGGGTTATCCTAGTTAAAAAAGAGAAAAATAGCGAATGTGTGTGTCGAATATAGGCCCAAAGGAAAGAGTGACAATGGGATGCGAATTCGAAGGTGGGTGGAAAAAAGATGTCGTGGCTTAGGGTGCAGCGACGTCCAAAGGTTTTGTACCTGCGTGTCCTCGCCCTGATCTGCGCCATCAGCCGGCGCCGCTGTGTCAGTTGCAGTCTGCGACGACCAGTGGAAGGATCCGCTCCGTGGACCAGCGCACAAGCAGGCAAGCGTATGCCAAACATAGTAAGATTGGAGTCAGTACCCACTTGCACCCGCGAATCGAATCAGCCGGGGCGAGACGAGGCTGCTCGCCTTCTCCTGAGATCCGAATCAATCATGCGCAACATGAATATTGCGTCGTATCCCTTCATCTTGGACAATGGCCTGGAGATGGTCCTGTACCCTGTCTGTTATTCCAGCTAATCACAGGCGCATGTCGGTCTGTTTCTTGTTATGCGTTGTACTGGTCCGCGTGTCGTCCAAGACAAGAGCCGGGTCGCGCAGGTTGTGGCGCTTGGAAGGCGTTGCTGCCGTGTACCTCGAGCTAGCCGCTTGTCGAATGCGATCGTCACCTGACGTTCAACGGCAGCTCAGCGGATTGGCTGTGCGGAAATTGTTGTGAGCTCTCCTTCAAAACACTCGACTCAAGAACCCGGGGAGCAACCACAGATTGGGCCAAATCTCGCGCCCGCCGCTGCGCCTCCAAACTGCCTGCATCGTCCTCCGTGCGGCCTATCGAACGGGTGCCCGGGTACATGTCGAAATTGCATGACTTCATCCAGGCCTTCGCTTGCTTGTTTGTTTTGAGAGACGCCTTCCAGAAAGGTATCCGATTGATTGTGATTATCTCTGATGACCATTTGAGAGTCAATCTTGACTGCAGATCAACAAGATGAGCCGTATGCGCACATCGCTTGTCGACTCTGTCGTGCCTTCCCTTGCAACCCATCAAAATCAGCCCGCCTCGACTCTAGAGACTCACAATATCGCATTCCCAATGCTGTCGGCATCTATCGCAGCTTGGGTCGCTGTGCGAAAGCTCACAGTCATTAGATCCATCCTGACTCCAGATGATGAAAATGGCAAAGAGATGAGTCAGTGCGCAGTGCTTCTTCATGGCCGTTAAGGTGCCTTGAGCAGTCTTGCGGCGAAGAACAACGAGGTCTGAAATTACTAAAATAGGGCTCGGTCTGCATTCCTCATGACAACAACATCTCACCCAGCCTGCCATCGCGACCAAGATTGCACTCTCTACTACGGAAACCACATCGCTATAAGCTCATGCGACAATCATTCTATTTTCGACAGCCGAGATGAATACAAACCCCAAGGAAGTCTTGATTCCTCTGCATCAATGTTCAGGACCAATTTGCGGAATGAATAGTGGAGTAAAAATAGATGTTAGACTAATGATTCTTCATGAACATAGTTCCTATTTCTGATAAGAGACCAGCACACAAGCCTCACCATCACTATTCGCGTGAGACTATATGCTGACTTGAATTTCTAGCAGAACACTCGACGACGTGGTGACAACCTTCTGTACGGGCTACCAAACACTCACGCCAGACGGCCCTCTTCTGTTTAGCTCCGAGGCCTCTCATTATACTAGGGCATACCTCCCCATCTCCGTGTTCTATTCGTTTGGCAGCTCATGACCTCGACACTGCATACAAACACGCCGTTGCGACCTGCTTGGCACTTCTGTTCCCATCAGCAAGCGTCACTGTGCCGACGCTGAACGGCTCTCCAACGTCGAGCGAGCATCACAGACATCTTTGCTCAGCCACAAAGAACGCAAGCATCTGAAAACACGATTGCCCATCTTCAAGTATCGAACACTGTCGAAGGTGATGCGTGACCGACCCGGATGTAGGACATGCCCACCGAGTCGTCGCAGACCTTGAGCACCTGGAACTCCCAGCCACTTCCCCAAGCGGATGAAACAACAAGAACAACAACCACGACACGCAAGAATGTAAGTTGAATGGAGAGTATGATAATCATATCTGTAAGTCCAGAGTAGCCAGTCTCTGTTACATCCAACATCTCTTGATGACCAACAAATGTCCCGATGTCGCGTCGCGCACCCAATCTGCTTGTCAACAGCTGACCGGGTTCACCGCCAAAGTCCCTCATGAGCTCAATGGATATGTAGGTTGCATTCGCTTAACATTACTGACAGAGTTTGCGTCCAAACGAATTTTTCGCTTAATGTTACTTGAAGAGTAAGCCGAGGCGAGTCTGCGGCCTCTCGGCCCCCGACCCTGAATCGGAGCTCTCCCCGCGTTTTCCATCTCACGTTAACTTTTATATCTCGTCTTACCCTCAAGAACATTCACATCATTATCGCATATTCATGATGATGTCTTCACAGTACCAGTCAGTACATCTTGCCGCTCGTCCTGCGAGTGAAATCGTTCCGGGAGAGACTTTCGAGGTTAGGTCGAATGCTGCACCCAAGGAGTCCGATCTCAAGAATGGTCAAGTCATCTTCCGTTCTCTGTACCTCAGTCTTGATCCTGCCATGAGAGGATGGCTCAATGGTAAGTTCGAGCATATCGACAACTTCCGTATCAGTGTGACTGACTCTCAACCCCAGNACACACGCTCATATGTCCCTCCTGTCCAGATCGGCGAAGTCATGCGTGGAGTCGCCATCGGTACCGTCGAAGCGTCCAAATCCGACAAGTTCCCCGTCGGTACACTCGCCACTGGTTTCGTCGGCTGGACCGAACTTGCAATCGTCGAAGAGAAGGCCCTCGAACGCGTTGACCTGCCTTCCAACGGCCGCACCACCGACGCCCTCGGTGTCCTCGGCATGACCGGCTTGACCGCCTACTTTGGCATCATCAACGTCGGCGAAGTCAAGGAGGGCGACTTTGTCGTCGTCTCCGGTGCCGCCGGCGCAACAGGAAGTGTCGTTGCCCAGATCGCCAAGCTCAAGGGCGCCAAAGTACTCGGTCTCGCCGGCAGCGACGACAAAGTTTCATGGCTGAAAAACGACCTCGGTCTCGACGATGCTCTAAACTACAAAGACGCCGATTTCACCACCAAATTCCGCGCCGCGACCAAAGGCTTGATTGATGTCTTCTTCGACAATGTTGGCGGCGAGATCCTCGATCTTGCTTTGTCGCGCGCAAAACCTTTCTCTCGCTTTGTGTGCTGTGGTGCCATTAGCGATTACAACAGTGCTTCTCCTCGTGGACTCAAGAACTACATGATGATTATCTCCATGCGCATTCGCATGCAAGGCTTTATCGTGTTTGACTTTGCGGACCAGTATGCCACTGCCAGACAGCAATTGGCGCAATGGCTCAATGAGGGCAAGTTGCAGAGAAAGGAGACTGTCATCGAGGGTGGATTGAGCAAGGCGGAGCAAGGCTTGAGAGACTTGTACAAGGGTGTCAATACTGGTAAACTGCTTGTTGAGGTTAGCAAACAGAAGGATGGTAAAGCTAGACTGTAGATGTTTTTGATGTCGTTGAGCAGAATAAGCTAAATAACTTTATGACTGTAATGTTAGCCCTTCAGATCTTGCTGTACATCTGGCATTACTAGTGAGTCCTGTTGGCGATCTTTGTACCACGCTGCCGTGTTTGTTCTCAATTTGCAGCATTCTGAATCCAACTTGGCTACAAAGAATGGTTCACTCAAATTGAATAAGATCTTCCGAGGCGGGATGCGACCCGCGACCCTGGAGTCGTAGAGTTCATCCAAACTTCCAAACACACGTATGATCCAAAGACCGGGTCTGATTTTCGACCCTACCTCAGCTTGTCGCTTGTTCAAGGGAGACGAACTCTTTAGCGAACACTTTTTAGTAAATTGTAGTTTGACACCAGCAAGGGGAAGGGCCCTCTTGTGTAAAACTAGCTACTAAGCACGGACAGGGTCAACCTCTCAGCATTCGACATTTGAGCTGCGATTTCTACCCCGCCTCTTCGCTCTTCACTGTTCCACAGCACCGATAACAGCTGCATGATGCCAATGGTCTCATGTACAGATCTGCGAATGCGACAATCCGGAGAGAACGTTGTATAGGTATGTAAAGGCACAAGGTCAGCCAAGACCGATCTTCCACGAATGATGTTTGTTCTTGCTGGGCCGTCCCTGATCGTCACCTCGGTGTCTATTCATCCGTGGCAGACTGCGGGGAAATGTCTTCTCGTATAGCAAAATCCATGAGGTAGGTGCTTATATAAAAGAGGTACAGAGTGTGCTTTCGATGGGCTATACTTGTCTCATCATATACTCAAGATGAAGTATTTCACTGTCGCGTTGAGCTTGCTATCGGTGGGAGTTGCTCATGCTAAACAGCATGGCTTTCTCAAGGACAATGGCGATGGGACCTGGATCATCGGCAACGACATTTGGAACATGACACAGGACAAAATCTATGGCTCCAAGCTATACTACAAAGACCAAGAGCTTGTCGGTGAAGCTGCTGGCCACTATGTCAGCTACAGTACGCTGTTTCCCTTGCCGCAACACCACATCCATACACTAACACATCGAAAAACAGACGGCGCAGCCAGCAATCTCAATTGGACAGATGCAAAAATCGTCAAGACTGGAAGCAACTACGTCGACATCCAATTCGATGCCCAAGAAGGTGAAATGCATTGGGTCATCTTCAATGGTCTTGCTGGTGCATACCAGTACTTTGTCAATCGCGCTTTACCCGTCTTGGGAGAATTTCGAACGCTCTGGCGGTTGGATAATGAGACTTTTACCAGTGCTTACAATGCAGATAAGGATGGGGTGTTGCCTGCATTGTCTGAATATGCTATCTCGACTAAGATTCAGGATGAGACTTGGAAGACGCCTGAGGGAGATTATCTGACCAAGTATGATTGGTCTGGGTTTGTTAGAGAACAAGAGTATTGGGGTGTGTATGGTGAGAAGTTTGGTAGTTGGTATCTGGTGAGTATTGAGAGTTCTCCTTGGCTTGTGCTTATCTAACAGGAGCAGCATCCAGGCAAAGACTACTTCAACGGTGATCATTTGAAACAGGAACTGATGGTAAGTGAGCTTCTTACAGAAACCGATGATGATATTAATGTTTCCTTAGNNAATCACCGCGAATCCGCAACCGGAGATACCGTCCAGCTCAACATGATCCACGGAACACACTTCCAAGCACTCTCCAACGACGTCCTCCCAGACGGCAAAATCTGGGGCCCCTGGCTCTGGTACCTCAACGACGGCACCAAAGCCGATGTCGCTCGCCGCTACAACAACGAGATAAACTCATGGCCTTACAAATGGCTGGACGACACCGCATACCAATCCCGCATTACCTCTGTGACAGGCAAACTCATTCTCTCGGACGGCAGACCAGCCGCAGGAGCTACCGTGTTCCTTGGAGACAACCATCCGAACAAGACAACCTTGGATATGGGGAGTAACTACTACTACACCGCCTACGCAGGTAATGATGGCTCTTTTCGCTTCACAGACGTCAGAACTGGTGTTTATGCTCTGCAAGCCTGGGCAAATGGTGGCAGTATAGCAGACCTCACAACCACATATCTCAAAAACGACATCAGCGTCTCTGGCTCTCCAACCAGCAAACTCCGTCTCGATGATCTTTCCTGGATCAGTCCTTCCTCGAGCAAGATCTTCCGAATTGGCGCTTTTGACAGAAAGTCCACTGGGTTTGCATACTCAGGAGGCTTTGGAGCTGGAAGAGTAGACAAGTGTCCTGCAAACCTTACTTACACAGTCAACAGCAGCAAAGACAACGATTGGTGCTTTGCTCAAAACGCAATTGGCAGTTATCGAATCGCTTTTGCTTTGCCTGCTTCTAACACCACATCTGATGCTTTGCTTACTGTTAGCTTGGCTGGCTACAGTCAGGGCACCACTGTCATTATCTATGCTAATGATGTGCGTGTTGGAAATTTGAGCAGCAGTGGTATACTTTCGGATCCTAGCTTGTATCGCTCGGGGACTGTAGCTGGGGAGTGGCATCAATTTGAATTTCCGATCAAGGGGGGTGTGTTGAAGATGGACAATGAGATTGATTTTAGGGTTACGAGTATGTCATCGAGTCTGTGGAGGGGACCGATTTATGATGCCATTAAGCTGGAGTGGATCTAGAAACACACACACAGTAGGCTCTACTTTTGATCTGCATGCATCAACTCAGTTCCCAGATTGCACTCCTGATTCACGACCTGAGTACCTTGAAGGCTACTTTTGCGCTCCATCCAACACTGATACAACCCATCACCCCAAGTACCCATGAATCCCAATTGCTCGCTCTTCAGATGCTCATCCTCATGTCCGCCGTCTCCAAAAACTTTGGATGAAGCTCGGGACCTTTATTCCATCTTCCTTCTTCATCAATCATAATCTGCTCAATGACATCTCCAGGCACCTCTTTCCTTTTCGCCGCTATCCTGGCTGTGCCTTGTAATCTTTGCACATCTCTTTTGAATCTACCATCTCGATCTGCAACAATGATGCCAATCTTGGCACATGTTTCGTCAGCAGTGAATGATGTCTTCGACAATGCAAGTCCCACTCCCGCGTTGATCAAGCGAGATGCATTTGCAAGATGGTCGAAGAAGAAAGCGAGGGTCGGGATTGGTGTACCATGATAGCAGGATTCGTTTGTTGAGCTGCCTCCTCCATGAGAGAGAAACAGTTTTGTGTTTGTGTGGTCGAGAATAGCTCGTTGGGGCGAATGAGCAGTAACTAGAAATTCTGGGTGCTGGTTATTCAGTAAAGAGTCCACGGTAATTGGGTTGTTGGAGTCCATTGTGATGATTTTGTCGAGAGGGAAGTTTATGCGAGTGCGCAGAGGTAAAGATCAGATTATGCCGTTGATACGGCCTTAAATTAGTGCTGCAAGAACCCCTTCCAGTAGTTTGATTGTCATGTCCGAGGGTAGTGTGACGTGGGTGCCTAGACTGATGTACAGCACCTTTTGATGCGCATCCAGAAACACTTCATGCGAGCCATTCAACCCAACATACTCATCTCCCAACACAGACCCACAAAGTAAGATGCCTGGTGGCAGCTCTCTAGGAACAATCAATCCCACAAAAGAGTTGACCAAAACCAAGTGAATTGAGCAATTGTTTGGCCGTAATCGGCAGTTTGCGGCAACATACCCGACCAAATGGTTCGAAGGAGTGAAGGCGTCGGAGAATCACGCCAGGCCCACGAGATCCTCAGACGATACGCAACGACAGCTGATTTACTCTATGACTAAGTTGTTAGACAAGCAAGCGCAAGTTCTCTATCGGCGCCATGCATGCGATATCTCTGCACGAGCAAACGCCAATGCAACAGCCAGGGCAATATCAACACCTTCAGCAACCTCAAGCCTCCAAGTCGTACGATCCAACCCCCTCTTATGCAAAAAAGCAGCATCATTATTATCCGTCAAAGTCATCTCTGCAACAACCCTGCCATCAACCAGAAAACTCGTCCTCCTCCCAGTTCTATCAAAAGATCTCAACTCCACCGTTGAATCGCCATCATTTGCTAGAACCTGCACATCCACAGCAGTGAACCCATTTCCACGGGTGACATCTTTGATCTTGGAGACCTCGTTGCCAGTGCTGTCTTCGAGAATCCAAGATTTGTAGCTTGTTTTGGTGTGCCGGAGATCGAGGATATGGTCACCGGATTTACGGTCGATGAGACTGCGGCGTAATGTCCATGATGTACCGAGATCTTTGGCAGTAAAGTCGAAGAGTTTGTCGCCATTTTCGTCGCAGACGACGGCGTCGCGGAAGTGGCGGTCGTGGCAGCGGAGGTCGAGTGTGCGGGTTGTTGTTGTGGTGTATTTGCTGTTGCGAGAAATGGGGATGGGTGGGGATTGGAGGTTGGTTGCCATTGTGGACTGGTTTTTTGCTGATGGTTGTGAGGAGTGAATTCGTGTAGTTGGAGGGGTGGAGACTGCTACATGGAATGTTGGGAGTAGTGAATGAACTTTAACAAGAGATATCAGGATTGCATATGTTGAGTCTTTCCTAACAAATCACGTTTGTTATACCTGTCCTTGAATCCTTCGATGGACGATCGGTCTTGGCTTCATCTATCGAGTCTTGGATCTTACGTTTGTAGTGCGGCGACCGTACTATCAGGGCCGCCTGAGCTATAACATTGCTACCTACTAGTGATCATGAAGAAGACGTCTGCTCTGATTGAATCACAGGCGTATTCTGGTCATGTCCAGAGTTGAAGGTTGCAAAAGATTGCGACGAGAACACATCCGCGGATCAACTTCGGGTGATCGTTGAGGAAGTCTGTTATTGACCTCATCTCTGTCCGTCCACATTGCACTATCCCAGCTCTCCAGAGATTGATATGCCTGGCTGATACCGCCGGTCCCAGACAATGTGATAACAAGAGATCCATCTGGCTTAATGTTGTTTACACTCCAAGCCGGTCGGCTTGATCGCAACGCAAAGGAGAATTGACATTGCCGGCAGCATGATCGAAATAGCTCATGCCTGGATTTCCACCTCCTTACTCTGCTCATAAAACGGATAGTCCAAATACCCTTCCTTCTGCATAGGAGCATAAAACGTACTCCTATCATACTTGTTCAACCCCAACCCCTTCTCAATCCTCGCCGGCAAGTCCGGATTGGCGATGAAATGACGTCCAAACACAACAGCAGCATCATACTCTTTATATTCCTCATCAACCGCAGTCTTTGCCGATTGAGGAGAAAAGCCACCAGCAACCAGGACAGGAGATACATTACCCCAAATCTCCAGGAACGGCTCAATACCTTCAGTCTTTTCACAATCAACATTGTTGATAACGCGAGACTCGATGATGTGCAAATAAGCCAAATTTTGCTTCTTGAGTTCGGTGACCAAGTGCGAGAATTGGGGGAGGGGGTCTTGCATCTTCATGCCTTGGAAAGTGCTAAAAGGACTGATGCGGAAACCGACATGATCAGCACCGATGGCATTGACGCAAGCAGCAGTGACTTCAAGGGCAAACCGAGAGCGGTTCTCGATATTGCCGCCATAGGAGTCGGTGCGGCGGTTGCAGGTGTCTTGGGTGAATTGGTCGATGAGGTAGCCGTTTGCGCCGTGCAATTCTATGCCGTCGAAGCCTGCTTTGATTGCATTTGTACTTGCTTGGGCAAAGATGTCTGCTGCTCTTTTTATTTCATCCTTGGTCAAGGCATGAGGGAGTGAGTCTGGTCCCTCGGTGAATGGCGTCTCGCTCGAACTCAGTAGAGGGAAATCCCCTTCTTCCTTCAAGAGAGTAGTGTCTGCGACTCTACCCACCGAAACCAGTTGAGCATAGATAAACCCNCCTTTGGCATGAACTGCATCAGTGATTTCCTTCCATCGCTGAATTTGAGCTTCAGTGTATATGCCTGGTGCGTTTCTGAAGCCACCGTGTTCAGGAGAGATGAGGACTGCTTCTGCGATGATGAGACCNCCTGCTGATGCCCTTTGCGAGTAGTATTCCACGGCAATTGGCAATTGGACGTGGTCCTTGTCGGCACGAAGTCGGGTCAAAGGTGCCATAACCACACGGTGTTGAAGGTGAACCGTGCCCAGCTCAAGCGGCTCGAAAAGTTTCGTCTCGGCCATTTTTTTCCTTGAGAAGTGACGTTGTTGGTTGTGGAAAAATCTTGGAGTTTGTCAAGAGTCAGAAAAGTTGAGAGAAAATGCAGCGGTGCTCAGTCGGCTTATCAATCATCACAGTGATTTCTGCCACCAAATCTCCTGATTCATGAGGGTGGTTGATTGATACTCTCCTCGGATCTCATGCGCTGTCGGCAATTATTCTCCCGACGCACCCACAAGTTATGTCGGCAATCTTTCTTCCGACCTTGTCTGAGTATATCTGCTCAGGAACGGTCCTCCAGAGCTCTACATCACTTTTGATATTCAATGGGTTGTGCTCGAAGACTCGACATTCCTGATCCTCCGTTGCTCGAACTCCATCCTTGTAAAGAGTACGAGACTGTTCAGTGTTGACGCCGAAAGTCTCCCAGTGGCTGCGGTCGTGAGCCATCGCAGATTGGCATCTCGAGAGACATTCGACCATCTTCTCCAGACATGTCGGTTGTGTGGGAATGGACAACCAGGCTAAGAGAAGGCCCAACATGCTGTACGACTGGAAAGCCGTCAGATATAGAAAAGGATCCGCGACGAGCATTAGACGCTAGCGTTTGAACTTCTCCCGAGTACAAAGGGTGTTGTTTTGCACACCCCTACATACGTACAAATGCCGGTAAAACAAATACGTGTTATCAACATCGTGTTGCGCCCGTGTTAGTGTACTACTATGGTGTATACGGGTTGTCTCCCGGGTATCTTCTGCTTCTAGCGTTGACTACCTAAAGTGTTGTCGTTGGTAGCCGTCCTCCCTATACTCTCTAAAAGTCGTAGAAAGTCTTTCTTACTTGCTTGCAATGTAGTAGGCAATGGTATGAAAACGCCGAATTAATCCGGTCCAGAGTCAGAAGCTCTCGACGAGCTGTCGATATAGTTCTACTATAAGTATAGCCTCTTAAACTTGTGACCTTTTCGGGACTCCATGTGCTTATGATCAACGATTAAGTCGATGAAGCACCTATAGAGCGAGACGTGTTGGCGACAGCTCCTGGTCATCGTAGCAAAGCCTGGCTATCATGACCCATCAATCGCTCAGAAGAAGTATCTTAAGACTCTACTCCTTCGACAATGAGTCAGTGTTGGGGGAAGTAATGAGAGATAAGTCGCGTTGTCGCATCTGTTGTCGCTTCTGTAGGTGCGACGTCGTCAATTAGACGCACAGAGCGGATGTTACATGGAATCGGTGGAATTTCGGCTTCATGCCATGCCATGCCACTACTTCTAGCTAACATTCCATTCCATGTCAATTATCTAGTGGAATAATGCCAATTCCAACTCCATCGTCGTCGTCGCAGTTACCCTGTCCTTCTTCTAGGTCACCCTGTCCCTCCACGTGATCTTCTAGTTCCTCCACGTAATCTTCTAGTCCTTTATTAGTAGTAATTAGTAGGTTAACCTTGTTAAAACAGAGGTTCTTCTACTAGCTCTTAAGGCACTTAATATAGCTAAGGTTATTAGTAGAGAGACTTACTCGGTCCTACGACAGTGTCCTTTTATAGCTACTAAACACCCTCTCTAACTTAGTAGACATTAGATTAATCGAGAGGATATTAATAGCTATCTAAGAGAGGTTTAGATAGTTTTGTTACTACGTTAGCTTAAGCTACTAGTGTATAGCGTCTTTAACAAGTACTAGAGGACTCTTAGTAAACTAGACAAACTCCTTAGGTATAGTAACTAAGCTTATATGCCGTATTAAAGCCTACTACTTAGCTAGCTTATTCGACTCCTCTATTAATAATAGTGTTATTATAATAGGCTTAACCTTGTTTTTATACTTAGTAGTCCATAAAGCGCGCGTAGCAGTAATAGCTAGTACTTGCTATAACAAAGGCCATTACTTATTAATATAGGCCTTATAATAGGTTAGATAGAGAAGAAGCGCTACCGTATAGGTAGGGGTATAGTTGTTAATAGTTTTGCTACGTATTAAGTGCAAATTAGCTAGTCTAAATAGCGGCAATAAGTGCTTAATCGGTAGAAGCGCCTTAGATCGTGTAATTCTTATAGTGCTTACGTAAGAAATCCATTAACATAAGCACTTAATTAAGAGTTGCGTTATTACCTTTACATAGCTTAGTTACCTTCTATAGTAGTTCTATAAAGTTAATAAGCGCTTTAAGGAACTACTAGTAGCGCCGCTAGAGAGTAGTATACTCTATATGCTCGTTAGTAGATTAAATAGCACGTATAGTTGCTTAAGATTAGATCCCTTGCTTAATTATAGCTAGCTAGCTATTTTACCTTATAGTATTATTAAGCATTAGAAATATACTAGTAGCTACCTTAAACTTACGACGACGGCGAGCTAACCTTATAATCCACTTAAAAACTAACGGAGGTAGTTAAGAGCTTTATAATTAGTAAGGCTAGTATCTTAAGCAAGCGTTAAGATAGCTTTTAAGGAATCTTAACTTTAATTAATTATAGTAGCTACGGTATCTATTAAGCTTACTAACATAAGTGCTTAACTAGTAAGGTTAATCTAATGTCTAAAGCAGCGAGTTCGATGTTATATAGGGTCCTAATCGATGTGTAGACGCTTGCTAAGTAGACTAGTAAGGTAGCTTATTATAGTGTCGTTATAGGTAGCATTATTAGAGGTAATATATCCGATCTTTTACTTAATGCTATACGTAACAATAGTGTTAAAAAAAGAGAAGCATACTAAGCACTAGCATAACTAGCTAGTAGCTTATAAAGAGCTAGTAATGCCTTACTTAACTTGCCGTCTAAGGCGATAAATCGAGCTATAATACTAAGTAGCTTATAGTTACTATAATTAGCCGTCTAAGCATCGTAGGTAAAGTGGACTAATAATCGAGAGGTTATAAGTAGAGCCTTAAGCTACTCTTAATAGAAGTTATGCTTCTTTTTAACGTGTTTAGTAATAGTATAATAGGTCTTAATTAAGAGCTTTAAGGCGCTAGGAAGCACCTTATTAAGTAGGGCATAGAGTAGAGGATTACTAGTAGTACGGAAGGGGATATTACTTAAGGTAATATAATCGATAAGGCGTCGGTTTAAGCGAGTTTTATCGATGTTAGTAATAGTATATAATGTCTAAGAGGGTATTACTACTACTAGCATCTTTAAAAGTATACTAGTTACCTATCTCTAGCTATGTCTCTTTTTAAGGTGTAATCTAATGTTATTATAGTTAGTAGTACTATAGTTATAAGGATAGTCTCTATTACTATAGAAGTAGTACTAGATCTTTTTCTTAAGCTTACGCTTATGCTCTCTAGAACGACGAGCTCTAGCATAAGACTAGAGCTCTTTAAAAGGTAGGAGCTAGCTTTCGAGAGCGCTATATTAATGTAGATTTAGAGTTATCGATGTAGTTACTAGGGGTCGTTAGCGTTAGTTATCGTCGCTTTAAAGGAGGAAATAACGGCTAGTCGACATTAGAGGCGCTATCGTTAGTCTTAGAGTTATTACCTTTAATAAAGATACTATCCGATTAACTCTAAGGAGCAAAGAGTCTAGGCCTTAGAGTATTAGAGGCAAATTTAAAGAGAGTGCTCTACTTAGAGGCGTATAGCGGCTAGCTCTAAGATAATCGAGAGTTTAGTTAGCTTTATAGCTCTTATAACTTATGCTTTTAATTAGCTGTTAAATACATGATATAAGCGTTATAATTAAAGGTAGATTATTTGCTTATTAAGATAAGAAGACAATTAAGAGCTAAGCTCTTATATTAAGTAAGAAGGTAGAAGATAGAATGGTTAATAAATAGAGAGGGATTAGTTAAGACGCGTCGAAAAGGACGCGTAAGGCTTTGCGTAAGCTAACTATAGACTGGCTAGTCGGAGCTTGCGATCTTATCTCCGAGATAAGATCTAGCCAATCAGAGAGCTTAAATGAGCTACTAATTAGAAAGGGCGTTATAGCAAGTTTTTATATGCAACTACTATACCTAAGCGTAGCACGCTCTAAGCTAAGGCTTACTACTATTAACCATAGCAACACTAGCTATACTAAGTGGTAAAATGGTAGAATATTCCACTTAAACTAACGATTCTATTCCATGCCAACTAGGTGGAATATTCTATCTCAAATCAGTGGAATATTCCAATATTCCACTTATTCCATGCCATTTAACATCCGCACTGCAGACGCATGACTCGCGCTTGTCTCGAGGACGACCCTGTTCTCAATTCTTGGTCTCGGAGAAAAGTCGACGACATTGATCTAGTGGTATCTCATCGTTGCCGTGTATTGCCAAGATTCCAATGTCTTTAGAAAGGCTATTGCTTTGGAAAAAGTAGTGTTGAACGACTGTGGTGGAACATTTTGTGCCGATACTTGAAGTTGTGGGCTTTGTATAGATTGGAAACTTTGGAGTTCCCAACGAGTCTCGCGAAGACAAACAGCAAAACAATTCCATCTACAAAGATCGGCATGAAATCCGTCAAAAGACTGAAGGTTCGCAAGATAGCATGGCAAAACTGAGTAGGGCATGCATCGCTGCTCCTCAGTTCGTGATACACCCAGTAGAAATTGGTCATGGAGCTTGACCCTGCTCAACTTCCTCCATTCACCGCATCACTATCCAAAAAGTCCATGACAAAGTCACGATAATCAGAAGCCTGACCGCTGTTCCTAAATGAGTGGAGCGAGAATGGCAGAAGACAGCACAAAAGAGCTCGAGCAAGGCATCAAAGCCAAGGCATGCTGTCTTCTCGAAACCCGTCCGTACTCGACCGACCCGGGCCGGACGGACAGCGGAGACGTTGCGAATGATAGCCGGCCCGCAACCACGACGAAACATACCAAAGAGTGCAGTGGAGTTCAAGCCATGCACGCAAAACGATCATAGAGATGGGGGTTGCTCGTTTCAGCGATGCACATGAGACGAACTGCAGGCCCATGGGTCGTCTCTTTGATGTAAGATTCGACCTTGACTCCTCCTTGATTGCACGCGTTCAAAACACGACGCGAACACGCTTTGGCTGCAGAAGGTACCGTTGGTGGGTGTTCCCAGGGACATCTTGCCTCTATACAGAGTAAAAAGCTGTCAAGGGTTTCATGTCGGCCGTATGGTTTGCGAAAGGTGAAAAGGTAAAAGCAGAGGACGGGCTGGCCTTTGAATGTCGAGCGATTCATGTGAATTGAGTTTTGAAGATCCAACATGCCTGCTGGAAAGGATGAGGAGTCGAAATAGAAACCGCAATTACGGTAGCGACTGCAGTGAATTGTTCACCCGGTGTAAAATCTTGGTCGACTCGATCTAATCTCAGCGGCCATTAGATCGATCGCACGAGACGCTATTGAAGATGAGTGTCGTTATGTGAAGGGAGAAGACTTGAAGAGGCATTTAACCAGCCAGCCATATACGATCTATGGACGTGTGGAAATAGCAGAACAAAGGCAGATGAGTTGTGGTGGTCGGGAAATATCGCAGCGCATTGGGACATGCAGTCANGCGACGAACTGGCAGCCGGGGTGATCGACGTGTTTCCAATTAATCTCAAACAGGGCCAGCTGAACGCCCGCTTCTCTTGATGGCTTGAAATTACGCGCTCCAAGCGTCTGNATGTGCGGATCGACTTGCGCAAACCTCGCGCACTTTTGGCTTCTGGGGATTTCCATGGCCAGCAAATCCTTGATGCATTCNGGAAAAAGAGAAGCAATCGATGTGAGGATGTGCGCAGGNGTTTGACAAATGGTAGGCTCGTCGCACAAGACGCCAGTCAAAAGAAGAGAGGGTGCTCGTGCAACAAGTGTTGGTGGAAAAGGACACAACTCCAGACTCCACAAAAGTCTGGCCCAGGTATGCTATCATCTATGGNNCGAGGTACATACAGGCGTGCTGCGCCACGATGTAGGTGGTTGCAAGGTCACGAATGACATTCGGGCGCTTACGAAAAGCTCCGAGGTTAATGACATTAGCCAGTCAGTACGCTGCATGGTGGATTGGTGATGGATCATGGATTGGACGCGTGCACGGCGCTTGGACTGATGGAGGACGGACATGCGGACTCGGAAAGCGGAAGAGAAAGAAGCATCGCAGAAGAAGCAAAAAGGAGCGGTGACGGCGATCGGGAAATGAGATGGGTGTTAGCTGGAGAGGCTAAGCGCAGGAAAAGGGAGGATTTCCCTTGCCATTCCAAGTCGTCGAGCGGCAGTGACAAGAGTGGTCTGCGGCAGTGTGATTAGGTGTGGGAAGAGGATGTTATTCCTGGAGATATTGTCGGCTGGCTTATGCCTTGTGGATTTCAAGGTTGCAAACAAAAAGTGAGGCAGCGTGCAGTTGGCCGTTTTGGTCGGCGGGTGTTTCAGGTCGAGAGCGTTGTGTGCATCAGCCGCCAGCAGTCGTTCCGCCAGGTTCATGCAGGTACCAACGCAGGCGCTACGATTGTCAACTACTGAACAAAAAGCTGCACGATGATAGAGGATGACCGAGGATGATAGAGGGTGATGGTAGACAACAGGAAGAAGCAAAACGAAGAGGTGGTTGGCAACGCGCGCGCCTTCTCGAAAAGACAGTAGATTATCGAATCAACGGCTAGAGATTGGTGTGGCTTTAGTGCGCGAGCGAAAGCGGTAGGCACTCGAGTAAGCATGCCTTTTTCTAGGAAGCGTCGTTCTAGCTTGCTATATTCAGACTCGGGACAACTACTCGAGTGGCGGACGGATGTGGAAGAGAGCAAAGCAGCTGTCGGTGTGGCCGCGGACCATCTCTCGATGCGGGTTGGTAGCATCCCAGGTGGTGATATGAAGAGGCCAAAGGTTCGAGGCTAGAGGGTTGGGGGCGTTGGACTAGAGAGTCTCAAACAGGGCACGGGCGGGCTTGGCGGGTTTCGAGTCTTTCCTGCACTTGTTTCATGAGCCTCATCAACCTCTTCCCTCTCGTGCCCTCAGCCCTCTGTCATTCTCAAACACTCCCATCAATACCCAAATCTCTCTCTGCGACACCACCTCCAGTTGCGCCTTCCCTCTCTTGCACCTGCCGTACTGCATCTAACTGCACCTGCTGCATCTGCGCTCCTTCCCTCGCACAGCACAACGGCATACCACGTTATCGCAGGCCGGCCCTCGATACTGACCGTCGCATTCCCATACCCATACCCCTCCCACACTCGCTTTACCCACGCCAAAACCCTAGTCTCTGTCTCTCGCGCATCCTTAACACATCCCCCTTACTCTAATACCCTGATCTTCATTGCAATGTACTCGACACAACACGGCGTTATAGCTGGCCCTCCTCAGGGTCGTTCGGTAGCTCCGGAGACGTTCCTCCTCGACCAGGATGCCCAAAAGAGCTTGCCGCAAGACTCGATAGTCGCTCTGCAGCAAGTCGACAACCGTACGTGTCGCATCTCTCCTTTCTCTTCCTTACCTCTATCTCCAATGGCCGATACTGACACGGACCCAGTCAAGTACTTTTTGATCTCGGCGCCCGTCGACTGGTCTCCGGATCAGTACATCAGACGCTTCCTGCTACCCACTGGCGAATACGTCTCTTGTGTGCTCTGGTACGTGCTTGTTCGCTGACCGACGAACCCCAACTCATTCCAGTCTAGGAGCAACCTCTTCCACATCTCTGGTACCGACATTGTACGATGCCTGTCTTTTCGCTTCCAGGCCTTCGGCCGTCCGGTTAAGAACTCAAAGAAGTTTGAAGAGGGCATCTTCTCGGATTTGCGAAACCTCAAGTCTGGCACTGACGCTTCGCTGGAAGAGCCCAAGAGCCCCTTCCTCGACTTTCTGTACAAGAACAACTGCATCCGCACCCAGAAGAAGCAAAAGGTCTTTTACTGGTACAGTGTGCCGCACGACCGTCTGTTCCTCGACGCGCTGGAACGCGACCTCAAGCGCGAGAAGATGGGCCAGGAAGCCACAACCGTCGCCGTCAGCGAGCCAGCCCTCTCGTTCGAGTTCGACTCGAGTCAGTCGCTGTTCGAGCAGCTCACCAAGGCCCAGCAGACCAACAGCTCGACCTTCGCAAACAACGTACCAGCAACGTCGGGCCCAATGGCAGCAAACACAATGGCGGCGGCAGCAGGAGCTCCTGCGCCAATGAATCCTCCAGCAACAACGGCCGAGTCGATGGGACCACCAGTGGGGGCTATGATGCAGCCAACAAGTATGCCCCTAACGATGCCTTCGGAGGAAATGTTGACGCAGATGCCAACGTACCAGCAGATGGCCATGCAAGCGCCCTTGCCAGCCCAGGTGCACAAGACGCGTGAACAGAGCTGCGGGCCCATCATGCACTACGAACGCGCCATGAACGCCGCCGCCCGCCACAGCAGCATGCCCGCCTACATGGAATACTCGCCCGCGCCGTCATTCGTCTCGTCACACTTTGAGGACTACAGCCAGCGCGGCCTCAGCTACGAGCCCATCACGCCTCCCCAGCCCCAGATGCAGCAGCAGTCCCACCATGAGCCTGCCTATATCGCCAACGAGGAGACGGGCCTTTACGCCGCCATGCCCGACCCGGGAATGTCGCAGTACTACAATCCACTGATGCCCGTTGCCCAGCCCATGGCAGCTCCCCAATATTCCTCGATGATGCGCCCTTTGCACCACTTCNCCTCCGCGCTCGAGGGCTCGCCCACGTACAAGCAGCGCAGACGTCGCTCGTCCCTGACCCAGCAACCACCCAACTCGACTTCCCAGAGCGTCACGTCGCACGCCGTCCATCGTCCCAGCGATCTGCGTCACTCGTCTGTCCCTGTCCACGATGTCGATCCCGTCTACCACGACTCGCCAAGAGGAGCCACCCCTGTGCGCCAGCAGAAGGAATACTCGCGTCATGCCACCCCCGTCGACGACTCGATGCCCATGGGCCAGGACGAGTACGCACAAGCATATCCTGGAGACCAGTACCGCCCCGTCAACTACGCCCAGGCTGCCGTCATGCGCACTCCCAACGGTGTCTTCCGTCGCGCCCGCAGCGCCACCGTCCAGGACATGAACAACCCTTATCCCTCCAAATCCCATTCGTGTCCCATCCCCATGTGCGGCAGGGTCTTTAAGAGGCTAGAGCACTTGAAGCGGTAAGTCCTACTTGCTGAGTTTCGAACCATGCCCGTACTAATTCGTCCCAGACACGTCCGTACCCACACGTCGGAACGCCCCTACGTTTGCCCGCTCTGCAACAAGGCCTTCTCCCGCTCCGACAACCTCGCCCAGCACCGTCGTACCCACGACGCAAATCCCGATGGCACCAGCTTCCCCGAAGAAGACTTGGAAGAGCCCGAAGAGGGCATTGACCTCTCCGAAGGCGATGTGAACGACTCGTACATTCCCATGCCTGGCATGCCATCTGAAATGCACGGCGACATGNGGCCTCCTCCCCCACACATGCACATGAGCCACATCTCGCGCGACCACATGGACCCTCACCACATGGACCCTCACCATATGGAGCCCCACCACATGCAACATTCCATGCCTCAGGGTATCGTCTCGACCGGCGCCGAGTACCAATGAAGAAAAAAGAACAACAGATCCAGAACGACACGCATTACACCTTTTCACGCGTCTCTTTTGTTTCCGGGCATGGGCTTTCTGCTTTTTCTTTTTGCTTCTTTCTTGCGTCACTCCATCTGGGCATACAGGGACAGGCGTTTTCGGAGTCGTGTGGGTTTGGTCTGCTGTCGATGCATCACTGCGTGTCGCAGCTAGGAGGCGCTAAAGAGATTGTGTCCTTTTCGACATGTTTTTGCTTTTGTTTTCTCTTTCTGTTTGACATGTCTGCGTTTTGCATTCTGCTCGATTTTGCGCAGTCTCTGATTAGAGCGCGCCATTTGTTTTTGCTGTTTCACTTTAAGCTACAGTCGGAAGAGACGACGAGAGGAGCTATCAAAAAGAGAGAGAGAGAGGAAAGAGAGGACTTTGTACAAGAGAACCACCCACATATTTCATTAATATCAACAGAGAGCGCGAAAGAGAGGAGAAACACGATATACAAGAAATATCAGACTCGAACTTTTGCATCAAAAGCTGCTGTGCGGCCTTTTTGCATGCTCACACTCGAGAAACAGATTTTTTCTTTGCTTTTGTCTTTCTTGTCCTCTTGAGTGCGTTTCTCGATTTCACTTGACTTGCTTTGCCCTTGACCGATGCCATTGTCTTCTTTCTGCTCCTGGTCCTGCCTCCGTCAAGTGCTTTTTCCAATACCACATGTCATGTATTCTGATTTTCGTCTGGTTGACGAATATAGAGGAGGTTTGGAGTCCACATGTGCCATTTCGAGATGTAGTATAGAGATGGGGGTCGACGGGACGAGATGGGACCAAAGGGACGGGATGGGATTCGACGGGACCGAAGACAGGAGCATCTGAATCTTTGAGGGCGGGACTTGATGGGACTTGGTGGGCTCCCGTGGGACCCCACCAAGTCCCATCAATACGGTACCAAAATCCATCAAGACCGTCTCTTCTCTCCGCTTTTGCTCTCACGATCAGAATAACAAGACCCAAAGCACGAAAAGGCAAAAACAACTCAAAGGGCAAAGAGTGGTATATAGAATTATACAATCGAAGAGCTATACTTGCAATCAAAAGTACAAAGTCCACACTCTCTTTGATTTCGACTGGAAAACAGACAAGAGTGAAAACACTGTAGGATACATCAAAGTCATCAATTGCCTCCTTCTACAACCTCCACCACTGCACCTCTACCGCAAACATCAATCCAACTCCCTAAGCGCACCCTCAACCTCAACTCTTCCCGCATCCGCCCTCCCAGACCCCCAAAGCCTAATCAATTCCCTCGCCTCTTGCTTTGCTCACCTCCCCCTTTGTACCGCCTGCGCAAGCACCCCGGTTTCCGCTCCNATCCAACTCCAAAACTCTGCTGCTGGGTGCAAACTACTGCTCTCTTCAATATCTTTAAGCACTTGTTGCAAGACCAGAATATTCAAATGCATGCGGCCGACTCCAAAATCGTCCATTGCGGGGATGGTGGCAGTGAAGGAGGTTAGTGCGATAGAGGTGGGGTGGGCTAGATGCATGACCAATAGCTTATGTTGTGCAGACGGCAAATGCGACGATAAATCTTCATCCAAATCAAGTAATTGCTTGGACAGCAACAAGATACTAGGATCGGGATCATTGTAAGGCTGGCCAAGCAGATAAGTAGTGTTTAATGCCCTTTGCACTCCACTGAGTATCTGGAGACGCAACTCGAGGTGCAGTGTTCGCAAGATCAAAGACCCAAGATCGGTCATTGAGGTTGTGATGGCGTCAAAGTCGCGGGAAGACTGTGTGTCGAGTGGGAGATAGATTGCTGCGTGCGGGTTTGGCGATATCAGTGTTGTCCAGCGGCGAGTTTGGTGGCGAGAAGATGTGGTGGAGGTGTTGGAGTTGCTCATTGAACTGCTCATGTGGCGGAGTTGGGTTGCGTGGGCGACGAACCAGCGCGTGCTGTTGTATAAGACGCACAAACTCCCAATGCATTTTCTATCGAGGATGAGATCTGCATCGGTAAGAGGCGAAGTTTTGACATTGGCGATAAGAGATGCGGTTTGTTCTTGCATCAATCGTTGGACATCATCGGCATTTTCGGCTTCGTGGGCGAGGAGAGTGGCTACTGCATCCCGCATGTCTGCGTTATATTCTGCGAGAGCGGCCGAGCGCTTGGGCTTTCTTTCTTGGCTAGAGTCCTGTTGTGGTCGCATGACCAGTGCGCGGTACCAGTTGTAGCATTTGTCGTAGTGGATGCGCATTTGTGCCATCACCAGTTGACTGAAGGCTTGATCGTGGGGCAGGCTGTCCAACAGCATGCAAAAGGCTTTGATCAGGTCGAGGAAGTTGGACGTGCCTCTAAATACTGGTTTCTGTGCTCGCACTTGCCATTTGGGATCTTGCTGGAAGGCATCGCTCTCGGCAGAGGCGGCCATGCACATGTCTGTCAGTGCTTCTTCCAATTGTGGGAGGAAGACGTTTATCAAAAAGTCGTCGAGGAAAGAGGTGAGAGTGCTCAAGACGATCTCCGAGCTCGGCGGTACGATGTCCTTCAACCTTGTCAAGAAGGACAGCGAAGGGGGTAGCAGGATACCCATGTTGAAGACGCTTGGCTCAACCAACAATTTATGGCCAGTTGCTGAGCGATCCTCATTCTTCTCATTCTCGGCATCTTTTGTAGCAGGCGTTGTCCCAGTAGCTGCCAGGCCAGGGACTGAAGACTTGAGGATGAAATCGAGATCCTCCTTCTCGATCGTCAGTTCAGTCGACTTGCTGTCCGTGTCTGCCAATTTGAACAAGCGCTTGTTGCGATCTCTCACATGCGGCTTGAACATGTTTGTTGCATGGTGGTGTTCAGGATGTGATGAGTTTTCGGGGCTACCACTAGCAGCCAAATGGTCATGCAGTAGACTACGGATCTCACTCTGATACAGCTTCCAGAGCTCACGGAAGCTGCGGAGCAGAGCAGGTTCGTCACTGCCTTGGCGGGACAATATACCACCGATGACTTCATGGAGAACACGATGACCTTCTGCGATGGCCTCGAACTTGGCGTATAGCGTTGACAGCATATCTTCGAGGATCATCTTCTTGTCTTGGTTGATGTCAGCGTTGATATTGTCGAGCTGGAAGTGTTGTTGTTTTGCAGCGCCACGAATTATGCCGGGATAGTTTTGCTCAACCTCGGTGTATGATCTCTCGACGACACGGAACAGCTCAACAGGTAGTCTTTGTTCGATCTGGTCGATTGCGAGATCCAGACGCGACATGCGGTCTAGTGCTTCGACCAGAAGTTGGATATACGAGAAAGTGTCTGCTTCAGGGTTGCGAGATGTGTCTTCGGTCAAGATTTGTGTAGGGTCGAAGGACTCGAGGAAGCGGTAAAGCTGACGGCCTTCAATCTCGAACGAGGCAGTGCCAGTGGTAGCGGAGCGGGTGGTGTATTGCTTCCATCGCTCTTCGCAATAAGGGCTTTTGAGGTAGAGATGGCTGTGTAGTTCCTGGATGAGTATGTCGGTGATGGAATGTTCTTGGTTGCTGAAGTAGACACGCAAGTCACTCAGAGCGCCAATGTCTTCCATGTCGGGTTTGTGCATGAGTTTGAGGGCGTCTTGTAATGTCTCGACAGCACCAAGGAAGCGCTTCTCGGAGATTTGAGCTTCGAGCTTCTCGGGCATGAGTTGGAGTTGCTCGATGTAAGCCAGGGTCTGCAGCATGTGATCATAGCTCTGACTCGACTGAGCAAAGGCTTTGAGTTCGGGACGAGTAGTACGAAGGTTTCCTTTGGCCTGGACGAGGGACTGTTTCAAGGTACGGACTCTTTGCTGCGATGACTGAATGCTGGCTTGGATCTGATGGAAAGTACCGATGGACGAGTTGAAGCCTTGATGGTGCTGGTTGACGATGGCCTTGAGAGCATTCTGCAGTTGTTGGTGCGTGTCCTGGAAACTGTGGTACTGGTCGGCCAGACCGAGAGAGCTCTGGTCCATGAGTTGTAGGGCGACCTTGACAGGGACGCACGACTCGTTCGCCATCTGGCTCCAGTGACGGTCGATGTAGCGCAAGATGTCCTCGACCTGCTTGCTGTTCTCGGCGTTGCGCATCTGGGAGGCAGCTCTGCTCCGACTCCTGCTGAATGCTCTGCCCTCTCCACTGGCTCTCTTGCTGCGGTCGAGTCGCGCCGGACTGCCCACTCGAGGGACGAAGTCGTCTGTGGCTCTTCCCAGTCCACCGTAGCCTCCTCCAGCAGCAGGACCCCTCGACCGACTCCTTCCATCCGCGCTGTTGTCTCTGGTGGTCGTGTCGAGGTCGTAGCGACGTGGGAACTGGTAGCCGTCTCCGTTGGTGTATCCTCGGTCGCCAGTGGCCGATGGACCGCGCATGTACGACATGGTGTGATTATAGAAGACCCATCAGTTGCAAACCGGAGTGAACGTCTCTCTTTCCAAAAAGTCCAGTGAGTCAGCCAGCAGTCGTGAGTTGGTTTGAGCATGAATGGTGTACACGGAGGGTGATCGGCTCAACTTCCGCATCGGGAGTGACGCGTCTCGGCTAAGTTGCCTCTCGAGCAAACATGGGAAGTTGCGACTGCGACAGCGACAGCTCGCGCTGGCCTCAGTCCATCACCAATAATCTCGACGTGCACCTTCTTATTGTTCAATAGTTCACATCGCTCCTTCCTCATCTCCATCTGCTGTCGCCAACTCAAGTCAGGACTTGGACCGGACCACGCATTCCCCTTCGCGCCAATCCATGGCCCACTGATCTCGGCGCATCCACACCTTCCACTTCGCCATGGCTGCCACGCTAAACGGCCACTCGAATGGTCTCGACGACCACGACGAAGACGTCGCCACTGCTCTCGTCCGCTTTTCACACATTCCCGCCGCCCTCGATGTGCCGCTCTCAAGTGGAGACGCCGAGGAGGCTGTCGAGGTCAATCTCGAGGACCTGATGGATGACCCAACCGAGCTGTGCACCCTGCTCGAGAACGAGAACGTCGCACGCGGCTACTGGATGACCATCGCTCTGGCCTATGCCAAGCAACAAAAGGTCGACCACGCCATCGACATTGTCACAAGGGGCCTCAGCTCTCTCTCGCGCAACGCAAAGCCCGAAGACAAGCTGTCCCTGCTGTCGTGCTTGTGTTGGCTGCGCCTGTGGCAGTGTAGAGAGGCTCCTCGTCTGAAGCCTGGTACCGACCATCCCACCCAGAATACTCCGTCACGACTGACCTGTCTACAGACACCCAACTGGCCTCCGAGGCTCGTAACAAGGAGTACTACATCCACCAGGCCACCAGCACCCTCAACGAGGCTTCGCGCATCAGTCCCACTTACCCTCCCCTCTTCCTCGCCCGCGGTGTCCTTTATCTCCTCCGTGCTTCGCTACAGCCCTCCAAGTCCTCGTCGACCGCCCAAGAGTCTGAGCGCCTCGACACGCTCCGCCAGGCTGCAAAATGCTTCGAAGACTCTCTGCGCGCTTCCCACGGTCGCAACATGATGGCCGTCATGGGCAAGGCCAGAGCCCTCTTCTCCTCGGCAAATACCCCGATGCCCTTCACAACTACCAGTCCGCTCTCGAGCGTGCCCCACATCTCCAAGACCCGGATCCGAGAATCGGCATAGGCTGCTGTTTCTGGCAGCTGGGTCACAAGGATGAGGCCCATAGCGCATGGCAGCGCGCCCTCGAGGTCAACCCAACTTCGAAGATCGCCAATATTCTGCTCGGCCTGTACCATCTCGACCAGAGCGCAAAGCTTCCCACCACCGACCCCGAGTTCCAGCAACACTACAAGAAGGCCATGACCGAATACACGCAGACTGCCTGGAAGCTCGACAACAAGTTCCCTCTGACTTGCGCCACCTTCGGAAACTACTTCATCCTCAGAAAGGCCTGGCCCACGGTAGAGCGTCTTGCCCGTCAAGCCATCGAAGCCACAGATGTCAACGCAATCGCCAGTGATGGTTGGTATCTCATGGCCCGCAAGGAACACACCGAAGGAAACGTTGCCAAGGCCACCGACTACTACAACAGAGCCGATCAAGCAAGAGGTGGTGACGAAAGAGGTTATCTGCCTGCCAAGTTCGGTGCTGCTCAGCTCAAAATTCTTTCCAAGGACTGGTCTGGCGCAAAGTTCCGTCTCGAGAGCATTGTTCAGTCCACCAAGAGTGCCGAAGCCATGACTCTGCTTGGTCTCTTGTACGCTGAAGAAGTCTACGCCAACCAAAACGCTGGCTCCAAGGAAGACAGGTCGTCCGAGATGAGAAAGGCTATCGGTCTCCTGGAGGGCGTTCGCAACACCTGGAAGGACCCCAAGAAGAAGGCTACCCCTGACTCATACGTCCTCTTGAACCTGGCCAGACTTTACGAAATCGAGAACCCCGAGCGAAGTCTCCAATGTCTGCAGCAAGTCGAGCAGATGGAAATGGATGACATTGACGAGGAAGATCGTCCAGACACCAAGGATGAAGCAGAGCTGAAGGCCGCTCTTCGTGAAATGCTCCCACCACAGCTGTTGAACAACATGGCGGCCTTCCACTTCCAAGCCGAACGATTCAGCCAAGCCAGAGACCTGTTCCAGACTGCCCTCAATGCATGTGTCAAGGCTGGCGCAAAGGACAGCGAACTCGATACCGACTCTCTAGTCACCTCCATCAGCTACAACTTGGCCAGGACTTATGAGGCCGAACACATGGTGGTCGAGGCCAACCAAGTTTACCAAGGTTTGCTCGAGCGTCACCCCGATTACACAGATGCCAGGATCAGACTTGCATACATTGCGTTACGCGAAAACCCCTCTGAAGGTGCTCAGGCTGTTAAGAAGTTGCTTGAGTCAGAAGCTGGCAACCTCGACATTCGTGCTTTGTATGGATACTACATTCACAAGGCGAAGAAGCGAACCATGAACCCTGCCGAGGATCAAGAGCAGAGACACTACAAGCACACTCTTCAACACCACGACAAGCACGACAGATACTCTCTGACTGGTATGGGAAACCTCTTCTTGCAGGTTGCCCGCGAGATGCGCAGAGATACCGACCAGGACAAGGAGAAGCGTACAAAGACGTACATCAGAGCTATCGAATTCTTCGACAAGGCTCTGCAGCTTGACCCTCGCAACGCCTATGCCGCTCAAGGTATTGCCATTGCACTGATTGAAGACAAGAAGGATTACGGAACAGCGATCCAGATCTTTACTAAAGTTCGGGAAACCCTGAAAGATGCCAGTGTCTTCATCAACATGGGTCATGCATTTGTCGAGGTCAAGCAATTTGCCCGCGCAATTGAGAGCTACGAGGCTGCCCTTTCCAAGGATCGCACGCATGACCCCAGCATTCTCGCTTGTCTCGGTCGCGTATGGCTCATGAAGGGCAAGCAAGAGAAGAACATGCAGGCCATGAAGACTGCGCTTGAATTCTCGAACCGCGCTCTGGAGTCATCGCCTGAACAACTTCACTTCAAATTCAACGTCGCCTTTGTCCAGATTCAAATTGCCCAACTCATCTACACTCTACCGGAGGCCACGAGAACGCTTGTTGATCTCGAGGCTGCTGCCAATGGGTTGGATGAAGCTATCGAGAGTCTTATGGCTATCGCTCGCGCACCGAACCCACCTTTCCCCAAGAACGACATCGAACAGCGTGCCAACATGGGAAGAAACACTATGCGCAAGCAATTAGATCGTGCTCTGCAAAGTCAACGCGATTTCGAGCAGAAGAACGCATCCAGGCTCGAACAGGCTCGTTCACAGCGTGAGGCCGAGATCAAGAAGCGCGAAGACGAGAAGAGAGCGCTCGAAGATGCAAAGGAAGAACGCAGAAGAAAGATCGCCGAGGAGAGACAACGAATGCAACAACAGGACCGTGAAATCGCCGAACAGAAGATTGAGGAGGAAGCTGAGCGCAAAGCCCGCGAAGATGCCGAACTCACCACTGACGAGGAAACCGGTGGCCGAAAGAAGAGAGAAAGGAAGCCCAAGGGTGCGAGAAGAAAGAAGAAGGGTGGTGACAGCGATTCAGACATCGTCAACGACGAAGATGAGGCCTCTGATGCTGATGCTGATGCCGAGTTTGGCGGAAGAGAAAAGCGACAAAAGTCCAAGCGACGCAGCACTTCAGCCGCCTCCGACGATGATGACGGCGAGAAACCCAAGAAGAAGAAACGTAGAAAGCTCGAAAGAAAGGGCAAGGTTGCCGAGCCAAAGGGCAAATTCAAGAGCTCCGAGGTTGTGGTGGACAGCGACAGCGACGATGATGCTGTTGCTATCCAGAACGAAAACGCGAGACTTGCCGAGAAGATCAACGATGAGGATGACGCCCAAAGGAAGCTCGAGGAGACGAGTCGATGGGAGAGGAAGGAGAGGACGAGGACACTGTTGTTGAAAGGCGGAGAAAGAAGCCTGCTCGTGTGATCGACGACGACGATGAAGATGAGGACGAAACTCCGGCCGCTACTGGTGGAGATGTCTCGATGGTTGACGAGACTGTCACAGCAGCTGGCAATGAGAACGCCCCAGACTCATAGGTATCTATTTCTTTTCTGTATAACACGCATAGCCAGTATATCTTCAGGGCAGGCGTTCACACATATCTTGACGATTTTCAGCACCACGATATGGGCAGGTTCAAAAGCGCTGCAGCATTTTACGTTCAGTCCACAAATCGAGATAGAAGGAAAAAGGAATTGTAATCTTGTTTCAACAAAATCGATTGTCGTGCCTGAGAAACGGTCGAGGTGGTGCGAGCAGTGTGAACATGGAGAAGGTTCGTTGGAGCTCCACCACATACTCCACAGGTAAGCAGCTCCTTTCCCAATCAACAGCTTGAGACCTGCTGACAGCTTAGCTTCAGTGACTTTCTCCCATCGCCATTGACTTTCATCCTACTTTATTGTATCCACCAACTCACCTTCTTGATCGATCCTGCTGCTCCACATCGCGTCACGGCCATCCACACGAGCAAAGCTTTCGATATCAGCAGCCATCCCAACCCGTCTATCAGCTCTTTCATGGCTCTCTTGCGCGGGCGACACGACAACTTGCTCCACAGCTCAAAGATTTACCCTTCACCCATGCAGCACATAAGCTCGATCACGGATTTCTACTGGATAGCAGCACCATGAAGCTCGTACTCTCGAGCAAACAACATCTGCCTCCATGAAAGTATCCTCGACTTTTGCCGGTTCCTCAAGAAGCAAGCATACGAGCTCATGCTGACGTTTGCAGAGGGCTCTCTTCGTGACCTTTTCCCTCTTCTCTCATCACGACTGTTCATAACCAGCCCACATACAGCTGTCTCCCAACATCAGTACTGCAAAAGACAAACGATCAGTTCTGAGTGACTCTCTATACGCCGAAGATGCGTTTCGCTGATACTTCGTTGGCGGCGGCGTGCCTTGTGCAGCTGTTCGCGCCTGGATGGGGTTGGCATTTTGCCAACGAAACTTCTTCTCTGCAAAACTCGACTGCTTCTTCAACGGCTACTTCCTCTTCGCAGAATTCGACTGTGTCTTCGACAGCTACCTCTTCTTCGACAGCTACCTCTTCTTCGCAGAACTCGACTAGCCACACAACGACCACTTCCTCCTCGCAGAATTCAACTGTCTCTTCGACAGCTACTTCGACCACTGCTAGCCCTACCACCTCGTCCTACTCTGTCGATGGTGTCACGTTCAAAGTGCAGAGGGACACGATATACAGCGGCACCTTGCTCAACCTCGTGAGACGCGATTTCCTCAAGAAAAAGCGATTCGCCGCTGATGGTCTCGATGGATGTATGGACAAGTGTGCAAACAACACGGCCTGCTCTGCCACCTCCCACAACAAAACCTCGAGCACATGCACGTATTACAGCTCGGTCAACCAAAGTAGCGAGAAACAACAAAACGGAACCGACTTCGCTATCGTCAATAGTCGCAATTTGACCAGCAGCAGCAGCAGCAGCAGCAGCACCATGCCGACTGCCATGTCCACTAGCACGGCTTCATCCTCGACAATATCCATGTCGCACTCAAACAGCTCTTCATCATCGAGTCACTCCATGACTACGTCCGCCAGCAGTACTTCGAGTCGCTCCACGTCCGTGACCGCAAACAGTACGTCGAGCCACTCTACTACTATGAGCATGAACAGTACATCGACTCATTCCAGCGCTTCGAGTCATTCACCAACCATGGCTTCAAACACGACATCATCTGCTTCAGTTACTCCGACCAACCATGTCGGAGCAAGAGCCTGTCTACAGATTTCAGTATCCGGAAACACCTTTACCGACTCCAACAATGTCACATACGCTGTCATCTGCACTCAGAAGAAGAAGAAGTGGGTGCTCTTGCTCTTGGCAGAGCGTGCTTTGTCTCCCCGCCAGAACGGCGACGTGGGTACCGTCCAATCAGGCAGCTTCGAAGGTTGTGCTCCTTATTGCGATAGCAAGACGCAGTGCAACTCTTACAGCTACAACTCGACCAGTGGAATGTGTTATCTCATGAGCACTAACAACGTAGCTCAACCCGTTGCCGGTTTGGACTATGCATACAAGGTTCAAAGTCAAACATCCTCCAGCTCAACCCCGACAGCTTCGACCACTTCCAGCAGTTCGAGTACCTTGAGCACTCCGTGCACCTCTAGCACTTCTTCGTCATCAACCTCTGATTTTGTTCCTGATGGCTATTCCATATCCAAAACCACAATTTGTGGTGATCCAACCGGACCTCCGATAATCACGGCGTCGGCGACCTCGAGCCCATCCACTACACCGTCGTCTTTTTATCCCCAAGTAGCTCGAGCGCCAGCTCGAGCACCCCGGCGTCTAGCACTACAACATCGTCTTTGTCTTCAGGCACTTCTCCGTCATCCTCGATTTCCAGTAGTCCTCCACCGCCATCTTCGACAACTACTAGCTCATCATCTCCTTCACCGTCTACAAGTGTGGCCACTGTGACTGCTCCTGGGAGTACTGTTGTCAGTGTCTCCACTGCTCCCGGAAGTACGGTCGTCAGTGTTTCCACTACAACCGCTTCTCCTCCACCATCTTCGACAGCAAGCTCGTCTTCCAGTACTTCGGCCTCGGCTCAAGTGAGAATCGCAACCCAAGTTCGCGTGGTGGCACCTGGAACCAGGACCGTCAACAGCGCGGCTCCCAGTGTCGCAACGGTGGTTTCTCAGCAGACCAACGGTGCAGTAGTCACATCCTACTCCGTCGTTCCTGGCGGCAGCACGGTCACCGTTCTCAATACCGTTACCAGTGTGAGCTCTGTCTATACCTCGACCAGAACAGTAAACTCCGTAAGGCGCTCGACCGTAACCAGAGCCCAAAGCTCACAGCCCTCTGTTATAACCGTTGGCGCCGTCACTGTGACCTCTGATGTCGTTGTCCCCAGCGGCTATACTACTGTCACTACATCTGGAGGCACAAGCACGATTACGCAGACGACTGAGAGAACTGTGGCTACAGGTGTGGCCACTGTGGTCAGCATGTCTACGGTCACTGTCGCTACGGTGACGACTACCGGCTCGTCGACCGTGACGTCTGGCATCAGTACGATGACTATAGATGCTGCTCCTGTGAGCTTCATGACTGTCTGGCGTAGAGATGAGAAGCCCATGAAGGAAGAAAAGGTCGGGAAATAACCCGAGGAAAAGGAGGATAAGGGGGAAGAAGTCAGGAAGACCTTGGTTTGCCAATGACGGTTTGACCGAGATGTGGATGTAATGTTCGCGATCATCTACCTTCACACCTCTCTCTCTTCCGTCATCATCTCCAAATTTTCACGCTCCGTTCGTTGCCTTCCACGAACTTGAAGAGATATGAGAAAGAGACAGTAGAAAGGCAAAGAAATTTTCTGATTTTGACATGAAAGGGGAGGAAAACATGAAGATTTTGTATATTCGCTTATGATTGTTCTTTGCACAATCATACTAACCATAGCCACTCGTTCCTTGCCTACGTAATGTAATAGTAGTCCTTGGTCGTAGTCATTAGTGTCAGTCAATACCAAATCATCATTCGCTTCTTATCGCAAGCCTCTTGTTTCCATCTTGTTTGTACCCTGATTCTATCTTGTCGTTATACTGGTTCCTTGCTTAGTTGCTTCTAGATTTCACCCCAGTTCTATGGCATTTCTTATCTTGTTTATCACCTCTATGATCTTGGTTCTGTTCTTATTACATATCTCATTTCTACTCTGTTACCACCTCATTCTGACCTTGCGAAAACGCCGTATAAAAGAATCTCTAATCAATTGTTTTTAGATGCTACTATAGAGATACTTGAATATAACCTTCTTTTTGCAGATATCGCTCTTTCTATATAAGAGTTTATGCGGTTTCTGTAGCTATGACTATAGACTATAACTACAACTGTCTATTACACGTAGGGGAGGCACGACTCTTAAGTCCCGCTCATCTCGCGTGACGTTCCGTTTGGCGAATTCCCTACATAACTATACGAAATCTCTATAGCGATTCCTAGAATTTCCCCTAGAAGGGTTCATGAAAAAAAGAAAAGAAAAGAAAAAACCCCCAGAGGAAACGAAAATCTTTTTGGGATAAGAATTATCATGTGTTTTGTTTGATGATAAATCTTACTTGCACATTATTGGCTTCAAGCGACACCCCCGGGAGAAAAATGAAGAAGCTTGTAGGTTTTGAACAGAATAAAATGTATGCATCGAATTTCTCTTCCTAATTTGTCATAGACCAAAAACAGCCAGTGAACATGCAAATGGTAAAGGAGCAAGCTATCTTCTCCTCTTACCTTCATGTCCACCGAGCTCACCTTCACCTCTTCTCTTTCTCTCTGAACGAATTTGTCCTTGTTGTGCTTGTCCCGCATCACCCTGCTGTCCACCACCACCTCGTCGTCCACTACCTCCGTCTTCATTGCCACCGCCTCGCCTATGTCCGCCTCCATTTCCATCATCGCGTCTTCCTGAGTTTCCATCATTGCCGCGGCTTTCGCGACGATGATACTCGCTGCCACCTCGATCATCGCCTTCGTATCTCGGCACTCTGCCACCACCATAGCCAGAAGCATCGCCTTGCTGAGAGGGAGGTGCAAAGCCTTGAAGCGGTTGTGCAGCAGAAGACAATGTAGGTGTGGGTGGTGCAGTGCCTCTACCACCACCATATCCATCTCTCTCGTTGCCACCCCGCGAAGACCTAGGTCCGCGGCCGGAGGATTGATGACTGCGGTAGTCGTCTGCAGGTGGTGGGGTGGAGGTAAAGGGTTGGCTGCAGCATGACCATGGCTGCCATGATTCGAATGGCGAGATTCACCTCCATCACGGCCATGACGTCTCGAATCTCTCTGTTCGCGGTCCTCGTGACGTCGGTTGCCGTCTTGATCTCTAGATGCAGAGGTTGGCGTGGAGAAGTCGTTTCTCATTGCTGTTGAAGGCATGGCGGGTGATTGTGTGGAAACAGGGCTGGGCACGGCAGATGCAGACATCATTGGATTGGAGCCTTGTCCTTGGCGTCCGCCGGCTCGTCCTCTTATGGATGCGCCATTCGGATTCCCGCTCTGCAATGTGTCGTTCAGCAAAGCAAATCTGCGGTCTGTGCCATTGTTCCGACGATCACTTGCAGGTCCAGCCGGAGCACGAGATGTAGCTGATGATGGCCCGGAAGGTGTGTTCGGAGCAGATGGGTTGCCCATACCCATACGCGGTCCCGTAGGTGTGGATGCACTCTGCTGTATAATTTCGGGGAGTTGACCAAGGCGGCTGGGGTGGATACCTACAACTTCTGGCTGAGCAGGCTGTGGAGCAAAGCCTGGTGCGGGGCCCGAAGGTGGGGGCGGAGGTGGAATCGGCGGGAATGGCGATTGTTGCGAGCCTTGACGATCATGGTGAGGACGTCTGTTGCGACTACTGCTCGGCTCCTGAGGGGCATTGTGTGGTGCATCTCTTGCATCGCCAGGGCGGCCATTGGGAACACCTTGCCCAGAGAAATTTCTAGGACCATTGTTGCCAAAGCCTTTGGGGCCACTAGGGGGTCCAGAAGGTGGCTCTGGTGCAGAGCTCAAGCGTCCATAGTTTGGATCTTGCATTTGCGTATCAACGGCTCTTCTAGAACCGCGTGAAGGCTCAAACAGATCCTGGGCGACAGACTTGGGAGGTACATCGTTGCGACCACCTCCTCGTCCACTTCTGCCCGCTGCAGGTCCGGTCGGTGGCGGTTCCTCTCGCTTCTCCACCTTCTCAGGCTGGGCACGATGACTGTCACGTGCGGCGAAGGGATTGGGATCAAGAGGCTGTCTGCGTGGTGCTTCCTTTGATGCTGGTGGTGGGGGATCAACGGGTCTCTTGGGCGATTGCGGTCTTGAGTCTCTCGATCTCCTGTCATCACGAGACGAATTTCTCGATCTGCGATCGTTGGGAGGTACATCGCCAGTAATTCTGGCAAGGCGTTCCGGGTTGACAATGACTGCAGGCTCTGGCGGCTGAGCAGGATGAGAAGATGCTCGACTCATGGACGGGCGATCGGAACGTTCGCGATCAGTACGGTCAGAACGTTCAGAACGCTCTGGACGTTCGGACCTATCGTAGCCTGAGCGTTCGGGAGGAGCCATTGGGCTGGGACCACCAGGGTATCCTCTGTTCTCCTGCAGAAGAGTTCTTCCAGGATGAGGTCTGGCAGGTCCGTATTGATCACGCTCAGCCATGCGTGGCTCTTGCACGGCTGGAGGCTGGGGTCTGCCATAGTGATCGCGTCTGTCATCACGAGGAGGGTAGTCTGGTGATCTCTGACGGCTTCTGCCTCCACGTGCTCCCAGAGGTGGAGATGCTTCCCTCGGCATACCGGTAGGGTTGGAGCGCATGGCCTCGCTAGGTCTATCAAGTCGTCCATACTCAGAAGGATGACCACGCTCGTGAGATTCGTGTCGAGGAGGTAGTTGTGCAGGTCCTCGTCCTGGTTGCTGTCTCGTAGTGGGAGGAAGTTCTGGCTTGCTAGGCAGAGAGTGAGGCATCCTGGTGGGCTGTGTTGATGAAGGTCTAGAATCGTTGCGTTGCGAGGGAGTGTGAGCTCCCGACTGGCCTTCGTTGGCCCTTGGTAATGGCTTAAGAGCAGCCTTCCTCTCTGGCAGTGACTCCAACTTCTCGTCAGTAGCTGTTGACTTGCCTGTGGCTTGCTTGTCGTCGTCGATCTCTCCGTCCTCCGATTCACCTTGCTGAGCTGGAACAGGAGGAGCCTTGAAGGCTTGAGCTGCAGGGTTGAGGGGTGTCGAAGTACGAGAAGCAGGGGTCTCGGCTCGTGAAGGAATAGGCTTGGCATTGGGATCGGGTTTCTTGATAGTGTCAGATTTGTTGTTCGGCGGTGGTGTTGCGGTACTCACTCCTGTAAAGTGCTCCTTGGAAACCCAAGAAGACTGTCTCTTGCGGATGTCGCCCAACGTACTGGCAGCAGCAAGTTTGAGATCAGCTCTGCCGTCAGCCTTGCTGAGAGCAGTAACGGCATCAAGGATGATCTTGCCCATTGGCTCTGCGACTGGGAACTGTTGGGCAACAGCCTTAAAGACGATGATGGCATTACGAATATGCATGTACTCGCCAGAGTCGAGACACATTTGAAAAGCGGCGTTCAAGTTCGAGTGCCACTTGTAAAGTAGTACACGGTATTCTTCGTAGTTGAGGAAAGTTTGTGGTGTGTTGTCCGGGTTCAGTTTCCTGGCGAAACCGGTAAGTTGCTTCTTTGCTCCGAACGCATTCTTTTCGTACGCAGCCTTGTCAGCATGCCAAGACGAAAGCTCCTTCAGGACTTCATTCAGGAAGCGACCAAGATTCTCGGATTCTCTGGGCGTGCATTGGAACATGAGTGATGACAATTGGTTCTTGCGTAAAAGACGATCCAGCAGATGCATAGTTCGGAATCCGGGAGCACCATTGTTGTGGAGGAACTTCAACATCATGTAAGTGTAGTGAGCGTCTAGAGGCGAGTTCATCATTCTCGGGAGGAAGCAGTTTTGGAGTAGACTGGTGTGCAAAAGCTCAACCTTGTTATGGAAGTCGGTGAACCAGTGGTCCTTCTCCTTGTTCAATCTGTTGCGGACCTGAGTGTAGGCGCCAATTTGACTCTTCATTTCCTGGGTGAGCTTTTCCCTCAACTCAGTGATAGTCTTCTTTCTCTTATCCTTTTCTTGCATGCCCTTGCCAGTAACATCAGTGCGATCGTTGTTTATTTGGTTGATGAGGTGAGATTGTGTGGCGAGTTCCTGATCATAGCTATTGGTGTTGACCAGAATATCCTCAAGTCCAAGGGTCCAGAAAGTGACGTAGAATGGAATGCTAATACTCTGCTCCAGCTTGTCGCCGAGAAGCTCCCGTGTCTTTTCGATGAGTGGGGTCAAAACAGGATGCCAATGTGTCTCGGGAGATGGAGTTGGTGTTGTGGTATCGACCCCATTGGCATGTGCAACACTCTTCATCTCTGCATCTGTCTCGGTGAGGGAGAGCACAGGCTTCTCCTCAGTGGGTGGCGAGGTGACTTCCTCGCTTTTGACGTCCTTCTCGTCAGCATCTGCCATAGCGACATCGCCATTGGCAATAGCTGACTGGCTTGATCGTCTGGCTTGTTGTTCAGCCTTTTTAGCAGCGTCGCTCTCGGCAATAGCATGAGCAACACTTGTACGCCCGATCATGAAGGCAAGCGATGGCTCGAGACCAAAGTCACCCATCAGGCTAACCGTGTCTGGGACGACGGCATCAAACTCGTCTGGTGACAATGTACTTCGCAGAGTCTCGAGATATTGGTTGAAGACCTGGTAGAGCTTGTCCATGTTGTTTCCAAGAACCTTCAAAGGCGCGTCTTGAGTGGATTCATGGTGGGCGTACATCTGACTTTCCTGTGCGACGGAGATCAATAGTTGGCCAGCCAGCCCAGGCTCGGTAAGTGCTTTGATCAGACGACGAGATGGCTTTTCCATCTTGTGTCTTTCATCAAGCAAAGAGATGAGTGTTTGAGCCTTGAGAACGGGCCCTCCCGCCATAGCAAGAACCTGGGACTCGTTGAAGGTCATATCAGATTTGATACCAACCATCTCGGTGATGATCTGCTCGAGAACCTCGAGGTCGGTAGAATTGCCGGCACGGAGCTCGTTTGTGACATATTGTAGGATTGGAGAAGGATCCATAGCCGAGTAGCGCTTGAAAATGGAACCAGCGAAGGTCGAAAGAGCACGTAACCAAGGACTGGTAAGCATACCATCAGCTTGTACTCGATTTCTACCACCACCTCCAAGTGCGTTCATCAAACACCAGGTCAAAACATCATATCCAAGCATGCTGAAGTAGCGAACGCATTCCACGACAACATCAATAAGATTGTCGTATGACTCCATTTGATGAATAGCAACTTGCATGACAATACCAGGAGAAGAGAAGGCAACTTTGGATAGTGCCTTTCCCATGGCTCTCACGTTGGTCTTGCTGATACGTTTGAGAACATCCTTTGTCTCGGCCTTGGTGAGGTCGAAGGCGGATTTGATGTCAGGAAGGCGGGACGTGTTGCCGTAGTGCCACTCAGCATAGATGGAGTAGCGGGTGCTGGTGGGGAAGAATTTGAGAAGTTCAAACATCTCGTTGACATCGCCAGTGTTGTGCTTGGTCAGACTGAGAGCAGGGACCAGAAGCCGCTTGCAAAGATCAATCCATCGAGCATAGTTGGTGTCTGAAGGATCATCAGTCAAACTCTTCTTACCAATGCGAGCGAGCTTCATCAAGAGAGCAGAGTCTCTACCGATCTTGACACCGGTCAAGTTCAGGAAGGTGCTGCAAAGTTGGAAGACATCGTCTACCGACTGGCAGATGGGAATATTGTCCACCCAGTCGTCCCAGTAGAACTTGTACTCGACTGCGTCGCCATAATCAGGACGATCGAGGTTGGCCCACCTCAGAGTCTTTGTTGGTGGTGCAGGGGTGAGGTTGAGCTGGCCCTTGGGCAAGCCAGTAGGATCGCCGATGTGAGGTCGGGCGTCGTTCATGCCAGGTCTATTGGCGAGAGGTCTGGCAGGTTCGTAGACCTTGGTGAGCATGTGGTGGAGAACGCGATGGATGTAGTCGGGTAGTTCGTGAACAAGATCAGTCAACCAAGGGAATCTGCCAAGGATGTACAAAGCCTCGGGCAGACAGCCAATGGCGAGTAGACTCTTGACTAAAGCGGCCTTCTGATTAGCGGGCTCAGGCAAAGCTTCCTTCTCGCCGTCCTCAGCAGCGGCTTCAGCAGCATCGGGCTCAACCTTGGGAGTAGCTCGTCCAGAGGCATTGTCTCGTAAGCTGCGAACAGCAGGATGCGGAGCAGGTGCAGTGTCATCTGCGAGGGCGCCAGCCATGGCGAGAGCATTGAGAGCACCGCCACCAGGCTTTGCGGCCTTTTCCCTTTCGAGTTTTTCCTTTTCCAATCTCTCCTTGGTCTCGCCCATCTTCTCATCCGGCGGGTACAAGTGAGGGTAGAGGTCTCTCAGGGAGATGAAACCAATCTTGATCAGGAAAGCGGCGAGGTAGATGAGATTGTCAGGGAGGACATCATGCTTGTCGCGTGCAGCCGAAGAATAGAAGGCGAGCTTAAAACCGAGTAGTTGAGCGGCGTCCGAGTTGCCAGGNGGTACGACGCACCCAGTTTGACGCATCCATTTGCGAGCGTTATTGGTACGAAGGCGACGGATCATGTTCATTTCACGACCTCTGCCATCCAATTCGGGCTTGACTTCGGTGTCGAGAAGGTCGGCAACAGCGGCCGCATCGAGGTTTGTCATGTGGAGAGCGCCAATCTCGAAGAAAGCATCCATGCCCACCTTGCGCACCTGCTGCCAGAAATCTACATCGCGAGCTTCTTTGAGAGCGGCCAGCTGAGCACGCTGTTCCGCAGTCTGACTCCAGGATCCAGAGTGAGGAAGAGCCCACGCTGGAAGAGAAGTAAAGCCCTGGCCTCGAGTGTGGAAGCCTTCAGGGACGTGTTGTTCGGGCCACCACGAACTCGAGCGTAGATACTTGATGAAGAAGCGGAAATTTTTGATCAGAAGGTTGGCCATGACGTCCAAAGTAATGTCCAGTACGCGGCCAACATCGAGATCGAAGGATCCAACGAGAGCCTTGATGCGTTGGAACGTATCTTCGGCGATGAGATCCGAGGTTGAACCAGCATTGGCAGCGTTGAAGTATTCGGTGATGAGTTTGGAGTAACCCTCGGACTCTTCACGCAGCAGATTGAAGTTGGCCTGGCGGTAAATGAGGTTGGTCGTCTTGCGGTTGCGAATGGTCGAGAAAGTGTTGCGCACAAGGCCAAGAGCAGACAGCGGTTCAATGTCGAGCTCGTTGCGGAGAAGATGGGCAGAGAGACCGGCATGGTGGATGAGCGTCTTGAGAACGGGATTCTTCCAGTCGGCTTCGTCGAGCAGAGCCAGCGTGTCGGCAAAGACAGACTGCAGCTCATCGGTGGGAGCAACTTGTTTCAGCACTTCGGCGCACTCTCCAGCAGACAAGCGACCATCCAGCGTTGTTCTCAGTAGCTCTTGTATGACTGCGCTCGACATCATATCCTTGTCTTCTGCCTTCTCCAGAGCGTCCAGAACCGACTGCTTTCCCTTTGCCTGCCAGGCACTCACGGCATCGTCTGTCAAGTAGTCGTAGGCATAAGGAGCGGGGGTTCCTTTGGCGTCGGCGGGTACTGAGGGAGGACGAGAGGTGGAGCGGGCGTAGCAGAGGGTGTTGAGGTCAGGGCAGGGCGTGCGGGCTCGGGTTGCTGCTGCTGTTGTTGCGGCGGCAGTTGCGGTTGCGCACTCTGCTGTGGAGTGTGCGGAGGTTGAGCGGGCGAGTTCCTGGCGGAACCAGGTTGGGAGAAGTTGGCATGGCGGTTGTGGGTGGGAGTCGAGTTGTTTGAGCGGTTCTGGCTTCCATTCCCATTGCGACGGTTGTTGCGCTGGTTCNTGCTGAGCCAGATTGAGGTTCTCGGGACGGTGAGGTGAGGCGCGCGTCTGGTGGTCGTCCTGCGGGCGCTTCCTCTTTTGCTGTGCAGGCGCCATCGTTCACTTCGCGCTCAGTACCCGGGAGAGAGAGATACAAGTGTATTGCTCATGGGTCGAGTGTTTGCTGCGGGTGCCTGGTCGCACTTTCTAGTCCTGGAATGTTGCGCGTCGCTGTACTTGCGAGACTCGGCCAGTCCAAGATTCCAGCAAGAGATACGCGTTGGGCAGTCACTGAGTGTGTAGGGAAAGCGCGTGGGTCGCTCCTTCTTGTCGTCGGTCAAACTCTCAAGCTTCCATCTTCGACCGCCGCATCCAACTCGGCCTGGTCTGTGCTCAATACCAGAATTCGTCATTGTTGTCGGCCTATTCCCTTGTCACCAGCATATTGTCACTTGTTGGAGCGCAGATTGAAACAATACGAAGCATTACTGAAGCTACATGTACTCGAAGCCATGATATGAGTCGTCTCCCGTGCACCTCATGGTGAGGTATACTGGAGTGAGAGAAAAATGCTATAACAAAACCCATCGCTATGCCATCCAAAATCAATCAAACATCAATCAAACAGAGGCCGTTCAGTCAAGGCAGACCACATAAGTTCAGGTAGAGGTCGTTGTGTCAGCGCAGTCTACACAAGCCCTCTAGCCAACCCCTTGGCCGTGCCCGTCACTCCGTCTGTCTTTTTGTCACGTTATCCACTCCAGCCTGTTTGGTCACTCCGTCCAAATTAGCTTGCTTGGTGGCGTTACCCNACGTTAAGATTCTTCCTAATCGAGTCTGCTTGCTTGCCCATGTCGACTCCACTCGACTTGGCCGGGTTGTCTTGAAGCTTTCTGGGCTTACCGTTCTGCTTGGGGCTCGCATCGACTTTGCCATTCTGACCAGAGTGGTCCGGGTACTCCTTACGCGCACCACCCATGATGAAGTCGAGTCTTCCACCGGTAAGAGCATTGATCTTGTCGCCAATAGCATCGCCCTCTGCTGCAGGGGTCTCGCCCTTGTTGAACCACTTGAGGAGGTAGTATCCACCCAGACCCCAGAGGAAGAAGAAGCATGCAGCGAGACTGGTGAAGAAGACGGTGGGGAATAGTATGACCAGAGCGATGACGACCATGAAGAGGGTGAAACCAATAGCGACGAGCAGGCCGACCAGCAAGGCGACGACGAGCGAGAAGATGAAGACGGTCAGGGTGAAGAGGATGAACAAGAACATGGGCGGGCCCGTCAGGGCAATGTTGGTGAGGAGGAAGGCNCTGGTACACTTGTCAGTTGCTGTGAAGAGGCTCAAAGATATGGGTGTTGGACGCACCGACAGCTTTGGGTTCTTGATTGCAAACTGCTGCAGCTTGGTCAAGAGCTCCTGACGGCGCTCTGGCGGAAAGACCGAATCAAGGATAGACATGGCTTTGGTGGTGACGGTGTTTGCCAGGCCTTCGATGGTGCTCATGATGCCAGACATGTTGGCGAGCTAGAGGTCAAGAAGAAGGTTGAGACTAGGAAAGGCAGATGGCGGGGAGGTGTCTCAGGTTGGTAAGAAGGAGGGCAGCTTTAACAGCTTTGCTGTATGTCTAGGAAAGAGCGACAGCGACTTAGCTAGGAGTTCACAGACTATAGGGCAGCTGCCTGTTACGCAACACAAGACGGGTGGCACCGCATTTCTGAGCAAGACGGCAGAGAAAGCAGGGTTCCAGACAGGGAAGGCAGTCGCGAAAATGTCACTCTTGGGTGGTGACAGTTGCGGCACGGGCCATACCGCATGACTCTGGACCGTTCCAGAAGCTGGAGAAGTTTGACTCGCTTTTGTAAAAAGTTTGGGCGCCTTCCTAACTGCAGCGCAAGTCTGCATCTGCGTGCCTTCCCTTAGACACATCCCACAATGGCTGCACACGACGACAAGAAGCGAAAGAGAGGCCAGGAAGGCGCAGACGCCCCCAACAAGAAGGCCTCGAGCGCCGCCATCAACGTGCGCTTCCCGGCACCTCGCGACGAGCTGTACCCCGTCATCGGTATGCGCCCATCTCCATCTTTTTATGATTGTTCACGTTCTGACGCGTGTGTGCAGNCCGCCGCGCCTGGACTCAATGTGCCCATCGCTCCCTTCAAGCCCTTCGTCAAGGTCACCAACCCCAAGAAGGACAGCGCCTCGCCCGCACCCTCGTCACACTCGCTGCTGCTGCATTCGACATCACATGCCCGTCTGGACTTTACCGCCCAACAGCAATCCAATCAAGACTTGACCCACTACGTCGCCGTCTATGATCCTCAATCCTCCTCCCTCCAGGTCCTCCCCGCACACGCCGTCACTCTCCGCACCACCCTCCGCGCCGAGGCTCAGGAAGTCGCTGCTCAGAATGCCGTCCGTACTTTTGCTCAACAACGTGAGGATCTGGGTCAGGCCTTCGGTACAAAGAAGGCCAAGAAGGCTCTTGCCTCCAAGGTTGAGAACGCCATCACATCCAACGCCGACAGGAACCGCACCGGAGGCAAGCTCGATAACGTCGAGACTGCCGTCATGGACAGCGTCAAGGAAGCTTCGGATGCCATGCCTGCCAAACAGGCTCAGCAGGAGGAAATCCTGGCAAACAAGCCTATTCCCAAGCCCAACCTCAATGCCACCGAGGCCGAAAACGTCTACCCCATCGGCATGCTCATTCCTGCAGCCGACATGCGCAACTTGGCTGTCAAGGAATGGCAAGACAGCCAAGGCGAGGATCTCAAATTGTCTTCTCGTTTCGTCGCCCAACGTGTCAACCCCATTGCTGTTCGTGACGACGTTCAAAGACTCAAGGCTCTCAAATACCTCATGCTTCTGATCGAATTCAATCTCGCACTCAAACCAGCAGGAAAGGCCGGCAAGAAGGTGCCACAAAAGGACCAACTACGAGCCAAGTTGCAGGACTGGCCAGAGACTCTGATCGAGAGTGTCAGGAGGAGATTCTCGGACAATAACGAACTCAACAAATGGCACATGGACAACCTCATCACACACATGGCCGCCATCTCGCTATTCATCGATGGCTACAAGACCGACACACACGATCTGCGTGAGGACTTGCGTTTGGACAACAAGCAGTACGTCTGGTATCAATTCACTCACGGCTCATCGCGCTAACAATGTCTACAGANNATGTCGCAATACTTCATGGAGCTGGGCTGCAAAGTCAACAACCCTACCGAAAAGGAACAAGCAGACTTCAAGATCCCCAACAAGGCCGTCGCCGCACAACGCAGAGTCGCCAAGTTGAAGATTCCTCTCGACTTCCCCAAGGTCAGAATGATGCCTCGCCGAAGATGATGACCTGTCGCTGTTCATACTAGTGTTTCGACCATCCGTCTGTGTGAATGGCTGTAGCATACAATTTTCACAATTTGATACCCCTTAGCTTTGTCATTCTTTTCGAGAACCTCGACCACTGCACTTGGAAATCTGTTCGATCGCGTTCCCATAATGGGGGATCATGATCATCGATCATGATTTGAGTCAGGGTTGTACCCCTTCCATGTATCTGCGACTCGTCCGACGACATTGTGCTGCAGCTATCCTGAATTCCTTGCTGCTTATGTGTTGAAGAGGTGCTGAGATTATCCCTGTGGGTCAATCTTACCTTTAAGATGTACAAATTGGATCACTGCCACTTGTGAATGCAATGATCAACAATGACCTTGTTGACCTTTAAAGTGTTCTGTGACTGGCACCGAGTTTGTGAACAACCTCTGTCAAATAAACGACGACCCCACACATGACTTCTCTCTCAGACGTAGACAAGTATTGACTAGGGAACAGAAAGAGTCTGACCATACAATATTAACAGTTGGATCAAATCGGTCTATCATCAACATCGCAAAGAAAATTGAGCCAGGATATGTCTCAGTAACGTAAGGATAACGAGGATAATCACCTAGAGACAACCTAAAGACTATTCTGCAAATGACAAGGAGTACCTCTCGATGCAACTTGCCCGACGACGAGCCAGCTGGGACAGCTCTTCGAGATCCCTCGGCATCCGTTGATCCAGAAGACTTTGCAGACTTCGTATCCATACCCAAGACCATGCCCCTCAACGCAGCCGTGTCATCGCTCGTCAACTCGGTGATGGTATTCAAAGCTGGAACATAGCTTCCTTGCAGTCCATCATCATCGTTGTCTCGACAGTCGAGTACCACACTCATCGCCTTTTGCTTTTCCTCGCCGAGAAACTTGATGTTCTGATCATAATCTCTGCATTCGACCACAGCAAAACCATGCGCATTCCCACTTGTCTGCTTGGTAGTCGCCAGACCTGCAGGACCGATGCCGAGAAAACAGTGGCTCTTGCTTACAGCATCCAGCATCTGTGTCATGGACTCGCAACACTGTGTCGCGTTATACGGCATCCCCACCGCACACGACAGACCAGACGCCATCTCGATGCCTTTCTCCGTGCTGCCATTGGCTAACACCACACTACCTAGATCCTCGATGAAGCACGCTTCCAATGTATCAGAAGCTTGAAGTGCGAGTCGTACCCCGAGCAACTCAGCGATACCATCAGAGCTCTGGCTGTGCGCAGATACATGTTGGTCTTGTGGATGCCTCCACCGACTGTATTGTCGCTGTACGCAGATGTGTTGAAGGCCGTCATAAACTTTGCACCGCAGAGGATCATGATGCATAGATTTGGGAATTGCTGCTCGAGACGCACGGAAGATATAAAGTCGGCTAGAGTGGTGGGTTGGATGATGAGCAACAAACGTTGATCGTCGCCATTGAGGATGCGGATGGCGTCGGCTCGGCCACTGTGGATTGTTCTTGCGCATGCTTCTGACTGTTCGGTTTTGAGAATGCTTTCAGTATGCGTTTCGAGTCAGAGGTGGTGGAAAGCAAGACGAACCTTTGGGTACTCGTAGCGAAGTATATTGGGCGATATGAGGGGGTGATGTTGTACCACTGTTGTGTATAGTCAGTTTTACTGTATATCATGTTTAGACACCTGTACTCACTCTTGTGCTTGGCCACAGTCAGGTGTATTGTGGGTTGGTTGGAAGGATAAATGAGAATAGATTCAGGTTTCTGGGAGATGTTGAGCGTAACTTATAGTCACTGAGGACTGCTCCCAGCCTGCAGCCTACAGGTGGCACAGTGTCCCCGTCCCCGTCCCCGTGAAGTGACAAATCGATCGAGCATCTTCAACCCGAATCATCATACGGTTTTGAGAAGAGAGTCGATCCTAGTAAGGAAGGCGTACGCACAGACAACAATCACGATTAATCAGCTTTGAGGGTCTTGGATGTTACTCAAATAGACATTTCTCGATCTCAGAATCTAATATGACCAATTTTTCCCATCGAGCCACGCGAGACTATTAACAAAAAGTCATCAACAGTGTTTTAGCAAAGACTCGAGCCGCTATCTATTCTTATTCACCCCTTCGACGAGCCATTCTCATCGCTTCTCATCAGAACGTTTCATGCTACACATTCAAAGTTCTACGTCCTTGAGGACCTTGGCCACATTCTCGGATAAATCTGACGCGGAAAGGAACAGGAGAGTGGCCGGAAAGTCCATCGTACTCATTCAAGTCGATAGGTTCTTCGGGCATGTCGACCATGTCAAATGCCCACAGCATACGCGAGATGGTCAACCAGAACTCGCGCTCTGCAACGAGCATACCGGGACAGATGCGGCGTCTGTAGGTTTGTTTTCGTTAGCCGATGGTAGATGGTTGATAGCTTTCGGAGGAAAAAGCTTACCCGGCTCCAAACATCCAGTGGTCGCGTTTTGCTGGGTCGATGACATTGGCGCTTTCTGCCGATGTCAGGGGGATCGTGGATGTAGCGTTCAGGCTGGAGTGTATGTGTCAGTAGCTGTCGAATTAAGATGGACTTTCCTTTCATCTCGACATTACCTCGAATTTATCAGGATCTGGGTATCTGTCCGCATCATGGTGCATGGTCCACGTGTTGAGTACACAAACAGTATCCTTGGGGATCAGCTTGCCTCGATACACAAAATCTTCGGTGGCGACGTGTGGTGTGTCCAACAAGAAGCATTGTGCACTCTTTCTACCTCTTTGATGATTGCATGGCAGTAGGGTAGATTGGCTTCGTCTTCGATGTCGGGCATGCAGTTCAAGCCAACCACTCTGTCGAGTTCGGCTTGGGCTTTATTCTGGATTTCAGGGTAGGCCGGGATGAGGGCTGCCGTCTGTGGACTACTGAGCTGCCATGTAAACAGAGAGAGAGAAGGCTTGAAACTTACGGTTTCTACGCCGCCGATCATAAAGGCCGAGGCGAGGATTGACATGTCCAAGTGGTCGAGCTGCTCTTTGTCTTGAAGCTGCAACATTGTTTTTGCAAGACGCTCGGGCACATCCTTGCCGCCGTCCATGTTTTTCTTGATGCCAGTCACAAGTCAGCCATAAGTGTTGACGAGCCCCTGATGCAGTTTCTTGCCTCGTTGATGCATGGGTGTAGGCAGGTATTGGAGTAGAGGTATAAAGTCGACCAAGTTGGACATGGGACTGGTACAATTTCTGTTCTGTTTGTTAGAGCCATGTGAGCAAAAGGTGCGACGCTTACTTACATAAAATCTCGACTGAGTCTTAGAGCTTCTTTGACGAGAGGGTGATGAATGCTATCAGCGCGGATACCAAATGTAATCGTAGTCATGTTGTTGAGCGAGCAGCGACCGGCATGAGGTTTTCATCAAACATTAGCCATCATCAACAGTCTCTTGAGGGTCTGCAAAATATACCTGAGGATTCACTGGAGTCTTACCACCATTGCATTCATCAAAGAGTGCTTTGATCAATGACCGCGACTCTCGATCCAAGATAGGAGAATAAGTATCCACAGCCTTCTGACTCAACCAAGTACTCGCGATACGACGATGCTTGCGCCTACTAAAGATTAGTCCTCAGTCAGACCCCAGTCGTTATGACAGAAACCTCCAACTTACCAGCGATCATTGTAGGGTGTAGACGAATATGCCGCTGGCCTCCGGAATGTCTCCTCCAGCTTGTGTTGAGATGAGACACATATACAGCACGCACGCTAAGCATGAAGGATTTCGACTCCAACAACGTCAGATTAATATGTGTGGATAGACTGAGCGTGGCCCAGACCGATGGTCCGGAGGATAGTCTATATGCTGTTCAGGTTGTGACAACGCAGATCGATCTCGTATCCAAGTGGATATGGATGTGATGCTCAAGTGGAGTTAATATACCATCATCATTGCTCAGTATTGACACAGTCACGTTTCAAGGTTCGCTGTCATAGCAAGGGTGGAATTGTCCTCCATTATCTCGGTGTTGCCAGCTACGGTAGGGTACAGGAGCAACTGGTCATTATCGATATCTCGATCTACGCTAATTGTTGTCTACCGTGAACACCGATCATTCAAGCATGCCTGCCAATTATCACAGACTATCTGAAACCCGAGAACTCTTTTTGTGCTTCTTTCATGACCATCTCCGGGCTGCTTGATACAAATCTCAGCATCTCCCATCGTCGAAGTCTCCGCCAGAATCAAAGCTTGCTGCTTTGCTGACTCGATTCAGGAGAAGGAACTCCAGGGTTGGTAGTCGGAATCACCGCCTGCGGCTTTGCCGGCGCAATCCAAAAAGTCGGATAGCGTCGCTGTATGTTATTGTTGATGAGAGCAACAGCAAACAGCAAGACAGACGACAAAAGAACAATGGGCAAAAAGTACCAAGACAGTTCGCGGATCTCTTGGTTTGTGGCGGGAAGTAGGGCGGTCGCGCCAGCAGGAGGGTGAGTGGTATCGGTGACTTGCATGACCACCACAGCAATCGCCGACGAGAGAGAAGCAGCCAGCCAGCGCAGACTGTGGAATCTTGACTCGGGCAGGAGTTCGAAGAGTTTGGTGACGCAGGTGCCAACTAGAGCGCTGAAGAAGTGGCCGAATATGAGGGCTCGCGGCTGAGCGAGTGGGCTCTCAATCGAGCCAAAGCAGAGGACGGCCGATGCTCCCTGGAAATCTGTGAGTTCCCATCTCCCATAACGAGTAGACAATGGATATACACACGTATGATGCGACGATAATGGGCACTCCATGATTGAGAAAGTACTCGCTGTAGCTGAACAGACCGCAGAGAACGGACAGACCACAGAAGGCGCCAATGAAGGACCAGAGGTGGACAAGATATTTCGGCGGAGGCTTGACAGGGTTGGTGCGATACCCCAGCCAGTGGCTGCACCAGGGAGGCAGAGAGGCAATAGTAGGACGCCGCATTGAGATGTCTGGATGCCCGACAAAAGCAGAACTTGCAAGCAAGTTACTTTATACGAACCCGACCGCTTCCAAATGACCCCAAGTCGTTGCTCAGAGAGCCCCCAGTCAATTTTTCTCGTCCAGATTGACCCTTCCAAAGTACGAGGTGCAGTTCCCTGGAAACAACACCCGAGCAATAGCCGAGTGTCCGTGCGCTGCTCGGACTCTTGTTGCCAAGTGGATTCTGGCTTGGACGAACGACTGACGCCTACTCGTACGCAACCACACTACTGGGTACGATTGAGCTATAAAGTCAGCTTAAGGCCGAAAGAATGTCTCGTTTCTTGGACATCGATCCTTCGTCTCGCCTAGCACGACCCATCACAACAATATCCAGGAAGTGATTCTTCCGGTCGGGTCTCCTACATTTGCGTGCAGGGTGCATGAGCGGTCGTTGAGCATATATGTCGTGCTGGAGTGCAGCTTTATCTGGAACTAGATGTTCAAAGACCAGGTCTAGCTTTCCAGCTGCAGGCTAAGTCGGACCGGGGAGGTGAGTACCTTGGTGTTGGAGCTTGGGTTGCACCATATTCCTTTCGGAGACGCGACAACATTCAAATCCTGCCTTCACAAGCACGGGCCTTTGCTAATTCTAGGTCACAAGGAAGGTGTGGACTTATACGCATGCATTCTGTGTAAGTAGTCATGAAAGGGCTTGGCGTTGATCTAGATAGAGATAGGTATTGGGAAGGGTCTATTGCTGGAACACACTTCGCAAGTGCCGACCGGGTCCCGTAACTACTGTAGGTGAGAACCACAACACGTATACGTTTTCTTGCAAAGAAGACAATATCGTTCACCGATCCACTATCAATTTCGTTTCCACTGATATACTAAACGCGGTCATGAAGTCCTGAACAAGACGACTGCGGGCATCATCTGCGTTACAGATTGAATGCAGTAGCGCTGCGTCCAATGCGACATCAAATCAAGCCTTGCCAATCACCTCGGAGCAGGGGTCTCGCCGGTCCGGACCTTGTCCATGTGGATACGAGCTAGCTTGATCACTAAGGGGAAGCTCTGGAGCGAGTGGTCCCCCGTAATTGACTTCGAATGTCGTAATTACTCCAACCTATATACGACTTTGCTGAGGACACGCAGTGCTTGCCCAACAATACACTCGTCCTTTAGACGACGAGACACGAAGGAAGTAGTTTGATGAGCCGATATGAGGTTGTCGAGCTAACATGAGGATCCGTGGCGTTGGGTGTGTTGGTACTATCTGAGAAGTGTAGAGGCGTGTTCAAGATATTCAGGCTGTGAACAAGACCGGATATAAATTCAAGATTGTCGAGCTGTTCAAGAAAATTGGTGTTCGCACCGGAACGTGTTTTACGGTGGTGTCGCTTGCTTGCTTGAGCGGTCCACCTATAGTTGGAGCGCTCACTGAGAGGGATCATGGGCACTACCTCTTTGCGCAAATGTTTAGTGGTTCTGCGATCGTGGGCGGTGCCCTGGTACTTACGGCAGCCAAACTCTCAAAGAACAGACTGGAGGTCAAGTAGTGTATATAGCGTGCAATGTGCCCTCAGAGAGGGAGATGATTTGATTTGCAGTTGTGGCGATCAGAAAGGTTCTGATCAAGATGCCATGCGTTTCAGTCAAGACCTGATTGGATATGAAACAAATACCGATCCTACCCGAGGTCTGTTCATCTTCATCCTCGAATCTGCAATCCATGAATTCCTCTAGGATGTATCCGAACACTTCCGACAACGGGTTATCTCGGTGCTGCCGTTCGGTCCCCCGTAATACACCGAGAATTTGAACGACATACCCTGATGGCGTCCGGTCCACTCGCTGTTTCGTGCATGGGTCTATGATGAGAAATCTCGGTCTGTACTTAGCAGTGTATCAATAATGTACTTGAAAACGCGACCTTAGCTAGTCTTGCGATCTTTGCGGTTCGTGGCGTGTACGTGCTAGTAGAAGGCAACACCCTGCTCTTATGGTTATACAACGACAGCAACAGCAAAGGTGTACTCTCTGTACTGCAACTCCAGCAATGAGCAGCGGCGCTAGCAGTGATACTATTGAAGCCGAGGAATCTGCTCCGTCCAGCCCTGGTCTTGCCACGCCAGCATCTACGAATGGCCTGGCCAAGCCAAGGAAGGTAATCTATGCCTGCCTGAAAGAACCTCGCTCACACTCCAGGCTACAAGCATGGCCAATGAATCGAAAATCTCGAGTATAACTCGTGAATCTATTGTCTCCAAAGCACAAACCAGGGTTTGGTTCCTGTCGAACAATACCGAAGACTCTTCAGTATGCAACTTGACTTTCCTGTATGAAGTTGACGGAGCACTACAAGTTCCTCGCTTGGAGTACGCCTTGAGAACAGTGATGCAACGCCATGATGCTCTGCGAAGCTGCTTCTACATGCGCCCTGGAGACAATCAACTGCTTCAAGGAGTCATGTCTGCACCAAGACACATTTTCCAACATGTCAAGAACGGAGACGCAAGCACGGTGTCTGAGGTTGCCGAAGAGTATGAAAGTCACAGGTGGAATCTGGAAGAAAGTCCTGTTTTCGGTATGACTGTCGTCTCCCAGAGTTTGAGAAGGCACACCATCGTCTTGGGATACCACCACATCATCATGGACGCATTCAGTCTCCATCTGTTCTTGAAAGACCTTAATACGGCTTATGGACTACGTCCGCTGCAGCCGAGTCCAACAAGTTACCTGGACTTTGTCGATCACGAGCAACGACTTGCAGAGAGTAGTTTCGATGATGGCGAGATGGCTGAAATGCTTAAGTTCTGGAGCAAGCAATTCGAGACGGTTCCAACAACTCTACCACCTCTCCCAAAGGCTCGAGTTTCGAGGCGTCCTGCAAGTATCCAGAACAAGAGTGTATATGTCTCTGAACGACTAGACAAGACACAGTGAGCTACCATCGTCAAAGCGAGCCGAAGTTTAGGAGTGACGCCTTTCAACTTCCACTTGACTGTTCTCCAGATCATGCTTGCTCGCTTTGCCAATGTTGAAGATCTCTGTATTGGTGTCGCAGATGCAAATCGCAACGATGAACGCTATGGCGAGACCATTGGATTCTTCATGAATTTGCTGCCAATCCGCCTCCGCGTCTCGGTGGATGAATCTTTTGGCCAACTTGCCCGCAACACATCGCGCGCGACCCTCGATGGCTTGCGGAATTCTCGTGTGGCGTTCGATCGCATCCTTGACGTGTCAGCACCGCGATCAGCGGCGCATACGCCGCTGTTCCAAGCTTCGATCAATTACCGCATGGGCGCAATTAGCGAGGTACCATTGGGCAATTGCAAACTGAGTATGATTGATGGTCAGGATGCTACAAACCCCTTCGATGTCAGTCTGGGTGTCTTGGAGTCCCATCAGGGCTCAACACTGCTTGAGATCATCTGCAACTCCGATCTCTATGATTTCGAGGGTGCGTCAGTACTCATGCAGACCTTTATGCGTCTCCTTCTGGCGTATGCCAAAGATCCTCTTGTCTCCGCAGACGGGGTTCCGCTGTATGACCCAGTCGGCCCAGAACGCTCGATTGAGATTGGTATGGGACCCCGCATGAGCTCTTCTGGATGGCAGACTACAGTACACGATCGCTTTGCCTCAGTGACCGAAGCTTACAAGGACGACACCGCTATTGCATACATGGACATGAGGCTCACATACACTCAGTTGAATACTCGCGCACGCTCCATTGCCAAAGGTCTCCGTGCAGAGGGGTGTGGCTCCGGATCCTGCGTTGGAATCCTGTGTGAACCATCTCCCGACTTTGTGGCGTCTATGCTTGCAGTCCTACAGATCGGTGTTGTATACCTTCCACTAGACGTCAGTCTGTCAGCTGGTCGGCATACATCAATTGTACGTATCGCGCAGCCAAGCGTCATAATTTGTAGTACCTCAACTTCTGGCTATGTGCAAGACATCATACAATCGAACACTGACTTGACCGTCACACCTCGATTGATTATAGCAGAATCCATATCTGGAACCGGCGATAACGAGCAACCAGACCATACACCAGATCACCCTAGCCAAGATTTCCCTGCGGCTTTGTTGTTCACCAGTGGCTCGACAGGGCGACCCAAAGGTATCTTCCTGACGCAAACAAATCTTCTCAACCACATCGCCGTCAAGACAGACGTCCTTAGTCTGGGTCGGGAAACCATTCTGCAGCAAAGCTCTTTCGGGTTCGACATGTCCATGATTCAGACCTTGACTGCTCTACTCAATGGTGGCAAGCTGGTCATCGTCCCCTCAGATTCCCGAAGAGATCCTATTGAGATCATGAAAATCATACGCCACAATGAAGTCACCTTGACTATAGCAACACCTTCAGAGTACAAGATGTGGCTCCGCTACGGCGTAGAAGAGAACTCCAAGCACGGACAGATGGCTGCCTGGTGTCATGCTTGTCTAGGAGGAGAGCCCGTCCCCGAGCAACTCAGGCGCGACTTTGAGCTTCTCGAGCTTCCAAATCTTTCCTTGACGAATTGCTATGGACCCACTGAGATTACCGCCGCCGCTGCTTTTCAAAACATCCCGTTAGGCGCGACGCGTGATTCCTATGACAGTGCCATGACGGTGGGCAAGGCGCTTCCCAACTACTCCATTCGCATTCTGGACATGTCAGGCAATCCACTACCCATTGGAGTGGTTGGCGAGATTTGCATCGGAGGCGCCGGCGTGGCTCTTGGGTATTGCGATCTTCCAGAGCAGACTGCCGAGAAGTTTATACGCGACAGCTCGAACTCCAAGGAGTGGCCATTTGCATGGATGTATCGCACCGGAGACCAAGGTCGACTTATGCGCGATGGCACGCTACTCCTCATGGGACGCATGGATGGCGATACGCAAGTGAAGGTCAGAGGAGTCAGAATGGAGTTGCAGGAGATTGAAGATACAATTCTCGCTGGCTCGCAGGAGAGACTCTCTGCTGTCATTGTTACTGTGCAGACTGATCGCCTGTTAGCATATGCAACCTTGGTCACTGGGGTCGAGTTGAACGAAAAGGACTGCCAGCAACTGTTGATATCTAGTTGTTTACCGCTGCCTGATTACATGTGGCCGGCAAAGTTGACCATCCTGGAGGCGCTACCTTTGACACCCACAGGAAAGTTTGACAGAAGAGCCGTTGAAGCACTGACAGCCCTGGATACGACTTTCTCGGAAGCTGACGACACTTCTTGCGGCGACGAAGCTCGTCTCACCTTGTTGCAAGGAGAGCTTCGACTTTTGTGGGAACGCGTTCTGGGCGGACCCAATCGAGCAATTGTTCCTGAAGCCGACTTTTTCCATATCGGTGGAAACTCGATGTCATTGATGCGACTACAGGGAGCAATCAATTAGTCTATGAGCTTGTCTGTATCGACCAGAGCCTTGTACCAAGCGAGCAACCTCCGACAGATGGCTGCTGCTATTGAGCTCCAGAAGAAACAGCGACAGAAAGATGAGGTGGGCCAATTGATCGACTGTAACAAAAGACAGAGATTCCTCTTGTTGTTCAAGAGGCAGCGACTCATATACAAGATTCATACGCACCGATCATTCGTGCGTCTAAGAAGATCGAGATTCTTCTCACTGGTGCAACGAGTTTTTCTTGGCGGAGCCATCCTCAAGGCTCTTACGGATTCACTCGGCTCACACGTGAGAAAGATTCATTGCATCGCAGTCTTGCCAGATGAGAAGAAGGTCGTTCCAGCCTCGGACTCTGTCATCTACTACTCAGGCAGTCTCTTTTCTAAGCGTCTGGGACTGAGCTCCAGCGAGTTCGAGCACCTGAAATCTGTTACTGATTTGATCATCCACGCCGGCGCCACTGGTCATTGTCTCAATGCCTACCAATCTCTTCGCACACCATACCTGCAGTCAACTCATCTCCTGGCAGCTTTGGCTCTTCCTCGATCGATGCCTGTTCTGTATGTCTCGTCGAACCGCGTCGGTCTGCTCTCCGGCAAGACGGCATATCTGCCTCTGTCCCTGTCGGCGTACGAGCCACCACAAGATGGAAGCGAAGGCTACACGGCCACCAGATGGGCCAGTGAAGTAACACTGGAGAAGATTGCAGAGGAATTCTCATTGCCTGTTCAGATCAGTAGATCCTGCGTCGTCGTCGGCACCGAAGCACCCAATTCCGATGCGCTGAACGCAACCCTTCGCTACTCGCTTCTCGTACAGACGATTCCTTCCTTTGGCAACGTCGAAGGTTACTTTGACTTCAAGGATGTGCACGAGGTTGCACGCGAGATTGTTCAAGATGCGCTCGCTCTACGTCCGGTCAAAGGCGAGGTCTTGCGATTCCCATTCCTGGGCGAGCAGGCATGAGCGAATCCTGTTATTCTAGTTGATGATAGAATGCATTGAGAATGGCGGATTGATCTTCTATTTTTCCAATCGCTACACAGTAGAACAAATTGAACAACAATCAACGAAGGAACCATCTCTCACTTTCTAATTTTTGTATATATTCTGCGTATACTGTGATGCTGAAACACGTGCACTCCGATGAGCCCGAGCTTACAAAGGTCGGCATCCTGCTCTCTCGGTGCTTCCGCTCGGATGCCCGTAACTCACCGAGGACTTCTGCCACATACCCCGAGAAATATCAGCTCCTCGGCATGACCGAGCTTCATTTCTCGGCTTTTTACGCGCATGGTAAGCCCGAGTGTAGATCTTTCTTGCTGCAAACTTGCGACAATGCGGCCATCTTCGGGCTCAACAGAGTAGCCCCGAGTCCTTCGGAGGTAATGTATCATCGCGCCTCATAACAACATATAAGCACCCAACGTGTTCAGGATGTCGCCTTTCCACTGCATCATCAATATCTGCTCAAGAATTTCTATACAAAAGGCCAAGCAACAAGATGAGCGACAGAACCGACAGCAACCTCGAGAATGGCCCTACCGACTCTGAGAAGTCTCCAAACAGCCCCTCTGTGTCATCCGACCCGGCAGAATCAAAATCACAACCACCACCAGAAGCACCCGAAGGAGGAAGCAAAGCCTTTCTTTCGCTACTTGGTGGCTCGCTGGGGCTTTTTATCTCCTTCGGGTGGGTCAATTGCGGTATTCCAAGCAGAATATGAAACCAACCAGCTCAAGAGCTACTCCAGCTCAGAAATCTCCTGGATCACCTCGTCTGAATGTAAGAGCAGTGCCGGTGTTGACCTTTGCTCAAATAACTGACGACACTACCCAGTTTTTTTCATGCTGTTTGCATCTCCTCTTTCGGGATATCTCTTTGACAACTATGGGCCACGACTGCCCATCTTTCCCCTCATGGTCAAATACCTTCTACCCGAAGTCGGCTTCGGATGGACGATGCGCATCTGTGCTTTTTTGATTCTTGCAATATGGCTCATTACCATGGCGACCATTGCCTCTAATCTGCCTCATGGCGGAAGGAAGTTCGAGATCTCTAATTACACTCGTCCTTTCACGCAGCCAAAGTTCCTTATCTTGTTAGGTTTCTGTTACTTCCTTTACTGTAAGTCGAATGATTTTCTATCATCCACTTTCCTCGAAGAATTTACGTACTGACTGAGCGAAGGGGGTCTATTTGTACCTTTCAACTACCTTGTCATCTCTTACGTTGGGTATGGCATGTCGCTGAACATGGCTTTCAATCTGATCCCTATTATGAACGGTGCCAGCTTCATCGGTCGTACTGTTCCCAATGTCCTCGCCGACAGATACGGTCGCTTCAATGTCCTGATTATCATGGTCTTCGCGACTGGAGTCATCACACTGGCCCTGTGGCTGCCTGCCCACAGCAACGCCGCTCTCATCTCATATGCTGCCATCTTTGGCATCACTTCCGGCACTTGCATCGGCTTGACACCTCCTCTGGTCATGACCATCTTCCCACCCAGAGAAGTCGGCTTCCGCATTGGCACGGCTTTGGCAATCGCTGGAGTTGCGGCACTGACTAGCCCTCCCATTGCCGGTGCTATTGCTAGCAAGAGCGGGGGATCGTATGAGAACTCGACCATTTTCAGTGGTGTGAACTTTATGATTGCTACCGCTTTCTTGATCTGGCTTAGAGTTCAGGTTGCCGGGTGGAAGCCAACGACTATAGCCTAAGCACTAAGATGCTGAGTCGGATTGAAGAGGGATCGTGACGATGCTTATGGAGCGAGAATGTATTGAAAAAGGACGAGGTCAGCACGTGGATGGATTAAATATATGTATCAATCAAGAACCGGACTATCTTACGGAGAACCCTGATCTACTGCCTTGCAAAATTCCGCTGTGCGTAACAATCGGTTCTAGCTAACTCGAACAAAAATATGCAGACATATAGGATAGCAAATCTTGTGAAGTGCGACCATGAAGTCCGAAGATAGACGAAGGCTTGGACAAATCATCAAGGCCACCAAATTCACAAGACAAGTCGAAAATTGACTCCCAGTGGTTCATGTCTTATTCGGCTGTCGCATTCGTCGGTTCGCACAGACCAATCATTGCTCATATAAGTACAAAGTGTCGACCGATCAGAAACGAGCTTCTACGCATACCTCAACCCTAGCGCCGAGTTCGAGCATCCCATCTACCCGCAATCAACATACGTGACTCCTCAGAGACAAAGACGTTTCGGAAAGTCCGAAGAGACTGGCATGGCGATGCTATCAGTCCGTGGCAACTCTGGATATGTCGGCGTTCCGTCGCACCATCCCCCTAAGTCCGAGGGCCGGTATACCGTGACTCGGGTTTAGTTTCTCGGGGTTGATGCGTCCGTAACAACACCCATTAGTTCTCCGGAGATTCTAGCATTGCTTTCTATGGTTTGATCATCCAGCTATGGACGCTGCAAGAATCTCATAAGTAGGATGACTCGCCGGAGGATTGCAAGCACAAGTGCTGTTCAACACTGATGAGCAGCATGTTCATCACTTCATTCTCCCCTTGGCTCCTGATTGGTGGGCCGCGTCGTTATCCTGCACAGATGATGGTAATGACCGAAGGTGCGTACATGCTTGCTCGTCTGCTTTTGCAGTACCGCAAAGTCGAGGCTAGGGATATAAATCCGTACACTGCGCTCATGAGAATCGGGCCCAGCAACAAAACCGGTGTCTTGGTTGCATTCTACAAGTAGGACACTAGAGCGATGGATGGGAGGCACATCATGTAGACTTTGAGCAACGGGACCTGTCCTCCTGATCTACCATCATAATGAATGCAAATCCATTAGTCTATCTTATCAGGTCTGCGAATTTATCCTAATAGTGCTCAGGTAACTTTGAAGTTGTACTACGATCAATGCTCAAGCGGTTTCAGGGTCATGAACACAACGACATGTCGGCAAGTTCGACGCGTTAGCGTTTGAAGTATACGACAAACACTTTAAGTGTAGCAAATCTCCGAGACCTGGAGCTTTGCATTGTTTTGGACCATTCCATAGACATTCAAACAAGAAGCCATAGTAAGGCAATGTGTCCGAGGAATTGGTGCAGAGATTTATCATTGGACCACTCCCTACTGCTCAAATACACATCTCGCCTGTTTGAACCTTCAATTTCACAGCCGCAGGCATACGATAGAACAGATCTGGTCCCGCAGAATTCGACATTTACTTCTACAAGGTCGAACACAACTATCCTCAAAACCAACGAACATCCACATCTCACTAATACTCAATGAATCGCACATCCGGCACGCCACGCTTCGATTGCGTCTTATCTTTTCCATCATCAATCAACGTCTCCAGTCGGAACCTCTCGACCACGGCAATTGTAGTCAGCTTGAACACCACATCCGCGGCATTCTTACCCAAACAGCGTCCAGAGGCTGCACCCGTACCAAAGCGCATGAACCCACAGCGCTGAGCTTGAGGAGACACTTCCAAGAATCTGTCTGGTCGGAATTGATCGCCATCTGGGCCCCAGGTCACTGATCCTTCATTCAAACGCTGATTGTCAATGATCACTGTAGTGTTGGCTGAGACAGCGAAGCCACCGATTGTCTTGTCTTCCGCTGTTGTTTCCGGCATGGAAAACCCTGTAATTATGGGTCAGTGGGTGTGTCATCATCAGGCATGGGTTTGGGGGAGGCTCACAGAAGGCGGAGGCTAGACGCATGCTCTCCATGGTTACACGATGCAGAAGGGTTTTGGAGTTGGTCAGATATTTGGACATGTCGAAGTCTGCGCCAGACTTCCACTGCGTGATTTCGGCGCGGAGTTCGTCCTGGTTCTTGGTGTTCCTGGCAAGGTTTTTGAACGTTGTACTGAGTACAGATGCGCTGACATCGACATTGGCGAAGAGAATTTCACCAAGGGTGGACAAGAACTGGGACGGATCTCTGTCAACGATTTGTGCTCCTGGTAGAAATGCGACGATAAAAGTTGTTTCCACTTACCTCTTCCTCAGTCATGTCATCCGACTGAACGTAGCCACACGCAGTAACTTCAAGTGGACATTCTCATTTGCCCTGAGGTATTGCCTTAGTACAAGTACCCTACAGTGCTCTTGAGATGGATGTTCACGAACCTCACGCGCATTCCCAACGATCTCTCGATTCAAGTCTTTCCAACCATTCAGAAACCTATCGAGGAGTCTGCGGGTTGCCGTCGGGAACTTGCTCCAGATCTTGGAGTCGTGCCCTTTGCAGGTCATCAATGCGTGCACCACATGATCATGTGATTCGCTCAACTCAAGCAGTTGCCAGTAGAGCTTAATGTAGTCAGCGGTGTCGTTGGCTTTGGTGCAAGAATGATATATGCTTACCCGGTCGTCAAATGCGTCCTGGTAGAGATGAACTGCAAGAAGACGAAGCACAAGAAATCTAAAAGACTCCCCGATAGCAATATCGCTGACGCCCTTCTTACTATCTTGGGCCAGCTCACGAATCCAGAGGCCAATCTCTCTTTGAAAACGCGGGATTCTCTGTGCGACAGCGTGAAAGGCAAAAGGAGGATCAAAGTGTTTGCGAATCTTGCGCCAATCCTCACCATAACGAAGTCCAACGGCTGTGCCCATGAATCTGAAGAGACAATTGTCAGTCATACTGTGCTGAGAAACAAACATCGACGTCTTCGTCAATGACCCTACCTTCAGAAGAGTTCTCCAAAGTTAAAGTTTTACGGTTTGCCATGACCTAAATTGTTGTGTTAGTAGACGACTCTCTAAAGACAGCGTGCTACTGGTTCTTACGTTTGTAATCGCCCTGGTAGAAATCATGGATCTGGTCCGGTTGGCTGATGACCAACTCTTCGTATGGCCCGCACCGAATCAGGTAAGGGTCGTCTCCTGCCAGCTCTCGGCCATGATTCGATATCTCAGCACTGCTGGCGTCAGTAGTTGTTTGAGTGACAGTAGTTCTACGTACTGACCTGCACAGCAGCTTTAGTCGCAAGTCCTGGATCTTTAGAACCTTCATGGTCCTTCCCTTTGATCCGGTGATCTTTTTCTGGCGCCAAACGCGTACGGAACCAATGCACAACAGTAGCAAGGCAAGTATCAGACTCTCAAGTCGCAAGACCTGGGCCGAGACTGTATGTAAGACATCTTCTGCGACAGAAGACTGCATCGTGCTTACGGACTGTTGTACGGGGTCTGATTTCGACAAGGCTGGACAGTGTGGTCGAACGACACTGACACCGTGGCTAGCTGCTATATCTCGAGCAGCATCCTAGGAAGCTATGCGGCCAAGCGATCAATATACATTGAATGTTTCGAGTGCCGAGACCATACAAAGTGTGGCGTACGGTGATCGTGAATATCCCCGAGACTCCCGGACTCCGAGCCCGGACACTATGTCCGCCCCGAAGACCGATAGTTGGTGGCACGGCGAACCAACAATACCGAGTACTTGGACACGAGCAGTCTGTTGGGTACCCATAGGCTGTTCAAAAGTTGATTTGAATGTCATTGTCTCTTGCACCTTCTACACCAATCCACTCGTCGATAGCGCACAAGATGGATTCTCAAGATAGCAGAGAGCATCTTCCTGATGGATATGTACTCATCGCAGGAGGCGATCCTGTTGGACTTCTCCTCGCACTGGTGCTTGCCCATCATGGCCAGCCTAGCGTGCTCGTTGAACAGAACATGGAAGCAACCCGGTGAGTTGCGTGTCATCATGCAAGATTTATATTCGAGATCACTGATTCGAGATGTAGTTACCCAAAGATGCATCTGGTCATCGCTCGCAGCATGGAGATTTTCAAGCGCCTGGGCCTGGCAGAGGAACTCAGATCACTAGGTAACTTCCTCTTGCTCCACCCCGCTACAACAACCTTTGCGCTTGCAGGATACCATGGCTAACGCAGCCACGACTAGGCNNGTTTCTCAAGAAGAACCTTTCGCGGTTCGTTTCTCGAGCGGTCTAAACTCTGAGCAAACCATCAGTTCATGGGACCTCCCCAGTGCCGCCAGTTTTCAGGAGAAAATCAAGTCTCATAACGATGGAACTATGCCGCGCGAAGGATGGCAACGCATTCCGAGTAACATCATGGAGCCATGGCTCCGCAAAAGTGTGACCNAAAATGCTCTGATAGACACCCGATATGGGTGGAAAGTCCAGGAAATCTTGGAGCATAAAGATGCAGTCGATGTCACGGCGGTTCTGACGGACCTGAACCAGTCCAGATCGCTGCGTTGTTCCTTTGCAGTCGGATGTGACGGTGCTTGGAGTCCCATAAGGAAAAGTCTGGGGATTGAGATGGAAGGAGGACCAATGTATGTTGAGCAGATCCATCTGCATGGGTCAAACGCAGCAATTTTGAAGGGTGTGACTTGCTGGCGTTTACTGCATAGGCATCGTGCCGTTGCATTCGTACATTTCAGGTCGAACGACTTGAAGAACCTCCATCGTCAGGGGAAATTCTGGCATACTTTCTTCCCTACAGACCCAACCACGCACAATGGTTCGGTCGGTGGTGCCATCATCGCCCAAGACGGAAAAGAGACTTGGACAGTACACGACTATCTGGGCTCGGACTACAACCCGGACGAGATCACTGCCGAGAAGACAATTGCCCGTGTGCTTGGAGGTATAGGCAAACCATTTCCAATCGCAATTGATGAGGTATTCGCAACGTCAATCTTTACGCCCACCGTCGCTCTTGCCAAATCCTGGAGCGGACCTCATCGCCGTGTATTCCTTGCGGGAGACGCTTGCCATCAGACCATCCCCTCGGGTGGCTATGGCATGAATATGGGCTTGGCTGACGCATGGGATCTTGGGTGGAAGCTTGCCGCTACGTGTCAGGGATGGGGTGGACGTCGCTTGCTAGACTCATACGAAGTCAAGCGACGGCCTGTAGCAGCACTCATGCAACACTGGAGTAAGATCCACATGATGAAATTAACGGGACTCGCCAGCGCCGTCAAGCTAGATGCAAAGATCATCGACGTCCCTGATGAGCGTGGGGCATCGCTCCGGCGCGAGATTGACAAATATGTTCAGCTTCATGACGACCACAACCAAAGCTTTGGAGTCGAGATGGGACATCGCTACGAGTCAGATCTCAACTTCTATTCCACTCAGGAGGACTTCGATCACCCGCGTCCAGAGTTCAACTCCCGGAACTACACTCCAAGCACATATCCAGGTTACCGGGCTCCTCATGTGTTCTTGTCTGATGGGAAGGCTCTCTGCNGAGTATTTGGCACAGGCTTCACGCTAATCGCCTTCGCGAACAACGATGCCGAAGTGGATGACGTTCAAAAGGTGTTTTCCAGCTTCGAGTGGGCAGCCAAGACCTGCGGGACACCCCTGCAAACAAGATGTCTGATGAACGAAGTACATGCTTCGAATATCTGGGGCTCATCCCTAGTACTTGTCCGTCCAGATGATTTTGTGGTTTGGCGGACAAACAGAATGAAGATCGATGTGGCGAGAGCCGCGCGGGTGTTGTTACATGTGACTGGACATGAGACTTCAAATGAGTATTAGAGTAGAAGAATCTATAGATATGACCTATGATCTGTAAAGAATTTGATGGTGGTACAGCAATCTTTTATTTGTGCGTAGAGGGCGATTTCTTGAGTCCTGCGCTTCGAGCCGTATCTAGCGTCTTCATTTGAATCGTGGACATTGGCCTCAATGACCGCGAAGTATGATTTAGATCTATCCTGTGCGGCTTCGGTAATAGCGTGAAGTCTCAGTCTCTGGTGCTTCTTTTATTCTTCCTTAAAATGATGCGAACATGAACGTAGAAAGGTCCAAGGAAGGATTCGAGTTCTGCTGATGATTAGATTTTGTCTTTCAAACCTGACTCGGTTACATATAAAAGTGCTTACCATGGTCTCCAAGTCCATCAAGAATGCAGGGTCGTTGAAATCAAAGTTGTTGAGCGGATCCTGCAGATCGATGGGCGTTGAAGCAGACTGCAACGCAGTGTAACATATCCTCAAGCTTTCTTGCGCAGCCCGAACGACTGCTGGCTGCACACCCTGACCAGTCTCCATAGCACGGATCTGGGATATCACACCCGCCAAGAAGATATAACGCTTCAAATGAGGATGACCTAATTTGATGATCTGCAGCAGCTGCTCCTTTAGATGCTCCAAGGTCCGCATGACAGGTTCACGCTGTGCACGAGCCATCTCAGCAAAAGGATCCAAGATCAAGTTGCCCTCTGTGCCTGGTGCAAACGAGGTCCCGATGTTCGATTCTTCGATCTGACGGATTACTTCTAGACCTAGAACAGTAATGACGTCCAATGTCAAAGCACCACGAAAGGTACCGGTACTCATGATCATCAAGCTAGATAGGTCATCAAGAACTCCTGAAGGAATGTTCATCAGAGCTGCATAGGAGGCGATGATCATGGCTGACTCAAGGCATATCTTTCGAGAGAGATAGAAACGAGGATCTTTGCAAGCCTGTAACATAAAAGGTCGATGCAAGAGCAAGATATATCTCCGCAGTTGCATATCCGGGAAACTGTGATGCATACCTAGGAAGTTGGTCCAGTGCAGTCGACAATACTGCGCGATCTCTCTGCAAGTGTCCTGGATCTTGGTGGATAGTTCAATTGCCTGCTCGTATGATTGCTCACCACGAGAATTGTTAATTGCTTTGGCAGCCTCTATACGAACAGGTAAAGACTTGCGCAACAGTATCTGAATTGAGGCCTCGGTGAAGGTCTGTAGGGGTTGCTGTATGGGAGTCTCATTTATGCCAGAGAGAAGATCGGCGTCCAATATGTTGAGAGGCATATGAGTATCGAAGTCCGTGAGTGTGAGAAGAAGGGGTGTCGATGTATCTATTGAACCGTGAACAACGAGTTCTAAGATAGTCGTCCATAGTCTTTGACGCAAAGCATATTATAGGTGGTCAAGTTTGAATAGGGCAGTATCACGATGCAACCCCATTATCATGGCCATCTTCAACAGAGAAGCTTCGGACAACCACAAAGAAGGTCCAAATGATGTGACTTGACGAGAAATTAGCAACAGGCAGAAATTCTGAATTCCTGCAAGATTCATTGTGCTTTTTGCTGATGGCCCCACGAGCCACCACTGTGCAGCATATACCCACTTTCGACTCATAAGATCTGTCGTACCATCACGGTCGGCGTCAAAGACACTTCCGATGGCCATGACAAGGCCCAGCTGGATTATGAAGCTAAATGGCACGGCTCCAGGGTCTTCCCAGAACTCTTCGTATTCCTTCCAAAATGTTGGTATGTGAACAACGCGGTAGATCAGCTCAAAAGTCCGCAAGTAGTGCTTGACCAGTCGATCGCAAGTGCCGCGAGGCGGAAATGTGTTCGTGATGTTGGGTACAGGATCGGCCAACATGGGCTCTTGATCCCTCTTGATCTTTTGTCGTAGATTCCGGCATTCGCGGACCATACCAACTAGCTCTGCTTTAGTATCGACAAAATTCAGTTCCATCTCTGTCGCGTCAAAGTCACTGACATTGAACTGTGGAACGAGTCAGTTCAACTTTTTTTTGCTTTGCCACAAATGGAAATGTTTCTCGGATGGCGGATTCGATAATACCTTTGCGGCAGTGTGTAGCCAATGACTTGAGCCAAACAGCTTCACCTTCTCTGTCGTGTTGCGCATCAACGGAGTCGTGGGTACAACCGACAGACCTTTGCTTCTGGAAGTGTTGAGGGTGCGTTCTTTGGCGCCAGGTAACTCCTAGAAGGCTCGGGCAGATTCGCAGTGTGCCTGTTCTTCGCGCTAATTGACTTCTCTATACTGTGCATACGACGCTCAGTGCTGAGCAAACGCTCCTCGAAGGTCGCTGGAGTTGCTGAAGACAGAGCCGGTCTTGGTACCTCAGGGGCTCGTGGAGTCTCTTGAAGTACTGGCTACTGTTCATGCACAGAAGCAATCGCAGGCTCAGGATTAGAGACCGAGCTGGAATACCTTGCAGAAGAACGATACGTGCAATTCACGCGGCCGCGCGATTGACGACACGCCGAACATGGCATCTCGAGATCACAGCGGACTTTGCGACGTCGACATGGTTCGCAAGATTGTGGAGGTCTCCTAGCTCTGCGCGTCCGTGGCGAAGAAGCCAGATCAGGGTTGGGATCATCATAATTCCCCGAGGCAGCTTCATACGTCCGTATCCGCATCACAATATCTTCGACATGATTTGTAGACGACTGACATAAGGGAGACCTGGCCACAATGCTCCTCTCCCCGGCAGTCCAGATTCCTCGTAGTCCTTGAGATTCGTCTTTGTTGTCTACCTCGTTCTCGCGAAACCTAGCTTCCACTCTGAGCCATCATGCATACACCACCGAGAACCCACCGTCCGTTGATCCTCTGCCTGCACGGTGGTGGTACATCAGGGGAAATATTCGACTGTCAGAGCATCAAGATCTAACGCGCTCTGCAGGACCATTTCAATTTTCTGTTTGTCGATGGTCCATTTGCCAGTCCGCCAGGGCCTGGTGTGCTTCCGGTCTTTGCCGACTGTGGCCCTTACTACGCATGGGAGCCCTCAGGCACGAAACAAGGCGACACGCTACCAGATAAGACCATCACCCTTCTTATAGAGACTCCCCAGACATGCGCCGCCGCTGGGAACGAAATCGTTGGAGTGATGNGGTTTTCGCAGGGTGCTCGAGTTGCCACTGGTCTTCTCATGGCGANNGGACACGAATACTTCTCGTCACTCAGATTTGGAATCATGTTTAACGGGTCCTATCCCGCAATGTTACCAAGTCTAGGATCGTGTCCGCTGGACAAAATATCAATCCNNCCCACGGTTCACATCCATGGCCTTCTTGATCAGTTCCTCGCTCAAAGTCGGATGTTACTCGACTGCCACTTCTCTCGCTCGCACGCTATGTTGCTAGAAATGAGGATAGGGCATCAGGTCGTCAACAAAGAATCCAGCATCAGGTTATTGGCGGATACCATCATCGATATGTGGGAGGCAGGGTCCAAAGGCACGACTATGACTAGGGATCCAGCGGGTCTTCGTGCTGACGCTCTTCTCTGTGTAACTTCTTAGTCTCGAGTTGAGATTCACTACTTATGAAGAGAAAGGTCTATATTACATTCATGATTATAACAAGGAGATCTATAATGATTGTGAGAAGGGTTGAGCCTCAGGGACTGCGCCATGTATGCATGTCCCGAATTCAATACTGCCGTATTGTGATTGTGATTGTGTTGTTGCTCTGGATAGATACTCAGGATCTTCGCAGCAAAGATGTTCCTCCTATGGCACCCCAGCCGATAGTGGTAATTCGTGATCGGCATTCGTTGACGTGGCAGGAAATTTGCAATGTCTGGGATGGTTTGGAGAAAGATAGTCGTGCTTGGTTCTAGTTCTGTTCGCCTGTCGAAGGCTTAGAGTCTCTGTCGGGCCCTCGTGTCAGTACATTCGACCGCACGAGAACAAACGCTCACGAAGTCTCACTGGAAGACCTTTTTGCGACAAAGTAGGTCAACGAGCCGAGTAGCACGACCTTGAGCAGGCCCCTGCCCTTTCCAGGGCCACTTCTGTACCTTGCCCAGTGCATGGATGGTTCTTGAGGGAATGGATAACGAGGATAAGGATAACCCCGGAAAGCAGCGCGAGAACGTGAGTTCGAGGGAAGCATGATGTGTGATGTAGAATAGAGACGATGATTTTACTCGGGTGCCTTTCGAAAACTGAGGAATGGGCGCATTATATCTCGGACGCAGGATCTCGGCCGGTCTCGGGTACCCGAGACCCGCTCGGTGAATTCGTGTCATCGGGCTGCCACAGCTCGGCTTTACCGACAAGCACGGAGGGGCCCCATTGCTATGTCTGGAAGCTGCGAGATGGGTCTTGAAGCACGACCATCAGGAATGAAGGTGCGAGATACTTGGCCATTTCGAATTTACCGTACGTCTTTTGGTGCGATGTATTTGCTCAACTATCCATGCCAGGTCGAAGGTCAATCACCTTGTCCTTGTGGTTTCCTATTCGCGTAGTTCGACGGAGCCAATATCTGCACCGACTTGCCAATTTCGTGTTTACTCAAGAAGAACAGAAGACTGATTGTGCCTCTGTTGATTTGAAGACTCGATTGTCGTGTCGTAGACAGCCTGAGGAGAGTCAGGCCTCTCAGCAAGCACCAGTTCGGCTTTCTCTCCACATTCGGAAGTCTCCGACAGTGGCCCCGCATCATTGCAACCTCACCCCACTTCCTCCAGACGGAGAGAATGCCACTTCCAACCTCCGCGACTGCCTCTCGCATGGTTCGTATCTCTCTCGCTCTATGCATACGCCTACTGTTTATTATCCTGTCTTAGCATTCATGCTCAAGAAGTCATGTCACGACAAATTTCCAGGTAGGCCGCAGTCGATCAATATGGCTACTCGAGTAGAATGACTGAGAGCCATGACTTTCTTGTCAATGGCATCATGACACACCTTCCGATGGCTTGCAGTGATCTAAGCCACTTTATTGAAGATCGTCACCGCTATACCTGTATACCCTGGAAACCCAGCTCTGCCAAGATGTGGATGTCTTCTTGGTATGGGTCTTCTAATCACGTCTGCCATCTGCCGGCAATGAGTATTTAGCATGCTTGACGCCCACCATTTGAAGCTTAGACTTGACATCTCCAATACTCAGGATGAAGTCCGGATTGTTCGTCAACGCCTTGTTGGCATTGGCAAGCCCTGCTGCGGCATATCAGGCCTGGAGCTATACCAATGTGTCTGATCCTTATTACGGACAGAGCCCGCCTGTCTATCCTTCACGTACGATTCACAATACCCTACATGTTCTACGCCATCTACTGACAATCATATAGNCTGCTGGCAATGGGTCAAGCAGTACTCAATGGGCCAATGCATACGCCCAAGCACGCGATCTGCTTTCCCAAATGACACTTGAGGAGAAGGTCAACGTCACCCGCGGCTTCACTGGAACCTGCGTCGGCAACACCGGCGCTGTTCCTCGCTTGGGTATCGAGCCAATGTGTCTTTCCGATGCGCCCGATGGTATTCGCGGTCAAGAGTTTGTCAGTGCTTTCCCTGCCGGTATTCACGTCGCTGCCACTTTCGACAAAGACCTCATGTATGCTTATGGTCGTGCTTTGGGCGAAGAGTACCGTGGTAAAGGCATCAACATCGCTCTCGGACCTGTTGCTGGACCTCTTGGAAGAGTTGCCCGTGGAGGCAGGAATTGGGAGGGCCTTTCTGCAGATCCTCATCTTGCTGGTGCTGGTATGGGAGCCATTACTAGAGGTACCCAAGATGTTGGTGTCATCGCTACTGCAAAGGTATGAGCGAGCGCGACTGATGGAAGCTCCCTTACTGACATATCACCAGNNCACTGGCTCCTCAATGAAGAGGAGTTCCGTCGCATGCCCGCGATTGGACAGGGCGAATGTAGGTTTCTCTGGGAGAAACAATACTGTATTTGATGCTAACATGAGATAGCAATGTCATCCAACACCGACGACAAAACTCTTCACGAGCTCTATGCTTACCCTTTTATGAACGCTTTGAGAGAAAACGTCGGTGCTGTAATGTGCAGCTACCAACGCGCCAACAATTCGTACGGATGCCAGAATTCCAAACTTCTCAACGGCATCCTCAAAACTGAATTCGGCTTCCAAGGTTTCGTCATGTCTGACTGGGAAGCCCAGCACTCGGGTGTTGCCTCTGCAAATGCCGGACTGGATCTTGTCATGCCCGATGGTGGTTTCTGGGGTGGTAACCTCACTCAAGCAGTCAACAACGGCTCTGTCTCTGTTGACAGACTCAACGATATGGTCACTCGTCGATTGGCTGCATTCTTCTATGTTGGCCAGGGTGAAGGCTTCCCCGCCGCAGCCGTGCACAGTAATCTCCAAGTTCAGGAACCTGTCAACGTACAGGATGATCACTCTGCTCTGATCCGAGAAATTGGTGCTGCTGGAACTGTCCTTGTCAAGAATGTCAACAACACTCTGCCCCTCAAGAACCCTCGTTTCTTGTCAATCTATGGATATGATGCAACCATCAAGGCAGACCCTTGGCAAAATCCAAGCAGATATGGCGGTGGATACGAAGTCAACTTCGGTTGGAACACCTTCAATGGTACCATGATCACTGGCGGAGGATCTGGTGGCAGCACACCTCCCTACGTCATCTCGCCTTTCCAAGCCATTCAAGAACGTATCGCCAAAGACAAAGGGACGCTTCGCTGGGACTTTCACTCCGAGAACCCCTACCCGCCTTATCTCAACACCGAGGCCTGCTTGGTCTTTGTGAATGCCTACGCGTCTGAAAGCTTCGATCGCACAACATTGGCAGACGAGTTCAGTGACAACTTGATCAAGAATGTCGCTGCCAACTGCACAAACACTATTGTCGTGATACACAGTGCTGGCATCAGAGTTGTTGATGCATGGATTGATCATGAAAACATCACCGCCGTGCTCTTCGCCGGCCTTCCCGGTCAAGAATCAGGACACTCTTTGACAGACATCCTCTACGGCGACATTTCGCCTTCTGGCCGTCTTCCCTACACTGTTGCCAAGAAAGAAGAAGACTATGGTGGCCTTCTAAACTCGACCATCTCCTTTGACCCTTATCCCCAATCCAACTTTTCGGAAGGTGTATACATTGATTACCGCCATTTCGACCACTACAACATCAACCCACGCTTTGAGTTCGGCTTTGGCTTGTCTTACACTACTTTCAACTACAGCAAATTGCAGACGGCTAGACTTGCAGACGGAAGTCTAGCACCATACCCTGACGCAAATATCGCAATCGTCTCTGGCGGCCATCCCCAACTTTGGGACGAGATCTTCTCCGTCTCTTTCGAGGTCACGAATACCGGCAATGTGTCTGCCCATGAGGTCCCTCAAGTCTATGTGGGTATTCCAGATGCGCCGAAGAAGCAACTCAGAGGCTTTGAGCGTGTGCTTCTGCAACCTGGTCAAAGCAAANGAGTCAACATCCCACTGACGAGAAGAGATTTGAGTGTCTGGGATGTTGTAGCTCAGCAGTGGAAGTTGCAGCCCGGGCAGTATGGGCTTTGGGTGGGTGCAAGTAGTAGAGATTTCAAGTTGGAAGGAGGACTTACTATCTGATTCCGACGAGTTCCGACGAGCATTCCATGCTGTGGAGATGCTATAGAAATGCAAGAACTTGTTTGATAATTCGGTGTCGTCCAGTGAGAGTTTCAAATCATTCTTTCCCAAGCCACTGGAACATCTATCCCAGCTAGCGATACCTATCGACGGATAACTGTAAGAATGCAAGAAGTATTACAGAAACAGACATTGTCCATTGAGAGTCCAAATTATACAACAAGAGTGAATGAACATTGATTGGAAGTAGGAGAATTGGGAGAAGAATGCATTGCCGAAGTGGTACCGTGATGAACTTCAAGTCATTCCTTTGTTCTGATTCTTCAAACCTCGTTCTCGTCGTCGGTCTCGTCCGACTCGCTCTCTTCCTCCTCGCATTCCTCTTCGTCCTCCCGGACCTCGTCTTCATCTTCTTCGTCTCCTCTCGTGCGAGCGCGCAGATCCTCGACCTCAGCCTCGAGCTGTCCGTTAATGCACGCCATGAGTTCCCAACTAATCATGCCCATCTCGTCTGCTTGAACCCAGTTCTCGATCTCTGTCTTGATGCCCGCGAACCACTCCCAAGTTCTCTCGTCGTAGGCGTCATCGTCACACTCTGCATCACCGCAAACTTCAATGTCTCCGTCCTCTTCCACCGCAACAACAATCTTTCCTCTAGCAAAGATGGTCTCGTTGTCGTCGTTGGCGATATAGCTGGTCTCATAGTCGCAAGTAAACTCGCAAAATGAGTGATGCCGCTTCTCAAGAACCAGTTGAAGGCGGGGTTGTTGCTGGCGTCGAGCTCGACAATATCTTCGGAGCCGCCGCGTTCGAGGATGGCGGAGATTTGCATGAGATACTCGCGGCAGAATCTGGCGCGAAATTCGCGGTTGACGCGGGTAATGCCTGCGTGTTTGTGGGTCTTTTCTCCGGTGCGTGAGATGTAGGAATAGGTACGGTGGCGGAGTTTGGTGGGCAGGCTCGAGAACGACATCTAGGTCCATGACGTTAGTGGGGTGTTTCGTAAAGGGTGGAGTGCAAGAAGACTACACGTTACAGTCCTTCCGTTAACAACTTACTTTATGGTAGAGAGAATGTCGTGGTGGAAGAGAGAGAAGATGACGGTCACGAAGGCCGAAGTGATGGGGTTCTAGACGGAAGTGGACGGAAGACAAAGGTCGCGTGTCGACGATATGGAAGTGAGCTTCTAGTCGTGAGTCGCGTCAGCTATCGATGATGTCGTGGAGATGTTCCGGGAGTAGAATACTAACAAAACCGTTTGACGTTGTTATAAAAAAAGAGAGAGAGAGAGAGAGAGAGAGAGAGAGACAGGCGGTGATCGAGGCAGATTATATAGGGTTCTAGACGGAATCATACGGAAGACCACGGTCGACTGTCGACGACGACGAGTAAGTGAATATGCTTGTGAGTAGCGCCAGTTGTCGATCTCGACGTCGTCGACGACCCGGGATAGTAGGAGTAAGTGTAGCCTGGTACTCTAGTCAACGAGGACTGGATATCTCTCTTTCAGGAATTATATTCGTGAGTAGCGTCGACTGTGGATATCGTCATTTCTATATATCCATTACAAAAAGTCCCTTGCTTTAGAGAAAGCTTGGGAACCTCCCTTGCTTCTACAAATCCCGAACCAAATTATTCCATGTCTTCCCGAAACCGTACTGTGGATAAAATAGCTGGTAGAATTTCAACAACCTGTTCAAATCGTAGATGGTACCAGAGAGAGCAATGCATGAAACAGCATCTCACTGGAGGTAGCGAATTTTCGAACAAGACTCTGCATTTCTATAATTGCTTCTAACGCGTTAATCATCTCCGAGATAAGTTCTCCAGAAAGATGTAACATATCTCCGGAATCACGTTACTAGAAAGTGGCTGGTAGAAATGCATAAACTTATCAAAACGTCATGCAGTTCCAGTGAAATTAAGGCTGGAAACAACATCTCAATGAACACAGCAAGGATGGAGAAAGTATTTTGCGATTTTACAGATACTTTTGACCCTGGAATTATTCCTGAGATGAAATCTTCGAAATTCATCTCCCAGATCACCTTGCCAGAAAAATCGCGGGTAAATTTGCATGATTGTAACCAGCTACTCAGGTAGTTCCATTGTTGAAATCAAGGCATGAATTTGTATCTCACTGGACACAACTTGTCTATCGAAAAATTCTTGCATTTTCATAGCTACTTTTGACGTTGCAACTCGCATTGAGATGCCACCCTGAGCTCTTACGTTTTGAGACCTGAGTCGTGACCTCTGAGTACTGGGGTTTGATATGTTCTGCTGTCAGCGCGAACAGTGCTGCGTGTTGCGTGTCTTGGAGTTGCGACAACTGGTGCCTCTGTCTTTGTGACGCAGGTTATCAGATCAGCTATTAACAGTCTTGCAAGAACTTCGACGACCATATATATGAGTTAAAGTACCGTTCACCATTCTCGAGGCCGTCAACAATGATATGCTGGTGTTTGTGCCTTCATCAGTATATTCTAATGAGGTCACTCATAGCTATTGACCAACTGACCTCATCACCTAGCTGCCTTTTTCTTGTGTGTCACATTGGAATCACAAACGTTGACATTTCGGAATTTGTTTGATGCAACTGCAACGGTATCATCGTTACTGTTTCTCTGCTACCAGCTTCCATGTTCTCATGACCAGAGATTTGGGAAAGTGCAGGTTGTCATTCTATGTCGGTCATGCCTGCCAGAAAGCAGATTTGAGCTTAGCATGTCAAATGCGTCATCTGATCTTGAGGTGAAGACATACACGCCTACAAATACTTTAGCAGGTGATTGCCTGCTGACTGCTCCATCAGCAGGTAACATTGATTTCCCACCATGGCAAAGACGCAAGTATAGATATCAGCTCACCCCCTTACATCTCTTTGCAACCCATCTCTCCGACCCTTGAACTCCAGAAGCGCAAGTAAATTTGCATACAATCCAACCATCAGACCAGAAGAATGCCACTCCTGATCCCCATTCATCTCTCCCACCTCCTCAGCCTCAGCACCTCATCGCCTCTAACTCCTCGCCAAGCAACAAACGGACCCGAACCTCCAACAATCATCTGGACCTGCACAGGAAACACCGACCCTATCCTCGACAATCCATCCGTCTGCTCGAACATGTGTTATGGCGCTTATTGTCGCGGCTACGGCAATTCCTTGACCTTCAACCCCATGGCAGTCGGCCTTGCTCCCAATATCGTGAAACTGCGTAAGGCGAATGCAGGGTGTTATGTTGGTATCGATGATGGACCTGTGAATGAGCAAGATAGATGTCAAAGACAGGGTATGGCGTGTAATGTATCCCCATACCTTACTGCCATTGAAGGTGCTGTGGATGTCGAGAGGGGAGGTCCAGTGAGCAGGTGTGTGGATATGNGGGAAGATGCTCGTGAGTCTCTCCCATGCTTTTTCCCAGTCCATCTACACTTTCCAGAGATACAGATTACTGATGACGGGAGTACAAACCCAACAGGTCAGAATGCCATGCTCAATCTCCTCTACACATCTACAGGGCCCTGGTCGGATAGCCAAGGTCTGAACTCTACTACTGAACTAACCACATATCATCAGATCTTTGCCAATGCGGGAGAACTGCCTTATTGTTCCGGCCTTCCCTCTGACTGCGTAACCGATGGCACAGAGGTCGACCGTGATGGTGTGATATCCGCCTACGACCCTCTTCCTTCGTCTCGCAGTCAAAGAACATATAAGTTAAGTGGAGGACGAAATGTTACGGTGATGCAGGAGATGGAGCCCGGAAGAAGGGTCTTGTCGCCAAGGGTGAGGGATGGCAAGGGGTTTGTGGAGGAGAGTCAGCGACACGTCGTGGATGGGCAAGATATGTTGGAGCGATTGGGAGGATATCTGTACTTCGAAATTGAAGAGATTGAGGGGGAGATTCTTGATGGATCTGTTTGATTTAGGGAGTGTTTCATCTGGAGGGAGGACTGTGAAAGAAACGTTAGTTGAGAATATTCTTCCAGTATGCTTGTTTGGAAAATCTGCTTGAAGCTGTGGTTACTTGTGCGTGTTGTAGTTGATATAAGAGAGCAGAGAGTGAAGGAGTTGGGTCTGTAGTCCAGTCACTCACATAGTTGTCCATCATCTCCATTGTATTGCTCGCTGTTCTATCTCTCTTCTCTTCTTACGTCGAAAACAACTCTACTGTATCTCGTGAACAACGGCTCGAGAACCGTCATTGACTCTAATGTATCTCTACTCTATCCTTGCCATTTCCTGACTGCATCTTTTGCGTCTTCGCGGTTCTGGCACGGAGACACGACACAACATTACTGTTCTCTCGTCACTTTCACCCGATCTTCTGCGGTTTCTGTGTTGCAGAATCACCCAACCCATCTGCACGCAACACTCTTTCACTCTTCTGCGTCTTTCTCGCCCTCATCTACCAAATCCAAACACTCTTCATCCCCTCTTTCAACCTCCTCAACCACCACCGTCAGCAGGAAAACAAACACCAGATATCCACCCGCTCAACTCCACCAGAAAGCCAAAATGGTCAAGTGGGAGAACGACAAAAACGTCTACATCCTCGGCGCCGCCCTGGAATACCTAAACCCCAGCATCGGCAATGAAGTCGCCGAAGCTGTGATCGCTGGATGGCGTGAGTGTCTCTTTCTTTCTTATCCCCAAAGTGAACCACCTGCCCACCCTTGCATCTCTCCCTCCTCCTCTTGCCCACCTCCTTTCTTCCCTCTTCTCCTCTTCTTGTCAGGTAGAAAGATCTCTCACTAACCCACCTGTCTAAAACCCCAGCCGAGATCTTGGGCGAAACCCCCACCCTCCGCGCCGTCAAAGACCAGATCAAGAAACTGTCCACCACTTCCTCTTCCACTGGCACCAAAAAGCCCAAAGCCAAGACTGCAGCAAAGAGCAAGGGAAAAGGAAAAGCAAAGCAAGCAAAGAAGAGAACCCGCAACGATGAATATTCTGAGGTAAACGATGGAGAGGCGAGAGAGGAGGAAGAAGATGACAAGGAAGACGACGAGCAGGGTCCAGCAAAGAAGCAAAAGGTTGTTGTCAAGCAGGAGGAAGGAGATGAGGATGATGAGGGAGAGGTTTGAGGGAAGTCAGGCAGATGAGGGACATCGATCCTCTCTCTTTCTTCGCACGTCATGGAAAAGGCGAAAAGGGGAATGAGGGTACGGCACAAAGGGAGGAAAGAAGAGGCAACAGGAACACCAGTGATTGTTGCACGAGGACTGCAATGAACAGCGGCAGAAAGACGACAATGTGTACAAGAAGAACGACAACAAGAAAAAGGATGCCATGCCACAACTCCAAAAGACCAATGGTTCCTCCAATCGTAAAATGCGTGTCTCTGTTTCTCTTCATGCTTCCTCTCACTCGATGGGCAAGTTGTTGACCTGAGCCCAATCATCACCCAGACAGGCCACATTCTCCAACACCCTACCTCCCTCTTCTTTGGTGCGTCCATCAAGGACAGTATTGATGGCACACCTCGCGACCAAGGTATCAGAAATACTCTGGCTGCTCCCCATCTTCATCAAATTATACACAGTCTGCCCTCCAGCTAACACGGTGCCCAATCTCAAAGCATAGCACTCAAAACTGCCCGGTGTACGTGAATCAGCCAGCTCAAAGAGCCCTTTTTCAGCTGCACCCTTCATCTTTCTGCTGTCGGCGCTCCACCAGAGGGAAGCGAAGGGATTCTGCTCGGCGCCGGCCATGGACATGTAGATGAAGCGGAAGGCGATGCCGCGTTTGTCTTTTGATTGCGAGATTTCGGCAGCGGAGGGNGACAGGGTGGAAGAAAAGGTCTCGGCGGCCGTGTGGGCGAGGGCGATGTTGATGCGTTGGGCTTCTTCTAGTGAGGCAAACTTGTTGACCCACCCGCCGATGCACCTGTTGGATGTCAGTCGGCTTGTCTTGTGCTCGGTGGTGATCGGGGACTCTTACCAGATGCATCCTCTGACACCTTCATGTTCAAACAGTCTCAACAAGTGATCGGGCCATTGCTCAAAGTCTTCGTGGATGATCTGAGTGACCTTTGGGTGGTTGGCAATCTTGGGGTCGAGGGGTTTGCGGGTAACGGCGTAGATGTGTGTGATGAATTGATGCTTGATCCCTGAGCGCAAGACTTCAGAGCCGACGAGACCTGTGCAACCTGTGACGATAATCTTCATATTTGCTATTCTGGAATATACAGAGATGAAGTGGAAGATCAAGAGTGAGGATAGTGTTTTGGAGGTGCGAGGTCCAGGAGACGCGTCGTCATGGTGCGGGGTCCAGAGCGTCGTCTCGGAAGGCGCCCTCGTTGGCTCCTTCGTTGGCTTCGGTAACCATCCTGACGCCAACAGCATCCCAAGAAAGGTCATTTGTTTTTGATACGGAAATGATTTCTTACCCTGACCTCGAAGCCTTGACTTGCTTGTATCAATGGACCTGTAACATTGCTGCCTATGACGCTTCAGCTCGCCTTCACATAGATTTGGAGAGGGACTTCTCTCGTGATGTTTTTAAATCATCCACACATCGTCTTGGTGGTGGTGAGAAGATGGCTTTGTTATGTCTTGAACATATCTCAAGGTTTGTGATGATAGACGACCAACATATTTGCGATGTCTTGGGTTGACACTGACTCTCACATATCTTCTTTGTCTCTTGGCTAAGACACAAATCTTACAACTTTGTGATGGTAAACTACAAACAAAGTATGCGTAAAGTAACAACGATCACCTCTTTACTCTACACTACACCATATCCACTCTCTACACTCACCCCCTAAATCACCACTCCCCTCCAACTCCCGAGCCACAACCCTACAACCCCAGCAACATGCAAAAATACCACATACCTCAACCCACGCATGGCGCAAACAAAAATTCTGGGCATTTTTACTATTAGGCGCAAACCGCGTGTTGTTTCACGACTTTTTACCTCCTTGGGGGCTTGAGTTTTTGTGCAGGGTGAATGCGCAGGCTTGGTGGTGGTATTCGCGGTACGGGTTTAGCGCTGCTCCAGGCGAAGAGGACGGAGGACAGGGATGTGGGTTTCAAGATGGAGGGAGAGATGATGAGAGGGATGGGGAGGAGGAAAATCAAGATTTGGCTGATGGGGTCGTGGATGAGGAGAGTTTTTGCAGGGATGAAGTGGCCGATGCTGATGGGTATCAGCACCTGTGGGATGTGTCACAGAGCTGTGCTTCTTCTCCAACTCTCCAAGGCCGAGGAAAACATTCGGCGACGCTTGATCCGCCTGACGAGTCAGGCCAGAATGATGCTGGATGCATTCCCGGACCGCTAGCGCCAGAGCGCAGTTAGAGCTTTTCTTCTGGAAGACAAGTGCATTGCTCGATTTGCTGTACTGGCGAGTGTGGAGATGCAGATGCCTGTTATCTGCGATATTCGTGTCGCAGTCCAGAAAGTACGGCGGAGGGTCTGTTGCCTAGGTTTGACTGGGAGCAGGATGATCCTGGACATGGTCTGGGATTCCTGCTGTAAGTGCCTTGACGCTGATTGGTTGTTGCTGTGGTGGTTTTTTCTTGTCTCTGTCGCCCATTCATCATCCAGGTGTTATCATCATGCTCTTCTTTAGGTCTGCCTTGTATGCATCTGTGATGGCGCCGCACAGGACCAGTTCTCTCAGTCCAGTAAGTTGTTTCAGCCGCTCGAGAACCCCNTGCACCTCTTCAATACTCCTCACTTCTCTTTCTCGAGTCTTGCCAACACCTCGCTTTTCCCCTCGGGCNACGCCCTCATTCCCATTCTGCAACCTCAGCGTCAATCTCTTGATTCCTTCTTCTTGCTCTGCATCCTTGAACGCTGTGACCAGTTTGCCTACTTGCAACTTCAATCCATGCACCAACCCACTGCCTCCGACATTATACTTTATCATGCCCGTATACTCATCCACCACATCAACCGTAACCACCAGCCTCCTCACCAACCCCAAATAGCGGTTCTTGACCAACTGCAAAAAGTCAAGCGCATTACTCGGCGCCAACCCCGACGCCAACACCCACCGAAAGCGGAATTGTATCGTGTCGTAAGATACCCACAGCACGAAAACATTTTGTCCGTATAGCAAAGCCGAGCATTCGTGATGCAGTTGCTTGCACACGGCTAGTAGAGCAGTATTGCCTCGATGCCAGAGTGTGGTGTTTGCTGTATATTTCGCGGACGGCAACCCCGCGAGATGGATTTTGTGGGCCGAGGAAGCGGCATTAGATGTGCCTGTAGGAATGGAGATGAGACTTCCTGCATGGGCCATAGTTTCCGTGTAAGGGAGCAGGTACGCATAGACTTTAATTCGAAGTTCATAGGGAAGACGCAGAAAGGGGAAGGAGGGTTTGTTAGATTTTTGATTCAGAGGAGACTTTTGAGATGCGTGGAGACGGAGGATTGATGCTGTCGTTTGTGTCATGGAGAGAGCTGGGGGCATTGTGTGGGTTGTTGCTGGGACAGGCAGAGGGTGGTAGTAGTCACGGCAGTTGTGATGGCCGGTGTCTGTCAAGGCTGTCATGTTTTCAATATGTCAGATTGAATCATTAGTGAGTTGAGAATGTATGAGAAGAATATGCGTGGAAGAGGGACGAGTAACGGATGTCGGCCATCAGGGTGACGACTCGAATGCGGAGGTGATGTGTTATGTAGCGTTGAACGTTTGTTACAGAGCGCTGTTCCACGATATATGTTCTCTATCAAGTCTTGGCGCCCGTCCAGTTGTGGTGACGGAGCTTAGCTATTGATGACCCTTCCGAGGTCGATACACACACATCAACATCTGAACAACATGAGTCTTCTGTTTCCAAGCCCTACTGGGTCAACAGACGTTCGTTCGTGTGCCCAGAATGTCACTTTCTCCATCGGCCCCAACGCAGGGCTTCTCTTGATCTGATTGCCTGAACATCTTCGATACTGTCCAGGCTGGCACCCGTCATTACCGGAGCTCCCTATCAGCCTTTGCAGAGCGAAATAAGCGACCCGAAGCAACAGATTGCCTGATACTATAGCTCCCTCCAGACCGCCGCCATGCACATCGAGCTCCTCCCGTCCGAGTTGGTCACCGACATCTTCCTCGCCTTGCCCACCATCTCCTCGGTCATTGCCTTATCTACGACCTGCTCCCACTTTCGCCAAATCTACACATCTTCAAAGAGACTCGGAATCCTGTCTCAAGCAGCCGAGAACGAGTTTGGCCCTACACAAGACATAGTCCAACTCGTCACCCACAACTCCTCCCAACCTGCACACCTTCGCCGCCAAGTCCCATTGTCCGAAGCCTTGATCCGCTCCATTGTAAAAGTCGGTCGTGTTGCTGCAAAGTGGGAGGCCATCTACCCATTCAAGAAGTGGAAAGCCGATTTCGAGAACAGGCGTTCGATATCAGACAACGAGCGTTTCCGTCTGCGACGAGCACTATATCGTCTCTGGCTCTTCTCTCACGCCTTCCACGATGGCAGCATCCTCCGCTGGATGAGAAGCATGCCTGCTCTCCACCACGAGCGAACACTGCTGCTACACAACTTCGACTCGGTCGAACTGGCTGAAATGCTCGACGTCCACAACATGCTGCGCGACACCATCAGCAACAACATCTGTCCATCCAACGGCACCGTCCACCGCAAGTTCCAAAAGCGCTTCCCTAATTCAAACTATCAACTTCTCTTCAACACATCCCTCAACTTTCCACCTCCCTCCTCATTCGTGCAAGGCGGTAGCTACTACTGCTCTGAAGTCGCTGCGTCGAAATGGCACAACAAGTACACACCCACGCCCAACCACGAGCCAGGCGCCGAAGGCTGGGGCGACGACATTCTGCACTACTATGTCGTTGAAGACATGTTGAAGCTCGACCCCGAACAACTCATCTTTCTAAAGGAAAACGCGCCCTACAAAAGCCAGGTAGAGGCTTATATCAGAGCACAAGGCGATTGGTTTGACAACAACGGCGAGACTTTTGTGCAGACGTTGCAGCAGGTCATTCGCGATAGAGGTCAGGAGATGGATGACTTCAAGGAAGCGATTGAAGATGGGGAGTTGGGTGTTGCTCTCCGACAAGTGTAAGAGAGAATTGTAGGGTTACATAAGAATACTAAGTCTTTCGAGTCATCCCTACGTTCCATGAGTTGCCTGAATGGTTCTGTGCCTGACGGCCCGTCGGAGCAACGGTCTCTAAGCATTTGATGCTTCCACGATGATCCAATATAGGAAGACAAGGCTTCTAGGTCAGGTGTCCCGAACTCGAAATAGACAATTGACAAAAATAGACTGGATGGCATCACAGGTGTCAAGATGGGGAAGGGACGGCATTGCTCATTGCGCAGCATATCGATAAAGAGGCAGGGACAGGTTATACAACGGTATAGAAGAACAAGAGGATTAGGAAGATGGAGGCTGGGAGTCGTTGTTCAGGTTCAATGGAGATTGGAATAGGCAGAAACAGGGTTGGCCTGGCGGAACGTTGGTAACGGGGTGGAGGCCGGATCTCAACGTCTCGCGTGTCAAAGCAACCGAGACTTTGTGCTGCCTTGTGGCCATAGGTAAGACACGACGGCTTCTCGACCTTATTGAATGACGACGAGAGTAGAGAAGAAGCTTTCAGGCCTTCGCACGAGCGAGATCAAGGCAGAAGAAGAGCGGCGTCAGGACAACGGGCTTGACTCGAGTGGATTCTTGTATGGCAGTGTTGTCAGGGCGGGCAGGCAGCCGGTGGAAACGTGCACGCTGCTCCCAGCCACTTTCCCAGCCACAGGCCTTTTTCGCTGTCGTCAGCAACAAAACGCACAGGTTGCAGGCTTAATATGCAGCGATTGATTACTGCAGACAGACGAGCCCCTGTCTATCCCTTCTACACTACACACCAAAGCAGCAATCAAGACGCAATATCTCATACTGTCGTTGAAGCCTCGACCTGTTCAGACTCCGAAGTCAATCTCCACTTTTGTGTACCGCCCTCGAAGCTTAAGCTTGTTTTGCATCCCCTTGACAAGGCCTCCTTACAGCGAAAGAGCTGCGCGACGCGTCTGCAAAAACAACAGACTATCAGACCCAAGAAGTGCTTGGCCTGGCTTGACGGTTTTTCTCCCAACCTCGTCCGAATACTCGACGTCAATCGCTAGACACGTTGCTTGTTTCGGTCCAAGTACCCTGTCGAAGGCTGTCGAGACCAAGTGGGGTTTGGCGTCGAAGGTTTTGATTCGCAGCTGAAGCATCCAGCCATTACCTACTACTTCTGTCATCATGGCGACTTCCTCTTCTACTTGTTCATCGCCCTTTCCACAGACGCCCGTCGCCCTAGCAAGACCCAACTCGGCCGCCGTCCGCTCCACCAACTACGACAACTACAACACTGCATTCTCAGAGGACACTTCTTACAATAACAACAACACTTTATCCTCTCCTGTATCCAACTCTCTATCCTACTCATCGCGCACCGTCTCGGCCGCCTTTGGCAAACAGTTCCTGTCTGCCATCTCGGAGAACGTCAAGGCTCCTGGTGTCGTCGCAACTGTTGGCTCTCTATCCCGCAAGGCTTCGCTCCACGCCCGTGCAAGGTCCCTGGCCAGCTTTGTACCTCAACTCAACCCTACCGACACCGAAGAGCAACACGGTTCATCCAGGTCGCCGCCTCGCAAGGGTCCATCCTTTACCGACATATTTACACCTCGTCGATCATCGCTTGCCCCATCAGAGCCCGAGGAAGAGTCGGAGTACATCATGTCTTACAAGTCATCTTTCACCGGTGGTTCTGGCCGCATCCCTGAGCCTCAAGCCCCTGCACCCAAGCCCACTGGCCTGCGCAGCTTTTCTTGGTTCGGCTCTACAAAGAATGCACCCGTATCTCCTGCTCCGACAGAAAGCACCATGGGCATGGACATGCTCAACCCAGCAACCTCATTACTCTTCCCCGTAGGCCATCCCGCAGACAAGACCCCCGCCTCCTTCGACGAGCTCCTCCACAATGCCGAGTTCCTCATCAACCGTCTTCAAACCGCCTACAAAGAACAAGCATCTGCCCTTCAAGCCGCCCGCGCAGAGCGCGAAGCACAAACCGAAGAGACCGAAGAAGCCTCCACACGTGCCCAACACTTAAAACTTCAGCTCGAGAACCTGGCCGCCCAAGCCGCCGAGCAAGCAGCCACAAACCGCGCTCTCGCCGAGGAACTAGCAGCGGAAAAGCAACGCCGCCACGAAGACCGCGAACACTACGAACGCCTTGCTCGCCAAAATGATCTCACCNCCCGCCGCAACCGCCACAGCGACGGCAGCTCTCTGCACAGCGACAGCGGCTTTGAGAGCGAAGCCGACACTGCAGAATCTTGCTCTCGTCCTCTGACACCCACATCGCCAAACCCCAACAATTACACCTTGATGGGCAATAATGAGCGTTGGAGCACTGCCATGGAGCCAATCAAGGAGGTTGTTCGCCCCGTGTCACGAGACTCGACAACGGCTAGAATCCCCGGCCGCACGTGTGAGATTGACGCTGGCGTGTGGGTGTTTATGCGTGACGAAAAGACACGTTTGGAGCGCCGGGTTCAGGAACTCGAGGGCGTGCTTGATGGATGTTTGGATTTGATTGCATAGATAGAAGAGAGCAAAGCATTTTGCATCTTGGACATGCAAAAGGCAGTCGACGATACTGGATATCGCGTTTGTGCCTCGATTGAGAGGTGTGTTGTAGGCCTCTCACCTTTTATTTCCATACCACTCTCTTGTTTTTGTATATAGACTTTACATGCCTGCCATGGCACACTGCTTTGAATAACAAAGACTTTTATCAAACAACATATCCACAGTTCATCTTTCCTCGGGTTTGTTAAAGTGAATTTAGAGTAGTGCATTCAGTCCAAGCCAAGGAAAAAAGACATTTCGATGATCCTAGAGACCATGGAGACACAATTGTCAACGGTAGTTTTTCTCTATTCTTGTGTTTTCCTTCTTTTTCTATCTTTGTGTTCGTTTTCTTTGTTGCTGATTGAGTGATCACGATTGGAAGAGCAGCGAGTTTAGTGGTTGGGTTCGAGGGAGTGCAATTAGGAATCCGGGGAGACGGGGTTAGGGGCAGTGGGTGAGTATTATAGTAGGAAAATGGAGTGGTGGTGGAAGTGACGGTGCGTTCAATTGACGAGTTTAACTGAAAAAGGCGACTTCAACCGACAAGATGGTCAACCGAGAACGATGTTCGACAGAGAGAGGCGAGTTCAGACAGTCCGGAAACCGTAAGTTTAGACAGTCAAGTCCATGTACTTAGCAAGTGCAAACCCCATCATATGGTCAAGGAGTCGTGGAATGGAGATGGCGAGTTCAATCCAAGCAGTAAACCGAACCAAGCAGTCGTGAGCGCAGCAGTCGCGTGTTTACTAGGTCCAGCGAAATTCAATTGAGAAAGCGAGTTCAACGAGTTCAGACAGTTGGATCGTGAGTTCAGATGGGCAAGTTGAGTCTGCCAGCGAATTTAGTGAGTCCAGTTGGCTAGCGAGTTTGCTGTCAGGTTCAGACACGTAGTCAGCAGCGAAACAATAGTCTGTGTCCCGTGTACACTGATCTGCAAGAGCTTATGAAAGAAAAAGAGTATATGTATATCGTTTTGGGGTATTCAGTCTTGCGTGTTTGTAAACTCTCAATTGCGGAAATCTCTCTGCTGCTGGCTGTCGAACAACAAAACCACCCATACTTCTTTCTGAATGCTCGGGCTGGGGAGAACAAATTCGAGAAGAAAGAGACAGGAAAGCGGGAAAGAATTACACCAGGTGAACGCCATGAACCTCTCTTGTCTCTTTGCCCAAAAGAAGAAGAAAAAAAGGGGGAAAAAAGAACAATAAGATAGAATGAGGCCTCGCTCTGTCGGATGTGAATAAATGAACATCCTAATGATCCCAATCCCTGTCGCAAACCAAAACAAGACACGAAAAACAGAAAATAGGGGTTGTCTAAAAGGTACAAGTAAACAGACAAGTCCAGGCCTGAGGAGGGAAGGCTACTGTTTGGCTCTTTTCTCCCACCTGGAAGTAAAGAATTGTGTTGGTTCCCTCCTTTCCATGTAGACATTTCAAGAGTCTAGATCTCAACAGTCTTCATCTCTTCAGTGTCGGCCGACGAGGCACCACCCTTTGTCGCTTCTTCCGAAGATGTGATGGCCGAGTCAGCCTTTTCCTTCTCGTCCTTGCGGTCTTGATCGGCGAATGTCTCGACGATGGGAGGGAGCGGCGAATCCATACTTAGCAAGTTGTCGTTGCTCTTGGAGGTGTTGAGTACGGAGTCCAAGTTGTCGGTCTTGAGAGGAGTGGGGCCAGCCTCTTCAGCGACGCGGGCAAGAGGACTGCTGACATGGGCGCGCGGGCTCTGGTTTGCCGGAGCCTTGCCATTGCTGGAGAAGCGCTGAGGGCTGCGGCCGCGGTCGCTACCGGTGGGCGAGGCATAAGGGGAGAAACCATTGAGACTGCTGAACTCATTCTTGACGTTGCTGTTGATGCGGAGGGGCTGCTGGGGACGAGCACCCTTGGGAGTGCGGCGGCCGTACTTTTGGTCGGTGCGCCAGCGCAGGATGTCCATGTACGAAGGATCGACGTTTTGGTTCTTGAATTCGCGGAGGGTGAGCTCGCCAGTCTCGTCGTCGACGATGGCCTTGGGGGTGCTCAAATCGTCGGCAACGCTTGCCAGGAAAGCGGACCATGAGCGAGCGACGACGTATTTGCAGTCGTAGTCGCGGCCAGCCAGAATGACCTGACCCCACTTTCCAGCGGGACCAGGGGCCAGATCGATACAAATGTTGTTACCGCCCCAGTCTCTTGCAACAGGGATCCATCCAGGGTGGACGTAGGCCTTTTGCACGGCGTTTGGTGGGTGCGAGTCTTGTTTTGACATGAGCTCAGAACGCCAGCCGGCGCCCGAGGCGGATTGAGAAGCGGAGGCGGCCGAGGGCTGAGTCGAGGAACCAGCAAAGGCCTTGTTGGGGACTTGCGGGGCGGCCAAAGGAGCAGATGAAGCACGGAGGTAGTCGTCGCCAACGCGAGCCCACTGTTTCCACTCTTGGACAATCTCCTCGCAGTCGAGCAGCATGCAGCCAAAGAGGATACCGGTGGGCCTACCGCCGCGCTCTTGGCCGTCGTGAATCATCAGAGACTCGCGCATCTCCATGGGTAGTGTGCAGTCAAGCTCGTGTTCGAGTTCGTTAACATCGTTCTGAGTGCAGCCTTCACACAGGTTCTCGAAGAGTTCTTCGTGTTGGTTCTCGGCCCATTGGTCGATGCGTCTCCACGAGTGACCGACGGGCGGCGGAGGAGGGAGGCCTTCGGAGAAACTCTGCATCTGGATCTCGCCTTGGCCGACGCCTTCGAGGTTCCCTGAGCTGGACTGGCGCTGCATTGTGGAGCGGAGACCGGGCGAGTAGGGGTCATTGGGCGACATGCGACCATTGGCAGGCATGAAATCATTGTCTTGAGCATAGGGGTTGTTGAGGTCGGTGCGAGATTCAGCGGCGGTAGCGACCGAAGTCAGGGGAGCGTGCCGACTTTGGGCGAGGGGAGTGTGAGCGCCGGTGCGGTAGGGCATGTCGGGCGAGGCGTGTCGGTCGTTGGACGTCATGGTGTGCCAAAAGGAGCGCCATACTCCGGTGATGCTGTGGACAGCGAATTAGCCATGGTCTTCCCTATCGCACGAGTCTAAGGCGTTCGTGCTTACTTCGCCATGTTGGGCCGACACGGAGGTGTGCTGTGGTCGTGTCGTTGTGGTTGCGCGCTGTGGCTGCCGGGTGGTTGCAAATCTCGACAATTCCTATCAGAGTGGAGAGGACGGCAGACGGTGCGTGGTGGGGATGATGGGTGATGGACGGTGACAAGTGAGTGGTGGAGTAGGTAGTTGAATGTCGGAGTGCAAGTGTGTGGTGCAGTCTGCGTGTGCAAGGGCAAGAGGGTTGAAAGCGGGAGCGAGATTGCGGTCAACAAGAAGCTCTTGCAAAGGGGAACCGCGTGTCAACACAGACGACAAATCCGTCAGGGAGCAGGTCTTCTGGAAGCCTTGAACGTCTCCCGAATGAAACGGCTATAACTGTTTCCGCTCCTCTGATATGATTTATTTACAATGCTCTGGTTGGCAAGAGCATGGAATCGTGGCTTTGCTCCTTCTCAAATCACTGACGCTGGCCGACATGAACAGGGTCTTGAATGTTGTTTGCGGCTTCCTTCCCAGTCACGGCCAAAACAACAAGCACCTTCTCTCCGTACCACCTTTGCTGCCTTGCCCTCGCCTCTAATACCTGCCTACATGACGTGCTACATGTTTCTACCACCGACATTGGCTTCTGTCAGCAAAAAGAACCAGATTTTCTTCACCATCTTGCACACCCCGACACAAACCTCCAAGTCAAAGCGGAGACCCGTTGCCATCTCGCCGCAAAACTCAAACGTTTTTTGACCTGCAGGAGCCAAGCGCTTTGCTTGTTGGCACTCTGCTTCCGGTGGCGACAGCGAGCTAAGAAAAGCATCAACTTTGTACCAACCTCGTACCAGCCAATTGCCTTTATTCTGTTATCACAACATGCACAGAATTCACAGCCCCCATGCGACGTCTTCCTAGAGACTTCCTGCAGTGCTGTCGACCCCCGGCCTGATTATCAAGCTGAAACAACTTCTTGCCAGCCATGACGCTCATTGTGCATGCAATGGCGCATGCCGAAATTCCCGATTCGCTGCCACAGCCTGCCACGTCCGTGTCATGTGCCTTGTCGTCGCAATTGCCGTCCTGATTTCAGGAACCCGAATGACCTCTGACCAAGGCCGACCATCAACGACGACATCAAAATGCTGCTCTTATTGATCACCTTGTCTATCATGGTCAAGTCGACGTCATCAGTCGATCTGCCCTTGTTGCACAAAATGCATGCACAAGCCTGATCATGTCTCAACCTTGTGACATGTCCAATATCTACCTAACTGCCTGACAATTGTAGACATATTGAGCATGGTAAACGTCCTCGGACTTAACTTATATCACATCAGTCTCTGATGCCGCTGTGTTTTCTATTGGCATTGTGGCTAGTCCGCTACGACTATGCACTTGTTGTGTTGACTCTGTCTATGTTCCTTGACCAGAGACACAAACAAGATAGTTAGGAGCATGCAATGTCATCGCGCTCACCAATCCAATGGTGCACAAAGGTAGGTCAAGTGTTTATTTCTGACAGGCATTGCTTGCACAAACAAAAATAAGATGATTGTACTCGCGCCTTCTCATCTGAGAAGCAAAAATCATGAACTTGAGCCGTACTTGAGTCGTACTTGGACAGGAAGGAACAACCATCCAATTTTCATCTTCACGTTCCCGGATCGTTCCTTCTTCTTATACGTATCTTCCTTCGAGTTTCAACAACTCGTTTCGATATTCTGACCCTCATGCACTCGACACAATGTCGTCGTTGTTAACCCAACAAGAACTCCCGCGTCTGCCTTTGAGTTATCGGCGCCATCTATTACTTTGCTCGGCGCCTGTTCTCTCCCTTCCTTCTCTCGAGAAGACGGACATGTCGGTAGCAACTGCGTAATCGTGTCTTTCCAGGTCAGTCTTGTTCATGACCAGATACACTCTTTGGTCATTTGATATTGTAGTTTTCTCCATGGATTTTTGCGAGAAGGACTGAACACTGATTTCGGCATCACTTATCTCGCACGCTTCACAAATTTACAACAAGACTCGGCTAGCAAGCTAGAGTGCTTCGCTCGGAATAGCTGGCCATTGCCATATCTCACCCAAACCAATTGAGATCAACACACCTTCCCGCACCTGTTATACAGTCTGTGCTCTCTCAATTTCTCGCTCCCACGACCACGTACATACTATTCTAGGACAAGCGCAACCTCATCAAGAGCTCCGGAGCTGTGGGGTCTGGCTCTTTCTCTCTTTGATGTCTATCTATTCTTTTTCTTCTCTTCTTTTGCATTCTTTTCTGCTTTTTTTCTGCTGGCCGTGTGACCCTAGTCAGATGTATATACTTTTTCTACACCTCCTGGACTAATCTTATTTGGAGAGAAACTATTCAAGACGATACTCGGGATACCCCTTAACCTATTGGCAATAGTCAATCCTCGGACCAAGCTCATCTGCCTTCCGCGGAATGGTGTCCCATGCTTTTCGAAATGGCTTGGAAGTTTGTCTGACAACTGATTCGACGCTTCCTTTCCTCAACAGGAACTAACCAACAAATTTCCCTTCTCCGATTTGAGACCCTCCCACTCTTCTCTGAGCCAGGTTCATTGATATACAGACTGATTAGCAACTCGCTCCTCTGTTTTGCTTGGATCAGCCTTCAATGTAGCTACACTGCCCAAAGAAGCATTATTTTTATCTTAACAAGCCTAACCCTCATCAATGGCGAGATGGCCGAGCGGTCTAAGGCGCCAGCTTAAGGTTAACCCCAATACGCTGGTCCGAAAGGGCGTGGGTTCAAATCCCACTCTCGTCAACATATCTTTTGTTTTGCTCTACGTAACTCGCTCGAAAGCAAGAAGGAAGTAAGACGGGTCGAGGGAGAAATCTTTCCGGGACTTCGACATGGAATTTGTGGTTGACTTTCTTGTGCGCGAAGCCTGGGCTTGGCGAGCATAACTCCAATGTTTTTTTTTCTTTTTCTTTCCCTCCCTCCTGAAAGTTGCATCAAGGTTCGTCGAGGAGAGAGGAGAGCGGTTTCGTTGTTTTTCTTGGTGCGTGCAGCTATGCTACCATACTGCGTGGATTCAGGTCGCGTTTACTCCTCCGATTACGGCGAGAACATCACCTCCAACCTCCTCAGCGACGACATCAATCAAACCAAGGATCCCTCACTCGCGTAAGCACACGCATCCCTTTATGCCAAAAAATGTCGTCATTGAAACAAAGGTATATTTTTGAATCGAGTGTCGGTCAACCCATCCGTCCTCTGATAATACTGCCGGTTTGGCGCAGGGGTAACGCGTCGCACTTGTAATGCGAAGATCGCTTGTTCGATTCAGGCAATCGGCAATAATAATTCCTCTGGACAGATGTTCTTTTTGCGTTTTCGCACACCATGTCGAAAATCTGTTTTCGTGTGTATGTGACTTGCTTGTTCTTATTTTTGCGTTAACAAAGAGATTTTCTTGTTGGTTAGATAGGGAACGGTGGTTCTACGATGTAGTGATGGGTCATGACAATTAATGGTGCTCGAGCAGTGAATGACTTTGGTAACAAAAGAGGAGCGCTCGGTGTTTTTTCTATTGCAGCACACCTTGGCTTCGAGGGAGCGCAGACGAGTGTACAGAATTCACCTTGAGGTGCTCGCCGCAAGGATCTTGGCTGACACTCTACGCAGGAGCGATCATACAGCATAGATCTTGAGAATGTATGAGGGTGTTGTAATGATCATATATCAAGGCCGTCTAATTATCTGAACAAGAAGCAGAGAAAGAAACAAGAAAACAGAAAACAAGAACAACAGTCCGGACCTCCCTAAGCTGCGCCATCGACACCAGCCAGTTTCATTTTCAGCAGGAAAACACAAAGAAATGAAACAAAGAAAAGAGAATCGTGGATCAATCGTGTACCATTCACTATCGACCAGCTCACACATTGGCTGAAGAGTAGTAAAGGTTGAGCAAGCTGCCAGCTCCACAGTACTCCAACTTATTGCCTGGGCAGGTCATCAGACTCGACGTATCGCACTTTGTCGCTACAGCACCTGGAGTGACGCTGGACCCACAGTAGCATTGTTGGCCATACTCGATACTGTGTTTGCACTTAGTAATCTGAAACACGATGGTAATCAAGACGAGAACTTACCCAGCATACTTGAAGCGCTTGCCCAAGCAAAACTTGACGCACTTTTCCACAGTCATGAGCGGGTCGGTGGTGCTGGCTCCAGTGAGAGCGCGACCTCCACTGACAGGCTCCTTTAGACATTGCTTGCTGATGTACTTGCCTACATTGGGTACAACCTGCACAGGCTTATACAAAGGATTGCTGTATACGGACAACAACCCCGAGCCACCACAGATTTGGGTGAAGTCGCCGGCGCAGCGGCCGTAGCATGAACTCTTTATGTAATCGGTGGTGGTGTCGACGATCTTGCTGCCAGAGGCGAGGCCGTTGCCAATATAGCACTCGTCGTTGTTTTCAAGGCCGTAGAAGGCGGCGTTGTTGGCTGCGGCGAAACCAGCACAAGTGCTGAGGGTCATGTTGGCGTTGACCAAGGTAGAGGCGTTCAAGGCTCGCCCGCTGTTAGCCTCGCTTGCACAGCCCACGTAGGCTTTGTTAAAGGGAGCGACGGGGTAGGTGAGTTGGATGACCGATTTGGCTAGATTTGTTGTGATTTTGAGGGATGGGTCGGTGTTGTTGTATATCATCATGTAGAAGGGTCCGCCGCAGAGCTCGGTGCGATTGCCTGGACACACGATGTTGCAACCTGATAAGAAGTCTGTCTGGTCTTTGATGACGACGGAGGGGTTGATGGCAAGATCGCAGAAACACTGATCTCCATTCTCAACGCCCGAGTAGGGGTATCCGCGCTTGGTGCACCAGGTTTGGCAGTACTCAACGGTCAGGCCTGGGTAGGTCGTGTATATCGCGTTCAAACTTCTGAAACCGTTGTTGATATACGAGTCGTTACCGCAGCCCACAATTTTGTTGAACTTGTTACCGAAGGGAGTGCCAGCCGTGGGTGTGTATGTAGGTCGTGGAGTCGAATCAACAGTACTGCTGATGCTGGTTAGACGAACACCAGCCGGGCATTCCATGTCAGCAGCTGTGGCAGCGCCGGGACCATTGGTGACGCGAACACAACCAGGAAGCTTGTCGATCATACCAGTGACTCGCTCACCGATTTGAGGAGGCTGTAGGGGACAGTTGTTGGAGAAGTTTGGATTCCAGAAAGGGTGAAGCACAGGACAATCATCAAGCGTACCAGAGTCATCCTGACCATCAACAAGACAGGTGCTAATGGCACTCTTGAGCGCATCATCATCCCAACCATTCTGGAAATCACCATGGAAGCCATATCCAGTGGGATCACCCTGAGAAAAGACATAGCGGCCACCGTCGTTCAGGTTAGACACCTGAGTGACAGCGTAGTTGGTCTCAAGGAACAGATGAGGGAACTGATAAGGATGTGTTGGAGGACAACGTCCATTGTCGATCTGACTCATGTGTGCAACGTGGCTGTTGTCGGCTTTGTATAGATCTTTACCATTCCAGCAAGTCTGGAAGTGGATCTGCGCACGCAGACCGTTGATGCACGTACGAGGATCAGCAGGCATGCCCGGTGTCTCTGGACCGGGAGTTGCGGCGAGACATGCGAAACTGATAGCATCAGAAATGGGTCTGTTGGGGAACGAGGCATTTCCCCAAGTCATGCCTGACTGGTTGGCAGCTCTTAGTGCCTTGTTGCCCGACAACATCTGGAAACCCTTGGGGAATGAGATGATGTCGTTGGCATTCTGACCACGAGCCAGATAGTAGATGACACTTCCATCATGAGGGACTTCCTCAAAAGAGCCATTGGTGTGTTGGTAGTACATGTTTGGCGTCCAGTATGCAGACTTGTCTGCTGAGATCTCACAAGAAGTACATTCCGAGTTGGCAAGAGAATCGAAAGTTGCGTTGACACCGATGTCTAACCAAATAGATTAGCATTTGGCGGACTCAACATATGTTTGTGGACAACACTCACTCGACCCACCAGAGATTGTATGACAATGTGCTGCCAAAGCACCAGGGTTGACAATAGGATCAATACGTCCGACTTGAATCTTGGCACAGTTGATACGGAAGAAAGCGTCGACACCACCAATACTGGCAAGAGCCAGCGAAGCAACAGCGTGCTTGAACTGCATGTTATCGTCCGGCGGCGAGTGATTGCAAAGACGGTGGGTAGAACACTATACTCGCGAGGGGTACTGTTTATGCCAGATATTGCGGAGCATCTCTTTGACAGCCTTCTCGAAGCCCGATGAACAAAGTCGGCATGCCGAGATGACCGGACTTGGAACTCGGCGCCGGTATGGCGGCAAGGAGTTGGGAAGAGGTAGCTCTAGACAAAGACATGGCGTTTGAGTGTGAATCGCCGGAAGCAAGGAGTGGGCCGAGATGTCTTTGTCTGTCGAGTGACCGACCAAGGGAACAGCAGATTCGGGTCACAACAAAGGAATGTCGAGACAGGAAGCATGCAGCGGAGGCCGTGAAAAGTCTCGTGACACTCGAAACTGGAATTGAGAGAGGGTTTTCTTGTTGATCCTCAGCTGGAGCTCGGAGGGGTGAACAGTAGCAATGAAATGAAGGTGGAAAGCCACGATATGGACATTCCTCGGCGCATCCGAGACAGAAGGAACGAATGCAAAAGACAGGGTAGTTACTTCTAGATACAGAGAAACAGGCAGAAAAGTTCGTGAGGGGTGGTTCCTACCCAAAATCATGAAGCTTCTGTAATGTCATGCTTTGCGTAATGCACTGTGTAGTCTCTTTGTAGTCTCAGCCGTCAGCGAAGTTGGCTGTGACTCAATGGCCATTTTCAAATCGTCCGGGCAGCCAGGTGTTTGACGCGCATGCCCAGCTGGTTAGATGCCAGTGTCAGCAGCTCATTGACTTTATACGTCCAAGGCATAGTTCGAGGCAGGAGCTGGTGTCCTCTTCACAAGTCAGCGTAGCCCCGCCTGTGATTCGTGAAATTGGCAAGGTTGGGAACCACTCATACGGATTGGGAGTCGGACTTACCATGATTTTGGTGGTCCCGACAAGACGAAGACACATACCCTTGCAGTCGCCCTTTGGACGCTGTACACACTGCGAAATGATCGGTGGGATTAGGCGACATAGTAAAGAGTTGACACATGACTGCTTTGTGTGACAGCTGAATATCTTGATTGCTCAATATTGTAGCCATGTCGCCAGTCAAGACAACTTGCTACACGATGTATTGAGATGAAGGGAGGGACCGAAGGGGTGGACAGGAGTATGGAGTTGGACGATCACCGAATGAGCATTTTCCGAAAGCGACAGAAATATTTCGGGAGACAACAGTGGTTTTCCTCTCATCAGTCTCGAAGTTCGAGTAGGTGGAACATGTAGTGCTTTCCAATTTTGCATCTTTCGAACAGAAGTCGTCCCGCAAGAATAAATGCTGGTGGTCAGTAGAGTCGTGCAAAGTTCTAAATCTCGCTAGTCTCAGTGAGACTACTCGTGCAGTTCTCGACCAGGCGTATCCTTCTAGCACTCGGCTTTGTTTGTAAAGCCTAGCAAGATACATGGCGAATCAACCAGCTAGCTGGTTGATTCGCCATCAGCGGAAAGTTTATGCAAAACAATCAGAACTACATGGTTTTTGACGTCGACGAGCTTCCAACGATCTAACTAGGTGGACGAGTGGTTATGTCGTCAGTCAAGTTAACATGCCACAGGATGCATTGGAACAGGTGGGCTACGATCTGTGAGATTCTTACGACGTAACAAAGATTTGCCAAGCCTCGAAGCTGCTCCAAAGCTGCGGGTGATTCCGAGCTGTCAAGGTTCTCAGCACACATCGGAGCATGTACGTTGCCGCCCTTGATAGTACTACTACTACAACACACTGCATGGTCGAGCTGACAAAAGAACAAAAGAATGATGACTAGGACGGGATTCGAACCCGTGCAACTTACGTTACCAGGAGACTCATATTACTGAGAAGCTTTTAATCGCTTGAATCTGGCGCCATAACCACTCGGCCACCTAGCCAGATCGTTGGAAACTCGTCGACGTCAAAAACCATGTAGTTTTGATTGTTTGGTGGCCGGGGCTCCATTGCAGCCTCATCGAAGCCTGGAGCCCAGAGGAATTATCGCAAGACGAGCTGTAACGGCAACACGCTCCTTGATTGAATGTTAGGTGATGACGACTGTCAGATGCGTAAGTAGTCATGCTAAGTCCGTTCAGAAGAGAATCAGGGGCAGGATGTGAGAAGCAAGAGTGAGAACTCGAAAAGTTACTTGCGAATCGGAATTCGATGCGCAAATTCTCGCGACTATTGCACACGAGACACCGGAACACAGCCAAGCAATTCAGCTCGTTCATGCATCGAAAAGTGTACAATACCACAATCAACACATTCTCTCATCATACTGACAGGTCACCATGTGCCTCACATATCATTGTTACATGTACAGGCCATGAAGCTCATATAGCGACCGACACCCGACATTGGCTGTCTGCACCTTTGTCTGAACCGAATACACGCCCGAAGCACCCTCAACCCTTGGAGCTGATTTGCACGAGCGCTTGCTGGACTGGACAGCCAAAAGCTTGGAAGAAATATAATGTTTAGTGTATATGGCGATGCTATATTAGGCTGCCGTCTCCTCCATGGATGAACGGCGCGAAGAAGACGATGAGGATCTGCCACCTCCTTTGTCAAAGTCGTCGAACGGACAGTCCATCGTCTCGTTTTCATCTCTCAGACACAACTGGTGGATCTCCGATGTTCCCTGCTCGCCGTACTGTGTCAAGTCGGGACTGATATCGATCTGGTCGTACTCCGCCAACAACTTTCGGACCTTTCCTGTGGCTGACTTGCGCTTCTCTGGTGTGCTCATGAGGTTGTCGAGGACCCACTTGGGCTGCAAAGCAACCAAGGGTACTGGAGCGTGTCTGGACCATCTCCGTTGGTGTGCGGGTGTTAAGGCGACTGGGAAAAGAGGTATGCCATCAAAACAGAAAGTCCACTTCTCGTTCATCGTCTCTTGGGGAATGTCCTTGGGCCATGGTTTTGAATCCCAAATTCTCAACCCGCGCAGCATATCGAAGAATTCGTTGTTGTAGTGCTCGACAGTCTTCAATGAGCCCTCGGTTGGGGCGCCCATGATGACTAGACTGGTGTTTGGTCCAAGCGATCTTGAGACCCGCAGATATGCCCTTAAGGCAGGTGCAATGATTCGTACGTTTCTTGGTTCCGAGGGGTCATCTGACTCCAAGAACACATAGCGATGGTCTCCGGCGCGGTAGCCCATAGTTGCATAGACGCAGGGGAATGTCTTGAGCCCACTGCCTTTTGCGAGGATGGTGGTCTTGAACTCTTCATAGACCAGGCGTTGCCATGCGTTCATGTCGTATTTCTCCTCGAGTTGCTCNCCTAACGACAACAGTCAGATTGAATATCGGGCATTTGGCATTGAGGCTTCTTACTTGGTCAATAGGTTGTCCGCTCCTTTNTTGATGATTTCCTCTGCCGTTTCTGATTGCTCCATGTCGCCGGCATGCGACCCNTGCCCTTTCAACCCATTGGTAACATGGCGAAGTTGAGACGTGAAGTTCTCGAGATCTTTTCGTGCCTTTTGTGGCCTTAACGCAACAATTGTGGCTAAACCGAAGCCGAGAAAGAAGAAGATGATACTGAGAGCGAGCTGCATGTTGCGTGTGTACCAGTTACAACGTAGCCGGCAGCACACGAGAACATTTTATTCAGTCCGCATTCAGCACACACGAAATCATGACGAGTACAGACATATTGTTAGGTATGACATTTCTTTGGTGTCGCCAGACAATGGTCCTGATGTCATGAAAGCCACGCGATTCCTCATTCAGCTTGGCACGAGGCTTTAACAAACGTAACAGAAATCGATGTTTGGGCTTTTAGGGCGGGGGAGGCTCAACTGCATCCGAGTACCGAGCCAACCACTTCTCGAATCTCTGCCGCATCTCGTCGCAGCTGCCATGTTTAGATCTCGAACTGTCAGGCACGTTGGACCAAACGGGAATGACGTGCTCGGGGTCGGTGAGACGACATCAATACGTCCAACTTGACAGTTATTGAGGTGCATCACACTACTGCGCACGCTTACCTCGCCTGTTCTTTTCAAGAAATACAAGTTCTTGATCGCACAGTAACAACCTCGGTTTCGCAACACATACACAGCTAGACATCACCATGGCCGTCATCATCAGAATCACTCCGCGCACCAGTAACTTCTATTGGAACCGTAGTAAATAAAATCGTCGCCGACAACACTCCTAGCAAGCACGATCTTCTGTTGCCGCTCTGCTTCAAGTACACTTCCCGCAATGTCTATAACAACAAAGACCCACGCTAAGGGTGCTTCGGTAACATCGCTAGAGATATCGAGCCATACGGCATCTCTTCCGACCGCACACCTTGCGCTCTTAATTGTCTCATGAATTTCACTGTTGACTCCGGATTCGGTTGCGCTTGAGGTGTTGCCTCACATCTCTGCCACGATTTCGATGCTTTCTCCCGTTTTCGTGATGGAAGTCATGTCCAAGGAACAAGTACCACGACTAGTACTGGCGTTTTGTCTCAGTCCGTATGGAAGGTTTTAATGGCGTATGGTTTCAGCGAAATACCGTCCGAGACGGCATCTTGAAGAGGTGTGCCCAAACATCCAGCGAATCCGTGGTGCTGTTGCCATCCAACTTCTTGAGATCATGCTAATGGTATCTTCGAAGGACCTGATCGTCGCTTCAACCGCGCGTCCCGCCCTGCAGTCGAACGGCGAATCATCCAAGCCAATCCAATACAAGATCTGTGATTGAGCACGACTCTGCAGGAGGGACGGGCCGCGGAGGAATGTACGGTCGTTGGCGGCATGTGGACATTAGGGACATTAGATCTTACCCCGTAGGTCGATCATATTTTGGAATGCAAGATCTCACTTGACATCTGGAGGAAGATCTGGGGGCGGAGATTTTATTAACGTCATATATGTCCTGCAAGGTTAGAGTGCAGCGCTTAATACCAACGGCCAACGCTTGATTTTATCCAACGAACTACAGACGACCCTGCCGCTTTGTAATTAGTGGTCTCTTGACCTCTTTGCCTCTTTGTCTCTACCATGGCGCCCCAAAATCCAATGCGTACAGCGGCAATGACGTTTACGTTTAATGATTCATCCCTTGATGTCTCAGATGAGGATGTCGGCACGAGGGCATTGGCAGGCTATGATCAAACGTTGTAAGGACTGTAGTGTTAACAGAGTATCGCTGTCGAGTTGAGTTATTCGACCTTTCATACTCGACTTTCTAGAAACTCAGGGTCGTTGCACATGACTTCACTCCAATCACCTTCGCCTTCCGAGACGCGGCAAAGTACTGACAACCTACTCGATCAACAAGGATGCCATCTCGAGGATGGAAACACAGTATGCTGGAACGACGATAGCAAGGACCACCCTAGGAATTGGGGCCGCGTCGCAAAATGCTATACAACTGTGATGATCTGTTGGGTCGAACTGTTCATGACTGGTATAAGTTCCGCAGGAGTGAGTATCATCCTATCCCTTCTTTCAATGTCGCCGCCCTAATCAAGAGTAGNNACTGCAGCGTCGAACACTGCTCGAATGGAATATCACATGAGTAGAACACTTGGAGTCTTCGCCTTCGTTACCATGTATCTGCTTGGTCAAACTCTTGGAGGTATAGTCTGCTCTCCAATTTCCGAAACCTTCGGCCGCCGCACACTATACATTGTGTCTTCTGCCGTGTTCTGTATCGCATCAATAGTCACAGCGGCTCCACCCTCGTCCATCGCAGTATACTTTGGTCGCTTCTTCCAAGGTATCGCAGCTGCTGTCCCTGCCTGCGTCGCATATGGAAGCCTTGAAGACATGTGGGCCGCTCAGATAAGGTGAGCAAGCCCTATCCCTGAACATAGTCTACGTCTTGTACTCACATTATTGCAACNNAGAATTTGGGTCGTCTACTGGTATACTGTCTCTGGCTTCATCGGGCTCGTTTTGGGTCCAATCTTCTCGTCATATGTTACCCATTACTATGGTTGGCGAGCAGTATTCTACATCTCCGCCGTGGCAGCCGGAATCTCTACCATCCTGTCCTTCTTCATGAAGGAAACCAAAGCTACTCAGCTCTTGCAGAAGAAGGTGGATGTCATACATTCCAAGACAGGCCGCGACGACTTGAACGGTCCCTCTTCCGGAGGTTTCTCGCTCAAGTCTTTTGTCCAGGACTCACTCTTCCGTCCTCTCCAGTTCCTCGTCACCGAGCCTATTGTCTTCTTCTGTTCCGCGCTCTGTGCCATTGCTTTCGGACTGATCTATGGCTTGACAGAAGGCTTGACGGTGGCATACACCAACCCACCATTCGACGAAACCTTCTCGATGACCTCCTCATCACTTGCCTTCATCGCCATCCTCATCGGAATTCTTTTAGACGTCCTACCACGCTTCTACGACGACTATCTCTTCAAAAGGTTCCGCAAGGAGAAACGCCGCCTATTGCCAGAAACAAAAATCAGATCTTTTGCCCTCGCATGTCCTGCCCTTGCCATCGGCCTCTGGATCTTTGCCTGGACAATCCCTCCCAGAGTCACCAATGTGCATTGGGTGGTTTCCATGATCGGTCTTGTGTTTGTCGGCTTTGCCACTGCTGATCTCAGTTATGTGCTTTTTGGCTACTGTACTGATGCTTATGGGCCTATGGCTGCGTCTGCGGTTTCGTCGCTCAGTACTTGCCGCACCATTGCTGCTGCGGTGTTTCCTCTGTTTGCGTATCAGATGTTCTCGGGCTTGGGGGCGAATGTTGCCGCGAGTATATTGGCTGCCGTGGCGACGTTGTTTGCGTTTACGCCTATTCTGTTCCTCAAGTATGGACGTACGTTGAGGAAGAAGAGTAAAGTTGCTGCTGCGGATGAGGATTGTTTGGCGGAGGAGAACAAACATATGGATGATGACTCGGGTGAAAGAGAGAACGAGAAGAAGACAGAGAACGTCTAGTGCGATACGATGTCGAGATTCTCATGGTGAGTATATGATGAGCCCGACTGATGATTTGTTTCGATTTTTGCATGGGAAGGAGTCTGCTTGATACGAAAAAATAGACTGCAGAAAAACTAGCATACTCGGAGTGAAAAAAATTATTCCTTGTCAAGACAATCATGTTCTTTGTTCTGCGAAATACTCAACGTGGTTCGTAAATGACACTATCTAATATTCACCTCCGATGCTAGTAAAGTGTTTTCAGTATAGAAATGCAGTAAGAAATGTGCCATTGACTAGCCGCTCCGTAGGCTCTCATGGCCCCTCAGCAGCGGTTATACCTCTCTTATCGGCATCTGGATCCGTGTTTTAAGGTCTGTCACTCTTGATGGAAGAGGCACCGCATTGTGTGATGTTATCATCGGAGCACACCAAACATCAACAACTACTGCAGCGAAGATATGGCAGATTAAATGGAACATCGCACCTCCACATGGTCAGCTGAGCCGGCCTCAACGAAAGGGAGGACCAATAGCCGTGGCTCGTCTAGTACTTAGACCACTCTTACATTACCACAGCGAGGTTGGAAGGAGTGATTGGAAGCAATCGACGAAGCTGGTTTCTATTCGCTCGTTAACGGAGAGATGTGATCCTTGCTGCTCTCACACGCGTTTGAAGGCAGGAACTGGGCTCTGATTAGATTCGAGTCCCGCCTACCACCAACGTCCTCATCGTGCGCGAACTCGTCCACAAACAAGCACGATGAATGTTTGTCAGCAAACAGAGAAATTCGGAGGAGGTCGTCTATTCAGGTACTCATTAATTGATACTAGGAACTTGGCAGGAAACACGACGGTTAAGTCCGTTGTCTTGGCGGTGCTCTCTCGAGCCTCTTTCAGAGATCTTCTGACCCATCGCTTTATGCCTCGACACCAACATCACAGCAAACGCCAAGGTCGGACCCGTCAACTGTTAAAGCCGTTTCCGAGACACTTTCATAGCTGAGCGCGGTTCTGACGTCTTGAGGCATCGACCCAAACTGCTCAATTTATCGCCGCTCGGTGTCTGGACCTGTTCGCCTCGGATCGGACATTCCCTGCTGAAGCACATCATCGAACCTTTGAATCCATCCTCAAGGCCTCACAAGAACCCCTGAAAGTCACGCCATGAGACAAGGATATCCCGGGCATTGTCTCCGCTGTTTGGTCCAAATCCCGAGACGGCAAAATCTCGGCTTCACGGCCTCTCATTGACGGACCGCTAGGTGTACACATAGTCGAATAGCAGGCGCCATCACCAAAAGCCTCGGGCTTTGGCAGTTCGGTATGCAATGTTGTTAGGTTTCTCAGGTTCTTCCAGTGAAACGGAAGAGATCGGTAAGACGCTCGCCTGTGATACGTTACACAACAATGCAGTGGAACAGGTAGGAACGATCTCCTACATATAAGCATGAACACGGCCTCTACTCAGCAAACATCCATCATCTTCCCAATTTTCACCTTCCTGATTTCCTCCTCGTTAAAAAATATCTTTCTCTCAAAACATTCATCGCAAGCGGTTCAGATCGATCCAGACTCTAAACCAATCATCTCTACAAATTCCCCTTCAGACATATACAGCCATGCGTCCAACACCCGCTCTACGCAACCTTCGCAATATTAGAGCTTGCTTTCAAAATCCTGAAGCTCAGAGCTTTCTCAATAGTCGTTTTAGTCCACAAACTCAGATCTTGCTGGCGAAGAGAGTTGGTTGGACTATTGTATGGTCAGTCCGCACGATAAAGATTTCTGCCGTGCTCATCTGGTATACTGACTTGCTACAGGNNTACGGTGTAGCCGTCACGGGTGTGTTGGGGTGGCCGTTGATCACTTCGNAATTGCTTTATGGTAGAATTATGGTATGAAGACCATGATCAACATGATACGACATCGTTGGCCGGGGAGGCCGCGAGGACAGGGACTGCTACGGCACCCGAGCTCGCGTTAAGCAAAGGGAAACCAGAGGACGGCCTCTTACATACGTGTGTGAGCTCAGTAACGGCGCACAAGAGGCTTCGAGGCAGGGATCAGCAGGCACTTATACCATCAAACTTCAAGAACCGAGTCAGCGCTCTCGATGATGAGAAGATGTTTGTAACTTGAAGAGCCTCTTTTTCAGAGCATTTGATACAATACTGTATGTCAAACGCTGATCACTTCCTACTTTGCCCCCACCTTGATCCCTCGCTTGACATTATACCGAGCGGAGTTCTTCCCGACACCTCATCCTTCACAACCCCACAGATGATCCCTCGATGCAGTGCGGGGGTCTGTACAAGAAACAAAGAGGTCAAGCTGATCATCTTGGATGCATAGAGTCACGAGCTGATAACTTTGAAATCTTCTTGTGCTTGTGAACTCGCACTTCGTTCTCGACCTGCCCAACCCACCTCTTCGTTACTTCTGATCATCATAATCAATATGGGTCTGTGGTATACTTTTGGCATAGCTTTGTTCGCTGCGATCGGCACTTTTCTGTTCGGTTTTGATACAGGGATTGCAACGACGAGTAAGCGACTGTGACTCTCGAGAAAACTGGCACAACTCATTCTTCTCGATAGCGNNATTGCGCATCAAAGCTGGATTGATTATATGGGTCATCCATCCAAAGGGCTCACCGGCGCCGTAAGGACTCCTCCTGGATGAGCCGCAGTAACAGACTGAAATCTCTAGGTTGTCGCTGTCTATATTGCTGGTGAGGCTCTCGGAGCTCTGACTCAGACTGTTGTGGGCGATCGACTAGGCCGTCTGAGGTTTATGCAAGCTCTTTGCGTGGTTGTAACTATTGGTACTGTGATACAGACGGCGAGCGTCAACATTGGCATGTTCCTTGCTGGTCGAGTTCTGGCTGGCTATGCTGTCGGGCAAGTGATACTCGTCATAGCTAGCTTATGAACCCGCTAACACCCATACTCAGTGNGTCTGGTTGGAACAGTACCCATCTACCTCTCGGAGATCTCTTCGCCACAACACAGAGGCCTCATTGGAGGTATATCCGGCTGCGGCATCGCTTTCGGGACCATGGTACGCACATATATCCCCCAAATATCACATCCCAACCATCTAAACGCACACAACCCAGNNATGTCCAATTGGGTCGGCTTTGCCTGCAGCTACGCCTCCTACGGTCCCACACAATGGCGCCTACCCCTCGGCATGCAAGTCCCCTGGGGCGTAATCCTTTTCTGCGGGCTTGCAACATTCATGCCCGATTCCCCTCGCCAATTGCTGCGTATCGGCAAAGTCGACGATGCCAGAAGAGAGTTTCTGAAGATACGCAGGGATTTGGGGGGACAAGCTGCGGGTCAAGAGTTTGCGTTGATGAAGGCGCAGATTGAGTATGAGGTTGAGAGGGAAGTCAAGAGTTACAAGGAGATTTTCCGATTGTTTAGGCATCGAGCTTTTGTGTGAGTTTTTTGGTTTCTTGTTCTTTGTTTGGTGTGGAGGGGCTTATGCTGACCAGGTTTGGGATTGTAGGNNTCTATTGCTGTTCAGACGATGACTAGTTTGACTGGTGTCAATGTCATCCAGGTATGTTTGAGTATCTCCATTGCTGCTAGGACACGGCTAACGAAGTGTAGTATTACCAAAGTGAGCAAAGCACAATGCTTCTTCGAGTATCGAACATCCTAACACACTACAGCAATCTTGTACAAATCTCTCGGTATCGGCTCCAAACAGATCCTAGCTCTGGCAGGTGTATACGGCACTGTGGCATTCCTCTCAAACGCCATCACAACCACCTTCCTCACCGATCAATGGGGACGTCGAAAGTAAAACCTCCACTTCCCATCTATTTCCTCTAGAGAAGAATACGCAAGAGAGCAAACACTGACACAAACTCACAGAATGATACTTACGGGTTTGGCAGGCATAGTCATCGTAGAGATCTATGCCGCAGTCATGCAACGCCAATTCCAAAACACGGATAATCAAGTTGGCAAAGGGTTTGCCATCCTGGGCATCTACCTTTTCGTCGTGACTTACTGTAGGTTCTATTCTTACCCCGTACAACCTATCCAAAGAACAACCGACGCTGACATGTTTTCCACAGATGGCATGCTAAACAGCACAACATGGCTTTATGGCGAGTACTTTCGAGTCCTGAGTTGAAGGGGAACGAAAGCTGACATTATATCCAAAACAGGAGCAGAAGTCTTACCCATAGCTCTGAGAAGCCGCGTCATGGGTTTGGCAGCAGCATCACACTTCATCGTCAATGTCGGCATTACCGAAGCAGGACCTAGTGCCTTTTCTCATGTAAGTCCAGCAAAATCATACGCCTCTTAGTTGCCTCTCGCCATCTCAATCCCTTTCACCAGTAAGAAACAAATGATAGCCACCAGCCAAGCCATCTCCACCATTCTCCTTTCGAAAAAAAAAAAAACACTTGACTAACTCATCAACCTTACCACCCACACAGNNATAAAAGAAAACTACTATTATGTCTTTGTAGCCTGCTCCCTCTTCTTCTTTGTAATCGCTTACCTCTATNTTCCCGTAAGTCTTTCTTACCACTTCCTCCCCCACACCTCTTTTTCCCAATCTAACAATTCTAATCTGCAAAACCACAGAGAAACCAGACGCAAAACATTGGAAGAAATCGCCGCTGCATTCGGCGACAAGGTAGTAACTTTGACGGAGAGGGAACTGGCCATCGAAGAAACCATCGCAGAGGACAAGATTGTGGCGCAGCATGTCGAGGACGTGTATGAGGTGTAGAAAGTGTAGCTCATGCACACAATGTCGGAATTGAAAAGCAGTGTAGGAATTCAAAGGTTCGGTGACATCGTTCGCAGACTTTTGATCATTACTGTTGAGGACTTGGAAGTGTGAATGTCAGATGGCAACTCTAATCTCTTAGCCGTCACGTTTTATCGGGTACCGATGTACAGATGGGAGAGCCATGTAGAGGAGACAGCCCTAGTCAGAGTTGTAGCAGGACTCCCGGTTGTATTAACCAAAGACTCACAGCTAACATAGTCTTTTTCGAAACGACACAAGATGCGATTGTGAATCAGGCAAGCGAAGTCACAGCGTAGGATGACGCGAGGACAACAATATTGAAGAAATAGTTTTCAGGTACAATAGAGATAATATGTACAAACATCCCCGAGACCCCTGCCATCGAGAGGAGTATATCATTTACAAACAAGAGAAAGAAACCGTTAAAGCCTTATGACCAGAAGGCTGTTGTCGTCATGAGATTGCGCCGTGCCGTTTATGCCCGATATGTCGTTAAATGTGATATGTACAAGCCTCAGTTTTTGCACTTGGCGAGGTTGACAGTCGGGTCAATTGTTGGGTCAACGTCCAAACCACCTTTAGTTCTCTGTTTTAGTATTAATATTTGCTATGGTAGAAAGGGAAACAGAGAAAGAACTTACTAAGGTTAATCAAAGAGTTGCCATCGACAGTGTTGCCGTTGCCGTTGTTGTTGCCAGCGGAGTTGCCGTTGCCAGCAGAGTTTCCATTGCCGGCCTCGTTACCGTCTCCGTTGCCTGTGAACATGTCAGTACGATGCTGCTGAGCGAGTCGATATATGCAAGAACGAACCGTCTCCGTTGCCCTCGGCGGTGTTGCCGTTCAGAGCGGAGTCGCTGGAGCCAGGGGACAAGAGGTTGCCGATGTCGCTACCAAGATCGGGCTGAGCGAGAGCGACGGGGGCAGGAGTAGGGGCGGCGGCAACAGAGGTTGCGAGGGCCAAGATGGCAGTAGCGAAGATGGTCTTGGAAAGCATTTTTGCGGTGGTTGTTTGTTGGTGGTGGTAGAGCGAAAGATGTGTTTGAGGAGCGATTGAAGAGTGGATGTGTGATGCTGGATGAGAAAGCAGAAAGCAACAGTGGAATCACTCACCTTTTTATGTTCTTTGCCCTTTTGCTGTGCCTTGCCTATCAATACTGAAATGACAGTCGATCGACGTTCAGTGATGTGCAATCCCACATACGCAATGTGGTACTGACCAGCACTGACGGTCATCGCTTCGTAGCTTTGCCATGTTGAATAGTTTGTTTGGCCTGGGGATCCTCGTTCAGGGTGAAGAGCCGCGGTGCATTCACCCCAAGCAAGCGATGATGTTGCAAGAGGCATGGTCGATCTGGGGAAGACTTGTGGATCAAATCCCATATGGGACAAGAAAGACCCACCTTGCATTACCCTATTGGGGATGGTCCGGACGTAGGCGATCATCTACCTGATTCGTGACGGCGAAGTTGCAGGAAGTCGCTGGCCCTTGTGAATGAACATCTGGTCTGCATATCGATGATTGACGATCGTCATTCAAGGATTTGCTACAGTGATTTTGGAATTGTGGTCGGCGATGTGTTGAAGCTGGGATGCAGCTGAGGAGGTCGCGAACAACTTCATCCGCTGATTCTGAAACTCTCTCTTTGCAAAGCACCTTCCAATCCAACACTGCAAACGCGTAACTCGACGCAAACCAGATGAAGTCACAGGAGACAGAGTCCGCCGGGTGTTGAACAAGCCTCTCCCAAGAAAATGGCGCATGGGTATTAGATCAGCAATAGTGACGCTTCGGAGAAAAGCAGCCTGCATGAGTAGCGCATGCCCATCCCAAAGAACTTCAAGCGCACAGCTGATCTCTTCTTGTGCGGGGCATGAATCACCATCTTGCGAGATTGTAGAAACCATGCCCGAACACCGAGGTTCATGGACAAAGGAAGCCGCTCCGTCTTCGTACCTTTTCACCTTTTTCGCAAACCACCACGTACCTACAGCGAGGCTCTGCAGCCCAACGTGCTTGGTGGGCAAAGGAACACGGTTGAGGCTCGGAGAAGCATAAAGCGCCACCATCGTCAACGAACCAATTGTGTGGCCAAGAGTCTGTTCTCCGCAAACGACGACGACTCGTGCAATTACAGTACAGCGACAACCAGCTAGCTATTCGGGTATTCGATTTGAGATGCTTCAGCAACTCGGTATCTAGCGAGAAAACAGTGATCGTTGAAACAAATTCTCCGGCGCGACGACGTTATTGACTCAATTGCAAATCGGCGGCCGGTAACAGAGCCTCTTTCAAAGTTGTGATGGCGTCTGTGAAGATCTTTGAAGATGGTGTTTGGTTCGCTCTATTCGAGTGATCCACAAGCGAAACAGACAAAGGCAAAGATCTCCTCAGATCTTCGCTGTTTCTGCGTGGCGGGCGGGCTTGTTGGTCTCTTTTCCACGACTCAACTGACGATCAGTGACACAACAAATCGAGCAATCGACAGAGCGTCAAGGATGCCACACCGTGAGATGCCTTTCAGCTAACATGCCGCCTCGTCGCTCGCCATCGAAAAAAACTTGAGAGTGCCGAGGCTTGGTCAGAAAAGATGACCTCGTTGTAGTATGGATAACACGCATGCGACAATAAGAAAAAACTGTAAGAGCAGCTGAAGGGGGTATACCAATTAACGAAGAACAGAAAAATGGGAAAAACAAAAGTCATCGCCAAAGGCAGATTATGCAGGCCCATAGTCATCGTCGAGCGGAACACACCATACGTCCCTGCTGCCAACCATTCAAAACCCGTATCTACATCATATTACACCGTTCCTCTCTTTCGGCCTGGGAAATTCTACCACCAGATCCAGGAGGAACATAGCCAGAATATTGTGGTGCGGGCTGTTGAGCCGCGGCAGCCTGGGGACTCTGACCTTGACTCTGCTGCCTTCTAAGCCGTTGAGAGTTACTGTCTGTTCGCCCAAGCCCCAAAGCGCTCGACCGTCTACGATGCATAGATGGCGGTTGGGGGTTTGTGTTGCTACTAATCTGGTTGGCAAAAGGACCTTGTTGCATTTGCAGTGCTGTCAAGGCACCTAGAGCATCTCCTTGCCTTGGTTCTCGTGTCGCGCCGGCTGGTCGGAATGGTCTATCAGAAGCCGCCTGCTCGTACGTAGGTGGTTCTTCATCACCGTCATTTCTTTCTCGGATGTATGGCGCGTCTGCTGTTGGAGGGGCGTTGTTACGAGAAGAGTTGGAAACAGTATTGTTGCCCATATTACTTCTTCGGGGAGGGACTGGAGGGCGCTGCTCAGAAGACGGGCTTTGACCAGCATTTGCAGATTCACGCTCAAGAAATTGGCGTGAAAGCTCGTCTTCTTGTCTTCGCCGTGCTGCTTGGGCGCGGCGCTGCTGGTCCTCCTCTTCCTCTTGAAGCTGGAGAGCTAAGGCTAAGTCAGCATCCTCCTGCTCTGATCCATGTCCTCGAGGTTCCGCAGGTGGCTGTGACTGGGACGCAGCAGAAGTCGAATCAGCAACACCACCGTGCGAGCTGCGGTTGTTCCTCGAGGGTACGGTCTGCCAGTCATCTCCATTTTGAGCATCGGATGAGTTGTGTCCTACTGGCCTAAAGTCGCCAGAAAAAAAGCTGCCAGCTGCGCCACTGACATCAACCAAGCTCTCCCAGACAATCTCATCATGAGACGAGTAACCTGCATCTGTGACGAGATTCATGAGCGTGCCACTTCTTGGGTGCTTGTACAGTGTCGAAAAGTGATCGTTCCTGAACAGGATGGCGATTTGGCCGGATCTCAAGAAGTCTGCAATTAGCTTGAGACCGTGTTCAGTCAGCTGAGTAGAGTAACCAGTCAGGAATTCTTTGATGAAGATGATGTCTTCGAACAGCTGTTGTTCATGCGCTGACAGTCCATCAGTTCCCAGCTTATGCTCAAGTTCGGCCTGAGCGGTCTCAATGTTGAGTGCATCATCGAATGTTTTTGCCGAACGATCAAATGCTTCATAAGCTGACGAGGTGGAAGGCGGTACCCAGCCATGAACAAGAGGTATCTCGAAAGCGCTGTACAGACGCATCTCCCTTGTCTCGTCGAATGAGCCAGGTTGTCCTTGTGGAGCATCTTGAGTAGCAACGAATCGTGGATTCACGTTCATACCGGTGTGTAAGGTAATGAGGAATGTGTAGAGCTCACCAACATCAGGGAGTGCTTTGCTCGAGATCTCGGTTCTCCTAGCGAGCTCCTCAAAGACAGCATCCAAGAGAAGGCCAAGGCTTATTTGTTCGCGAGAGCTGAGGGTGTCAACCAGAATTGTCTTTGGAGATTCCGGTGCTGACAGAGTCAGAGCATTGACAAGAGCAAGCAGAGGACAAGGGCCGTTGGCATTTTGTGTCAGGATAGGACAGCGTCGCATGTGGCCGTTAGATCCAGCGGCAGCATCGAACCAGTTGATCTGTTTGATCTGGTACGTCTCGTTACGTTGTTTACTGAGTAGTTCTTCGGCAGATTCTATAGGAGCGGCAAGGTTGGTGCTACGTTCGGGTTGAGGACGTTGGTCGGCTCGGGATTTGTGGTTNGAAGGCGGAGGAACGTTATCGGTGCCAAAATCTATGAAAGATTCTTCTTGCTGTACAGGAGGAAGGATAGGAGGTTGTGAGGCGAAGGCTTCTGGTTGTGTAGGGGCTTGCGGCGCAGGAGCGGAGTGTTGATCCACGGGAGGACCATAGTGATGGTTCGTGGATGGAAGTGAAGGCGCAGGAGGGGCAGTCGACGGAGCGTTGAAGGCCAAGGGCGACGCAGCAGAGGCAGGTGGTGGAGAGGGCGTGGGATGGAAATTGGTAGGGAACGCAGGCGGCGCAAAGAGGGAGGTGGGCCTGGAGGAGGTTGGAAAATGGCATCGAGCNTGGTGCGGTTGAGGACTAGGAGTGGATTTCCAGGGATTCTGCATGTTCTGTTCCTTGTCGAGGTCTTGCTGCCACGGGTTGGAAGATGTTGATGAGACTAGGCTTCTTCTACTGCTCTTCTGTGGTATTTCTGGAGGNGGTGGCTCGAGACCTTGAACGTTGGTGCTCTGTTGGACATGATTGTCTAACGACAGAGCAGCAAAGGCGGGTGCAGGAGGTAGAGAAGGAGGTGGGTAGGATGGAGGGGCCGGGGCGGCAGTCGTGGGTTGTGGAGGTGTCTCGCTCCATATTGACTGGCTGTCTTCTGAAGGATACGGCAGAGGCTGAGAGTGCGTCGGCGGTTGCGGTTGGTTGTGTAGATTGTGGTATGGATTGTGCGATTGGAAGGAGTGTTGAGGCCCGTCTGAAGCTCGAGGTCGGCCGACTCTTAGTGAAGCAGGAATGTCTGCCGACTCTGGTTTCGGCTGGTCATTGTCTTGGTCTTCATGATCAGAAGAGAAGCCAGAGTTCCAGGTGTTGTGCGAAGAAGCTGAACTACTCCTGGTACGTTGCAGAGAGAGATCAGAGTCGTGTGGTGGTTGGTAGGCAGACGCGCGGCCGTTGGGAGCAGAAGGAGCTGTCGGCGAGGTGGGATACGGCGCTGAAGGAGCTGGCTCGGGATTGCGAGAGGGGACGGGCTTTCTCGTCACCATGGTTGGACGAGTCGAGAAGTGTCAAGTCAGAAAGCACGCGCAGGCTGCAGCCATCTAAAGAGAGACTCGATCGCAATCAGCGTCATACCGTACGGACGCACAGCGCGCGGGCCGACTTACCGAGAAACCCCAGCCGTGCATGTGAAGAACACAGCCACTACTGTGGCACAGTCGTATCCATCTTCTTGGTGCTGCAGAACATCTAGGCAGAAACATTAGGAAGCTGTAAGCCGTTGGAATTCATCTGCCTAATCTCATCCGGTCAGGCTGGGCAAGAGCACTATGCCTGGGTGGCTGCCGTATCTCGAGGTCAAGCAGTTTAGGAAGTAGCGACCGACTTTATTCAATCTCCTTGAAAGAGGAAAGGACCCTTGTCCGAAGTCGCAAGTGGCGGTGCTGCTGCTTCCTCAAAGTTTTGGCGGGGTTTTTGCACCTTCCGTTCAGACACAGTCATACACAATGTCGATTCCCAGTCTGCGCGTCTTGTTGGTTGGAAACGGTGGTCGCGAGCATGCTCTTGCATGGAAGCTCGTCCAATCGCCCCACGTAGACCACATCTACGTCGTGCCTGGCAATGGCGGCACCGCAGGGTTCGTTCCCAAATGAGTGCACATACGCACATCCATACTCAGACGAAGCCTCACAGGTNTTCCCTCCAAGGTCACCAACGTTCAAAACGTCAAGGCCGACGACTTCCCTGCTCTGGTCAAGTTCGCCCGCGACAACTCAGTCAACTTCCTGGTTCCTGGTCCTGAGGCCCCTCTTGTTGCAGGCATTGTCGACTACTTTGCTCAACACCTGCCCGACGTCAAGAGCTTCGGTCCCAATGAGGCCGCTGCCCGTATGGAAGGCAGCAAGGCTTTCAGCAAGGACTTCATGAAGGAACACAACATCCCTACAGCCGCCTATGAGAACTTCAGCGACTACGACAAAGCAAAGGCATACCTCGACAGCATCGACCACGACGTTGTCATCAAGGCCGATGGTCTCGCTGCCGGCAAGGGTGTCATCATCCCTCAGACCAAGGAAGAGGCCGTACAAGCCCTCAAGGACATCATGCTGACCCGCGAGTTTGGTTCGGCTGGTGACACTGTTGTCATTGAGGAGCTGCTCGTTGGTGAAGAGTGCAGTATCCTGACCTTCAGTGATGGCTACAACATTGCCAGTCTGCCTCCTGCTCAGGACCACAAGCGCATCTTCGACGACGACAAGGGCCCCAACACTGGTGGTATGGGCACCTACGCTCCTACTGGCGTTGTCTCTGCTCAAGAGAACCAAGAGATTCACAAATCCATTCTCCAAGCTACTGTCGACGGCATGCGCAACTCTGGAAACATCTTCATTGGCTGTCTCTTCACGGGTCTCATGATGACAAAGGCTGGCCCCAAGGTCCTCGAGTACAACGTCCGCTTCGGTGACCCGGAAACTCAATCAGTCTTGACTCTGCTCGAGTCTGACCTTGCCGAACTCATGTACAGCTGCACCACAAAGTCGCTCGGCTCGCTTGGTTCCATCAAGATTTCGTCACGTGCTGCTGCCACTGTCGTCGTTGCTGCTGGTGGCTACCCTGGCTCCTACGCCAAGGGCACTCCTATGACCTTGACTGCCACTCCCGAGGACACTGTCATCTTCCACGCAGGCACCGACATCAAGAACGGTCAGCTCGTGACAAGCGGTGGTCGTGTCATCGCTTCGACCGCTACTGGTCCTACTCTAAAGGAGGCCGTTGCTCGTGCCTACGAAGGTGTGCAGACCATCAAGTTCGAAGGCATGCAATACCGCAAGGACATCGCCAAGCGCGCCTTGAAGTAATTCTCACGGCCAACGCCTGTCATGCTCTTTTTCACGTTATATAGACCTCCATTATGATCGCCAAGACAAAATTCTACACATGCAACTACCAAACTTGCTCATTCACCCGAACTTGTCCTCTTGCACCACGTTTTCGCGGCCTATCATGACTCGAAACGAAGAGGCTACGGTATTCTTTGGCCACAAAGAAGATATCCTCGAGCTTTTACCTTTCCACTCATCATGACTTCTCTTCAAGCAGAAATCCGACCATACAACCGAACTACTCAAGCACTTCCAAACCTTGCTATGTGGCCGAACATGGATCACCGCGCCAAGACAGCAGAAATCAAGTCCAGATCATCTCGTATCTTGGAGGACCCTAGTCTATCGTCCGGCACTACCTCGTTACCGTCACTACCGCAAGAACTCCGAGATGTGATCTACGAATACCTTCTCAACGACCTCTCCGAGCAGCGACTTTGGCACCTCATGACAAGAGTCTCGAGAAAGACACGTAAAGACGCAACGCCCATCTTCATGAAATACTTCCAGATAAGGCTCGTGTACAGACACTGGAACACCTTTCAGGAAGCCAAATGCGGGCTAAAGACATCGACACTAGGGTTGATCATACATCCCAAACATAGAACCTGTTTATGGGAAGGCAAGAGCACAAGCATGTGAATAGACCTCTCTGACATGCATGTCTTGGCCTCGCTCCAGAACACGCTGGCCTCACCACACCGGAGAGAGTTGGATTTCAAACCATGGACTCAGCTATTGGGAGTAGACATCGACGAGCCTCCTGTCATGCTCCGTTGCGATCATAGACTTTACACTCTCATTGTGGCAATAAGTACAGATGACAAGGGATACAGCCGTGCCTGAGCCTATCTCAACAGTACCACATCTCACCTTCGCTCTTATGGCCATATCGCTCTCGGTCCATGGAACCTTCAGAAAAACATTTTATCAACCCCGGATCCCGATGCACAAACACAAGTCACCTTCTTCTGTCACGACTCAACATGTCTTCTGCATTGCTGCAATTCAGAACGTGTTCCTAAGAAGCTTGCCGAGAAAGTTTCCTCGTGGCCACACTTTAGCGATCCTGCATCTATACCCTAGATATTGAGGACAATCGACGGCTTTGTGGCAGTTTGTGGTTCGAAGCTGCAGCAAGGTGGCCCGTAGCCTTCGAGGTGGGATTGAGCTTCCTCTGTACAATCGCGAGATTTGCCTTTGAGATTTCTTGAAGTGAAGTCTGATTAGGATATGCTCACTCTTGTAAAGTTGACTTGTCGACTTCCTCTCACTTGAACTGCGATTCACACATCTGGCCTGTGGAAATATTTAGAGAAGGCTACGGATTCACTACCACCCTTCTTTCGAATAACATCTCTGCCCACTGAGAGCTTGCACTTTCTCTCCACGACATCTCAGCAAGCAAAGACCTAACCATACAGTCCGACATCATGGCATCTACACTCATACATCCGAGCGAGGCGGTGGAACATATGGCCACTACTGCTTCCAATGAGACGAGAGAAGCAGAGAGACCGTCCACCACTGCTCAGTCCGTCACTGGCACAATTATAAAACAACCGCGACGTAACGTGATGGCTGGCGATCTAATCAACCCAGAGGAGTCGCATCTGCTCAGCCTGCCACAAGAACTTCGAGACATGATCTACGGTCACCTTTTCGACGATACTTCTGAGTTGCACATGTTGCATCCGATCACCAGAGTGTCACGATCTACACGGATAGATGCTGCCCGAGTCTTGTACACAAAGTTGACAGGCAGCCTCCACTTAATAAAGTACAAACAAGCAGGAACGACCAAGCTCGAGAGACGTCAAGCTTACAAGGAAGGAACAATCAAGCAGGACCAAAAGCCACGACCAACTTTCGAAGAAGCGGCGATCGAGCATAGAAGGAAGAAACTAGGAAGATCGGGAAAGGATCTCTGAGGGCAAAGCAAAGGGAAGAGCGACACAACAAGTACACAAGAGACTTCATACTCCAGAAGACAGCGGTATACATTACAGAACGGCCCACGTCTCTTGCACCACAAAGTCGAAAATCGTGTACACTCTACTGAAATAGCCAGTATTTTCTTCCTCTATTCTGTCTCACCTATATCTCGTGCTTCAACCAGAGCAACCAAAAACATCTTCGATCAACCTTTTCCTTCCGCGCCAAACTTCCTCCCCACCTACCATATCTTCGCACGCACTCTCTTACCATCCTTTCTCCCTCATATATTCACTCGCTACTCTTCTGAACCATCCATTGCATCTCCTGTAGTCCTCATTCTTTTCTTTCTTTCCAATGTTGCTATCTCCAAAAAACCTACCAACTCCATAAACACCTTTACTTTTTACATCCCTCATCTCCGCATCTCTCGTCACCAATTACCAATTGCACAATCGCCATCAGAGCCCCCATCCCATGCAAAGAAAAATCAAAAAAGCGTACTTAGCATCGCAAAGAAATCACAAACCCCGAATCTCAGATCCAAAGGCAAGTGCCCCATCCAAGTCACCGCAGCGAGGCAAGAAAAGACAAGACAAGACAAGCAACGGCAAGCAGCAACGGCAAGCAGCAGCAGCAGCGAACAAAGAAAGACAAAACACACTTACTCATGCTGATACAGGAAAAACCTGCTACTCAGCTACTCAAAATGATCGTGGTATATCGTGAATACATGCTTTTGCATAAAGATCCCCCGATGGCACTGCAACATTCAGAAATGCAACATGCCGCACAACAACTGCATGCCGGGGAAAAAGAAATCGAAAACAAAAGAGGAATGCTTCACCGACAATGTGATTCGAGTCCATAAACCCGATCAAGGGCCTGTGACAAAAAACGTACTGTGAGAAGAGAAAAACTTGCATACTAAACCACAGCATGGCACTGAGTGAAAAGAGAGCCTGAAAACCCGATCCAACGATTAAAAGCAATTCACACATCTACGAGACAATGGACAGAAGATGCATTATTGAAACAGTTTGCATAGAGCAAAGTAGAAAATCTTGACTCCTATACCCCGTTGTGATGTATAGAAAAAGAAAAGAATTGGTTTTTGCTAAGAGACAACCGACCTTTGCCTCGAATATGCCTTTCCCCCAACATCCACTAACAGCACATCATTTGTCTCTGTAATCGTAGCCTCATACTCCCCATCCCTAAAATGTGTATGACAGAATCGAAGGAGAAAAAAACACCACCAAATGCTTGGACAAAACGTCTACTCGTCTTCGTCGCTTTGAACCATGGACTCGGTGCCGCCACGGCTCTTGCGCCCACCGAGACTCAGCTTGACGCGTGGCTGGGGTGTACCCGCACTCGACACTGGTCGTGTGTTGCCCGTCTCAGTCTCCCAGTCGGCGAATTCGGGATACTTGGCCGTCTCTTCGGCGAGCTTCTTGACAGCGGTTTCCTGCGATGCATGTTAGTATTTGTTTGCTTTGTTGGAATCACAAGAGATAATACATACCTCGATCAGATTTGCGTCTTGGTACAGAACACTGCCGTCCTCGTTGTAGGTTCTGCAGTTGTCGCACAGTTGCTTGATGTCCTGTCTGAATTGGCGCAGGTTTTGGTACTGCTTCTTGTTGATCTTCTTTTGGATCTGGTCCATGCAAATGGGTGTTTTGATGAGCTGGTAGTAATCGGGGTAGTGCTTCTGAGGAGGCAGCTCGATGAAGGGGTCAATGATCCCTCTGTTCGCCAGGTCAGGATCTGAAGATGTCTCTTCCAGGTCCATGAGCATGTCATGTACCGTGTCGAGAACTGCTTGTAAGTGCTCACGCTCGGTTGGTGGCAAGAGATCGGGCACCTTGGCTTGACGGCCACGCTTTCTCGGCTGCGGTGCTTCAACATCTTCCTCAGCCTTGCGTTTCTGGACTGTCTCCGCCTTGGGCTTACGACCACGCTTCTTAGGCTGGGGAGATTCTGAGCTGGCACGTGAATCCGGCGGAGGTGTGTCGTCCAGACCCTCTTCTCCACGTCCCCTCTTCTCCTTGTTACCAGCACGCCTGCTGATACGTGCCTGTTTGCGGGCAACAGCGGACTCGATATCGTCATCACTGTTGTCGACAGCTTCGAGCCATTGCTCTTCGGTAAGGCCATCGTCGTACTTGACCTTGGCACGCTCACGATTACCACGACCCATGGCGACCTCGACAATCTCTTCTATCGGACCCTCTTCGTTGACGTAGATGTCAGGGAGCTCCTGCTCGCACATGAGACGAGGATATTTCTTTCCAGGACCGTACTTCTGATCCCTGTAACGATCGCGATCCATTTGCTGGAAGAGCTTCAACTCATCTTCCGAACGCATCATGATCACGTTCAGGTCATCATCGTCCATTTCCTCTTGCTCGAATGCCTCGGCTGCTTCGGCTGACTCCAACATGACACGAAGCATCTCATCACGTTCCTCATTGGTCGATCTGTTATCGAATTTACCGGCTTGAATGACTTTGCCATCCATGTCAAGCTTGTAATTGGCACGTTCGAGAATCTTTTCTTCCACAGAGTTGGAACTGATAAGACGCAGAATGCGGACCTCGTTCTTCTGACCGATACGGTGAGCACGATCCTGGGCCTGAAGATCCTGGTGAGGGTTCCAATCAGAATCATAGATGATGACGGTATCGGCAGTCTGCAAGTTCAGACCGAGACCACCAGCGCGAGTCGATAGCAAGAAACAGAAGTAAGGCGAGTTAGGCGCATTGAAGATTCTGAGGAGCTCACTACGGTCATCAGCCTTTGTTGATCCGTCCAGACGCAGGTACTGTAGACCGCGCAGACGCAAGAAATCTTCCATGATGTTCATGATCTGTGTCATCTGGAAGAACATCAAGACACGATGGCCAGACTTCTCGAACTTGGGCAAAATTCTGTCAAGAAGCTCGAACTTTCCAGCTGTGCGCCACAGTGTGTCGTTGGTTCCTCTGCCAGGGTTGATTTGATCTTCAACTTCTTCGAAGACGAAGGGGTGGTTGCAGAGCTTTCTCAACTGCATAAGCATGTTGCTGAGACCACGAAGACCAGTCTTTCCACCCTTACCGTCGCTGACCATGAGTCTGTTGTGACTGACAAGCTGCTTGTACAACTTGGCTTGAAGCGATGAGAAGTTACACTTGATGACACGTTCCTGCTTGTCAGGCAAGTCTTTCTCGACATCCTTCTTGAGACGACGCAGCAGGAAGGGTCGAAGAACCTTGTGAAGACGACGAATGACGAGCAGCTGCTCTTCTTCTGACAGCTCCATCTTATCCTGTCCACCTGTGTTGGCGAAAGGAGTGTTGAACCACTCATCGAACGACTTGACCGATTTGAAGATGGTAGGGAGAACGAAGTTGAGCAGAGCCCACAGTTCGGGAAGGTTGTTTTGAAGAGGAGTACCAGTCAGAATCAGACGGTAGCGCGTTGTGTAGTACTGAGTAATGGTACTGCTCAGTTTCGAGTTGGCGTTCTTCATACGATGGCCTTCGTCGACAATCATGTGCAGCCACTTGATCTTGCTGAGTACGGGTCTGTCCTTTATGATGAACTCGTAGGTAGTGAGCAAGACTTGGAAGTTGCCATATCTGATTTGGTTCTGGTGAGTCTTTCTTTGGGCGGGTGGTCCCTTGTAAACAATCTTCGAGACCGAGGGAGCCCATTTGTCGAACTCGTTGTTCCAGTTTGTCAACGTACTGAGAGGTACAATGACCAGGTAAGGTCCAGGCTGGCGCTTCTTCTCAATAAGGTAGGTGATCAGACTGATCGTCTGGATGGTTTTTCCAAGTCCCATCTCGTCTGCAAGGATACCGTTGAGGTTGTTGTTGTAGAGCGAAATCATCCACTGGAGACCCTTGATCTGGTACTCCTTCAAGGTACCACCAACGAGCATGTTGGCTTGTTGTGTGACCTCTTCCTTGATCTTGTGGGCAACCTCGTAGTAGTCGACCTTTCTTGACTTGCCCTCACCATCTTCGTCATCTGCGACAACCTCCTCTTCCTCTTCTTCCTCTTCGACAACTCCATATCTGCGTGCGGCACCGCGCTGCTGTTCCTTGACAGAAGCGGCAAGTTGGTCGAGGAAACCATCGGTCTGCTTGAGCAAGTGAGAAATACGGCTGTCCTTTGCCTGGCCCAGCAGCTTGAGGTAGGTCTCTTCGTCGTTGGCCTTGAGAGCTTGGAGACGTTGCTTGGCGGTTCTTTCGATGCGCTTTTGCTCTTCCTTTTCGATGTTGGAGTGTGTGGTTTGCATGAGGCGACCCAGCTTCTGGATCCTTGTTCGCTGGTTGGCAGCAGAGTTCTTGAGCTCGCTGGCGTGGGACAGCACAGAGCGGAGGAAATCGTTGTGCTTCTTCTTCTCCTTTGACTCGTGGGCGTCTTGCTGTTGCTTCTCGAGCTTCTCGGTGATGCGAGCTTCGCGCAGAGACTGTTTCTTGATGCGGCGGTACAGAGCGCGGTTGGCAGTCATGGCGAGGTTATCTGACTGCATCATCTCGCGACTGACGGTGGCTCTCATTTGGCGCTGCTTGGGGAGCAGGGACAGCATCTTGTGCTCGATAAGGGCCTTCAACTTGAGTTTGCCGTTGTCAACGGGGACAGTCGACGAGGTCGTGTCCCATGAGCCAATGTTAGCAGGAAGCTTGTCCAATTCACTCTTGCGTGCCATGATGCGATTGTACAAAATGGCTTCCCTCTCTTCACGCGCTCTGTCAACGTCGATTCCCAGAGGCATGATGCTGGGGATGATGTGGCGCTGATCGCGGCGAGTATGGTCGAGGTACGAGATGGAGGTGGGCACCAGAGCGTGGGGGTCCTTGAAGGACTGGAAGCGGTGGGTTCTGGTGGCAGATTGGGTAGGGGGCGTAGCAGGTTTTGACGAATCGGTAGCGGCGGCCTTCTGTGACTGGAACAGAGATTCTTGGATGTTCTGAGGAATGGGCATGTTCTTCTGCAGGTAGTTGAAGGCAGAGAGCTGTTGGCGCAAGGTGGTCTGCTGGTCAGTAGACAAGAGCGCCTCCTTGGACACGGCTGATGAAGGCTGCTGTGGTGTGGATTGTTGAGCAGCGCCGTTGACGGACTGCATGGCAGCGGTGCCATTGAGACTGCCGTTCTGGTCCTGTAGGAGCTGGCCATTCTGCTGCTGGTGCTGACCTTGTTGCTGTTGGCGCTGTTGCTGCTGGGCCTGCATTTGCTGCTGTTGGCGCAACTGCATCTGCCTCTTGGCCATCTCTGACTTTTGGCGAGCAAATGCGATGAGTCTACCACGCTTGATTTGTTCGGGGTCTGTGTCAGGGACGCCTTGAGCTTTAGCCTGAGTATAGAGCTGNGGTGTAGTGTTAGCGACATGAGTGATGGGCAGGGGGCGTGGACAGCGAACCTGATAGGTCTGTGTCAGGTACTCCTTGGTCAATTGCGGGTGGTTGGCCTGGGCATTCATGTTCATGCCGGGCTGCTGTTGCTGGACTGAAGCCATGGTCAAATAGGGCTGTTGCGCGAAGCCGTCTGGGGCCTTGGTCAATTGGTCCGGGGGCCAATTCGGCGACTGCGGTGGTCGCGGTGTTGCCGGGGTGCGAGTAGACAGAGTGGTCGGTGTTAAATCGAGTCAAGGGTGATGAGGCTTGTTGGTGATGGCGGGCGTTGATGACTCGGGCTGTGGTTGGATGGGTGGACGTGGACGTGGACGTGGACGTGGACGTGTGCGAGCGGTCGCGCTCTTGCCTCGCGCGTACGGCCTGGCCAAAAGGGAAAGTGAGCGTCGGGCGTCGTGGTTGGCTCGGTCAGAATAAAACACCGTCGCGTCGACACCTTGGGATACGCGTTGCAGACAAGTTCTCGATGGCACGAAGCGGGGTGGTAATTCCGGGCGATGCTGTCGCTCGACAACCGAACCTCGCTCAGAGTCTCCGATGGAGCCTGAAGTCGCTCCGTTCTAGTTCTTCGCCAAGCCTTGGCACGGAACACGTGATGCCCTCTCACTTATTCCATCTATTCACTTATCATTTCAGTCTGCATTGTCCTCTGCAAATAAAAGCTGTCATGGTGGAATGTTCTGTGAGGCTGTGAAGAGCTGATGGGCTTGTTCACATGTGTGGATTCGTCATACAAAGCCCTTTGCCAAAGCTTGACCACAAAGCTTTTCATCTTGCTGTCGGGACTACCCTGGCTGACATATATCACCACCGTTCACATGCTCAAATTCGGCAGGACACGTAGAAAAGCATTACGGTAAGGTCTGTGGATGCTGGCCATATTGCACATAAAGGCGGCTACGGGCGATTTTGGGTATGGTGAGTCTTGCAATGTCTGAAATATATCCTCACTGGATTCGTTCAATATGTTGCTTCAGACTTCACCACGACACAATTCAGAAGTGAAGGTGAGCAAACATAAACTTCGAGACTTGAAAAGAGCAAAAGCATGGAACTTTTCATTTTGCTATCACTCAAACAAACCAGACAGAAAAAAATGTTTCACCAACCAACCCCTATCCACAGAACTGCCCCCAAAAACACAATCCTAAAACCCCCAGGTATGCTCGCAAGAAATGAATATTGTTCTCTGCATGTGCTCAAAGTGCAAACAGCAACCTAGTACTGTCGCGGAACGTCGGAGGAACTCAAAGCGCTGCGCTTCATCGGGGGTGGTGGTGGAGGCTTCTTGGCTCTGAAATCACAAGTCAGTAAACAGTTCGGAGATGAGCGTCCGAGCGATACATACCTCGAAGGTGGTGGCGGAGGAGCCAATTTCTTTGCTCCAGCGTCTTGCTGAGACCAGCTAGCAGAGCGCGAGAAACTAGGAGCAGCGTTGTAAGAGGCAGGAGAAGCAGCGCGTTCGTCGGCGTAGCGATCGTTGTCCAAGGCATAGTCGTCCTGATCACCAAATACGTCCGAGTTCGCACTATCGTTTCTCTTGGTGGGTCTCAGTCCCTGCCTAAGGGACAAGGACGAATCGGTGGGTACACGGGACAGACGGGGCATGGAAACAGGAGAAGCATCGCGAGAGTTGAGACTTGACGGACCCTCGAAACGGCCAGAAGGTCTGGTAGGGAGATCGAAGCCTGGTAGTTCACGGCGAGGCGAATTGGTCCCGGAAGGTGCTCTTGCGCGGATCGGAGGGCGGAAATCGTGGACTGGCTCATCTTCATCAATTTGACGGAAAGAGGCCGAGTTTCCAGTGTTAGAGCGAGATCTAGGCACTCTACGGCCTCCTGGAACAGCCAGACCGGCACCAGCATTACCAGAGGCGCTGGAAGTTGTCAGTAAATTCGAAGATCAGACGGGGTTCGGCATGGACGTACACGGGNNCCAATCTCTCTTGCACTGCATGAGAATCTCTCGTGCTCTGTCGTAGTATGCCAACTCGGCATCCAGGAAGGTGGACAAGTCGTTGATGCTGTCGACTTCGGCTTCCTTGATATCCAGCATCCTGCGTTGTACGTCGTCGCTCGACTCGTCGTATTTTGCCTTTTGCGAGCGCGCAGACTCCTCCAGAGCGAAATCGTCCTTCTTTGCCTTTTGCAGTTTGTTCATCGAGGTGTCGTAGGCGAGGCGGCGGGTTTCGAGTCTCTTGCGAGCAGTCTGNGAGACAGCAAAGTCAGATACGTCTGCTTGCAGTGGGCACGTTATGCGGGATAGACGTACCTGGTATTCCTTCATCTGGGCCAGAGATCTCTCAACCGACTCGAGCCAGCTGTTTGTGGCATTCGAAACGTAGCTCTCCTGCATGCGGGCAATCCTCTCGTTGGCTCTACCAAGGGCTGTGGACTGTCAGTCAAACATGCAATGTGTAGGTCTCTGGTGCCGTAACGTACTCGAGAGGCATTGTCCGAACTCCGAGTCTGGCTCAAAGTCGTCTCCATGGCTGGCCATGGTGGATCCGAGGTAGGCGATGGGCAACGTCTTCTCCTTGTCTTCTGCCTCCTTGGTCTTGGACAGAGACTTGACGTAGGTCGTCATACTTCTTTGCAGACGCTCCATACCTNNGCAACGCAGCAATGTCAGTGATGGCCCTATAGCCCCTGACAGTTGAAGATGCATACCTTCGTGTCTCAGTTGCATCTCAAGCTCAAGAGCTTTGAACTCGTCGGACGCAGCAGTCTTGATCTCCTTGCCCATTCTCTCGTCCGTCCATTGCTTCATGCGGTCGAACCTCTTGCCGATGTTCATTTTGGCGGTGTTGTTGTTTGTCTGCTGGGTTTAGATGTGTCGTGTGTCTTGTACGAAAGATGGAAGCAAGTCGGCGAGTGTGCGGGAAATGAGGGCAAGCAGGGCACTGCCGCACCGATTTAATTGCTGTGACGTGACCGAGGGACGTGGTGCAGGATGGGAGTGGGGGCAGGAGGAGACGCGAGATGGCAGGGCTGCCGCTTCTTAAACGAATGAAAGAAGGTCACTGCTGCCAGAAAGGAAGGTCACTGCAAGAAAGGAAGGAGCCAATTTGTTGAGCCCGCTCTCTATTGGACACAGCTGTTCCAACTTGAATGCCTCTACTTAGACTTCTCACACATGATTGAAACCATCGCTGCCATCTTTCCCCAGACTCTCCCGGTCGTCTCCACCTGTTTAGGGGAGCCGAACACACGCGTTCCTACTTCGGACCAGAGAAGTTTCCATAAGCTTTTTTTAGCCAGAGGCCAGAAGTCCATAGGTTACAAAACACGCGACCGCCGCGCCCGCGGGCCTGTCGACAGAGACATCCTGCCGCATCTCGATCTCTTACTACTAGTCTAGCTTGTGCCTTGTTGGCAGCGCTCAACAGGAACGCAGAAGGCGGTACGTGGGGGTACATGCTCGGCCTACTTTCAACGGCCAAGTCTTTGCTGGACTTTCGGTCGCGCTGGGTACAGGTAACTATCATGTGGAGAGGCACGGCGGCTGTTCCGTCACTGGCGAAACAGGTCGACTCGCCCTCATTCGACCCACCGTTGCCAAACTCACCTTACGACACAGGCACAGCCTTCTTCCCCTGGCTCTGGCTTGACGCGGCCCGTCGCNCTATCGCCTGTCTGCAGCTGACGAGGACGATCTACCAACTTACGTCTCCTGCGGCTCGTCCAAAGTAGGTGTATCGCCTCCCTGTTCACATGTATATTCAAGACTGCAGGTGAAAGATCGTGTGCTCATGAAACATTTTTGGACATTCCTCGATGATGCTGCCTGTGAAAAGAAAAGCCATTTTGCTCGTGGATTTTTCTGACATTCCTGGTATCTAGCCCGGGAACAGTACAGCAAAGTAGTTGCCAGGCATCGCTCATAGTTTTGTGGCAAAGTAAACGAGAATGACGACCCAACCGACCAACACTCCATTTCCCTAACCACTGATTTACTCCTTGGTCTTTTGTGTACCACGGAGCAGACCAGTTCTGCGGGCGGCAATGAGACCGGCCTTTTGACCCTGGGCGGCGTAGCGGGAGATGGTCGAGGCCTTACCGATATGCTGGTGGTTACCACCACCGTGAGGNCTGTAGAGTTTGTCAGTGTGCTGTTGCTGTGCGCTTTCTCGGCTTGTCCTTACGTGATCGACGGGGTTCATGGCAACACCACGAGTCTTGGGCCATGAGTTGCGCTTGACGGCGAACTTGTGCTTAGCGCGCGAAGCCTTAAGCAGAGGCTTGTCTGTTCTGCCACCACCAGCGACAATACCGATCATACCACGGACGCTGGACTTGACGATCTTCTTGGCGCCCGAGGGGAGCTTGACACGGGTCTTGCCCTCGTCGGGGTTGTGGCCAATGACGGTGACGTAGTTACCGGAGGTACGACCAAGAGCACCACGGTCACCCATCTTCTCCTCGACGTTGGTGACAACGGTACCCTCGGGGCAGGATCCGAGAGGGAGGACGTTGCCGATGGTGAGGGAAGCGTTCTTGCCGGCGTAGATGAACTGGCCGGTGTACATGCCCTCGTTGGCGATGAAGGTCTCGGTGTGGAGCTTGAAGCGGTAGGGGTCACGGAAGACGACCTTGGCCAGGGGNGCACCACGGCCGGGGTCGTGGATGATCTCCTTCACGACACCGCGAACATAGCCGTGTCTCTCGGCGAAGTCGAGGGTACGGAACTGGGCGGGGGCCTTGTTGAGTCCTTTTCAGAGATATAAGTCAGTGGGATCGTTCGGGATTGATGCGGGCGTGCGATTGGGGATGCGTACTGGTGTTGGCCTGCGAGCAGAGTGTGTCAGTACATGGATGAAAAATTCGCGACAGTTTGCGCACTCTCGACGAGGCAGGAGGATGGANCGTACAGTGAAGATAGAGCCACGGCCCTTTCTCTGGTTGCGAATAACACGACCCTAGATATCCTGTCAGCACATTGCGCGCTGGATTTGCTGGGTCCTGGTGATTTTTACCATCTTGAATGTGGTTGGCGGTTCTGCTGTCGCTGGGCGTGCGAGAAATCGAAGTCGACAAGCGTTCGAAGGTATTTCGCAACGCCAAGCTTGCGCTAGCGAATGTGCGGTGCTGGTCGGCTTCTCCCGATTATACTCCGTGAGATCTCGACCATTCACTTTATTGTCATTTCTGCATTATATCTCATCACTTGGTGCTGTGGATAATATCGTAGGTTTCACTGCATCGAATCTCGAATGCTACTCAATATCATGGCATCAGTTCTGCTCAATGTGCATCCTGAGCGCTGTCTTATGTTCAAGCTCCAGCTGGCTTTTGATGCGCACGAGTCCAAGACTGGTGTCGACTGCATATAACATGGACTGGAGAGATCTGCTACAAGTCTTGGTGAGTATCGCCTTGACTGATACGGTCCTTTGATCATCTAAATTCGTCAGCCACATAACAAAAGGCTGCCTATCTACAAACAGTCCAGCCATGTGGACGAAGTATCGTTGCCAGTATCGGCAACTCGAGACCATCGGTATCAATTCAAAGGTATCGCAGACTAGGTGTTGGTATTTCAAGTGTTGCAGAACAAGTCAATCAACCAATACAACTCGAAGTCGAGGCCATATAAAGTCTACCTCTCTGAACATACGCCTCTCATCCAGTCTCCTATCACCTCATATCCAAACACCCACAACTCCAACAATGCTCCCAATCAACGACTATCTCACCATCCAAAACCTGGTCTCTCTGATCAGAACCATGCTCGCCCTTGTTCCCTCCGTTCTGACCCACATCGGCGCTACCGCTATGGGTATGTGCGATGGCTCCTCCTGTCTGTACGCAATTTGACTGACCTTCATACAAGGTTCCCTTGCTCAAATCTGGGGCGAGCTCTTCGGCGCAAAGCCACTCTTTAGTGTGTCCTTCGTTACCATCGAAGGCATCATACTTGGTGAAGTCATCAATGGCATCAAGACCTTCGTTCTGCCGCCCAGAAAGCTCGAGTGGTGGGAGACGGAAGAATTCCATGCAGTCCTGGGACTCGTCGAGCTGCTGTTGGCTGTGTGGAGTCTGCGTCGTTGGCTGCGCGGTGGAAGACGATGTTGGAGACTCTGACAAATACATCCATCAAGGCGTCTGAATGTCGGCTGCCTTCAACCAACAGGTCATCTCGACCATGGACATTACCAATTTCTCCAAGTTTTTGCCAAACAAGCATCACCACTGTATTATTAACAGGCAGAAGCCCTTTCGATCTCGACACACTCTCCGACACTATCATTAGTACATCTGCTTCCGCGAACTCTCTGAGTCATCTCGGACCTTGGGCGAGACGAACATTACAGTCCACCCACAACACAGTAACCTGCCCTGATCTGGAACGACTTTCTGAAAACAGGTCAAAGGTGCAAGACATTGCCATGTTCGGTGGCCGATGCACAAGCACAATGGAGTGTCGATCATGGAACGAGATTGCTGAAAGGGAAGCTATCAGGGATACATCATCCGAGGTTCATGTATAAACACCGATTTACCCGGAGTAGCGTCCTCAAGTCTCATAGCAAGGTCAGAGAATAGCAACAACATCAACTGTGACTTTTCAAATCCTTCAGCAACTCATTGCATACCTCGTCTTCACCTGCGCCAGACTCATTGTTGACAAGGCTTCTTGCTGCTTCCTATGTTTTGGCAGATATTGGATGGAAGTTTGCGAGCTGTTCGGTGCTCAAGAGGAAGACAACACCAGAATCATCGGGAACGCTGAACTTGTTACCAGAACAGTAACCGTTTGCGAGGCCGTCGTCTCTGGAGCTCAAACACCACTACCTATGGTTTGCGTGCTGTTGTAGTCAAGAAAGGCATGTAGCTCAAATACAATCCAATTAAACCAAGAATTCAGAAATGGTAATCTAACATTGGAAGAACCCTTTCATCCCTCAGCCTTACTCAGACCAGCAGTATCAGCCTTAAGATCCAAATTCTCCCACTCGTCATCCCTAGGAAAGCCAAGATGATATCTCCCCGTCACCGCCCATTGCAGCACGGCATCATCCGCGGTCTCAAAGTCCAACACATGGCCGCCTTCAGCATCCTTGCCTTGCTCAACTTCAGTCATGAAATGGCAATGCACACCTCCCACACTAATACCTTGCATCCACTCTGGGCTTGCAATGCCAAACATTGTCCCTTTGACATCTTGCACACCCCACTTTCTCGCATTCGCAGCAACCTCTGCGAGATCCTGCCCGTCATGTTCTTGGGGTCCTGCTATCCTCAACTGCAGTGATTTAAAACTTCCCTTGACCACAAACGGAACAAAAGAATTCTTGCCTCCCGCACCCGGCCCATTTTTCTCAAACACTTGCACCAAATCTGCTTTTTTGAGTCCTGACACTGTGACTTGGTGTTCGGGTTGAAAATTGGTGACTTGGACAAAGGGTAATGAAGTGGAAGGGTTTGCAGGGAGCACTTTTCCGGAACGAAGCATTTGCCAGGGTTTTCCGTCTAGGAAGAGGAGTTCGCCGTTCATGCGAGAGAAAGTGCCGATGCCGTGGGTGCCGTAGCCGGGGAGTTGGCCGGCGGAGGGGCCGAAGTGGGCGAGGCCTTGCATCAGGGCGCTCGCGGTGCTGAATTGGAATATGTCGTTTGGGATTTTGGAGACCATGATGGTGGTGAGAAGGGGAGTTGGCTTTGGTGTGTTCCTTTTGGTGTTTGGAGAGGAAGAGCCTTTTGTGAGATAGGTTGGCTTTGATGGATTTATTTGTCCAAGTGAGAACTTTGCTTGTGGGAGAAGGTAGGTGCACGGGTTTCCTGTCTCGAGAAGTAAAGTGGGAGTGGTTGGAGGTTTTATGCCACGGTGATCTGCCTTCGTGGTCCGAAGTCCGGCTCCAAGCGTTGACGGGATTGCGACAGAGCACTGTGTACAAGATGTCGATTCTTGGTGATTGATGATGATACGTCTGCAGTTGACAGTTACTATAGCGTTATATGCAGTCAGAGTAATAATTTCCAGACAATATACATGAAAGATATTTTGTTGTTCTGGTTTCCGAATGGCCTTCAACTCCATCCTCGATGATGTCAACGCTGTTGCTTTCTCCGAAGCATTTTCGGCAAACATGCTTGCACGACCATCTTCATCGCCAACAATAAACATAATCTTAGTAATAGTTGCTATCAAGATAGAAGAGTGTTCTAACATGGCTTTGGATGCCTATCTTCATACTGGGATTTGTTGCGCCGAGTCCTTCGGCAGCGAGTAGTCTTTTTCCATCCAGCTTGCTCTACACCCTCGACTTATTCCACTCACAACACTCATCAAACTTGACTCCATTGCCTCCAAACACATCCAACGCACTCCCGATGGTCAGATCTACTTTTCCACCACTCAAGCTCTCAACCAATTCCAGATCTTGCAAGTTGCGACCGCCGCCTGCGTAAGTGACGGGGATGGCCGACCAAGCAGAGAGTTTGCGAACCAGCTCTTCGTCAATGCCTTGTTGCAAGCCTTCATTGTCGGCTGCGTGGATAAGGAACTCTGAGCAGTAGGGTTGGAGCAGAGAGATAGATTCTNNGTCATGTCCATTAGCATGCATGTACGAATAAAGGCCAGATAGGTAATCATGTATTTTGAAGTGTTTCGGATGGCAGGGCAGCAAACAGGCAGACTTACCGGCAGTCAACTCCATATCGGTAAGGTCTTGCCATTTGTTCATGGCGACAAACCATGTATCGCCTTTGCGACGGCAACTCAGATCAATGACGAGTTTCGAGGTGTCGTTGTCTAGAGCTTTGAGCACTGATTGCAAACGTTCCAAAGAGAACTTGCCAGAGGGAAAGAGGAAGGAAGTGATGATGACCTTGATAGAAACACAATAGTCTTAGCATATACTTCTTGCACATCTGCAACTCCACGTTTTCCTATGAGTTTTTGCGAGCNNCCTCACCAGAAAGCATACAAAACACCCAGAGAGAAACGTAACAAAAAAACAGGATGTAATGTCCAGAAAACTCACCTTACTAGCACCCCTCTCAATCCACTCTCTGGCATTCTCATCCTTGATGCCACCACCAACCTGCAAATGCCCCGGCCAAGCTTCACAAGCCTCTCTGCAAGCATCCTCATTGCCAGGCCCTAGCATAATCACATGAGCACCTTCCAACGCATTCTCCTTGTATAGCTTTGCATAGTAGGATGACGGCAACTTGGATGTAAAGTTTGTCTTGAGCTCAGAGGTGGTGGTTGTCAATGTGCCGCCGACGATCTGCTTTACGCTGCCCGCGTGGAGATCTATACAAGGGCGGAATTTGGTCATTGTGGTTTTTCTTTGCTGGTGCAGGGTGTGGTGTAATTGTTGTATTCCCTTGGGTTAAGAGGTGTGACGCACGCGAGGTTTGTGTTTTTGATGGGGAGTAGGGTGGTTTTGCAGCGAGAGAGGTAACTTGGAGTTGGTTGAAACTTCTCGCTTTTGCGGAGACTTGGTTCGGTCTTTTGCTTGATCGAGACCTTGTTTTCACCCTGCTTCAACCACTTTCAAAAGGAACAGGTTACATCCTTGCCTTGGCTAGTCATGTATTCACAGAGAGCAAAGGGTCTGAGGCTGTCAGAAGTATGTAAAAAAGGAAGTCCCATTGTCTGTTTTGAAACATTGATTTTGATTTGTAGACTCCATGATTTGGGAAAAGCAGTAGAGAGCATTGATCAGCCTAGCACTCCTCATGCTTTGGTCTCTGTAAGCAGCTGTATCTGAAGTAAAAAAGCAAGAAAGACAGCAAATTCTAGCACACGGTAACTGTGTGTAGCAAATCGACAAAAAAAGAGCAAGTATAGCCATCACGTATCGTAGCATCATCATCATCATCATCATCATCATCATCATCATCATCATCATCATCATGTCCTCAGCCATGTTATTATCATCAACTACACTGTGAGCCACACCCACCAAGCAAACGTCTCTTGTGCTTCAGAGCCACGGGAACTCGGGAGAAGGCAAACGTATCTTGCGTTTGTTGGGCGCCGACGAAGGCCACGTAAACTCTGGTGATGCCTGCAACTTTCTGAGTTGTGCTGATGGTTTCAAGGAATCAAGATCTTGGTCAGGGTCTGAGGACTGTGGTGGACGAAGTCGTGCCGATGGCTGCAGAACATCGAGGTCTTGGTCCGGGCCAGAAGATCGAGGAGGCAATTTGGAGTAGATTGAAGTGTGATAGGAGAGGTGTTTTGGGTGAGCTACAATCTTCAAAGGAGGATCGGATGAGGTTGGCGGCGGTTCAAAGGTCTGCGATGGTTGAGATGCCGGGCTCGCGGCTAGGAGAGGGTTGTCGTCTAGCTCTTGCTCGGTAAACCGACCAGGGGTTGAGGACATTTCCATCTGGTCCTCATCGTATTCTTCCTGCGCTTGGAAGAACTCTGACTGGACGACTGCAGAGTCAGATCGTTGACGAACAACTTGCGATGCGCTTGGGGTAGGAATGGCAATGTCGCTGGTGTCGATGTTGACGACGATCTCTTCCTTGGGTATGGTACTTGGCTTCCAATCACCGATGGCCTTTTCGTAGACGTTGTCAAATCCTTCAGAGCAGATGTGATTAGTGAACCAGGAGTGTTCGAGCGCTTTCTTTGCTGTCGAACGCTTCTCCTCTTACAATACGAGCAGAGATCTGACGAACTCCCTCGCTCTTTGCGGCACTTCATCCCAGCTCTGCTCGCCTTTGTCGATTTGGGTCAGGTCATAGGCGCTGACAGAGCGTGAATTGATCTGGCCAATGTCTTGGTCGCCGTCTCGGTGGTTGAAGGCGAGACTGCCAGTCAACATGAGTGCACTGACACAGCCAACTGACCAGAGGTCGATTGCGCTGCTGTAGCCTTTGTTCTCTGCCATTGTCGGATTGAGCTTGTTGATTTCACTGTTCGTCGTCAATGGCTGAATGCTTCTGATAAGATGACATCCGACTTACGGAGCTGTAAAACCATATGTGCCACAGGTCGAGAACATGCGAGAAATCCTGCCTGGCTGGCTAGTGGAAATACTAGACCGACTGATCCGCTTTGCTATTCCGAAGTCAGTCAGAACAACGCGGGTGCTGCGATGCCAGGAAGACATCAGTATGTTCTCGGGCTTGATATCGCGATGCACAATGCCGTTGTCGTGCAAGTATTCGACGGCCTTGAGTAGCTGACGAGTGATGACTGCGCTCAGAGTATCACCGAGGACACCACCTTTGTAGAAGATGTAGGAAAAGAGGTCGCCGCCAGCCATGAGTTCCTGCATGATATANGCTGTGGGTAATACAGGTCAGTATGGCACCTCTAGATTGAGGTTCATAGGCACAACTGACATGTGGTGAGTTGCGATGAACACCTTCCTCATGTCGATTATGTTCGGCTGCCCAGAGTCAGTACCACCTCAACTTCAAGATAAGAAACAGCGTAAACAGCGTACGTGACTAAGATCCTTGAGAATTTCATACTCAACCTCGAGACGGTGTATCCTTCGAAGCAGCTTTATGGATTGCATCCTCGAAGCGCGGTTGGATGCGGCTTGGATTGATGCTTCATTTGCATTTTGGTCGCCTTTCAGGTCGACTCCAGCCAAAGAGACAGCTTTGCATGCTACTTGTTGACCAACGCTACGATCCCAAGCAACAAACACTTGACCTTGGCCACCGACGCCAATGAGACGAGGGTAGATGGCAAAGTCTTGTTGGAAGCGNCTGTTGGTGGGGTGAGTACCTCACAATGGCTCATGCACAAAAGGCCAACCTACCTTGACTTCACAGTTCATGATGAACGACATGTTGACCTCATTGTTGGAATTGAGCTCGTTGTACTGCACAAAGGTTGACTTTGAGAGGTGTAGACAATCGCCGTCCTGGAGAAGTACAGGGCCCATTGACTTGGTGAGTTGATGATCAAGTCGAACTGTTGAGCCACCTTCGGTAGGACATTCACGAGAAAGTGTTGTTCCATTGGTAGACAAGTCTTCAGCGTAGACCATGGGAGTAACGTTCCAAGCTGCTGCGTCTTCGTCGAACTGCACACATCGAAGGACCAGATGGTGGTAGGATACTTGTTGGTCATAGTCATCGACAAGCCTAGAATATTGAGTATATAACCAGAGTTTGTGACTTGAGGGACAGCATACTGTTGAAGGTGCCTACATCCCAGCTGAATCTCTTGTTTGGGCCAGATACTCATTGCATCTAGAGGGCAGAATGAGGAGGGGCGAGCATGAGAAATGATGCTCGATCACATACCTTCGACCACGATACGACGTCGTTGGTTGACAAACGTCAAGGTACCCACACGAAGCTGCTCCGCCATAATACTCGGTCTCAACTCATGGACGACAATAAAAGTGATGCAGTCCCACAGAGAGTGATGTAGTCTCGAGGAGGGCCGTTGGATAAACGTCGGTAGCTAGCGGGGTCTGCCAAGAGACGGGATATGCCGCCGCAGCCGCGCACTCGCACCTTCCAACAATTTGAAGTTCGCAGCTTGAGCTTCCCCTCTCTTTCCCTCATCACCGCACACTCATCTCGACACTACTGTAAGTTTTTATCTGGCATTGCACATTCAATTGCCTTAATTGACACTGACTGTCTATCACAGGCCAAGATGAGAGCCAAGTGGAGAAAGAAGAGAGTTCGCAGACTGAAGCGCAAGAGAAGAAAGACGAGAGCCAGATCGTGAGTTTCTTCACCTTCACAGCTGCCTCTGCGCGCATCACACTAACCGCTTCCAATTACAGCAAGTAAATGATTCGCCCCGACAACTCGATCATCACGACTCCTTGATATCATAAAGATATCCTAACTACATCTTAACGCCCACCACTGAACGTCGACAAACGCATCTTTCTACTCGCGACGATCTCTGGAGGGCCACTATCTTTTCTCACACACCTTGTCGGATTCGCTCGCATGTGTTTTCGCCATCTTTGCAGCCGACTTCTCATCAGGTTGGCTCGGAGGGCGCACATGTTGGCAGCTTGAAGCTGAGGAGGGGAAGAATTTTCAAGTGTTGATGTTTTTGCTGCGTCTAGGACGGAGGAGTCGGTCAATCTTTTCACTCGAGCTATCATCATGGAGTGCTTCATTGCCTGGCAATTGGAAGGTTCTCTTCACTTCTCTAACACCGGTGTTATGCCTCGTAAGCTGCACCTTTGGGATCTGAAGAGCCTTACCGTTTGCGGTTGGCTGTTCTGCTAAAATCAGAAAACTGCTATTCGCAAAAAAATCATCTGTGCCTTTTTCTGTGCAAATGTGATGTGACATGCCTGCAATTGATCTGTACTTGCTCTTATGCGCAACCACAGCCATGAGTCTTTCACGCCACGAAGCATGCGCAATGTCTCTTCCTCGCGTGACCGCATGATTGTAGTCTCTAACACGCATGACTGACGGTGGTCGTGTGCTGTATATTGATCAGCACGCTCCCCTGTGCTCCGAACAATTTTTTTCTCATCGAGCTTGCGACCTTGATGGTCCACAGTGCTGTCATACCTGATCGGTCCGACTAAAAACAATCCTCCCTTGCTTTGACATTTGGCACGTCATGGCTACTCTATTTGCGATAGTGAACCTCGATACCTCTAACCCAATATCCACAACCAACAGTCGGCATACCTTCAAGAGCGAGGTTCTCCGTTTGAAACAGCCTCGCACAACAGAACTTTATGTCTCACCATCTTTGATGAACTTGTATGCCGTTTAACAACTGCTTTTGAGGTCATATGATGCTCTTGAAATATGCCAAGGGTGGTTTTCGTTAGTTTCTTGTCAGGTCATTGGGTGGATGTTGTTAGGGGTTTAGACGGGTGTAAGTGTATTTGGTGGAAGCAGCACGTGGGATTGAAGCCAGGATGGTGAGGAGAAAGCGCAACAAAGCATCTAGAGAGAGGCAGAAAGAAACAAATATCTCATATCAAAACACTGCAAAGAGCCGAAGTGCAGCAAGTTACACCGCAAGCAAAAGGGCAGCAACATACGAGCTTTACATGATCAAGCACTGCTACAGCAGCGTGACACAAAGAGCCAAAAACAATGCAACTCCACCATTCCCGCCACAACAGCGGCGTCAGCATCGCTAAACACGCAAAGAGCACTTGCAGCACAGCAATCACGTCCAGAAACACCTCTACCATAAGTTCTGCCACCTACGACGAAACCAGCTCACTCTTGCCGCACGAGCAATCCCCTTTACTTCCTCCCCTGGCCACACACCCACAGCTGCGATATCCCTCTCAATCATCCTCTACAGCAACAGCATCTCTACACAACATCTTGACACTACATCCCCGCCAAATCGCATACTTGGAGCAAGTACGTGCAGAAGAAGATGCTGTAGCAGCAGAGGAAGAANGAGGGGATACAGAGCAAGGCATGAATAGACATGTTCTCAGCCGCATCGACTGTATAGAGATTGATCTCTGGCACGAACGCATCCGCGATTATGAAGCTGCTGAACTAGGGCTGGTTTCCGCTGCTGAGTTGGGATTGATTCGTGAAGAGCAAGAGCACAGAGATACAACGGTGCAAGTGGAAGAGGAANACGGAGAAAGATTGAGTAGGGTACACACCTACGTCAACGATTTTGCAGACATGGAAGCAGGGCAAGCGTCAAGAAAAAGGAAAATCAGCAGTATTGTTGGCAAAAGGTTTGAATCTGTGAGTTTATCGCTGTATCACTTTCATCGCTATTTCTGGGTTGATGTGGTGGGTGTTTGTCTGTTGGTTCTGTTGGTTTTGGGGGCTCTGGTGTTTGTTGGATTCGAGATTAGGTATGATAGAGAGGGTGTTTGTGGCGGGAGCAGAGGGCTGGGTGCGCAAGGGTTTTGGACCGCGGTGCAGATGCTTGTGGCACTGGGGATAGGGTTGATGTTGCAGGTACCAGTGCATAGGGGTCTGGTGCCTTTTATGTTGCCTTTGTGGGCAATGGGGACGTTTGGGATTGTGATTGGGTTCAAGATGATGGCTGGATGCTTGGGAGGATGAGATGGAAGTTTGATGGGTATAGGCGTGGGTACAAGCGTTGGAGGAGATGACGGAGATGTGTGAGATACTCTTGAAAGACAACGAGTTATTACCAAGCATAGAAGAGCCTTGTAAGGGCCGGGTCATAGCGTGTAAACAAGAAGTTCTTGTATGTCAACATTGTCAAGCACATCGCTTGCCGATCGTACCAAAGTCTTATAGATGGCCATAAGCCGATCGTCTCGATCAGCCACACACCTACCCAGACAGTGTTGTTGAGCATGGAGATCGAAATGAGGATTACCGAAGAGACAATAAAGAACCACAGAGTTGAGAATACGACCGGCTCTTTCGCTTGTCAGAACGAGCAGTTGCATGTTGCGTGGTAAGTTGAAACGAGCAGGCAGTTGCGTGTTGCATGGTGAGTTGAGAATTGGGAGTGCAAGGATCGAGGCTCCCAGCCTCATGACGAGTAGTTGCCGCGGATTCTCGATGGACGATGGTCGAGGACACGACTCTTGTAGACCAAGCCAGAATTGCGGGATTTTCAAAGTCAAATCCTTCCCGACGGAGATTCAAAAAGTGTGTCTGTAGTTTGGATAGAGGTCAGACGAGCACGAAATGATTCGTGGAATCGTGTATTGATCAAATCTCCCAGTCGTTTGGCGAGATGGAGTGTCAGCAAAGTATATTGAAGCTTGGCCCAAATGGCAGGTCCGGAGCGGTCGGGCGGGGTTGGAACGGGCACTGTTTTGTGCAATGGCTGGTTTCGGAGACCAAGCTCTGGCGGTTGCAATCTTATCGTCGGCAAAAGAAAGTTCCAACGGCGATCCATGAGAACTTGGTAGATGTATGATCGAGAGAAAAGGCGTGCAATGCTGCTGCTGCGACTTGAGGGTCGCAAGGAACACTAGGGAGTATTTCAAGTTGCAGCGATCTGAGCAGAGGACCGGGTGTTGTTGTGTGTCAGGGTGAGACTCTCATGTCAGTTCAGGCAGGCACTGTGCTCTTGCTTCTGACGAGGCTGAAACGCGCTTGGGACGGAGGCCGGGGCAATGATCCGCGGAAGGCGCGTCCCTGGTCGGACTGGCCCTCTACGAGCACTGAGCAATGACAATTTTGCAATCTGGCTGGCGTGTGGAAGAACATGTGACGGCTTGGGTTCTCGTCCAGTATCACAGGCTGGCCTTGAAACGAACAAAGCATGTTTGATACAACCCAGCGCTCCTGTCTCTGACACTCGCAACCTCTGTGGCCTCGAGCACTCGCAGCCTCGCTAGCCGGACGCCACTACCTTGTTCTCTTAACCACGGGCTGCGGCTGATGTTAGACTCACCTACTCGTAGCACTATCCATCGGATGTAGACTGTCCCTGGAAAGTACATGCTCGCAGTGCCGCCCGCCATCCCACCAACATCGACATCTCACTCTCCCTCTCGACCTTGACTTTCGACGTGCAGCTTCCTTGCAACAAGTCCCATTATCGCACCCAGCCATGAAGGCCAAGCAGCTGGCCCTGGGCCTGGCGCATCTTGTAAGCCTCACTCTGACCAGACTCAATCTCAAATCGCTGACACTTGCCTGCAGANTTGGCCCGAACAAAGCAGATGATCGTATGCCCTCGTCAAATCCCAAAGAGAGTCCACCACCATCGCCATATCCCGGACGTCGGACTGCTCTATCGGCCAAGGTCGAATCCGATCTGCGTCTAGCCTGTGCCGGAGTCCTGGTCAACACCAAGCCCTCACATCAATATGTCCCGCCCGAGACTCTGGCTGCCGCTCTGAGGGAAGAACCCAAGCAAGCACTCGACTACGACGCCATCAAGAGATCTGCCTCAACCCGCAAGTCACTAGACTCTCGTCCCTTCCCTCCCCGTACCGACTCGGCCGACGACAAGAACNCCCTCAGATATGCATACCGTCCAGATGCTCCCATCGATCAGCTCTTCAACAAGTCGGATCCCACCGTTGACCCTGTCCAGTCCATCCTCGGCAAGGCCAAGCATGACACGCCAATGGGCAGCCGTGCAAAGACTCCGGTACCCAACAGCGTTCTCTCTCCCGCCAGTGACGCCGCTACACGTCCTCGTGTCGCCAAGCGCTCCATCTCTGGCGAGACTGATGGCTCCACGCCCATCACAGATGCAACAGAGTACCATTGGAGTACTTCTACAGCCCCTACCTCGGCCGCCATCACACCTGCACGTACCTCAAAGCGAGA